CATACCCCTGTGCTGTCATCGAAACCTCATAAGTCCATCAAATCTAAATCTTGTCTGTCTGTATATTCTCACCATTGCCCACCCAGAAATTCGTAATGTGATGCCTCCCTTGACAACTGTCCGCCCAATATGAAATAAGAGAATTTCCGATTCAACATTTCACTAGTTGTAGATATTGCTAGCGACGTTTTGGGCAATAATCCCACCCTAGTTCTGTAACCGAGAAGTCGCAAAAGCTTCGCCATGTGCCACCTATTTCTGTAAAGAAATTATATCTGTATCCGTCCCGTGGAGGGTTTACGATGAGATTTTCGTTTACAGACCCGAGACATGGGTCGTATAGGCGTTTCATCCTACAGCAATACCAACAAAAGGTTTGTAGACCATCGTACATCTCTATATTGGTGGACCACAGGTTTCGTATATAACCTATGTATAGATTTCATTTCAGATCCTTAATGAGGCTGCGACCCTGCTGATTGAAAATTCCTGATAAAATTCTGATACGTGAATTTCACTCGAGGGGGGTTACATCTTATTGTTAATCCTTCCCCATTGAGTACTGGTCCTAACAGACCTGTGGCTCAATCGAGAATAAGACAAACATGCACCAGCCCCAGTAGCGATGGCGACACAGAAAATCCTGCGTGTTAGGTCGACTTCTGTGGCGCGTGCACATAGTCAAGGTGCGGCTGTTGGGGGTGATGACGCCACTAGTTTACGTTTTTCCTAAAGCGGAGATTTCAATCACCGAACATGATGTGCATATATTTTGCGCGTCAGAAACGCACTGGTATTCCAAAAAAGAAAAAGCACCTGGCCTCCTGTAAAGCCCAGCATATCTTAAAGATAGATCAGTTCATTGCTTCAATTCCACTTATAAAACTTCTTCAACAATTTGTTCCTAAAAAGTCAATTGCCCATCGAAGAAAGTCTTTAGGAAACCACATCTACCGTTTGAACAGAGCTAGAAGCAATTGAAGAAGCAACGAAGGTAGCAGAAGGACGACAAAAAGTAGAGCACCTATCCTTGAATCTCGATCCCCCCTCTCATTATTCACCAATATGACGAGCAATCCGTTCTGGTACACCGGCCCAATGCGGGACGATGACTTAGATCCATACCTTGCGTCCGATGGCTACAACGAGATAGACCAGATATTAACGCAAACCTTGAACTCGCTCGACGATTTGGACATTCCTTCAGCTGGATACGCAGAACCGACACATGACAAGAAACATAGCCGGAAGATCAGTGGGACGGCCATCTTTGGGTTCCACAACCATAACCGCGAGTTCTCGATCAACCTGCTCTACCCCAATGCGTTCAAGGCGTCAAAGTTGGATATGCCCCGTGAGATGCTCATGCCCAATGACTTTTTTTTGAACAAAAATGAGACCCCAGCGGCATCCCCACCACATACGCCAACTAAGCCCCACAAGATCGACCAGCAGCTCCTTGCCAAGCCCCAGGCAGCCAGCGACTACATCATCAAGACCGAAAAGCCTAGCGGTTACAAGTTCCCTGCCAGCCCGCCACCACCAAGTATGCACCAATACTCCGTCGAGTACTTGAACCGGCTTGCACAGTACCAGAAGTCGCCTGAGCAGAGAGATGTGGGCGATGAAACCCTCACGTATAATGCCACAAATGACATTAACTTTGAGCCCTCTTCGAGTCCATTTGTGAATCCTCAGCCCCGCTATCAAACCAGAGGCTTTGTGGGCGACTATTCCATGAGACAAAACAATTTACCGCAATTTCCAACTCCGTTCCGTAACCCCGTGGCAGACTTTTCACCGCTGAACCACCAAGGCAGCTACGATCCACATGCCACCCCTACCAAACCCCACCAGCACTATACCTTTGACCCATACAACCAGCCAAGGAGCCCCCAGCGCTTCCACCAGAACCCATACATCACTTCCGAGCCAGACTTTTTGAACCCAAACTTCTCGGACCAGAGGTCGCTCCAGGATATCTACTCATCACCGACGAGGAACTTCGACCAGGAGCCGATCCCCTTCCATCCAATTCCTGCCCTCAGCCACTCTGGAAACTCAGAGATATCTTCTTTATCCAGTAGTCCCTACCGGCTTCCTCAAGAGCCCTTTCCGTCGTCCCCAATCGCGGGGTACGGGGAGCCGTATCCGAGTCTGCAGCTCCCTCTTCCGGTGCCTGCCACACCCGTGAAGAAGACGCCCATTACCTGGGATGAGGTGGTGGTTAACGATGACACTCCAAACACGCTAGACCGCATCTCCAGACCTACTCCTTCGCCGAAGCGCAAAAGCGAGCCTGTGTCGACATTAGAATTCGGCCTCATAGACACCTATATTGAGGGCCCTAACGAAGACAAGCTCTACATTTGTACCTTCCACGGGTGCGGCAAGACCGGACCAAGGCGCTACAACATCCGATCACACGTGCAAACGCACTTGTCTGATAGACCCTACAAGTGCGACAAGTGTACCAAGGACTTTGTGAGACAGCACGACTTGATCAGACACTACCGCATTCACCAAGAAGGGAGCTTAGGCTGCGAGTGCGGGAAAAAGTTTACCCGGAACGATGCCTTGCGGAGGCACAAGCAGAGGAACGTCTGTGTGGGGGGTATTCCCGACCCCAGCGGAATCATCAAGCCAAAAAAGAAGCGCGGAAGACCGAAGAAGATCGACCCGAGTCAAGAATCTCAGATAGATTCCGATATCCTTGGTAGTGATATCGTTAACTGGTCCGGGTAGGCCAGCATGGTTTTGGCATCCTTCACTTCTACATATTTTTCAAGGTTTGGTTTTGGTTTCGATGATGGGAGCTTACTCGTCTGTATTATCCCCTCTATTATATTTTTAGCCCTAATGTTTAGTACTTGTTTTAAAATTGTTTTGCATTTTCAAAGGTATTGTAGGACTGAGTGTGTCAGATTGGGATGTCAACGTGAATTGTCTACTTTTTGGTTGCAGTTGAAAAGGGGTTTTAATTGGTGTAAATCAGTGAGTAAAAGTTCATGGATAATTTATGAAATTAAACGTATGCGAGTATCAAAGGCCGAGAATAATTGACGACCCAACACCTATGAGAAAACAAATTTTCCTGAAAATATTTAGTCCCACAATATAAAAAAGCTTACGGTTTGATGAATACGAAGAAAAGCAGGATGGCCTTACCCAGTTATATTGCATCCATCACCAGAGTTAACGAGTTTAATGGACCGAGACGGTCTTGTTCAAACCACAAACGTAGTTTTGGAACTTACAGGGTAACAATAAATACTAGATATTAGAAAGGTTTATCATACTCAGCATTGCACACTATTGATCCATATATAATAGAAATTAACAAGCCTTCGCTAATAAAACCAACTCATAGACAATTTGGATAACTGCCGAAATACCTGCCAGACTCTACAGAAGTTTCGCAGAACCAGATTCTCAACTAAAAATCCAGCAGAAAAAACCATGATATTACTTTGGAATAAATTTATAAACAAGGATCTTTGCAGCACCGCTTCGCAGTCCTGTTTTTTTCTTGCTAATCACTCTTCCTCAACCTCTTCATCTTCAACGTGAGATTCTTATTCCACGCGACACTGTTCAACCCCTTGCGATGCTCAAAATCATACAACCGCTCACCCTCGCCATCCAACACATACATCTTCGCATTCTCCGCATGACTCCGCCTCTGCTTCGATACAAAATCCCGACACTTGTTCACCTCTTCCTGCGACAAGTAATGCCCGATCCCGTTCCGTTTCTTGAAACAATGGTCAAACAACTCGTTCGGGTTGATAATCTTCTTGGGAAAGTTCTGAATCGCCTGGAAAATCTCCATTTGGTCGCGGATCTGCGTCACCTCCGGGCTCACCATGTCAAAGAGTGCAACACTGATGCGGAAAAGCGTCTTGGACTCCTCAAAAAAGATGCAGTCCCACACGCGGAGCACTGTTTCGAAAGGGAGCACTCCGATAAACCCGCTCATAAACCAGCTGGCGGTGCACAACGTCACTGGCGGCAATCGAACCAAGAGATTGCCATCGGTGAGCTTCTCGCCATCCAAGCCCAAACCAATCCGCGCCCACATTTCCGGTAAGTACTCCTTGATACACAACATTAAGACCCCCTGGTCCACATTCACCCCCTCCAAGTTGAGGTCATGGACCCCCGGAAGGTACTTTTGCGTGATTATCACAAGCATCCAGAACGCACGCTCCTCATCCATGAACACCAAGAGCATTCCCGCGAGAAAATTCAAGCTCTGACAGTAGCCAATTGTTGGCAGGTGCTGCGAAAACGCTACAAGCACGCGCCGCAACGCCTGTACAAGCGGCGTCTCGGTCTCTCTCTGCTGCTGCGTCTCGTCCGACCGAAAGTGGAGGTTGTCGGGGAACGTACGGTTTAAATCTCGCTCGATGATCTCGGTGTCTTTATTGTGGAGATCGATCGTGGATGCAACAATCGCATCGTACACGCCTGCGTTCTGTGCGAGCTTCTCGTGCCCGCGGGCGTAGTGGAACCATGCGTGCCCTCGCCACTCCGCTGGGATTCCCTTGCGGATATACCGCTTCACCTTCTCAGACCGTGCAGGGAAGCGTACGGGCGCGTCGTGCTCATATGTGAGCCCGCTTTGCTTCATAAGGAGCTCCCACTTGCGCTTGCGCCGGACGAGATACTTGGAGTAGTCGCTCCACCACGCGTTATATGCGGCTTCTGACACGAACTGCGACTTTTTCTTGAATCCGTAGCGGTCGCGCGATGCCGAGAGGGAGGTTTTCGAGAGCTCGATCGAGTTGCGAATGATGTTTGCGGAATCGCGCGAAGAGAGAAGAGATAACGTGCTATGTGAGCCGAGTAACCTGCCTGGAGAGCTATGAAGGATGTGGTTACTCTGAGATTGGTGAAACAGCAAGTTGGTTGGGGAGGGGAAAAGGTACGGCAAGTTGGTCAGCGACTGGTCGGTAAAGTGGGGCCGGCTCGGGGAGTGGTCGGTGAAGTGGAAATCGTCAGCGTGGACACGTGGTCGTGGCGAATCAGCCACCGAAACCGAGCTACTCGAATAGTTATCCGTGAAATCATCCTCGTACCCGTGGATACCAAGTTTCATCAGCGACTGAAACACGTCCGTCGTCGGAGAGACAATCGAAGCGGCGTCATGGTACATGTCGATCACGCTGAGGTTGTAGCTGTCGACTGACTCAGAAATGGAAAGTTTAGGCTGATGGCGCACGGGACTTGTTTTGAGTGGTGTGGATTGGCCCGAGCCCGTGGGGCGGAACGTCTGAGGACGCGGAACGGCGCTGAGGTGACGACCGTCAACGCGGAGCTTCGGCAAGCTCGGTAGCTCCTTTTCCTTCCTGCTGGTGTCAGGATTGCGGTTGGCAGATACTGGCCGCACCAGCTTCTTGTGCAAATTGGGCATTGACGTGGCGTGGTTTAGCTTCTTGTCCCCCGAGGGAGTCCTTTTCTTATCCGCCATAGTCGGAAGGAGCGATATGCAAGAAATGGAGCTAAATGCAAATAAAGCAAAGAGCTAAATGCGATGAGGTAAGCAAAGAACGGAAAGCTTTATCTCTCTGGGCTTGTGAATACTGATAGAGAGAAAGCAATTGTTTGTGTTTGATCTGTAGGCGTGTTAAGAAAAATGCCACAAGTATACGCGAGGCACCATCTGGTGCATGCACACGCGTGGTCCTAGCGCGCACGTGCCAAGGCTCAGAATGACTACAATGACTAAACTACCGGTGCTATGTTTTTCTGTTTTCGGTGTTTTGAATAGTTTTTGACTTAAAATCTTCGGCTATCGTTTTGGTATTACCGCGGCAGAAAGGTTAGATATTGAAGGAGAAGTTTGGAGTATCCGGGAAAGCGGGGAGAATAGTCGCATATGGGAATATGAGGTTCGAAAATTGCGTATAAGTATATAAATTTATTGTACCGTTGATCTAAGATATAGCCGATGTAGTCTGGATGACGAGTTTTGGCTCTTACATCAAACATCCGATATGGAACTATTCTCACCCATCCTGGCGGATATAGAGTAACCCTGAAAAAGCTGCAATCACACTTGAATATCTCATGTGGAAAACTTCTAGGCAAGAATAAAGAACAAAATAGCCATGGACGTAAGCCGGCAAGCATAACAATGAAAATAACCGTAGACCACCATTTCACTTTGTAGCTTCTCTTGTGATCCACTCCGCCTCGTCTGGCAACATCTAGTAGGGAATACCGTTAGTGATCCTCTGGAACTCATCATACCCCTTGGTGAAATTACTCTCATAACTCTTCCGCACCAACGCACGCATATGACTTGCGGCATCCTTCTCAGACTTTTCCGGCACAAACCGCCCCCTCAACTTCTCCATCGTCGCAGGCTTGAAGCAGGGCAAGCCGCTTTCCAACATCGGCTCCACGCACTTGATAATCAGCTCCATGTGCGGCCGACAAGCAAGATATCCTTTGACACACATCTCCTCAAACCAGCGGTATGCCTGGGTTCCGTTTCCGCCCATCACCAGCACCATCTCGCGCGTGAGTTTAAACGGAACAGCCTCGAACTTGACCCCGCCTGGCACGATATCGAAGCAGAAACCAAAGTCAATGTGCATGATATAGCCCTGGTCATCGTACATGATATTCCCGTTGTGTCTGTCCTTGAACTGGAGGAGATACGAGATGATGGAGTACGCGGCCAAGGAGCGCACGAGGTTTGTGCGCGCACGCTGGAATGTGTCAGTGCATTCAGGGCCAAACTTTGTCACAAAGTACTCGTACAACCCGTTCACCGCCTCACGCCCCAACATGTCGCGCGACACGGAGTTTGGTAAGACGTCAATAACACCGCAGCCCGGGGCGGTAGCTGTCACGCGGTACGGAAACACGTAGAGGTCCAAGCCCGCGGTCGCCCAGATCGTGCGGAACACCGAGATTAACTGCAACGCAAGCACATCCTGACGACAATCGTCACCCACCTTGAAAATGGCACTCTGCCACTTTTCAATCTGGAGCGTCGCGCCGGTCTCTACATCCACAGCCTCCTTCCTGATCTTGAATGTCGCCATGAACGGCGCCTTCGCGTGCGACTGCAACGGCTTCCCTGACGTGCGGTTGATGTCAACCACCACACCGTCAGGATTACTCGGAAGGTATGCATCGCGTGCGACCGCAATCTTGGCCATCTCCTCGTCAATCTTTACTTTTTTCTCAGCCTTCAGTTTCTTGATGTACGGCTTGAGTTTCCCGGAAATCTCGGTCACCTCGTTGAAAAAGCCAAACTCGCGGCGGTAAAAGTCCAACGCTTCGGGAGTGAACGCAGCCGTCATCTTCTGCTGCACGCGGTCAAGCGTGGGCTTGATTGCATCCGGAACTGTCGACTCCTCGTCTTTGTAGCTGTTGGCCAACATGTTCCAGATGATCTGGTGCGCGAAAAGACCTGAGACACTGGCAGTCTCGAGAATAAAGCGCTCTACGTAGCCGCGTGCGTCGTGGCGCAACGTCTGTACGATCTGCGGCACGTAAAAGAAGGTGAGGTTGACGTCGTAGCTTTCAAGCACGCGCGTGGTGTATTGGAGCACGAACGGATCATCGCCGCGCGGCGGGAGGAAGAGGTTGATCGCGTCGATCGGTGCGATACGGCGCCAGAAGAGCACCTGATACGGCATCACGCCATTGAGCGCGTACGCGAGCGCGTCCGCGTACACCATACAGTGCGCAGGGTCTCGCGTGACCAAGCCGCGAAGCACGCTCTGGTGTTTCTTTGCTCGCGCAACAAGACGGAGCGCTAATACAGGGTCCACGCGGAACGCGTCAGTGACGGCCGCCTCGCTCACGGGCGCGGCGTACGTGCCACGCGTCTCCGTGAGGCTTAATGGGTCCATCCACGTCGCAAGGTTCGAAATTTCGTCGTCAAGGAAGAGCAAAAGCAATTGGCGCTGCGTCTCAGCACTGCGCGCATGGAGCGTAAAGTTACTGAGCGCAGTGGCAACGTTGCGGAGCACTCCATGATCCGCACGCATCTGGAGCGTGTTGCCCCCGGCCGGCCAAACGGGCGGGGTCTTGAACCACGAGAGCCCGCCCGCGAGGATCGCGGCCATGAACTCGCTCGGATGTGGGAGTCCGAGGCGCACATGGTACTTCAAAACATCGATACAGAGCGCAGCGAGCTCGAAGCGCGGAAGGCGCGCAAGCGGATGGTAACTCGCGGAGTCCGCCGCACGCATCGCCGTCATGCAGAACTGCTCAAAGAGCGCAAGCAAATGCCCACTGAGGTACTTGGTCGCCTGGAAGTGCGACGCCAACATGCGGATCACGTACGTGTGGGGTTCGAGCAGCTCGGCCGTCACGCGGAGGTGGTGCTGGATAACCTCCTTGCTGGAGGGCGCGTACTCCATGGACGTGTACGCGGGGTCGGGCATGTCATGCGCGGTCGAGTAAAGGCCCTTGCGCTCGTACACGGTCTGTTCCCAGCGAGTGATCACGTCGCCGAGGAGCAACACCGCAACGGCGGGAAGGTCCGTCATGATACTGAGCCAGACGTTGGTTGCGACCTTGAAAACATTGGCAGTAAAAATCGCAAAGGGAAGGTCAACAACGTAGCGGATGAACTCCGCATTGTCATGGCGGAGAAGCGAGAGCACCGCGGCACAGCTCTCCAAGGCTGCAAGAACTTGAGTTTCGGCGATCGGCTCGCCACGCGCGACGAGCGCGTGGAGAGCAGAAACACACGCGCGCGCCTTGTCTTTGAACGCACGGGCATTAAATGGTTCACCGCGCGAGGTATCGAGCGCAACAACCCCGTTCGCATCCGTACCTGCCACGTTCTCCATCAATGCGTTGTTAAACCCACTCTTCCACCGCACTTGCGCGAGGAACCCACTGGCCGTGTCAAACTGCATATGACGGATGTGGTAAAGCTCGCGATCGCACGGCAACACGGTTGCGGCCATCTGCATTGCGAAAGAGGTGCCGAGCTCCAGGGCGCGGGCGCGCCCGGTCGCGACGTAGTTCTGAAGGAGATTCTTCATGTCATGGTTTGCGCAGCCCATCGCAAGGAGAACCCATTCACGTGCGTGTTTCTGGAGCACCGCGAGTGTGTCGCGGCGCCACGCGACGGAGTTTGGCACCTGGAACCGGAGGCCCGCAGTCTTAGAGGTGAACTCGGTGCGCGGGTCGTACTGGCTGGTATCAGAGTCTACAACGGCCTCAAACCCGACGGTAAGGATGTCGAGGAGCGTGGATAAACTCTGGGAGTGGCACAATGCCGAGGGGATGCACTTAATGAGGTACGAGCAGCATTGGAGCGCCGCATCTTGCACCGCGGGGAGGCGGTGGAGACACAAGACGAGCATTGCGGTGAGCTGTTCTGCCACGCGTTCGCCGGTGAAGCGCGAGCTAGAGCTCTGGGCAATGCTCTCGTCGGGTACTCTCAACAGGGAAGAGCCCTGTGCAACACCGTTGGCCTGGGTATCGGTCGTACGCTCGCACCCATTCACCAAATTCACATACTTACGCACCACGCTTAACGCGAGATCCTTGATGTACTTTCCAAGATCGCTGTTTTCGACCGACGGGTCGGAAAAGTACACGAGTGTCTGCGAACAACTACCGGACCGGACCCTAAGCGACTCGAGGAGCAGAGAGGCGGACAAGAACACTAGGTTCGGATAGGAAATCGTGTGAAAGCTTAACTTTGATTCAAACAAGCCCAGACGCTGCTTCTGGTCCTTAACATTGTGGTTGGACGAGCCGCGGCGGAGCACGGTGTTGAGTTCGAGAGAGGTCTCGTTACCTTCCCACGAGGCCTCGGACGCCAAAGGTGGCGAGTTGTACGCGATGCGCTCGAGATGTGTGCGCGTCGCGGGCGCAACGGACGTCTCGGTGTAACCGTGGACAACCATGTTGAACCACGCGTTCTTGAACAAGTTGATGGTCTTGAGGTCCGTCACCTCGAGCGGTGGGGCACCCACGTCTGGGAGAAGCGCCGCGAGCGGAGCGAGGTAGTACGCGATCTGGCGTCCCACCTCGGAGATCTCCACGTGCGAGCGGTGGTGTTCCAACTCCTGCACATCACCACGCGCAACAATGCTGGTGAGTATCTCGCGGAGGTACGGCCAGAAAAGCGGGTTCGTGGGCGCTATGTTGCGTGCAATATCGACACGCGCGGCAACCACCGTCCGCGCCATCGTCTCGTCGCCGCGTTTGGCCGACGCGAGGAGGAGCCCGTTGTACGTCTTGAGAATGACCTGGAGTTCGCGCTCGGGGATGTACGGCGCGCACTGCGCCAACCCAGCGACAATGACCGGGTCCGTGCCCGTGGCCGTTTTGAGCTTTTGCGAGAGGATGGTTACAACAAGAGTGCTAATCAGCTCGTCCGCAAAGTGGCGGGCGATCGTAGCGAGCGCGGTCACCGCCTTTTCCTGCACAGTACCGGTATCCGTGGTGTCTTTGGAGGCGCCACGCGCGGACGAAAACGCAGAGGTGGCGAGCGATCGGACAGAGCCTTCGCTCGAGAATCCACGCGCATCACGCGCGTCGGGAGTACAAAGGTTGTTTACCGCATACACCACCGACACCACCACGTCCTCAGGCAAGGTTCGGAAGGCGAGCGACATGGTGCGCGCACAGTGTGCGACGGTTGCGCGCGAGGCGGGCGACACGACGAGCGACGCTAGCGCCGACGCAAGAAGTGGGCCTACAACCGGCGCCTTAAGCGCGAGCATTGCGCCAAATGCAAACACAGCCGGTCCGAGCTCGGGCGAGGCGAGTGTCGCGGTGTTTTGCAAACACACCGCGAGTATGTCGCGCGCAGCAACATCCATATCGAGGTGCACACCGACAGAGAGAACTTGCAACGCTGCGGCCTTTGCGCGGAATGCAGCCGCGAGGCGCGCGGCCGTGGAGCATACGATGTAGGTAGTACCATCTTCCACGGCGCGGACGGTAGCAGAGGCGAGCCTCAAAAGCGCAGGGAGGTTTTCCGATAGTGTGAGGTGTTTCACGGCCGGGGTGAGATCTTCATCCGTGAGATCGTCGGTCGGCTCAAGGGCCTCGTTCTGGACTGTCTCTGGGTCGAGACCCATGGCACCAAGGACGGCGACTGCGAGGAGAGTCAACTTCTCGAGGAACAGGCATGCGGAGAAGCGCGGTGAGGTCTCTAAAATCAAAGAGTAGTAGTCGCTGTTACCGACCTGGCCTAAGTACTCCTCGACCTGGTCCAAGAACAGTGCGCTGAGTAACACGATGAGACTTTGAACCACACGGAAATCAGCGGCAAACAAGCCTGCATGCGCGTATGCGGCCAGAAGAAAGCCCGTGAGCGAGTAGTACGCGGCCGCTTCGGGCTGGTCCGGGAACTCCGCCACGTATCGGTCCAAGAGGGACACCACACGGTTGGTAAAGGCCGGGAACGTTGTTCCGAGATGCACGAGGCCCGTGACAAGCTCGAACGTAAGCGTCTCCGAGATCGCGGCAAACTTCTGGGATGTCGCTTGGAGAAGGTATGGGGCAAGCCGTCCGAGTAAGGTCTCGGCCTGGGTTTCGGTCTGCACAAATGCGGCACCGCGCGCAAGCGCAAGCAAGTTTTCAAGCTCGTCAGTGGTGGTGGCAGCGCGAGGCACGTCGGGGACGTAGGACACAATGCGTGCAAAGTCGGTCGCAACGGGGTCGGATCTAACCGAGAGTTGCACCAACTTTTCGAGCGCCTGAGCGCGGAGGCTTCCTGTGCGGCTAAAGGTTAGTAATGTAGGCAAAACACGGGGAGCACATGAATGAGGGATAAGGACGTTTGCGGGGAGAGTAGGGTACTATTGGTAATAAAAGGCAATTAGGGAACGAAAAAATGGGAAAGATAAAGCAGCCGTAGTGAATCAAAACGCGTTGACAACGACCTTGATTCCAAGATGGTTCATTTGGAATGAGAAAGCATATGAGCCAACCGAGTGCATATTCTCAGTCACCGTGAAAGGGTACTAAGCAAAAAAGAAGGGTTCATGTAATAGGAGACTGAAAATGCACGTTTTGTGGATCTGGATCAAATACTGTGTGGTTCAAGGCAAATCCATGGTTGTAGTAACGGCTATTGATCTGTGGTGCGTGAAGACATTCTAATTTTGCTTCCGTTCGACAAATTCTCCATCTAATCAGATGCTTCAATGACGGGATATACGCACCCAAAGTAATCCATAGTAGGTGTGGACGTGGTGTATGAAATGGCTGTCGTAGTGGTAGGTTTGAAGTATAGAAACGTTATGGCCAGCGTTGTTCTGCCTGGCGTTCGCTGTCCGGCAGCGAACGTGTGAAGACCCTTGACCACTGACTATTGTATGGAGATAAAATTATGGTGAAGATATAGCGAATTTTGGTTATATAATTCTTGGTGAAACAACGTGAATCATATGGTTATAAATTATATGATTCATAGCCACAGAGATCCTGGCATGGAGCACATTACCAGGGCTGCTCTATCTAAAGATTCTGGACGTCTTTAACTTTGGAAAACAATCAAAGACAATACCAAGATGATTTATACGAAATCTTTTGCCATTTAGAGATTAAATCTCGCCAGTGGTGGATGGTATACTTTATTAGTATGATGGAATCACAATAGGATCCATATACAAGATGCCATGCAATTCATACACCGTGGGATTTAGTAAGCCAAACATATATAACAAACGTGATCGAATCCAGATATCCTATAATAGCCAATTTAAGTTTAATTTGGAGATATCTATCAAAAAAGGAAGATGACAGAATATTATACGGAGTTTTTTTTTATCGAATCTGACACAACGCCTAAATCTCGCAATGCTATATATACGCGAAAGGCAACGCCGGCACACACGACTAAGTTTCGCGCGAAAGGCCGCGGTGGCTATTTTTGTAATGTGTCAGCACACCACACATCAATGCATAACAACCCAGATCTATTACTTTAGACCAGGAATCCCTCCAATTTCTCAATGTTTGAAACGCTCCCGGTACAGGCGACTCCGCTCTCGCTCACATTCCTCACGGCATTCGCCGCGCGTGCATTGTTCGTCTCTTCAGACACCATCGCCAAGGCGCTCACAATCCCCGAGCTTGTCACGCCCATCACGTCGTACAAGGCGTTGCTTGAGGCACATTTCCTCGCGCACCTTGGTGCAGATATCTACGACAATAGCGTGGTACACCACCAGCCGCTTGTGGTGGCGGCGTTCTCGCTTGTGTACTCTCTTGGCGGCCAGTTTCTTGTAAATCTCTGCTATATTGCAGCGGATTTGGCCGTGGGCTGGTACTTGGTATGCATAAATCGCACGTATCACACACAGACCACTACGCGTGTACTCCGAGCACCCCGTCTCGATGACTACTTGGTTGCGGCGATTTATCTCTTCAACCCGTTAACACTCCTTTCGATGTTGAGTCGTTCGACGGTGCTCTTCACAAACCTTGCGTTGGCAGCGGGATTTTTCCATGTGCTCAGTGGCAATTTGGTGCACTGCCTCTTCTGCCTCGCGGCTACGGGCTACACGGACCTCTATTCGCTTGCGCTTGTGGTGCCGTTTGCCTCGGTGTACTATTCAACGCTCCCAGTTACCAAGCGTAAGGGCGGCAGAACTATTACTAGCTTCTTCTTCCTCTTTGCGATTGTCTTTGGAGACCTTCTTGGCCTCTCATACGCCGCAAACGGCTTCTCTTGGTCTTTCCTTGCGCGCACTTACGGCACCATCGCGACGCTCGCGCACTTGACTCCAAACGTTGGTTTGTGGTGGTACTTTTTCACAGAAATGTTTGAGTTCTTTACCCCGTTCTATCACGGCGTGTTCAACTTGTTTTTGGCCGCGTTTGTGACCCCCGTTACCCTCCGCTTCCACGCGCACCGTGCTTTGGGCTTGTTGACTCTCACGTTGGTTCACACGCTCTTGACTTTTACCAAGTCGTATCCGTCGTGGGGGGATCTTGTTATGGTGCTTTCACTCTTGTCAATCCTCACCCCCTTCCACCAGCACTTGCGCTACGCGGTCATCTCCGGTGTCGTGCTCTTGTTTGCGATTATTCTTTCTCCAGTGAACTATTACTTGTGGTTCTTGGGCAGTGGGAACTCGAACTTTTTCTATGCGATTAACCTTGTGTTGGGGGTCGCTTTGGGGTTGATCATTGGTGATTTAACCTACGCAGGGTGTTGTGTGGGGTACCAGGTGGAGCATGGGGTTACCGGGAAGCTTGCGCAAATATAATCGAGCATAGCGAGACTATATATCGATAGCGAGATACTTGACTGTTTTCGAGACATGGCAATTCTGATAGAGCGGCGTCATCTATACCGACCTTGCGACATGATTCAATATCCGTCACCATGATAAGGCTGCCCGTGCCATTCCCTATAGATTTTAATATATCCGCCCGGCATTCTATGGCTTATAAATATATACTTTAAACCATGTATATGTGTAGGCATCCTCCGTCCGAATTCAAACGTCTATGACCCCTTCAAGCGAAACATGTTATCCCATTCATCCACCCCTCTGTTTCCCGTCAATGGAATATCCCTACACCCATTTTACCAAAAATACATTAATATACACATCCCCAACCTAGATAAATCTGTTAATCACCCCGTTCAACTTGGAACTGTTTTCAGTCTTGAACTTCTGCTCGGCATCGGCTCTGGAGCTGGCAACCTTGCTCTGACGGAAAGTTCTTCTGATGGTGGTGTCCACACCCTGATTACCAGCGGTGCCCTTCAAGACAGGGTCTGCATCGGCTCTAGCCTTCTTCTTCTTCTGGATGTTGTCGATCATCTTGGACTTTTCCACATTGGCCACAAAAGTCTTGTTCAACTTCTGCTGCTGGGCCAACTCTGCCTGCAACTTGGCGTCTCTGATTTCGTTCTCACGCGCGATTTGCTCCGTCAAGTCAGCCCATTTGAAGCCCGACAAGTACTTTATGTTCAACACGTCATCGTGGTAAAACGACCCCTTTTTCTCACCGGTGGGGTTTCCGTTTAATGTGTGGACCGCCAACTTGGCGTGTCTCTTCTTGGTGAACTCGGCCCACCCCTCGGTGAATGACTTTTTCTTATTCCCCCCGTACTTTACACGGCGCGCGTATGATTTCAGGTTCTCTGGTTTCAAGAACAAACGGTCAATCTCACCAAATCTCCCGAGGATCTGTCTCATCTTGGAAGGTTTCATGTATGGTGGCACCTTTGAGATGTAAACCACGCCCGTCTTGGCGAGCTTCTTCTCGAGCTTGGCCACCTTTTCGGGGGTCAAGCTTTTGATCTTCTTCGACTTCCTGTCCTTTGCTTCCTTTGGTGCATCCTCTAGCGCTTCGTTTTCGCTGAGGTCATCCTCTTCCGCATTAAATGCGTCGAAATGACCCCTTTTCAGGGCCGGCACGTCTTCGTTGTCGGAATCGCTGGCGGCCGGGATTTCAAGCTCCTCATCACTGTAACTGTCGGAATCGTCGGCACCAAAACCGAGAGTGGCGGCTACACTGACCTTTTTCAATTCACTAGGCTTTCTTTCTTCAACGTCGGACATATTTGGTTAAGTGTGGGGGGGGTGTAAAGTGTGGGTGGTGTAAGGCTGAAAAAATTTGCCCTACATGTAGGAGACCAATATTTTTCAAGCCGCAGGGGGTGCGGCCGGAGCTTCACCAGAAGATTATTAGTTGTCAAAGTAATGCCATGTAACGTTATCAACGACCAATTTACAACCAATATTGTCTATTATATATTATCGTCGATGAGAGGTTGACGGCAGTACGTGAAACAAAGCGTAGCTTAAAATCCGGGAGAGGGTAGGAGAATATGCTTTGATAGCAATAGATCCTTCAGACAACGTAGAAGTGATATATAAGAAATTATCAGAAAGAGGAGTGACCATAATATATTTATTAAAAATACCACTAAGGAGACTTGAGCCAGACCAAGAAATTCCAGGGCACAAATCAGCAAGTACCTAATTGGACGTACATGTCTAATATTGATAGATTCAGTAACAGGGACAAATTCATCATTTTCTGTCACGCCAAGTTAAAACCGCGGATGAAAAATAGCAATTAATTTATAACCTGACTTTGCCACTTTTTGCTTGTACAACGAGTAATTAAATTGTTAAATGTGTGTCTGAAAGTCTCTTTAATAAGCCAAATGGAAATGGTTTCGATCTAGTAACCCCACCAAGCCTGTTTTGTCTTACTCAAACAAAGCACAGATCAGATTCGAACAATTGGTTCCCTGCTGAACCAATCCGGTAGTTCTGTCTCACTAAGCCAGAAATTATACCACAGAGGTATATCATCTCTAACCAAGCTGTTTTCTTTTTTTTTTTTCTACTTCTTCACAAATCTGTAAACACTCAACACCTCCCACCCGCACTTCCGCTTCTCCATTAAGCTGATGTCGAACCGTGCGGTCAAGTCCGGCCGGACCACTACCTCCTCTGGCACATTCGACGCACAAAACAAGATATATGCGATTCCATTGGCAGATAGCACGTTGTGGAGTTGGTCTAACAAAACATTGGTCACCACCATCCCTTGGTGTCCGCCTAATAATGCGAGATCCAACCAGTCGTCCTCGGTGCTTTCGTTAGAAGCCTGGGTCTGGCACGGAACTGCAGGCACCTCCTCAGCCGGCACATACGGTGGGTTGAACACCAAGATATCAACCTGGTGGTCCCTAAGCGAGCTGGCCAAATTTGTTTGGATCGGATCGAGCGTAACGCTCTGGCTCTGGTTGTGCGCCACTGTTTCCTTTACGCATTGGCATGCAAAGGGGTTGAGGTCTGTGGTGAAAAATACGGCCTTTTGACCGAGAATGTCGTTGACAGCAATAAATGTTGTGATAATCCCAGACCCAGTTCCAATTTCCAACACCGTCGGGACCTTGAAGGCGAACTTGTGTGCCACGAGGAACGGGCTCTGCTCCTCCATCACGTCAAGAAGGAGAAACGAGTCCTCCGCTGGCTCATAAACTTGTGTATAGGAATCGTAGGGTGGGGGAATAATAGGCGTCGGGAGCATCTGAAGAAGATGTAAAGTGGTTGAAGGCTGTATACGACTGTTGGTGCTAAAATGGGGTAAGTGAAGTGTGCGGCATAATTTTTCATTATCGTGCAGGATATCCTGCAGTTCTAAGGGTGGACGGAGATACGATAAGTAAGAGTGCACTGTTGCAATGACGAGGTCACCAGATAAATTTACAGAGGTTAGTCAAATACATGTAGTTGGAACCATGCAGCATATATATAACGTTAGACATATCTCTTTGAGGGTATGATGGACGATGAAGCATGACTGGGGCTATCTTGATTGACAATCACCTGACTTGCGGTATACACACACTATGTTGTCCTGCATCTGATGGCTAAAAAAATAAGACTCCAAAGCCAAACGCCATCAAACACTTGACACTTCAATCGCCTCTTTTCACATCGCTCCGCATAGCCACAACTTCCAACGATTGAAGCCCCAAATTGGATCTTATAGCTATTCTTACCGATTACCTCTTGCCTTTTCCCGTCCATTATCCCACAGCTCAGAGCAGGATTGTAAGGCTCTTGACCAATACTAGCTCTCCGGCACTTACCATCTACACTTTCGTTTATCACAATGGCAGAAGGCTCAGGGACTGCCCCCGCGGCGTTACAAATCACATCGGAGCAAATCATCCACGAGGCGCTCTCGCAGCGTGACGCTACACTCCGCGCAACAACGCAGAACACGGAGTATGCGGACCTCGAGGAGCTCCAGCAGCATCAGTACAAACAGCGTCGTTCGTTCGAACAGGCGCTTACACGCAATCGTCTTAAAACTAGTCAGTGGCACCAATACGCCAACTTCGAACTCCAGAACCGTGACTTCGCACGTGCGCGCTCCATCTTCGAGCGCTGCCTTGTGGTAATGCCGCACCACATCCCCACATGGACCAAGTACATCAAGGCCGAATTGCAGCACGGCAACGTGAACCATGCGCGCAACTTGCTCGACCGCGTGGTGACGTTGTTGCCGCGCGAGGCTAAGCCTTGGTACTTGTACGTCAGCACGGAGGAGGCACTCGGCAACGTTTTTGGCACGCGGCAGGTGTTTCGTAAGTGGCTCGAGTGGGACCCCCCAAAAGATGCATGGATGCGCTATATCGAATTTGAGATCCGGTATAATGAATACGAGAAAGCCAGACTCGGGTTCCAGGCGTGTGCGGTGGCCATGCCGCTAGACTTGGACGTCTGGTTCCGCTGGACCAACTTTGAGAAGCTGCACGGAACCAAGGCTCTCGCACGGGAGGTTTACGCACTCGCTATCGAGACGGTGGCGGCAATTCCGAAGAAGGAGGCCAGTTTGCCGCCGCTAATCACCCATTGGGCTGCGTACGAAGTGGCCAGTGACGACTTTACGGCCGCCAGCAAGGTCCTCACGGTGTCGCTCGCCAAGTTTTCCGTTTCTGAGGACGATAGAACCCAGTTGTTACAGGCCTTGGCTGAGTATGAAAAGCGGTTTGGGTCGGTAGAATCAGTTGAAGCCGTTACATTGCAGAAGCGAATGCTCCAATATGCAGCGGAGTTGGCCGCCAGCCCCGAGGACTACGACTTGTGGTGGATCTATCTCGACGCGACGGAGACACAGGGCCCCGAGGAGACTCAGAGAGCGTTTGCCAAAGCCGTCGCGGCGTCGCCCCAGAGTGAAACCAAGGAAGCCTGGAGAAAGTACATTGCCGTATGGCTCCGCTACCTTATGTTTGTCGAGTTGACCCTCGACGATAAGGAAAAGACGAGGCTGCTTTTCCAAGAGCTTTTGGGTTTGATTCCCCACACCAAGTTCTCCTTCACAAAGGTCTGGTTGGCGTACGCAAAGTTCGAAATCCGCTGTTTGAACGTGGCGGCCGCGCGCAAGGTCTTGGGCCAGGCTATCGGCCGTACACGCGGCCTAAAGCCATCTGTCTTCAAGCGCTACATCGCGTTAGAGATCCAGATGCGAGAATTCGACCGTGTGCGCAAGATCTATGAGAGCTGGCTCAGCGCTGCCCCAGCGCTGCTCGAAGCGTGGCTAGCATGGCTCGAGTTCGAGATGGAGCTAGATGAAGGCGCGCGTGTCGCTGCATTGTTCGAAACGGCGTTTGAGTACGTTGCGGTGACAGACAGGGATGCACTCATGGACAGATACGCCGGGTTCTTGCTTGAGGAGGGGCAGTACGAGCAGGCGGAGGCAGCGTTTGAAGCGATAGTTAAGGATTCACCGACGTTGAACGGCTGGTTGCGCTACGTCGAGGTCTTGCGCAGCGTTGCAGAGCAGGACGCTGAATTGCGCGACAGCTACGTTGCGAAGGCGCGTGCAGTGTACGAGCGCGCGATTTCCGCTTCAAAAGCCAGCAATGAGAGCCGTTTCTATGTGCTCAAGGCTCTTGTTGAGTTTGAAGAGGTCTATGGAGATGCCATGACCAAGAGTGCGGCTGAAAACAGGCTCCCAGCGGTCGTGAAGCGCAAGGTCGCGGACACGGATGGGAACTACAACGAATACTTGGACTACGTTTTTCCCGACGACGAAGCGATCCAGGAGCAGCCAACAAAGAAGCCCAAGTGGGGTGCTTTCTTGACTAATGCGAAAAAGTGGGCTGCCACCCAGAAGGAGTAAGCCTGAGGAAGTGATTCCGAGGTGGTTAATTGAGTATATTGAAACAATAGAAGTTGGCAAATGTGGAAGAAGCGTATCCAGGTTATAAAAGGGACGGTGGAGGGAGAAATTTAACCTTGTATGAGTAAGGTGAAGTGAATTAAAAGGTGGCCGGTTGGATAAATATAGCATATATTTGGTTCTATTTCTTCGAGTATTAAGAAAGATATCTTCAATGGTTACATAGTGCATCTCGTACAACTCCAGTCTATAAGCTTCATGAAATTATTGAAAGGTACTCATTACCTCTATAGATCTAATCCCTCTTCTTTTGTAGCTCAATTCACTTTAGCAGGTTTTACCATTACCAGACCCTACTTCGAGACACCTAGCTTCACCCCATCTGTACGGGGTTGGGCTCAAAGGCAAAGTTATGGACAGAAGTTATTATGGACCATTGATACGGTGAATAAGCGTAAAGGTTACACTCAATACCGTCCTACAATCATCGTAAGAGATACAGATGAGGTTACTATCTACAATCAGAGTAACGATATATTTTGGTTATTTTCTTATTCTCCAAGAGAATTCCTAAGCTGCGTTAGATCGCGTCGCGGCTTTATGCGCTGCGCCGGTACTGACACGCTGTTATTGCCGGCGTATCTTGTCTCCACAAAACAGCACCCACCATATTTCCCCCTGCCACTCTCGAAATCCCCACGTATCCCCATGTCACAGAACTCAAACACCCTCATGCGAAGGGTGGCCTCCCCCTTCAAGCGTAAAGACTCATCCCTACTCACCCCCGCGGAGAGGCGCTACTCCCAACAGATCGAAAAGGCGCTTGCCTTCTTCGAAACGGTTCTGGAATGGGCGGACTACATCTCATTTCTCCACAAGCTCCAGAAGGCGCTTAGTGGCTTCACTCACAATTGGATCCCGCAATCGTTTGAGGTTGCGCGTGCGTTGGGGCGGTGCCTCTCGCCGACGTTACCTAGCGGCGTCCACGGTAAAACTCTCGAGACCTACGCACTTGCGTTTAACATTTTGGGCAAGGATAAGCTCAATGAGGATATTCACATGTGGCTCCCCGGATTATTACCGTTGATGTCGCATGCGGCGATTGCCATCAAGCCACAGTTGCTCCAGTTGTACGAGCACCAACTCCTTCGGTTAGACGCTCGCAACCTCCGCGCGCTCGCCAAGCCATTGATTTTGTCGCTCTTACCAGGGCTAGATGATGAAGGAGCGGAGAGCTTTGATGCAGTACTAAAGGTGCTTGAGGATTTGAAGGTGCGGATAGACAACGATAATCACTTTTGGCAGTGTCTCTTCTTGTGCATTGTTACCTCTGCCGATAAGCGCCAGGGGGCCCTAGCATGGTGCACCAGGAAGCTCCCAGACTTCAATTTCCAAGAGGTTCAATCCCAAGAGACATCAGATGGTAAGGCATTGGAAGACACGCCATTGAATACCGATATGAAGCCCTCCACCGAATCTGAAGCTTCACAGAGGCTCAGTTTTTTGCCCCATGAAGCCAGATCCTGCGTTTCGCCCGATGTTGGGCTCCTCATTCGTGCGTTTTGTGAGGCACTCGCTGACGACAACTTGTTTGTGCAGCGGGGCTTTTTCGACTTGCTCGTCACCCGGATTGAGCTCCGTTCGGACGTGCTTCAGGTGTTGTGCAGTCCTAGTGACCGCGAAAAGTTGGTCATGAGCGCATGCTCTACTGTCGCGCGGAAGGACATGTCGTTGAACAGACGGTTGTGGAAGTGGCTTTTAGGTCCGGATGAGCCAGAAGAGTCCAAGACGAACGAGAACCCCCCAGAGGGACTGGAGGGATCTACGCTTGACTGGAAAACCCACTACTTCCAGCGCTATGGCCTTGACAGCTTATCCACCGGCTTGCTCAACCTTATCCACGGCTCAAAGACCCGGGGTACTGCGGATTCCCAGAAGACTGAGGCCTTCAGGATTTGTCTCGCCATCATGGACAAGTGGGAGATCGGCCATTTGATCATCCCTCGGGTTTTTCTTCCGGCGCTCAAAAGCTGCCAAGAGGCGTCTCTGGACGTTCTCACCTCCGCTGGTGCGTTGTTTGACGCCATCGAGGCATTTGACATCTGGTCAGACCTCCACAAGCTCGTCGACACAGACTTGACGTTGGTAAGTTTTGCCCTCCAGCACTTCAACGTTGATGACGAGGAAATGATGGTGCAGCACATGCCCTTGCTCTTTCTCCGTCTCCTTGTCAAATGTGAAAGCCTGTGCGACGAGCGTGAAATCGCTCAGTGTTTGGAGATTTGTCAGGAAATGATTACACTTATCCCGGAACGCGCGTTCTTGCCCATTGACGTTGGTATGAAAACACTCACAGAGATTCCCCTGAGCGCCAACGAGACTTCCGCTGAGATCTCCGAATCTTCCAGCGTTTCTGTTTTGCTGAAATTGCACCAGTACTACGCAAGCCAAACCCGTGCGTTCCCCTACACGCATGCTGACCTTACAGCCTCGTTGTTGGACCGGTGTGCAGCCCTTGTAGATACCTATCTCCAGAAACCCTCCCCTCAAGTCTTCCGGTTCTCAGCGTTGCTCTGCGACCTTGTGTCGAAGATCCCGGTAGGCGCCACCCCCTGGCGATGCTACGCGCTTTATGACACAATCAGCAGCTTACCGGAGACCACCTCTGTACCGCTTGCACTTGCGGTGTCCAAGCTTTTTGGGCCAGTCGTAAAGGCGTGCACTGCGACGGAGAAATCGCGCTTGGTGAAGTGCACCCTCGACAAGCTCTGGGACGTGATGCTCGAACACAAGGGGAAATACCAAGTCGAGGCGGTGCGCAGCATCTGGACCATGGAAATGAGCGTGGATTCGCAGTATATCGAGGCTGGACTCTGCGCTTTGCTTTTGAAGGCCGATCCCCGGAGACGGATGCTCGCTATCAACACTTTGTGGACTCACACGGCGCTGCTAGGCGATACAGTGTCCCTCCTCAAGAGACCAATCTGGCTCGTCTTGGACGATTTGGCCGCGCAGGGGACCTCGCAGCGCGATTTGTGTTGCGAGTGGATCCTGACCGTGGTCAATGGCGGTACGGCTAACCGATTTTTCAACGTCATTACTCAACCATTGTTCCATCTCTCGTTCCTTACGGGCGAGACGATCGACGATCTAGAAGCTACCCATTACCACTTGAGCACCGTGGTGAATGTTTTGCGCGTCACCCCGCTCGTCACCACTGCGTTGAATAACGAGTTAGTTACTATCACAGACAATCTTTCGTTGGAGTTCATCCAAAAGAACGACTGGGACGTCTCCACTTACAAGTCGTTGCTCCTCAGCGTATGTTTGAGATTTTTGGCTCTCAGCCCCCCTGAAGAGGCCATCAACGATGATATCTACGGGATGTGCGTGAGGGATGCCTTGGACATCATAGAGCTATTGGTTGATGGTTCCGAGGGCGATTTTGAGAAAATCATCGCGTCTACCTTGCAGTCGGCCGAGACATTCTTTGACGCCGGTGATTCCCAGAAGCAGACGATTGAGGTGCAATACCTCGCGTTAGCGGAGAAAGTGCTCGTGATGGCGAAACACAAACGGTTGCACTTGTTCGGGACTAGCTCCCGGTTGGTGGGGTTTTTGGTGCTGGGCATTTCCAAGGCCGAAGCTTCCATCGTAGTCCACCACTGGGTCAAGCTCCTCTCCGCTTGTTTGCCTTTCTTCTCAGAATCGCTTTTCCTGGCGGTTTTCAGATTGTGCGACTGCTTCTGTCGCAAGATCACGGACATATTCAGTTGCATCGAGGGCGTGCTCTACGGTGTGAGTATGGAGGGTAATCTCGGCGAGGCTGAACGGTCGATTTCCCTTCTTATCAATGGCTTAGAGTCTCTCTTGCTAGTCACCCACCAGAGGTTGGGAAGGCCAGACGAGGCTGGGTTAAATCCTGGCGATACTGGCTTCTTTGGCAGCGTCTTACAGGGAGTATTCCAGTCTGATAACCTTGCGTCAAAAAGTGACGATAATGATCGTCTTAGCTTATTGCTCAGCTTCCAGAACGCCATCAAGGTTTGCTTTGGTATCTGGTTGTGGTCAGAGGAGCGCACGAAGGGGTTCAGCAACAACGAGGTTCTCTCTGGAAAGTATGGCATCAGCCCGCAAGACTCCACGGCATTTGTTGCCACTCGGTTGAAGTTCCGCTGCAAAAAGCTCATGGAAACCTTGAATGCACTCGAACCGTTGGAAACATTGGAGTCTTTGGTGTCGTATAAATCCAGCTCTATAGAGTACGAATCATTGATCTTCAAGATTCTTAACGGACTAGATGGAGGGAAGCCGCTCGTGACCTTCGAGTCGATTTTGCAAACGTTAGGGTCCCATTTCAGCGATGCCCCGTCCTCCTCGTTGCTAAACCCCGATGTACCCGAGACAAAGGTTGCCCATCTTTTGGTGGGTTACGTAGAGTTTCTTGACAACGATGTGGTGGAAGAGCTCTGGCCAGTGGCCTTGGTTTTCTTGAAAGAAGCGTCGGTGCTGGCCAGTTATAAACCGATATACCCCGATTTGTTGAAACTTGTTGCTATTGTGGGCCACAAGTTGCACAAGTCTAGTGATAGAAAGCAGAAACGCGAGATGGCGGATGTTTTTACCAAGATTGCACTTCTGGCGGTCAATCTAGGCTCACGGTCTATTCATTTGGGTCTTGCTGAAAAAGACAAGCCTCTGCTCAGCGAAACAAGAGAACTCTCGCCTGAGCTCGCTTCGACCTCCAACGACAATATGGTCAACTGCATGATTTCCATTCTTCCGTATATTCCCGATCTTTTGACAGATTCTGATAGGATTACCGCTTTCGTCAATTCGGTGGTGAGTGGGTTGGTGCAGCCGGCTTTCAAAGGCAAGTTTGCTGTTTCATCCCAGCTTCTTCGTCTCTTGATTGAGCTCGGATCGTTAAATCAGACCAAGATTTGGAGGCTGGTGGTGTCCGAACTCTTCATGGATGCTAGCTTCTTTGGTACCAACAATCCTGAGTACAGGGAGTTGCTCGTGACGTGGGCCGAGCCCGAGAAGGATGACCGTCTAGCCGACTTGCTCTTCCGGGTGCAACCATACAACCCCAGCTCCACGCTCTTCAACTGGAACGAAGTTGAGATCACCGCGCGCGTGCTTCACTTGAGAAGGATTGTCTATCTTATCATGATTGCCCCCAGGGACTTCTACATGTCCACATTGGATGACCTCATGGTGCGTCTTGCGGAGATCTTCCACTCGCCAACCAAGCAGTTGAAGAGGGATGCCTTTGTCTGCCTCCGAGCGGTATTGTTGAGATTCACTCATTCGCATCTTGTGCAGTACTGGCCATCAATCATTGGGGCGTTGCAGTCGCTGTTCATCGAGGTGATGGACGGAAACGATGACAGCATCGACGTAGTTCTTGGAGCTTGCAAGCTCTTAGATATGCTCATCATGGTGGCACCCGAGGAGTTTCAGTTGTACCAGTGGCTTTTCATCACCGACAACGCCGATGCGATCTACGGCGATAATGCCACCACTTTATCATTGATCGACCGCCTCAGTAAAATGGATATGAACGACAAAACAGAAGAGCTCGAACCGATCCTAGATGTTACAGTGAATGTCAATTCCACAGATCTCGACGCTAAGCGACCGTTATTGGTCGGTGTCCAGCGGGTACGGAGGCTCAGAAACTTGAAGCACTTCTTCGAGGGATTGAGCATTGCGTTCTACGAGCTTGTCTACCGTGGTGGAGAGTTGGATGTGAAGTCGTGCGAAGAAGACGTGTTTAGCGATTTGTTTTTCTAAAGGGATCATGGTTAGTGTATTATAGAGGAAATTCAAAGAAATATTGGATAGATAGATATCACCGAACACTTTGCGTTGTAAAAACCACTCAAGCAAGAAAAAAAATAAGCTTACACGATAGCCCATCAGATTGATTAACTGGCAGACCTTGTAAACTTTATATCAGAACCAAGTTATGTGCTTGATGTCTTACGGTATGTTACAAACCGGTAAAATGCAAACCTAGTTATCACGCATTCATAACAGACCGTGTTGGTTTCATAATGTTTTTTAGGGGATACACCGTGACATGTAAAGCTTTGGGAGACAGGAGATGAAGACGCTAGATGGCACCCCCGACACGGTTCTCAGCCCACCGATTGGATCGCTCCTTTCTTGAGTGGTAGAGGATCCTTGTCTGCTTGTAGTCCCTCAAAAACTGCTGTAGATCTTTCTCTTTCATCTCGTCCTTGTCTTGATGCTCCTCGATCACCGCATCCACCATCAGAAGGGAGTACGCGTTGGCCTCTGCAATTGCTTCGCGCATCCTGGACTTTAAATGGTTTAGGTTGAACCGCTCAAGATTGCGGTACATCTCCAATTCAAGGGATTGCCACGACGCCCGATGTTGGACGAATTCCGGTAAGGCTTCGTCGTTTAGCATCTGGTACCGGGCTCTGAGTGCCAGAAGTCTATCTGCGAGCGAACGGAGCTCGGCTATCTGCTCGTCAATGAGGTTGACATGAGCTGCTTCGTGTTTTGTGAAGGAAGGGTGGGTCTTGACGTACCCACTGAGCAATGTAGGCTCGCTTCTGAGCTCATTAAGACTGTCTCGAGGTAGCGAAGAGAAGTATTTGGGAAATGGTGTCGGGTTTATGGCTGGAGATAGCTGTGTCTGCGTTTTCGGTGGCGAAGCCGTTGGTCCGTTTTCTGGTCTTGGAGGAAGCAGAGGTGGTAAGGACATGGTACACGGAGTTTTGAAAGGGGAGAGTCAGGAATATCAATGATGCTAGCGTTGTATCCACAAGTAGTCGAACCAGAGAGATGCAGACATATGTGCGGGATCCTTTAGTGCACGTGATTGTTCGGAGATCGTCCCTCTTGGCATAGTATGGCATTTACTTGGCTCTGATCCACATATGCCGGTTAAAAATGGCACTTTAACCGTTTTTTTTTTAAATAATATATATGGATATAGTTCCAGAATTACACGATTATGAGTGGTGCGATTAGCGGTCGGTTAGAGCCTAAGCAGCCACGGCGATGCTTGTTTATCTCGTGAAATTAAATCAGGCAACTTAACTGCTAGTGTAATATTGATTCAACCCATTCCATCCTAATCCACTTTATGGTGGCCCGTTGGTTGCCTCCAGACTATAATCTTGTAATGACTCCAGCCATGATATCATTGGTCTATATCACCCGAACCGGCATTCGTCTGGCAGCCGCGCGGGAAAAAAAAAATACCTAGACGACTCACACCTGCACCTTACTGAGGTATGGGGTCCATTTAGTAGCGGCTGCTGCGCGTCTTGACCATCTCTAGTCTTGGTTTTTCTGTAGGATGACTAAATCCTTTCATCACGGATAACCACTCATCCCACGATATCTGTTAAGAGGCCCTTGGAATAATCATACCGCAACATTTACATGTCTCACTCTGTCTCTGATGAAAAGAAGAAACGGTCCCGAAATGGCTGCCACAACTGTAAACGGTTGAAAATCAAATGCGACGAGCTCAAACCCACGTGCTCGTACTGCCAGAAGCGCAACAGCGAATGCGACTACTCGGTAAAGTTGACATGGGGTGGAAGGCCGTTCAAGAAGCCGAGACAAACGAAACATGATTTCTTTCAGGTCGAGCCAGCCAATACCCCATCTGCCGCACCCTGGAATGCATTTGACACTCGAACACCCATCGGACCAAGGACACCGAAGGTGGATGGCCTAACCATGTCCCAATTTCCCACACCGGTCACCCCAATGGCCGTGACTTCTGTAACCCCGGCTCATATCCCCCCAGTTGCCTCATCGCCAATCGAAACCATTGAAGAATCCTCCTTCCAATCGGGGATCTCTAGCTTGAATCATTTGTGGACTAAACTAGAATCCATCACAAACGCGAGCGATGCGCTAAATTTACGCGATTTCGGGGTCCTTGATGATTTACTTACGTCCATGAATGATACAGTGCCCGCTCCGATCGTACTGGAAGCAAAACCGGTAGAAAGCCTGCCGCCCCTAGAACATACCGAGGATAATGCGTACGCGGTGGATCTCGAAAAGGTGTGCGACTATAATAACACGTTTTCTGACGGCCTCAGCTTTAACTTACCGTCGTCCATGGCGCTACGTAACCAGAACAACTTCTATCTGGCGTCCCTTACGCTGCTTGACGACTCGGATGAGCCGTTCACGTCGCTCTTTGATATCAACGACCCTATCTCCTTTTTCCGGTCCATCCCGCCTACCATTAACCCGCTTCCGGAGATTCTCCTCCAGGTGCCATATTACCGCGAGATCTTTCACTTCTACACCGAAGTCACCGCTAGCATGTTGGTGCCGGCCCCAGCCCACATGTATAAGGAGAACCCATTTCGGGTTATCCTTCCACGGATGGCGATGCAGTGTCTGCCAATTCTTTGCGCAATGCTTGCGTTTGCGGCGAAACACCGGTCGATTATCATAGGCCAGGCGGTGCCAGTGGAGATCATCGACCAGTTGATCTCGCGCAGTTTAAACGGATTGATGGCTGCGTTGCGAAACGAATCCGAGAGCAAGAGCGACACCACACTAGCCACTGCCTTGTTGCTTCTCTGCTACGAGGTGTTCTCTCAGAACGAAACCGGCTGGAGGACCCATTTTGTGGGGGCGCGGCGAATCATCCGTTCCCGGAATGGCCACAAGTCGATCACTAGCGAACCGGTCAACAGGGAAGATACCCTTGGGGCTGAGACCCCAGGTGACGTAATGCTCAGCCTTGACGGGACTAGGATGGTAGGGCAGGTGCAACGAAGCTACACAAGAAGCTTAGACGTGCACCGGAAAGTGCACCGAAACCCCCTCAAGCGTGAGAGCAACATCGGGTTCTTTCTCATCCGCTGGTTTGCGTATATCGACGTAATTGGAGGCTTAGCCTCAGCCAAGCCGTGGAGAAATCCGCCGTCCAGATACGTGCCGAATAATGATGATCCCGAGGTTGATGAGGACGACTTTATGACCGACGTCTGCTTGAGGGACGAGACAGAGAATGATATGACGGATTTCGAGGATATAGACCACTTCATGGGGTTTGATATCAAGTTTGTTCCCATCTTGGCCGATATAGTGGCCCTCATATCCAAACGAGAGAACGTGGAGGCAGACGAGATTCTTGGTACGTTGCCTATAAAGTTGGTTACGGAAGCCTTGGAGGCCAAGAGCCGGTTGATGGATTGTTTCGAGATTGGCGAAAAGAAGCGAGAAAAGCGACACCAGAAAATTCTAGAGCTCCGCCGCAAAAAGCAAGAGGAGCGCCAGCAGTCCACCACGCCCCCAGACGTGAATTCCCCCACCACAGCCACATCGGAGGCAACAAAGATCAGCGAAAACGTGTTACGCTCAACCAACCGCGTGTTTGCTTACATGGGGCTCATCAACTTGTACCGTCGTGTGCTCTGTGTGCCTACGGAATCACCAATAATTCAGCAGCATGCGAAAGATATTGCTGACGCCTTCAAGAGCAACATTCCAGCCTGTTCTAACGCCGAAGTCTGCTGTTCGTTTGCTCTTTTTACAGCGGGCTGTGAGGTGATGGACCCAGAGTACCGCATCTTTTTCCAGGAGCGCTTTACCGCCATGTCCAAGGTCGGCAACATTGCCGCGAACACCGCACTAGAGGTGATGATGCAGTGCTGGGAGTCCGGGAAATCGTGGATGAGCATCCTCAAGGAGCAGGATATCGTATTGGTGTTCTTCTAAAGGGTGTAGAGGCCAAGAGATTGCATGTTTTTTTTTTCAGAGACGAAAGGAGTACCTTTAGACTGCCCAGAACTTGTGTATGTATTGTTACAAGCTTGAATGACTGTTTGGTGTATTTTTTTTGCATTTCGGCTATAAGTCATGTAATCTAGTATCGAGTTGTATGAAGGGAGTAGATTTATTAAAGCTCTGGCTTAGCCTTTTTAAGGTGTCAAAATTTCTGAAAATGTCAGTTGCCAGTTTATTTCGATATATGTCTGAAAGTCAGGTATTTTATTTTGCTAAACACAGTAAATGCGCCTTGAGGGCTACTCTGGTTAGCGTTTAGACCTTCATCAGATGGGCCAATATTTCATATTTTTTCCCCCTCCACTCTCTCAGAAAGTTACCTTTCGACCCACGAGTCAAATCAATTTATTGAATTGTATCAATATATATATAAACCACCACCCTTAATTAAACATTTTAGACATGAACTGGTTATTTCCATGGAACTATACTTCTGTCTCACTCGAAGTTGATGTGGCGATCAATTGGAAGGTATGACATCACGTGCTTCTGCCATACACGCCGAGGGGTTCTAACAGAACTCTGCTCAGGCACCTGTTACCCCGATAATCCCAGCACCCACTCTATAGCTTTGGCCATAAAATATTCCAACAAGTTTGAGCACCCTCATATTACCTCAACCATATACAACTTCCTTGATATTGCCATGTTTTCCAGAAAGAAGAGCGATAAAAAAGTGGAGCGTGAGCTCTTGGACATGTTGAACTCGAAGTACAACCGCAACCTCTGTGGGGAATGCAAAGCCGTGAACCCCACCTGGGCGAGCTGGAACTTGGGTGTTTTTCTCTGTGGCAGATGTGCTTCGCTTCACCGAAGACTCGGCTCCGACCACTCTAAGGTCAAGTCGTTGACGTTGGACAGCTGGACAAACAGCGAACTTGACACGCTCGGTTCTATCGGTAACAAACGGGCGTACGACAAGTGGAACCCGAAGGGCGAGCCGTTTCCGTTTGACGATGACGACGACGCCTTGCTCGAGACCTACTTGAGAGACAAGTATATCCGAGGCAGCTTCAGATACGACGAGATCAGTCCCCGTGACTATGATAAGAACGCAAAAGAGACCAGAGGGGAAAGCGGTTCCCGTTCTCGAAGCTCATCCAACTCTGTGCCACGACTTACCCACAACGCCCAGTTGAGTGAGTACCAGAGACAAAAGTACTACCAAAACTTTATCAAGGTGACGAACGAGCTCGGCTTCCGGAACCCCGATGACGATGTCTACGAGGCGTTGCACTTGGCCAAGAATAAGCTCCCTGTGGCGTTGGAAATTCTCGCGAGAGATGGCAGCGAAAAGCCCAAGTTGCCCCAGAGACCAGGCTCCAACGCCTCTTCTCAGGGCAGAACCGGCTCCACCAGCAGTTTATCAGCTAACAACCCTATGCTCGCTAGCATAGCCACCAACAAAACCGGCACTACCATTCCTGACACAACCTCTGCCGAGTGGTGGAAGAGCACCGGCCAAGCACCAGCTCAAGCACCGGCTCAAGCCGATCCATTGGCCAACTTGCAGCCATTTTTGGACCCAGCCACCGGCCTTGTGATCTATATCGATCCTATTTCAGGCCAGCAGTACGTGGATCCTAACCAACAACAGCAGTTCCAAATGACCGGTGCCACATCACTCGGGTTTGGGAACGGTGTCCAGCCACAGAAGACGGGCATAGACAAGAAGGAAATTTTAAGCTTGTACAGTAATCCGACGGGCCAGCAGCAGTTCACTGGTACCCAGCAAAGTCTGTTTGCCCAGCAAACTGGTGTTCAGCCACAAACCTTTGTCCAGCCGCAAACACAGTTTGCTCAGCCACAGCAGACAGGGTTTCCTCAGCAAACGGGATTTCCTCAGCAAACGGGATTCCCTCAGCAAACTGGATTCCAACAGCAGGCGGGCTATTTCCAACAACCTCAGCAGTTTCAGCAAGGCCTGCAGCAGCAGCAGTTCTATCAGCAAAACCAACAGACCGGGTGGCGTTAAGTTTCTCAGGTTTGAACGTTGGTCATATATCACAGTACGTCCTTTAGACTAATTTAACGATGTATGTATATTCATGAGATTGTATTAAGGTCTCAATAGAAGCTCCAATAGAGTATCAACAGATCCAGGTCTCTGAAGGAAGTTCAATCCAGTTTTAGACCTGCGGGCTAATGGATAAAAAATTAGCTAACTTGGGATGGTTTTATATAACGACACCCTGCCTGTTACTACGTTGCAGTTTCTATCAACGGGCTAATCGCATTCAAAATCTGCCAAAGTCTTGACGATTTCGTCTCAATTACTCAAAAATCAGTTTAAACTAAATGGGTGTAAATTGAACATTTCCAGCATGCTATGGACGTTACGCCCGATTCTTCCTCGAAACCTTTAACGGAGGTAGCGCGCCTACCACCTTGGTACCCACACGTAAGCTGGTTACTGAATACGTAGCCCCATGCGGTTCAAGTTTTATAACGCTCTCCACCATATACACCGCCAATCGACCACACCAACCCGAGATGGATAACTTCAGAAAGAGCGTAAGAGCATTTGATGCTTTTCGTAAGTAACGGTTTCCTCCCACTTACCGCAGTACTAACCGTCCAGCCAAAACACAGCCCACGCATCAAGTGAGGTCCGAGAAGGGTGGCTTGTCCACGGTGGTTGTCGTCTTTCTCTCGTTGTTCATCCTCTGGATGGAGATCGGTGGCTTTATTGATTCGGAAATTGACCACCAATTCTCTGTTGATGACAATGTGGTAAAGGAACTTAAGATTAATATGGACATTCTCGTGGCTATGCCGTGTCAGTTCATCCACACCAACGTCTTGGACATCACAGATGACAGACTCATGGCTAGTGAGTTTTTGAACTACGAAGGGATGAACTTCTTTGTTCCAAACAGGTACTCCGTCAACGAACACCGCAACCCGCTCGTCAATACGCCAGATCTCAGCGAGATCATGCGAGACGGGTTAAGGGCCGATTTCAGCGTCAAGAGTTTACGCGTCAATACGGGTGGACCAGCCTGTCACATCTTTGGGTCCATTCCAGTGAACAAGGTTAGCGGGGACTTTCACATAACGGCCAAGGGGCTTGGCTATAGAGATGCTTCGCAAGTTCCATGGGAGGCCTTGAATTTCACTCACGTGATCACCGAGTTTTCCTTCGGTGACTTCTATCCCTTTGTGAATAACCCATTAGACTTTACCGTCCAGACCACGCCCGAAAATGGTGTACTATATTCCTACTTCCTCTCGGTGGTGCCTACCGCGTATAAGAAGTTGGGCGTGGAGATTGAAACCACCCAGTTTTCGGTCAACCTGGTGAAGAAGACTTTTGAACCCATGAGAGGAACTCCGGGGATCTCCTTCAAATACGACTTTGAGCCAATCAAGTTGCATGTCGAAGAGAGGAGAATCCCGTTCTTGCAGTTTTTGTTCAACCTAGCCACCATTTGTTGTGGACTACTCGTGGTGTACGGCTGGGCATACAAGCTTTTTGACCAGGTCATGTCCTTGCTCTTTGGTAAGAAGTTTACTGCCTGGGGAGCCGAACTGACTCCAAGCTTGCTCGATGATGATACGAAGTACGAAAGATTGGCATAGGAAAAAAGTATGAACTATGTACATTAGTGGTAAAGCTCCTTTAAGACGGATATACTGAATATTATCAATATGCAAAACCCTTATGGTAGAGAGAAGCTGTACCATTTATCATATTACTCCATCAAAAGTTATCAATGTTGCGCGACATTGGCATCACACCGAGTAACAAGCATTTCTCATACCGTCATTTTCCAGCCGACGAAATAGCTGGCCCAAAATATCGAAGCATCCTAGAACTAATAGCGTTGCAAAGGGACAAACCAAATAACGTTGCAAAGGAACAAACCTGATAAGTCTTGGGATAATTGAAGAACTATAAAGCTTTTGAAAAATTCAGTTCAAGTGGAAATACTAAGGACTTGCAATGTAGTATTAAAATAGCTTATCCGAAGAGCTAGCTTCCACCATCCCCATCCGTTTCGATGAGTAGGTCTGAAAGTCTGTCAACTAACAGATTCGAAAAATAACAACTACAGAGGTTTATCAAAATAGCCATGCAAGTTAGACTTTAGGGGTATAAACCTATCAGTAGTAGGTGTAATTTCCTTTTCCGTATATTAATTTCCCATGGGTTTTATAGTCAGACGCCTTTACTTAGCAACCTGCACTAAAAGATCAAGCCCATGTCTTGCAAACTGCTAGAACGTACTGTCAAACTCCATGTCGTTGCTAAACGCATCCGCATCCTCCATCGCGACATCCTCATCATCGCTGACAAATGGATGCTTCAACAACGCCTCGGCACTCCACCTAGCACTCGGATCCCACGTCAAACACATGTGCAAAAAATCCAAAAATTTATCGTCGTTGGACATAGGAAACTTACCCGACGACTTGAGCCGGATCTTGGCCTCCAAGCTCTTGGACAGAACGCGCAACCGACGCCCACTCTTGAGCTTTGCGAGCAAATCGGCCTCAAACCTGCCTTGTTCGTCAAACAAGGTGTACAACGGAAGCTTAGAGGTTGATGGGGGTGTGTGAGACTCTCCGCTCCGCCTAGACTTGCTTTCGACGATTGGTCCCTTCTGCTTCAATTCATGCCGGAGACCCAAGATGGTGGCCCTACTGGGCGGGCCAAATACCTCCATGATGCACCCTAACTGGTCCATTTCATCCTCACCGGGGAAGAGCGCGTCGGCGGTGAACAACTCCGCGAGCAAACACCCGAGAGACCAGATGTCGATCTTATCGGAGTAGCGCGCTCCCAAAATTACCTCGGGCGCGCGGTAGAATCGTGATTGGATGTAAGTGTAAGATACCTCGTTGGCAAAGGTGGCGGAGCCGAAATCAATAAGTTTGATGGCAAATGAATCGGGAGACACTACCATTACGTTTTCCGGCTTCAAGTCGCAGTGGATGATGCCGTGCATGTGCAAAAACAGCAACGCCTCGAGTAACTCATGTGTCCACCGTCTGACCACCAGCGAATCGAAGCCCCGGAACTGTGTCGCCTCGATCGCCTGATACAAGTTTACGCACAAAAGTTCGGTCACAATACACATGTGGCCGCGGAAATGGAAGTGGTCGATATACTGCAAAATCGAGGCGGGGGTTGGAGGCGCTGGTTCCTGGACGCGCTGATCGATAGAAACAGCTGTGAACGGAAACGACGGGCTGATGGAGGCCCGCTTTCTCGCCTGGACGTCCACAGGGTCTCCGTTCAAATGCTTCAAGATCTTGATTTCGTACACTGCCTGCAACGACCAGGCCAAGTCATTCTTAATCACTTTAAGTGCAACCATTGCGCCCGGCCGCGATGCGTGGTCCCGGCATCGCAACACGTTTCCAAAGGACCCCATGCCTAATTTGCCCAAGATCTCGTAGCGATAGTCGATGTGGTCCCCCTGATGTGCCCTGTAGTTCTTGGCCGCGTCGTCGAACCCAAAATTCAGTTTGAAGTCGGTGATTTTGACGTCCGGCTTCGCACAATTCACCAAGCCAGTGAAATATACCTGCGGCTTACGGAGAATCTCACCCCGCTCATACACGTTCAAATTCACCGACGAGTTGTCTAGGTAGGCTCCGGGAGGCTGCGGCTTGCGTGGCACCGGCTTGGTCCCGCCGTGGAGCGCCTGCATCCGTCCAGAAACGATTTCCCGTGTGCTGGGATGGTTCATCAACCCGTATCGGAACTCTTCAAGGGTAGAGACTCGTTTCAATGGCTGGGTAACTCTACGATGTAATTCGCGATTCTTATCAATTGTGGTTGTAGGCTGGGCGTATGACGGGATATCGGCGAGCATCTTCGAGGAGGTGGCACGGGGAAGGGTCGGAGCCTTTTTTATGGGCTTTATCTCTCCGTAGATGCTCCGAGGGCGCGGGGCCGGAATACCCAGTTTCAAACAGCTTGACACTCTAGTCTGCGGAACGCGTTTAGAGGTTGACAACACCGGCGACTTGGGCACCGTGAGCTTGGCCGTACTGCTCTGTCTGGGGCCCCCCACTGGCCTATTGGTGCGCTTATAGGATAGCTCGCCGTACAGCTTGGCTTTCCGCTCCGGTGTTTTCTGCTGCGGCAGTGAAACCTGGGCCTTGGGCGGACCTTGGGGCTTTGCAAGTGTGGAGAAGATGTGCGACTTGCTGGCAGGTGATGTTTTGGCTACTTTTACGGGCGAGGCATTACTGCTAGCGTTGTTTTGCCAAAGGGCTTGTCTATCGGTAGCGGGTGTGGTTGTGGCAGCCTTGTATGCAATCTCCTTGGCTTCGTTGTTTGCCCGTTGCTTCGAAGCGGACGTGGCCTGCATGAAGGATGCACTGAAGGTAGAGCTGGTGATGTTTGTGGCGTTGGATGCTTTTAGAGGGGTGCTAACGTGTCTCCTCAACACCGTGTTGGATATTTTTCTTCTGGGGTTGATTACCGGTTTTTTGGTCGTGGGAGTATCATTGGAATGATTGTAGCTTGGATGATACGGGTGGAGATGGCCATTGGGGATAGCACCGCCAGGAAAAGTAACCCCTGCGGGCGACGGTGATGGCGTTTTATAGCCGGAGACCCTGCGCGACGGTAGCAACACCGGGATCTTAGAGTTGGGGGAGCCCTCTATGGGCCTACTGGGCGAGGCGAGACTGGAAGGCGGCGAAGAAGACACCATGGGTGGAAGGTCTCCCACGGCCCGTGGCAACCTGGAGTCGGCACCGAAGGTCAGCGAAGTGCTCTTTCGCATCTTGGAGAGCCCAAACGGTGGCTCGCTTAGTGATGCCAGGAGGAGCTTATTCGTCACGTATGATATTTCCTCCATGGCTAAAACGGAAAATAGAGGCCGTGACGGTATATTAGCTATGCAGGAGTGGCTAAAAAAAGATCTAAAGTGTAAATGATAGAGATGGAATGGTGAAGGTGGAATAATCGGGGGAGATATTGTTTTGGAGTATGCTCCATATACAACTAGAGGGGGGTCAGACCTTGGACGATTCAGCAGAATATGCTGGCCTCTAGGATTCAAGTTAAGATCTCAAAAACTGAGTCTAATATGTAACGTATATTATATACGCGAGCCGATTTGGACCACGATATTGGCTTTATACAAAAGAAATGGTTGACGTTCGAAATGTCAATAGATCGCGGCCTGATACATAATATCGATCTTCCCGTTCGGGCAAATTGTGCGTGTGTGGACCGCCAGATCCTGTCCCACGACATTCGCACCATAATAGAACTTTCCGATTCAATGGTTTCGACCTGGAGCTTGAATGTATCCTATCTATAGCTATCATCTGCAGCTACTGTTATTAAACGGAGAATTATTTTCACTCCATTCATGGATCATATCTAGCATTTTCATCCTTCCCATCCACTCTACCTAATACTCGCATTCCTCATCCTCCCAATGAACAAAACCTCTCCCTCCTACTACGCCACTCGAGACTTGCTAGTGCTTAGCCAGCTCGTTTATGAAGTCCATCCGGCCGAAATCGACTCCGCACATATGGAGATCATTACCCGTCGCTGGGAAACAACTCTTGCCACTCAGCTCTCCGTCAACCAGGGATTGTATCCCGAGACTGGGTTCGCCGTCTCTCCGGAAGAAGTGGCCCAGTTGTACTTGAACTTGCTCGACGAGTACAAAATATCTATGGTACAAGAGGAACCCGAAATTTTAGAACCCACCAAGCCAAAACAAAAGAAAGCGCAGAAAGTGTCGTACACAGAGTTGTTAGCGAACCAGTTGTACGCGAAGCGGTTACAGGAGATTGACGAGGCCTTGGAAGTGGAAACCGAAACTTTCAACGCTGAATTGAAAAAGTTGCAGGCCATTGTGGGGGAGTAAGTGCCATCACAGTTCTAAACCTAGCCCGTGCTAGGGTTGCCTCAACTTCTGGCCTTAGTGTGCAGGAGGTGAAGGAAGGCAGGATACCAGCTACCTCTTCCTCCCGGGATTGTGACAGGAGCTTACTCATCGAAATGAGCCCAACGTTCACGTCGACTTGTGAATACCCAGAGCTAACAGCATATTCTGTTAAAGCCAAGGCTTGTCATGACATCCTAGGCTCTATCCAGACTAGAATGACACATTTGAGGCCGCTAATTCTTCACTTGCTAGTGTGTGAAATATAAGATGTACATATCTCCAGATTAAAAATCTGGAAAAACAACCAATTTTTAAGCATAGGGTAGGGCGCTGCTGAACGTCTGTGAAGCAGGCTATTCTTGGTCTTCAAGTCTGTTCCGGATCCTATTTGTACATACACGACTATACAGTAGATTGTCTCTTAGTGGAACATTTGACGTTCGTGATCACGGTAATATGGAGGAAACGTCTGGCAAATGAAGGATCCGCTGTAACCCGCCAGTCTTTCTGTTTATTTGCAAAGATAAACTGACTCATACACCCGTGGATCCCTGCTAACCATACATTCCTGTATGCTATGCTTTTCGTATTTCCTCACCACTTCACACACATGTGATCTCAGCTCCTTTTCGCTGAATGCGGGGCACGATACGAGGTAAAGATAAAAACACCTTCCTACAGGTTTATACCGCACCACAGAGCAACTACAGACACATACTCTGTTTAAAACACATCTTCAAGGCATCCCCCTATTTCAAACCTGATTTGGCAAATTGTATGATGGCCAATATTTCCACCATCCTTGAACCTCTGTCTCACCCTCTGTTTACTGTGCAGGATACCGCCCCGCCTTCTCCCCCTCTTCATTTCTATCACATGCGTTTTTGTTCCAGCGCATCCACGCGCTGATGACAGCAAAAATATAAATACTTCTCTCTCCGCCTTTTTCGCATACCTATACCTCTTAGCCCAAATTATCTCACCCTTTTACACCATACACGTATAGTTTATTCACTTAGCACTATGAGTAACAGCAGATCGGCTTCGGCCGCCCCGTTCCTCAAGTTCTACTCGCAGCACCGGCAGAAGTTGATGAACATCTCGCTCTGCGCGCTCCTCATCGCTGGTGTCTCCACCGCAACTTCTTCCGAACCCGCGGCCAAGAAATCCAAAGCATTGGAAAAGGTGTCTGATAAAAAAGATAAACCTAAGCCGCACTTGCGCATTTCCAGAGCCGGGTGGTTGCGCCTCATCAAGTCCTCCATCCCCAGCTATACCGACCCCGCAGTATACTATTTTATTCTCCATCTCTTCGCTTTGATCGCCAGGGCGTTCCTCTCCTTAGAGGTTGCCTCGCTCGACGGTAAGCTTGTGGCGGCGTTGATTTCCAAGAAGACCAAAAAGTTCTTACGGTTGTTAGTCCAGTGGATGCTTTTGGGGATCCCGGCGGCGATCGTAAACTCGGCCCTTCACTACTCCCAGTCCTCATTGGCCAAGTACTTGCGGGTGAATTTAACCACGAGCTTGACGGACGCGTACCTCCCAGATAACTTGGAGCCTAATTACTACACGTTGATGACCCTCGACGGGCGGATCAGTGATCCAGACCAACGCATTTCCACAGACGTTGCGCGTTTGAGTCGTGCCGCGGCGGCGTTGCCCGGCCAAATATTAAAACCCACCTTGGACTTGGTGCTTTGTGCCGGCCAGTTGTTCAACACCGGGGTGGGCGGAGCCGAGGGGACCGTGGCGCTCGGGTTGCTCACCCACTTCTCCTCCATCTTACTCAAGTTTGCGTCTCCTTCCTTTGCCAAGTTGGCCTCGGAGCGGGCCCGCTTGGAGGGTGCCTTGCGCTCCACCCACTCCAAGGTCGTCACCAATGCCGAGGAAATCGCCTTGTTGCGTGGCCACGAGCGTGAATTGGATACCCTTGACAAGGCTTACTACGAGTTGGAGCGCTTCAGTAAAACCGAATACAAGAAGCGCGCGGTCTACGACGTGGCGCACGATTTCATCGTGAAGTACACCTGGGGTGCGGCCGGACTCGTTCTTTGCTCCGCGCCTGTCTTTGTGAACAAGTATTTGGGACATAAACAGATTGCCGAGACCGTTTCCGCGCAGTTCATTACCAACAGAAGATTGCTCGTGAGTGCCTCTGACTCGTTAGGGCGCCTTATCTTGGCAAGAAAGTTTGTGGCGGAGGTTGTGGGTCACGCCTTTAGAGTGGCCGAGTTCCAGGACATTTTGACCGCCATCACCAACGGCGAGAGTGCCGAGGGGAAGAAACCAATCCAGGCAAACGGGAAGCCTGTGGTGTACGATGACCCAATTATGGATCCATCGTCCAAGGGGACCATCAAAAACTCTTCAGAGGAGATTGGGTTCTACGGCGTTCCGCTCATCACCCCTGCCAATGTCGCACTTACCAGATCGCTCACCTTCAGAGTGAAGCACGGCCAGCATTTGTTGATTGCCGGGCCTAACGGCTGCGGTAAGTCGTCCTTGTTTAGAGTTCTCGGTGGCTTGTGGCCGGTGAGAGCCGGAACGCTCATCATCCCAGGCATCGATGACATGTTCTACTTGCCTCAGAGAGCGTACCTCTCTCGCGGAACCTTGCGCGAACAAGTGGTCTATCCGAGCACCATCGCAGAGTTCCGTGAAAAGGGCCACACTGACTCCCAGTTGCTTGAGATCTTGAAGGTGTTAGACTTGGACAACTTGATCACCGAAAACATGTCGCTTGCGCTCAACAAGAACATCCAGGTGAACCCATGGGACTTGGTGAGAGACTGGCCAGATGAGTTGTCTGTTGGTGCCCAACAGCGTCTTGCCATGGCCCGTTTGTACTACCACAAACCAAAGTTTGCCGTTTTGGACGAGTGCACCTCTGCCGTGTCTCCGGAAATGGAGCAGTTCATGTACACACACGCCCAGGACTTGGGAATTTCGATCCTCTCTGTGGCCCACAGAACCGCGTTGTGGCACTTCCACGACTTGTTGTTGAAGTTTGACGGCAAGGGGGGGTACTATTTTGGCAAATTAGATGCCACCGAGAGATTAAAGTACGAGGACGAACGTTTGGACTTGGACAAGAAGTTGAGAGAGGTTCCATATTTGAACGAGCGTTTGAAGCAGTTGAAGACTGCCCAGGTTTCGCAAGAAGTCAAGAGAACGAACTCATCGTTAAGCTTGATGAAGTTGCACGGTGCTAGTAGTGGGAACTTGAAGAAATTGAAGGGCAAGTCTCACTAACTGAAAGTGTCTGTTCGACGTTCCTCGTGCACCTCAACGGTCTTGTGAGGACATGGCATTTGCTTTGATAGATCATATATATTCCAGGTAGTAATTTGATATGTTAATTTCACCTAGAGTTGTAGGGTAGATTTTAGGCCGGATGTCCTGTCTAAAATCGGATCTCGTTCAAATCACTTACATGAACTTAGTTCTCAAACAAGTCGGTATTTTGGTACATGCGAGCATTCAAAGGGGAGTTAATGTCCATATCAGCGAAGCCGGGATAAGTCATCTCTCCGGCTTACTTCACTCCTGAAGCTACACTAGTATAGTCTATGGGTACAATAATTGTGTATTTACATATCAAAGTGGTTATACCGCCCAGAATCAAGTCTATGCGCTGGCTCGTTCAGGGCTATAAAAGAAGCATGAAAAAAAGGCACCTGGAGCAGAGGATACAGGCGAAAAGGTTCGATTATGAAAGCAGAGAATAACCGACAATGGCCCACCTCCAGAGGTCTTAGGAAAGCTAAAGACACCGGTGTATACCAATGGCATCCACAAGTGATGGCTCTTAGTCTAATTCCTTGACAGACAAGAACTTAACATGTCCTTCATCAGCCCCTTCGCCTTGCGTCAAGTATCTCTCGCAGATTGCGTCTCTATCAACAATCCCAAGCTGAACAGCGTCTCCGTAGAACATGGCCGCCTTCTGTTGAGAGTATCGGATATAACTGAACGCATCGTCTGAAGACTCGGTAATCTCCACCTCGGCTCCTTGGTCATCTCCTTCCTCCGTTTCGGTACTAAACTTGTAAGTCCCCAGGAATCCCTCGCCGGTGGCTGCCTCTGGCGTGGGCGTAGGCTTCCACGGCCCATTCTGGACAATCCCCCACAAGCACCAATAGACAGAAACGGTACCCCTCCACCAGATGGTTTCGTTAAACAACTTTTTCGTGGCTGCTTCATCTGGCCTGGTGGAGTCGGCAGGATCGGTGGCACGGCCGGAAAACTCGGTATAGACACGGAAAAAGTTCAACTGCTCTTCGGTGGTTGGGTACTTCCTTTCGTCCAAGTAGTGGGAGTTAGTGGCATCAAGGTAATCGGCCATCCATTCGCTGAAATGGTTGGCGAATTCGAAAGGCGGACAGTTAGGGCCAGAGTACTCTAAATCAATGACCACCAAGTTGGAATGCGAGGCTGCGGCAAGCTTATCCGAATCAAAGTCAAGCGAAAGTGATTCCATCTTTTCGATCACCTTAGCAACCTCAGTCTTGGAGTCCTCCAACAAGCTGCTATGCAAAAGCAAGTTTCCGTACTGGGTGTCGTTGTGGCAGAAGCACAAGACCTCCCGTGGAAACTCAGCCTTGCCGTACTTGTTCATCAACCAGGTTCTGTACGCTTGCACATTCTTCTTAAAGGTGGCAAAATTTGTGAGGAGAAAGTCGGCTTCGGAAACGTCTGGGTTGGCTTCATAAGATTTCACTACCTCCTCCGCGAGCGGAAACCACTTGTCAATCAACGCCCAAGACATGGGATGCGTGTCCTTGGCCTCCAACTCCATGTTGACATGCAACTCCTTCATGCGCTTGGCAATCATCTGCGAGATGTACTTGTTACGGAGCTGGTCCTTGTTCAAGGTGATGAACCCGTCCAAAAACTGCTCAAACCGCCCATTAGTGAAGGTTCCCAAGAGACGCGGGCCAATCCGCTTACTCGAGAGCCTCTTTAAAATGATAAGCTCCGCCTCTCTGTCGATGATCTCATCGACGTTCTTCCCATACACGCGCAAGAGCAACGCCGGACACTCGTCAAGATTCAACTTGTAAATCGAGTTGGTCAAGGCACCGCTGATTCGGTTCACCTTGATGCGCGACGCAGCAGATTCCGGGAGCTTGTGCCAGTGCTTGATACGCAACGCCTTGACAATGATCATGATCTCCTCCTTCATGAAGTCCAATGGCAAGCTGTTGTCCAAGTTAGCCTTAATGTGCGGCACTTCATCGACGCTCCCCGAGCTCTGTCTGCTTAACGAGGGTCTTCTCGAGTGCGAACGGCGTCTGGGGACTTGTTTCACCTGGTTGGAGGAAAGCAGGGGGGTCAAAACCGGTCTGATGTTGGACCGTGATCTAGAGCGGGACATCGACCGAGAGCGGGATCTCGGTTTCTCGGTAGCTAAGGTGTCCATTATGTTTTAGTTAGGTTTCGTCTGATTTTGGGTAAAAGAAGCTCAGATAACTGGGATATAGAGTTTGATGGTCCAAGAATTTTTACCTGCGCTGCGAATGTAGGATGAGCTCATCACATGTAATTTCTCGTTGCTGTACAGCTCCAACATTTTCCGGTGGTCTGTGCAGGAGTTTCTGTTACTGTCTCGTGCGAGCCCACTAATGTTGACTCGAAACCGATTGTCGCCGTGGTGCATAGATCGCCTGTAGGTCTAAGATTTTTTACAAAAATAAACTTCTGCTGTTTTCGTAAACTTGCCAATTAAAACAAGTAGATTCAATCTGGGCTGGCTACTAATTGGTTGTTTTGGTTAGAATGATGAGTTTGATTTCACTGATGTGCTCCTACAAGACTGGCAGATAACCCGAGGAAAAATTGGTTCGAGCAGATATCAACACTGTATGATAAGCGTTTCTTGGCGTACAGGCCCATATGAAAAATTAAGGGGAGAGAGAGGTGTAGATTAATCTTGGTGTGCGCAAAAAAGTCTTACTGGCTTCAACAGTAAAACATCAGGTATATTGGTGTATCTATATTAAGCGTGGGGCATCCTTCGCTTAATCTTTTCCAGGGCGAGCTCGTCGTACAAACATGATATGTTTTCCGCTCGTAACCCTATGAATTTAGCACGAGATGCAGCATCCTGCTGGGAATCTCCAACTACGTCATCCACAACAGTCCCCATGCTGATGCACAAAGACAAGGTACCATACGGGCGATACTCCGAGTCAGTTTCTTACTACGTGAAGCCGAAGAACAAGATTCTCAGGAATTCCCAGCAGCTCCAAAAAGGTAACGCCCTTGTGGGTTTAAAAGTTAAAAAAAAAGAAAAGAAAAAAAAAAAAAGTTAATCTCCCTTGAATATGAATCTAATGCCAAAACATATGCCCGATGACGTATGTTCTAAGTGGGTACAAGAGTCTTTCAGTGGCTTGATTTTACTTGCAGGTTTCTGTTTCTTGTGCGCTTGACTCGGGTTTCTTGTCAAAACGTATGACGCACGGAATACTCGATTGGTGATTCAAAATAACAGCGTTTTGATCTATGGCAAATCGCCTAAGAATCGTGTGGGATATACTCTTAGTGTGGCAGCTGTATGCGTAACCGAGGAATGATTGTACAAACACATAGTTTTTCTTGCCAACTGCACCATAGTTCTTGAGCGTACATCCATGAAAGTTTATGGAGCTCCCAATATACATAACCATACTGATTCACCAATACTGCCTCTATTTGTAATATTTCAAGCCTTTACTTGGCCATTGTTAGCTTAGTTGAAGATGTACTAAATCCCTTGTGGCGGGAGTTCCTGTATACATATCTCGGGATTTTTCGGCCGAAATTTCAACAGGTGAAATATCAACCGAGTGGTATCCAGTGCCTATCCTTATTCCTGCGCTAGGTACTCAGCGAAAGAACGGCCTTAACCAATATCTAATGGCTACGCCGTGAAATTGTGGCATTACTTCAATCGCCGTGCTTACCCACTCCTGAGTATCAAGCGTATCTTGGATTGCTTTCGATAAGTCTACTGGGTTGGTCTTACAAACTAGATATGCGCAATGATGGAATTATGACTTTAAAAAAGATAGCAGGAAGAGGGAATTTACAAAGAGATGTATAATAAATATAGCAAGGGGGGGTGGGATCCAACTGATGAACTTAGGCCAACAACATCCTTCTTGGGTCCTCAATCAACTCCTTGACAGTCTTCAAGAAGGTGACGGCTTCTCTACCGTCCAAAACTCTGTGGTCGTATGTCAAGGCCAAGTACATCATTGGTCTGATCACAACCTGGCCCTTGACAACCATGGCTCTCTCAGTCACACCGTGCAAGCCCAAAACAGCAGTCTGAGGCATGTTGATGATTGGGGTACCGAACATGGAACCGAAAACACCACCGTTGGAGATGGTAAAGGTACCACCGGCCATGTCTTCCAAGGTCAACTTACCATCTCTGGCCTTCTTACCCAAGCCAATGATTTCTTGTTCAATTTCCAAAACAGACAAGGACTCGGCGTTGCGGACAACTGGGGTAACAAGACCCTTTGGAGTAGCAACAGCGATGGAGATATCGACGTAATCTCTGTAGACAATGGTGTCGTTGTTTTCAATGGCAGAGTTGACACCTGGGATTTGCTTCATGGCCACGGTACAGGCCTTGGAAAAGAGACCCATGAAACCGAACTTGACACCGTCACGCTTGATGATTTCGTCCTTGTACAACTTTCTCATTTCCATGACGGCAGACATGTCAACCTCGTTAAAGGTGGTCAAGGAGGCTGCGGTATTCTGGGACTCCTTAAGACGTTCGGCGATTCTCAAACGCATGCGGTTCATCTTGACACGCTCTTCGGTACGGGAGAACTTGCCAACTGAGGCCTTCTCAGCCGGAGCGGCGGCAGCAGCCTTCGGAGCAGCAGCCTTTGGAGAGGCGGCTGGAGCAGCGGCCTTTGGAGCAGCGGCCTTTGGAGCGGCGGCTGGAGCGGCGGCCTCCTTAGCTGGGGCAGCTTCTTCCTTGGCAGCCTCCTTTGGAGCAGCAACACCCTCCGGAGCGGCACCTGGCTCGATCTTCAACAAATCCTGGCCAACCTCGACAGTATCGTCGGCGGCACACAACAATTCAGTGATAGTACCTGCTACTGGGGCGTTGACTTCAACGTCAATCTTGTCAGTTTCAATGGTGGCGATGGTTTCATCCAAAGCAACGTAGTCACCAACAGCCTTGGTGTACTCCTTCAAGGTACCCTCAGTAATGGACTCGGCCATCTCTGGGACCTTGACAGTCTGGGAAGCGAATCTCTTGAAGATGGCGATGGAAGATGGAGCGACAATCGATCTTGGGACGGCAGAGAAGGTTCTGGTAGCATTGAACACAGAGGCGACAGCGACTCTGGTAGAGGCGGTTGTGGCAACAACTGGTAAACGTCTGGCGGCAAACTTGAGGTTTCTGGACAACATTGTGTGAAGTATGTGTTAGAGAGTCAAAAAAAAATAAGTATCTAACGGGTTCAATTGCTGACTGTTCGTTTTTAAAGGAGGTTGGAATCGGAAATGCACAAAATTCTCTGACAGTTGGGCTGTCTTCCGGTTACATGCAGGATGCTTAGACGCAGTATTTACCTCTGTTGATTGGCTAAGCGGGAACGGCTGTCCGAAGCCAAAGGGGGCACGTGATGCAACACGCTCTGCGATGAAGCTGTCTCCAGCAACACAATAGTTATAAATAGGTTTAGGTATTGAGTTAAAGTATATTAGAGGGAAAATATACCCCTTTGGGCGGTATTTCACTAATTTTTTCGGTTCCTTAAGGTCGTAGTTGTTTGTCTTGAAGAGCCTAAATTAGGTTCACCACGAGCAGTTTCCCCCGGGGATGCCGCATTAAGGCGTTTTCGGGCGTTGTGCGTCAGCAACTCCGACCACGGCCCTACGCGTACACCAAAAATCAGGGGCAGCAGCTACAAAATCGGGAGCAACAGTTATAGAGTGATTTTGGCAAAAGAGAGACCATCAATTCAAAAAAAAAAAATCTCACAATACACTTAGCTCTACTATAGAATCTTTTGTGTTCACTATGTAGATACAACAATATGGGGTGAAGCTAGTCTTGTGGTTCTGGAATTTCTCCGTGCAGGCGGCGGGTAAGGAAATTCTCCGGGGTTCTCGCACATGTTACCCCACGGCATGTCGCATATACCCGGGTAGGAGAACTAATGCCGCGAGTATGCAATTATACGGATGTATCCGCAGTATTTTACTCTGTTTGACATCATATGCTGATGAGTTAGAATGGCCGCAAAGCTACCGCGGGCTTCTAGAAGCCTGTGTAATATGTTATCGCTGAGTTTGTTAATTTAAGCCATTCACTCATCAATGGCATCATAACACGGCTGGGCTAAGACAAAGCTGTCTTACGGAAAACCAAGCTGTATGCCCAGATATGTTTTAAACGTGTTAGACACTATGACCTAGTCATTATGCCTGCTTATTCGGAGCTAGTGATTAATATATAAACATACGCCGGAACCTCTGGCTTGTCCTTCTATCTTGAGTACTATACACTTCCCCTCCTACCACTAAGCCTTGGCTCCAGCCAACACTGGTCTACAACGCTCAGATAGCGTACTTATATAAACGTTCACTTAAATTCCTTGTTAGGATATAAACATGCAGGGATTGAGTTCATAGAATGAGTCTACATCTATTCATCAAATTCAGACACTTATATTCATTCAGTTCAGATACTGCATTCATATTGTCGTAACATTTTATCTTGGTACACAGATCAATCACAGCATTAAAGCTTACTCTGCTCTCACAGTAGCCTCGTATTCTTCACTGACCCTACAATTTCTTACTATCCCACACATACACCATCTCGTCCCAGCCAGTGCTGACGCACCAGCCGGGCTCGCCCCACATAGACCAATCGCAGCCAATGACAAACTCACGGTGATTGCCAAAGACACCAGTGCACTGCAGTGGCCCCATGCGCCGCGCACCTAAGAAGCGCGCCTTGTCGTCCATGTGGTCCTGCCACACGCGGCAGCTCATATCGTACGAACATGACAACAAGGAGGCACCATCGTGTGGGGACCATGAAATGCGTCTGACGGCGAATTCATGTCCCATGAATTGGTTTAACGGTGCTGGAGACGCGTTGTGGAAGGAAGGCATGGGCGCCGACGCCGAGGGCTGTACCGACTCGATCATGCGTGTGTCCCACACCTTGACGCTCTTATCGACCCCGGAAGATGCGATTACCGCTGACCGGTATTTATTCCAGTCGATCGTAAGCGTCTCCAGTCCACCATGCGCTACGTAGTCCAACTGAAGCGGGTGTGGTGCACGCAAGTCCCAGATCATCACATGTGAGTTCGCGTGGGCAGACACAACCACGCTCGGCGAGTGCGGTGAGAAGACGGCCTGGTAGATACACGTTTGCGTAGTGTTTGTGGTGGTTTTATTGGACAACGGAACCGCAGGGCCCTTGGCTGTGGCCGCCACCGGGGACGCCATTGTGGTGTAGTCAACCTCGGGGGATAACGTCAAGAGCGACTGCTGGCGGTTCGGCAGCCAGATTTTGATCGATCCATCCCAGGACGCTGACACAAAATTGGTTTTGTCCACCATATTCCAGTTGACACTGAACACCTCACGCTGGTGCTCGTGCCAATTCATAACGGGGAACTGGCCCACTTGAACATCAAAAAGCTTGATGGACCCATCCCCGGAGGCAGCCACACACTGATTTTCGTGGGTTTCGGACCACGCAATATCAAAGAGTCCGTCCTGGGTGTCGTAGTGTGTGTCACTGGAGATGGAGCCGTCGTTGTTGATGGAAAGGATGTAGAGACGACCGTTCCCAACAAGCCCGTAGTTGGCGGCCGTCGCGACGGCGAGTTTATTGTCATAGAACGGGGAGTATTTGACCCCGTAGCCATTGTAGCCAGTGGTTCTAAACGAAAGCATGGGGAGATGAAGTGTTACTGATATGCGGTGAGAACTAGCTTTACGAACTGAGGCAACGGGTTTTTAGCTCTATTGGTGCCTCAATGGATTGGTTAATGGATAGGGAATGGTCAACCGGTCAGGATTCCAGGTTGCAGATGCGGTTCACTAAACAGAAAACCAGCTTTAGTATCCAAGAATGAGAGCCAAAGCTATGGAACGTGCCGGGAAAGCGAGATGGGGGGGTTATCCTTAGAGGAAGAAGTTGGGGGTGTAAACAAGTATCGACAGAATTATCACCTGTATAAGGGAATACTAGTGGAGTTTGCTAGCTCGGGTATATTAGCAGCGTAAGAAAATTCTTGCTTCCTTAAAGTAAATGCAAAACTGGAGCGAGGAGAACATGTGAAAACCTCACGTACGATTTTACTATGAAACCCGCGGCGCCCCGCAACCGTAGCCTGCATGGACAAAGGCAGCCCCTGCCACGTGAGACGTGCGGCGGTGGGTTAAACACGACTCATAACGCGAACAAGTTGACAATATTATCACAATGTTTGGCGTCAGGGCTGATCTAAGGCAACAACGACACGCCGAGCTACCTGAAACCTCCCCTTTGTTTCTGGATCTTCAGACTGCATTTTAAAATTCCCGGTCCTGGTTGTATCGAAATTACGGGCTTCTTTATTTTTTCCAATACCCCCTTTTGTCAAGTCGAGACCGCGCTGTCTCCGTCAAGCCCGTATCCTGCTTGTACCATATCTTGATTCATATCCTCGTTTTGGTTGGTTTTTGTTGCCGCAATTAGACACCAACTTCTCCGCCCTTCAATTCCTAGTGAAATAGTGTGCACCTCCCCTTTATGCATGGAAAGAGCTTTTGGTACGCCAGTGCTGCCCAGCAGCGGCCCAACGACTTCATTCCCGGTAGTTCCAAATGGACAGCAAACACATTGAAAGAGCTCCATTCTCTTGTCCAACAGAGCGAGAAGGTACTTGCGCATTCGGTCAATATGGAGTTGGCCTGGTTGAACGAACAAATCTTTGAGGCAATTCAAGAGGAGTCTCATAATAAATCCCCTACCCCCCTTGTCCTACTCACATCGCCGAAAAAGTTCCAGCGAGAGGATTCGCCAATACGGGACTACCGGAAAAACATATTGGCTATTTCGCCGGTGAAGATACCCCTGCTCGTGGACAAGAAACCCCCCCATCCAGACTCCGACTTGAAAAGCTCGTTATATACAGAGAGGGACTTGAAAGAGGCCCTTTTCCGGGAAGACCCGGGGAGCTCGCCCCTGGTTGCTGTATTAGTGCCCCAAGAACCTGATTTGAACCACAAAAGCTCCCTTTATAAAGACACAGACGTCGATACACACTCCGACGAAGACCTTTCCTTTAACGCCATCAGCAGGGCAATTCGCAAGAGTATCGCCCGGAAGTCGATCGTTGCACACCCCAGTGTACATGAATTGTCGGAGAGGGGAGACACCAACACATCGGAGGTATCGAATAAGGGTAGATCCGAAGTGGTCACCTCCCGCGATGTCGAATCCTCAGGAAACGCAACCCTCACGTTGGCTGAGCCCACCAAGTCTGTCGAATCTGTCAATGCTCAACGACGCGAGAATAAGAAGTCGACCTTTGGGTTTGTGTCGTTACCGTCACGAAATCCCTTGTCTGTCAAAAAAGCTGCTGATGCTAAGCCCGATTTGGACAGCAAGCCAAAGACTGTCAATGATAAGATTATGACTGATTCTGGAAAGAATGGGGAATTGAAACCGCCCAGAACCGATACAGACTTATTTGCCACCATGGAAATATCCCCCGTTGCAAGCGCTGACCCAGCTACCCATAGAGATCTCTCTCCATTAGCCGTGTATAAGCAAGCTCCTGGACTAGCTAAAGTGGACCTCAAAAAGATGCAAAGTCTTTCACCGGTAAACAGACCTGATGTGTCAATACAAACCGAACAAACAGATGAAGAATGGATCCCCTTGCCTGATCCGTCCCCGGTCAAGCCAAGGCTACAGCTGCCTGTTGCCTCTTCCGAGACACCAGTAGTAGGAACGGTCCTGGAAATACCGAAGCTCGAACGGATAACGAGCCTCCAAAACCCGCCTTTGTTATCTCATGACAGCAGTAACAGCGTTTCTGCGATCGAAAGCGATATCGATCGGAAATCGTCGCCAATGGCTACCCTCCTTGCCTCTGTCGGCTCTACCCTCAGACGTGCTAAGGACTTGCTCTCCCCGCGAAAGCTTCAGAGACCATCATCGCCATTACGAAACTCGCCTTCGAAATCAGGACGAGTCACCAAGCCGACTGTGTCTGTGAAACCGGAAAGAGGGTCCTTTATGCTCCCCACCACCGCCTCCCAGCTTCGGAGTGCTTCTAGAGGTGTACAGAATGACTATAACGGAAGTCCACTTTCACGTCGCAACGGCAACATCGGAAATGGTACTGGGTCCAACCGCCTAGTGGCCACAAACTTAAAGACCGTGAAGGCTCCGGTGTTTAAGCCCATGACATCTACGACCACTTTGGCGGCGCCAAGAACTGCCCACGAAGACGATTCTCAAGGAGCATCGCCTCTTAAACGAGTTCGTGGCAGTGCAAACGCCAGCGGCAAGGTAAATGAGAGGCAAAAGAGCAGTGCCACCAGGGCAGATCCAATTTCACACCATGAGAATATGTTTCTAGCTACTTCTCCGGCGGCAAAGGTCTCAGAATCATTGACCAAGACTCCGTTGTTGGCTCAGCCCAAAAGCCTGAAACGAGTGTCCTTGTTGAACGACTTAAGGCCACCGGTGAAACCGCAAACAGTTGTCAAAGTCCCTATGGCTGCCAAGCGGGAGTATGACCGTAAACAGCTAGCTTCCTCCAAGCCCAAGGAAACACTTCCACGGTCTGCATCTGTGCCGCAGCCTGACGTGCACGAGTTGGTCAAGCCTGCGAGGAAGCAGCCTCGGATCATCCCCTTAAACCGCAAGTCTCCGGCTTTCCTAGAGGCTAACAAGAATGTCGCCAAAATCAAGGCTAAGATGCAGGTATCGGAGGTTGCCGCAACAATCGTTGAGACTGCCGATAACGTATCTCCGGCTGAAGCAGCGAATGGGTCTAAGAAGCGCAAAACCACTGAAGCTGTATCTCTAAGTATGGAGACGCGTGCGGTCAGAACGTCCAATGCAAGAACTGAGTCCCAGAGGACAACGCCTGTGGTCTCCAAGACCAGCGACTTCTTCAAGCCATCTATGGGTTTACAGAAAGGCAATGGCAGCGGTGTCCATAGCAAACTTGTGGGTGAGATGAGTAAGACTGAGCTGGCCAAAACTCGCACGCTGCTGACCAGGGTCTCGATTCAGGCAAATGGCGTGATTCCTCTCCCCGAAATCTTCTCCGAGTCAGAGGACGACGAAGAGGGATCAGTGTTGAAAGAATGGGCAAAGACCCCTGAGTTGAACAAAGTGTTGCTTAGCCAGCTTCAAGTGGACCCGGATAAAGTGTTCGGTCCGATTGCTCCGTTAAGAATGGAAGAGATTTTCAACTCCAATCTCTCCCGAATGCGTGCCCGCAACTCGTCTAGTTGGACTGGTCAGGATAAGTTGACCCCTGACGAGATTGACGAGTACACCAAAAATATGGGGTACAAAAATGGGAAGCCCAGTTAAGGTGATAGTATCTCAAGTGACACCTCGATAGACGTATGTATGGGTTAGCTGCCCCGTGCTGTTTCTCGCTTTAAGTTTCCTGGGAAACTCCAAACTGTTGAGACTTGAAAGGGTGTGGTGCAGGCACAAGCTCGATGATCAGCTCTTAACTACACTGAAGATGAAACAGATGACTAAATAGATCAAAAGTGCATACATATATACGAAGCGGCATAATCGTCAGATTTCAGCACGGTAGAACCTATCTGGGGGTATAATAATGAGCGGCATTGGTGTCAACGCCCGGCTGTTTGTAGTACAGAGTACTCAGGTTAGAGGGGCTGAATGGGGTGTTAAATGTAGCCGACACCGGCGGGGCAAAGTACTGCTGTTGGGGTTGGAACCTGGGGTCGTCTAAGTGAGGATCCTGGTGTAGATTGCGCTGACGCTTTGTTTGTGTAGCATTGCTAAACGGAGCGGTAGCAGCGGATCCCTTGATGATTGGCTGGTTCGAGTACTCATTCTTCTCGATGATCAAAAAGTTACTGGAACGCAAGTACGCCACAACGATCTCAATGGCGTCGTCCAAGTTTTTACGCTTCTCCGGGTAGCATGACAAGAGAATGCGGTGGAACGGCGGGTTCAGCGAATCCAGAGAGTGCTGAATCTCGCCGTTGGCCGGCTTGGCATCGTAGCTGGAGTCGTCAATCTCTGGGCTCAAGAACACCTGCACCTCAATGTCAAAGAGTAATCGCAACGGAAGGATGACGTTCCTGGTAAATTCGGTGTTCTGATACTCGCCAACGGTCTCAATGAACTTGGGGGAATATGCAATCTTGACTTCGTAGTCTTGGGGTAATGCGTTACATAGTAACCTTGCCGCCTCCTCGGAACTGCGATGCAAACCACGAATCTCCACGAGCTCAATCTGGTGCGACGGCTCAGAGGTGGGGAAGTTGATAAACGTGTTGGTTGTGGTTTCGATCTTGCGGATGATCGTCGAGGAGGTGGGGACATCCGTGTTATCGCCCTCTCGCTTGCTTAGTAACAACCTGTAGTGGTTGCGAAAGAGCCTGAAATATGTGGAATAGTGCAAGTCAGACTTATAACAATCAACCAAGCCCAACAACTCTTTCTCAACGTGAATAATGTTCTTGGAGTTCTTCATTGGACACTTGATCATCACGTTGGCCTCACGCCTGAAACTCAACGAGGACAGGCTTTCATTGATACTGTTAGAGTTGGTGAATTTGACGAAAACATTGTACTTGCGCATAATCTGTTGGATCATCAACCCACCAGAGCCGATCATGAGCTTGTGGTACGCCTCTGGAATGTTGAGGTTGTACTCGAAGGGCAACTCGTCCTCCAACAACTGAAGCGCCGATATTAATGAGTGATAGTCGTTGTTACTGGAGATCAACTCTATCAAAAAGGTAGAGTTGGTGGACGGGTTGTACTTGATGATCACGTTGGAAGCCAGATTATTCATAATACGGATCATTTTACCATTCTTTTTGCCCCCGATAAAGTCTTTCTCAGCCGCAGACAACTCTACCTCATAAATGAACTGCGAAAAGTTGGCGTGGCCACTAGGAGTCAAGATCGAGAGCAACTGGTGCACGGCATCTTTCACGTTGATGTCGTCACCGGTGATCTCAAACGACGCATTGGTCGCGTCATACACAATGGATATGCTATTCTGGTAGTTATTGATTTCGTTGTTCAGACCGGAGGTAGAGATTCGTGACACCGTCGATTGTATGCCCTTTGCAATGGTGTCAGCATCGACGGAGCGGTGGGCAGATTGATTTAAGAAGAAAGCACAGCGGTAGGTCTTTCTGACCAAGGTCATAATGTCGTTTTCTGCCTGTTTGATAGACTCCGCTGACAATCCCTGGAGCACAATCTTACCGTACTCGGCCACGCCGCCGGTTCCTAAGGGCTCCAACTGGAGAAACACCCCACGGTGGTACATGAGGTTGACCAAATCGTTCTGGTGGTTGAGCATCAAGAGTTCTAGTTTACCTCTCATGACTCGCATCTCATCGGAGTAGAGCTTGGTGATGGTGCCAGCAGTGTCGATGGCCAAGGAGCGAAGCATGTGCTTTGCCAATGTCACCTGAGGCTGCGATTCCCCGCTAATGTAGATCTGGTTCTGCTCGATTGTAGTTCCCGGCGTGAATATGTGCGGGAGAACGTCGGGGAGAAGTAAATCGACGTTGGTGGTGGTAGCGAGCTGGTTGAAATTGGACAAATCAGTGCCCCCGATGAGAGGTAACAAAGACAAAGGAAATTCCACGCTCTCAACCACTTCGGAGCACTGAGCCAGAGTGGACAAGAGAATCTTTGCTTTGGTTTCAGCCACAGAAATCATATCCGAGCTCCCGAATATGTACACGTACAAGTAGCCATCCTCGTTTAGCTCACTGGATCCCACCAAGGCATCGGAGAGCTGGAAGCTGAGATCATATTCGCAAATAGAGATCTCAACACAGTAGTGAGAGGCAAGGAGAGTCAATTGCTCGAGCAAAACCGAGCTTAACGCGGAGTAGGAACCATCGGTAAATACGTTGCCAGGTTCCACCCGGATTTTTTTGTACGACAACGGGCTGTAGCCCTGTAAAACCACATTTTTGAGTTCCCGAACCGCTTCTTGATTGCCCTGGACGGTGGCTATCAACTGGAACTTGGTATTGGAGTCGTTGGCAGCAAGGTCTAGGGAAGTGTGACAGGCAGCGCGCTTGTTCAACAGAGCCACGATGGTGGACACCAGGTCTAGGTTGTGGATAACTAGGGCAGTCTCGGAGAGCTTCTTCAAATTTAAGAGGTGGGCTAAGATGGGGAACTTGGTGGCTTCAGACGCTACGTTCTTCCACGTGGAAGCTGTTGGGGTGCTGAACAAACATGGGTGTGCTGTCTTGAATAACGGGTAATACGGAAGTGAAAAGACCAAGACCACGGAATCGTTAATCGCAGACATGGTAGATAGTGCGCCCTTGTATAAACCGATTTTGGAGGGCGTTAGGACAGTTTGTTTTTAACAGCAATTGCTTAACGTGTAGAAGAGGATACGAATCCCGCAAACAATAGGATTGTTTACGGTCTGATGTTACGCACATCCCAATCCAGACGAGTGTCACGTGATAACTCGAGTGATGTCATGCGGGGCTGTCAAGGTCGAACCTTCAAGGCACGTCGCCTACCCGGTGTAGCAGGGGAGGACGGGGCAGCGTGAAATTCAACGTAAGGAGGCTTGGTGTATTTTATGTAACAGGAAGATTTTTGACCATTCAAAGGAATGTTGATGGGGATTGTCAGCTGCATGAAAGGATAGGACTATAAACGGATGCTGCAGTATATCCAGTGATACATCAAAAGCCTGTGGCTAACGTTCCTTGCGGTGCTAACATGCCAGTTCTACGGTGTAAAACTTTACAAAATGAAAGATTATATTCATAAATGAAATAGTATATTTATAAATAAGATATCACATTCATAAATGACTAATAAATAGAAATCAATATCTATTTAAGCTTGCTTGCCACTGTAGTTTTGCTTCAGCCCATGGAATACCAGGGATCTCGGGAGCCTTAACTATTATCACGCCGGACCAAAGTATAAGGGGTATACTCCAACTATCTTAGTTACATATATTATGTATGTGCCATTGGTTATGTAACTGCTTGAGTGTACTGAAACTTGCTCCAATGAGTGCCATGCTATCTATTCCCAAGCGGATTCTGGACTTCTATATCAAACCGGAAGGGAGACGCATCAATCGTAGTTATCGGAGGGATGTGGTCCTTGAACTTATCATTAAGCTCTACCACTTCGCGTAGAACCTCCCTGAAATTCGAAGTGGTTGTATTCTGGCTGTCAGTGGAATTTATCGTACAAGCCACGTTCAACTCCCACGATTCCCACAACACCGACTCTTCTTCCTGATGGCCCTTCAAGGAGTTGATGAACCAATTGGACTTTCGGGCCGACTGCTTGATCTCAGAGAAGTTTACATTCATGGTACAAGTGATTGTGAACTGTTTTTTAGTCTCGAAGCTGTGCTTGTTGTGCTCCATCTGGACCTTGTTGAAGTACCCCAGGATTGTTTCTATTCGTTGGGTAAAGATTTCATCGAGATCTGGAAAGTCCAAAGCGACTGGGTAGGTGACGTTTTGGAACTCTCGGGTGCTCGGTTTTATATTCCCAATAAGTCTATGGAAAAATATTGTCCAGAGGACCCCGCTGAGCGCGTCCTTCAAAAACAGGCGGCTGGTGACAACTGTCAACGTATGCTTAACCACCATGGCCTTACTTTGTGGTAGGTAAGGTCGACAGTAGGTTTTGGTTTATATTTTACTTAGCGGTGTGAGTGCTTGGCCGCTAATGATTTGGATTTCTCATCTGGTCACATAGCCTGCACTTTGGAGGTGGCTGTGGGGAAGCACTTGCCACCCACTGCGCCACGGAATCGCCAGAGTACAAAACCCACACACATCCGAAAGAGGTGATACAAAGTGGGTGAAAAGTTTGGTTAAATCTGAAAAGCTTGCTAAATGCTGAGAGGGATATTTAGAGTCCCATGCACTATGAATCAAGTGTGTATGGGGTATCGCGGGGACATCACAGTCACAGCTCCTTTTTTCAAGTCCTACTGTGCTGATTGAATACCGTAAAATAGGTGATTTGCTACCACTGCATATATTCATGGTTCTATTAAACATATCCTTTGTGTAATACTGGAAATCTCTCACTTAGGGCCAACTTCCTCTTTGCGGTAGAAATGGGGAGCTAGTTCGATGAGCCATTTTTCGTCAATCACCAAACAGTTTCTCATAAACTCTTTGCTCGTTAACACCAACTCGTGGTAGATAATGAGCTTTGGAGGCGGTTTGGAGGGAAACAAGGTGGACGACGGGTGGATATACACCGCTTGTTGTTTCTTAAGCGACTTATAGCATTCCCCGGTTCTGGCCAACTTGGCAGTGTTTGGGAAAAACCCCGCGGTAATCGCTTTCGCAATGAAAATGCTCTTTTTCGACGGATCCTGGAACTCACTGAAGTCTGCAGACTTGTTCACAATTTCTACTCGGTCACACAACCGAGACAACTGTTCCCTCACGTTTCGGACACGGCAGAGGGTCTTGTACTGAAGGAAGTTGTCTTTGCACCACTGCACGGAATAGCCAGTATCGACCCATTGTTCCCAGATTTCGAGCAATGTCAAGTGGTCCCCCCCCGGCTTGTTGAACGCCTCTCGCGCCTTGTCTGCAAATACTTTCTTCTCCTTGGGTCTGAAAAACAACGAAGACGACTCACCGACCATCGAAACAATCGACAAAACCTCCTCCACAACCCTGTACTTGTCGCTCTGGAGTAACGCCTTGGCCAACATAGGATCCGCGGGAAATTCTGCCATCTGACGCCCAATCTTCGTAAGCTCGCCCTTGCTGTTCAAAGCCCCAAGGGCGTACAAGAGTTCCAAGGCTTTAATCAACGTTTCACTCGAGGGTGGGTCCATAAAGTCAAAGTTGATCAAATCGTTAATCCCCAAAGATAATAGCAACAATACAACACCAGAAAGATTTGTCCGCAAGATTTCCGGGGTGGGGTTCGCTGGAAGTTCGTTACTATACGCCCATTTGGTAAAGAGCCTAAAGCATTTACCTGGGCCCACTCTCCCAGCTCTACCGGCACGTTGGTCAGCCGAAGCTTTGGAGCACGGGGTCACGACCAAACTTTCCATCCCGGTAGAGGGGTTGAAGATGTTTTCCTTCACAAACCCTGGGTCGATAACGTACACGATTCCGTCGATAGTAATGGACGTTTCGGCAATGTTCGTGGCCAAAACCACCTTACGGGCGCTGGGAGGTGTAGGCTCGAAGATACGGGCCTGTAGTTCCGGGGGCAAATTGGCGTAGATCGGACACACAATCATTTCTTGGACCTTATCCCCGAGCTTCCGGCAAGTCTCGTTCAAGTTTTCAGCCATGGTTTCAATCTCATCCTGCCCGGTTAGAAACACTAGAATGTCCCCCTTGTCCTGGGAGGTGTGGATCTGGAACACAGTGGTGATGGCAGCGTGCAAGTAGTTTGCCTCCGGCTGTTTGGTGTAGTGGATAGTGACGGGGAATCTTCTACCGGGAATGTTGAAGATTGGTGCACCATCGAAGTAGTCGCTGAATTTTTTGGCATTCATTGTGGCAGAAGCGATAAGGAGCTTCATGTCCGGACGATACTTGATGATATCCTTCAATAAGCCGAATAAGATATCAGTGGATAAGGTTCTCTCATGCGCTTCATCAATCATGAGTGCAGAGTAACCCGAGAGCTCTGGGTCCGTGAGAAACTCTCGAAGCAACATACCATCGGTCATGTACTTCACGATGGTTTTTTCGTTGCTCCTATCGTCGAATCTGACCGAGTAACCCACCTCGTTTCCCAACTTGACGCCCATTTCATCAGCAACACGGGCTGCAACCGACATAGCGGCCACTCTACGTGGCTGTGTGCACCCGACTTTCTTGCCATCTTTCGTGTAGCCCGCTTCATGGAGGTATTGGGGGAGCTGGGTGGTTTTACCGGAACCGGTTTCACCGACAATGATCATAACCTGAAACTTATCGATCGCCTCTAGAAGGGCAGTACGATAGGCATAGACGGGTAAGGACACTCGGGTCTCCTCCAACGACTTGACTCTAGCCTCCTCTGCCCTAATCTTCTGCTCCAAATACGAAACCTCCCCGCTTGCTTCGCCGTCGAGATTTTCAGCATAAAAGTCGATCGCCTGGGACTCATCAAAGACGAATTCGTATTTTTCCTGGCCCGGGATAACGATTTCATCGGGCTTGTATTGGCCGTCGGTGCCCTTAACAGCCTTGGCAACCTGCTCTGCTTCCCAGTTATCGTTTCGGTTGTGAGACTTGCTCTGTTTATCCTCTTTGTATTTTAACTGCAAGGCTGCCTCTTTTCTTTTGGTGTCGATTTTACCCTTGCTAGTCATGTAGGTCTCCGGTAGCTTGTACCCGTCGTCCCCCTGCTCAAGGTTTCTCCTCTCAGTCACGAGTCGCATGACCTCTCGCTTGTATTCGATATCCTTTCTTTCACGCTCAGTCAAATTGTCCCAGCCATACTCTATGACGTCTTTTTCCAAACTCTCAACCTCTTTTTCCAACAAGAAGAGCTTGTCCTGTTCTCTTTTCGAAAGGTACTTTTGTCTGGCAAGCGTCCTTAATTCCTGGATGTCGGCAGATGCGTATTTGGTGACAGTCTTGCCCGTATCAGTTGTAGTGTCTTTGTGCTTCAAGCGCTTGGAAAACTCGTCTCTTTCACGGAGATCGGACTTGGCATCACTGTCTGGGTGGTTAGGGGGAGCTGCCCTGGTTTCGGTTTCCAGTTCGGAATCAGAGCCCCATGCATCGTTTGCCTGTCTTTTGCGCCTTTTCCCAATAACTGGTTTGGCACCATCCATTGTGTATTTCAGTGAGGTTTGCTGCTAACGGAGAGTAGGGTTTGAAGTAAACTTGACTTTTTAACCATGTTTCTCTCCTGCAAATATCACAAATTTTTGTTTCTTTTTCCTAATCTTTCGTAGTTCAATTAACCTGAGATACAATGGGGATCAAGCTCACATAATCCGGGATAAAGCAACCCGGGGAAACAAACATACGAAATAAAGGTGTAGGTAAAATAAAGCTTTAGCGGTTTTCGGATGTGGCTTCATCTCCTCATTGCTCTCATAGCGATTCTGTATCCGCTTCTGTTCGCGTACAGTCATGTCAGCTTATATAATCCATACTGTCAAAGTCCCGTTTCTCGACGCTTTTTTTTTTGGCGGATCATTAATATACCCTTTGTTTGAAAAAAGCTTGTTGTTATAATTCACCTCCTTTGCCATGTCCCAAATGCAACCACCGCAAGTTCCTGAACGGCTGGGGAGGAGAAAGTCCTCTAGAATTGTCCCTGCTGACGCCAACTCCTTCATTAATCTCAGATCTCCTTCGGTTGACTCCGTTAATCTCGCCGAGAAGGCAGGGTTTTCCTCTGCGGTCACCGAAGTTTCTACACCCCAGTCCGATAACTACATCCCCCCTTGGACTGAACCATACATTATCGGCATTGCGGGAATTTCTGGGTCGGGTAAGACCACTGTTGCTCAGAAGATCATCCAGGAAATTAATCAGCCTTGGACAGTGTTGCTTTCCTTGGATAACTTTTACAATCCGTTATCGCCAGCCGAACGTCAACAAGCGTTTGCCTGTGAGTTTGACTTTGATGTTCCCGAATCCCTTGACTTGGAAATGTTGTTTGAAACTGTAAAATCTATCAAGGAAGGCAGAAAAACTACCATTCCTGTCTACTCTTTCGAAAAGCACAACAGAACCGACAAAAGCATCACCATCTACGGCGCCAACGTCATTATTATTGAGGGTATCTACGCGCTTTTTGACCCAAAGTTATTGGCATTGATGGATACCAAGATTTACGTCGATACCGATCTAGACGTGTGTTTGGCCAGAAGACTCACCAGAGATATTTTGCACCGGAAGAGAGATTTGGCCGGCGCGTTGAAGCAATGGAACGCTTTTGTGAAACCGGCTGCCGTCAAGTCGGTGAGACCTTGCATGAACAATGCCGACGTTATTTTGCCTAGAGGTTCAGATAGCAGCATTGCGATCAACATGATTATCCAACATATCCAGAAGAGGTTGGATTTGAAGTCCAAGGCTCATTTGCAGTACTTGAAGAGGTTGGGCTGCAACACCAAACCGTTGTCTCTTTACAAAAATTTGAGCGTTTTGAAGAAGACCAACCAAAACGGTGGTATCCACTCCATTTTGTGTGACTCAGACACTAGTCGAAGTGACTTTATTTTTTACTTCAACCGCATATCCCTTGTCTTGATAAATAAGGCGTTGGATTTCTTAGATTACACTCTGTTTACCTTCCAGACCCCTGGCGGACACACGGTTAGCACTGTCAAGCCTGCCGATGAAGTGATTGCTGTGAGCATTATTCGATCCGGAGATTGTTTTATGGCCTCTATCAAGAAGACCTTCCCCGAAATTTCGATTGGTAAATTGTTGATCCAGAGTGATACCTTGACGGGTGAGCCACAATTACACATGGAGTCCTTACCAAAGACTATGGGTTGTGGCAGCCAAAAGATCTTTTTGTTTGACGCGCAGTTGATCAGTGGTGCTGCTTCCATCATGGCTACCCAAGTCTTGCTTGACCACGATGTTAAGATAGAAAATATTGTCTTGGTCTGTTACTTGAGTACGGAAATTGGTGTCAGGAGAGTGTTGAGTGCTTTTCCAGGTATCAATATTGTTGCAGGCCGTATGAGCTCTATGGGTGCAGAAACCTCTAGTGATGACGAAGCGGTGGAGGAGGATAAGACGGGCGAATTGGACACTGATTGGTGGTTCCGTAACCGTTTCATCGACTCAAGATATTTTGGTACTGACTAGGTTTGACCCAAAATTCATAGCGGAGATGCACGTTCGTGTGTTTTCTGCTACCTTTGCATGGCTGCACTATAGTTCACCTTTTTTGACACATGCTTTAATTTACATTGTTTTACAGATAACCTACGGTTCACCATAGATGTAAGAGGCTATATTCTTATCCGATTTCGCCGTGTCCGTATACGTCTGGAGCTCATAGAATTTGATATAGCAAACATATCACTAACTTCAGGATTCAATGTATACGTACTATAAAATAACTATAAGAATTCTGTATACGTTAATATATCAGTATCATTAATTATGTGATTTGAAATTAACTTGCATTCATATACTAGAAGGATATATCTAATTCCAACTTAATATTGATATATATACTGAATATTAGAAAATTACATTTATTAACGCGTCTAAAAAATATTTCAAATGATATACGTTACTTTTACTGCGGTAAATACTATCGACCATCACCTCAAGTTTACCAGTGGCCTGTTAACAGACTGATACGGAGAGCTTCACGGGGCGCAAGAGATTAGCCTGGCTGCTCGCAAGAGGGGTAGGCATAACGGTATTATTCACTCTATCCAGAGATATAGTTTGTTATACCCGGAGATTGTGGTTGTTTCCAAACTACTACACCAAGATAATATGCGGAACTGCCACTAGAGACACCCATACGCGCCGTGTTCCAAATATGGAATGACATAATGTTTGTAAGCTTGAAAAGTTTAACAGCTCCCACATACCCGATATCCCATGGACCGAGAAGTTTAAAGCAACCCGAGTTGGAGTGCAGTTAATAAATAGTTCTATCGTTTACGTAGTTAATATAAATTGACATAAGGTTTCGACACTGACCAAAGGGGCCAAGCCTACAAAACTGGCCTATTAGACAAGAAAACTAGGCCAAGGTGGTACCTCGAGCTTCTATTATCATCAAGCACTTCATCTTTGCCAGTCTAAATTCGGCATTGATTGTAGCGAGAAGAGAGTCACGTCAAAATATAAACGTGTGGTCAAGTTTCGGTTTTTAGAGCAGGTGGGTGACATATTGGTTAAAACTCGGTGTGTCAATGTGTCTGGTTATTTTGGAGTCCTACCTGTTCCCAACCACCCACACAAATCGTAAAGGCAGCTTGTCCTGCGCAGGATCACCCGCAACGAGAGGGGAAGGCTCGAGACTTTGGGTCACCCTGGTCAGTCACGTATCTATTAGAGCCCGCCAATTTATTTACCCGGTTTTAGTCGGTCTATTTTTGCAGTAAGGCTTTACTAGAAACAGAGCTGAAAAATGTGAATAGCACGTGGTATCGGAACCGCCCGTATTTCAAATTGTATATTAGATAGCAGGTTTACGAGAGTTGTTAGTATAACTACTAGGAGCTTTTTTCAAAGGTCTAGAGTCTCAAGATAAACAGAAGAAGGAAAAGGTAAGACCTGGCAAAATATACCTAGGATCCGAACCTCCCTGGCAATGTTTAAAAAGAATGTAACTCTGGGTTTACCTCCCCCCCTGTACACTGTCGTAAAAGGATCTACAAATTGCCGTAAAGAGTGGCTATACTGTCTTGAAGCTAACCTTCCCACTTCAGGCGAACCCGAGTTCAGATTCTCTTCCAGAAGGCTGAAATTATCACATATGCGCCGTAATTTTTGAATTGCCACTAGTAATTGTAGATTATGCTATTTTCCAAGATTTCCATCCTCCAACTCACAGTATTTTGAACTACGGTGAGGTATATTGGTATCTGCCCGCACAAAATGTACAGATATACGAAGCTAGGCAGGCATGCACTACAGATACAACTACAAGATATGTGGTTTCGATTACCTGCTCAGGTAATCATTTGTAATCATACTACGGTGTATATCCGCCCTGCATGCATGCACACTATCCCGGGGTAAATCTCGAGCTCTATATTTCGCACTAAGACGGGAACCATTCCGGTTAAATACCCAGAATAGTGACAACCTTGCTAGATTCTTAGCCTCTGCAGCAACTAATGCAAAGCCAGCTGGTAGATACATTTCCAACGATTATTTGAAAGCTTGAACATGGGGTAACTTCCCGGGAGTCACTAAACCAGCAACTCGTAACCTGGGCCGGCGAAGCGTGATGGGTATAAAAACTGGACTCCGTCCTTAGTATTTTCCCAGATAACCTTTCTCTGATAATTAGTGATAAAATAAACCCAGAAATCCTATTGTTACCTTTACCCCAGTGATATATAGAATCCAAATAAAATATAATCCGATAAGTACAATGTCCCACGCTTATAACGAAAACGAAAAAAACCCAGTTCCAGATGTCAGCCGTACCTCCATCGGCTCCTCCAGCTCTGTCGGCCGTGCTTACAGTCAGACACAGTTTAAAGAAGACGAACACAACGATATCACCCGCTGTGTAACTTCCTCTGACGGTGAGTACGTTTATTTAGGCCATCAGAAGTTCAAGAGATCAGAAATCGCCACTGCCTTCGCCGGTACATTCAATCCTGGTTTACACCTCGTAGGGAAGCAACGGTCGTATGCCAACCCCGCTCCCTTAGGTTTGGCCGGGGTGTCAATTCCAACCATTGCCCTTGGGATTATGCAGCTCGGAGGTGGCGGACTCGGAAATACCAATGTATTAGCAGGTGCTGGGATGTTCCTTGCAGGGATCTGTTTAATGCTTTCGGGGATGTGGTGTATGTTCTTAGAAAATACTTTTGGTGGTACAGTGTTTACGGTGTTTGGTGGTATTTGGTTGAGCTATGGGTACGTGATGGCTCCATCATCCGGAATTGTGGCATCCTATGCATCCATTGAGGATTTCCAGCATGCTATGGCAGCATATGTGGCCACCTGGACACTTTTTGCGTTCATGTGTTGGGCATTGACTTTCAAATCCACGGTTATGTTCTGTACTCAGTTTATGTGGATCAGTTTTATGTTTCTTACTGCAACTATCCAGTTATACACTAACTCCAAAGCTTGGCTTAAAGTCACGGGTGTCTTTTCTCTCTTGAACGGTGCGTTCGGAATGTATAATATGTTTGCAGGTATGGCTGACGAAACCAACTCTTATTTTGTTATCAAGCCTAGATTTATGCCAGGTGCCCAGGTTCCAACCGAGATAGAGCAATAATCTCGGACTACTTCCTCGCTTATCTATCAAACTCTTTCAATATCTCATCTGTAAGCTCTCGGATAGTGGTCTATCGATTTCTCAAGCCACACATACCAAAGGCCGTATTCGTGTTATTTCTACCAATTAGATGCCAAATTTGTTTATATATTGTATTAAATTGGCAATAGACAAGACTAGGGTTCAAAGCTCAAGTGACAAAGAGTCACCACCTCTCAGCAATTCTCCTGAAGGACTGATCCTGTGTGTCCACCTCTCGACCATCTTGTATTCACACCGGATAATAGCTAGGCCCATATCTAGGTTTATTTGTATATTACCTCAAGATACCCAAATGAAGCAACCAAAAATTCCAGTGCCATAATAACCTACAAGCTTCAGCAGTTACGAAGAGTAAAGAAGCGCAGCCAACGGTGTGGCATATCTAGCAGGTGATAACACCTACTATTATTTAGCTAAGGGAGATTGTTGTTGTTTATTCTGTACCCTAGGTATATAATCAAGAGATCATATACATCCTTATATACCATTAGAATACCCGTATCATGTTACTCTTGATAACAAAAGATCCGTGTGAGCCGAAAGACGCCGGCTCGCACGGTATACATATTAACACTTTTAGTACAACCTGAGTGAAATCAACCATACGATTTCTGGGCTTGTTTTTTCACCAACAATTGCAGAAAAGGATTAACTGGGGAAATAGAGGATGCTGCACGGTTTTTTTGTCTCACGCTTCGCCGGCCGAGATTACAGGTTACTGGTTTAGTGACTCCCGGAAAGTTGCCCCACTCTCTAGTTTTCAAATAATCGTTGGAAATAGATCTATAAACTGACCTTGTACCAGTTACTGTAGAAAGCTAATAATCCAGTAGCCAAATCATCGCTATTCTGGGTATTTAACCGGCATATTCCATGTCTGCTAAATAGAGCTTGGAAGGTTCCTGAGACGGCGTGCATGCAAACAGGCAGGACATACGCCGCAGTATAATTACAAATAATTACATGAGCAGATTGGACTAAAGATGTTCGTGCGTTGCTGATATCCTCTGGCTAGTACGGATCCTTCCCCTCGTACAGAGTAGCATGATACGGTTATCCCTATAGTATATAAGAATCTTCTTTTTGTATATTTAGTGTAAAGCAACCAACGAGATTCTCTCTTAGTTGGCTCGTACCCAGAATATCCTTTTATTTTTACCCCAGTGACGTACAGGACCCAAATAAAATACGATCCGATAATAAGTGCGATGTCCCACGCTTATAACGAAAACGAAAAAAAAAGCATCCCAGTGGCTGGCCGTACCTCCATCGGCTCCTCTAGCTCTGCCGGCCGCGCTTACAGTCATCTACCGCTCAACCTGAATGAAAACTGCGATGCCTCCCGCTATGAAACTACCTCTGACTGCGAGTATGTCTATTTGGGTAACCAGAAGTTCAAGAGATCAGAAGTTGCCTCCGCCTTCGCCGGTACGTTCAACCCTGGTTTGCACTATGTGGGAAAACTGCGATCATATGCCAACCCTGCTCCTTTAGGGTTGGCCGGGGTGTCAATTCCAACCATTGCCCTTGGGATTATGCAGCTCGGAGGTGGCGGACTTGGAAATACCAATGTATTAGCAGGCGCTGGGATGTTCCTTGCGGGGATCTGTTTGATGCTCTCGGGGATGTGGTGTATGTTCTTAGGAAATACTTTTGGTGGTACAGTGTTTACGGTGTTTGGTGGTATTTGGTTGAGCTATGGGTACGTGATGGCTCCATCATCCGGAATTGTGGCATCCTATGCATCCATTGAGGATTTCCAGCATGCTATGGCAGCATATGTGGCCACCTGGACACTTTTTGCGTTCATGTGTTGGGCATTGACTTTCAAATCCACGGTTATGTTCTGTGCTCAGTTCATGTGGCTCAGTTTGCTGTTTCTTACTGCAACTATCCAGTTATACACTAACTCCAAAGCTTGGCTTAAAGTCACGGGTGTCTTTTCTCTCTTGAACGGTGCGTTCGGAATGTATAATATGTTTGCAGGTATGGCTGACGAAACCAACTCTTATTTTGTTATCAAGTCTATGTGTATGCCAGGTGCCCAGGATCCGGCAAAGATATAGCAGCAAGGTTCCATGGGGTGCTTCCTCGTTTATTTATCAAACTTTTCCAGCGTCTCACCTGTAAGCTCTCGGGTTGTGGTCTACCGATTTCCCAGACCCACACATACCAAAGACCGTATTCTCGTAACTCACGCCGGGTAGACGTCAAATTTGTTTACATATTGTATTAAATTGACAATAGACAAGACTAGGGTTTGAAGCTCAAGTGACAAAGAGTCACTACCTCTTAACAATTCTTCTGAAGGGCCAATCCTGTGTGTCCACCTCTCGACCATCTTGTATTCACACCGGATAATAGCTAGATCCATATCTAGATTACTTCGGAGTGCTTAAGTGAAGCAACCAAAAATGCCAGTGGCATAATAATCTACAGACTACAGCAGCTATGAGAAGTAAAGAAACATAGTCAAGGGCTGATATCCTACACATAAATTTGGGTACCTTGAACTCTGACAGTGTATCGCTTGAGGAGTGAGTCGCATCACACAACAGTTGCATGTGTGATGCGGCTCAAAAACAGACATGACGTGCAAATAGAAAGGTGTAACCTCAATATGGATTACAAAGAGAGTGAGTTACATATCTGGAGCTTCCATTCCCGCACTTAGATGTATGGTCCACCATTATTTTGTTGGCCATCGTGGGAATTTACGTGTCTGTTGCATGCGGCTTCACTGCCAACCATTCAGGCACAGTATATTGAGCAGTTGAGCCGCACCTTCTGGCCCACCTTTTTCCGAAGTGCATCGAAAATTAACCAACACAGAATTTTGGCGAGGCTACGCACTAGGGGTAACCTCAGAGCACATACCATGCACCACTCGTATACGGAATCCACCAAACTCGGCTTTCTAGTAGAATCGAGTAGAACAGGTCAGACAGGTTGGGCCCGATATTACCAATGAAACCAAGTCTGCGAGGAAAAATCTTGGCAATAGGTAATCCAAAACCGTGTACTTCATATAATTCAAACTTTAATTTTAGGGGATCCTGCTTTCAACATAAGTTTACCAGGCATTTAGACTATTTCTAAGGACAAAAAAATAGGCTAAACGTAATAGTATATACCCAGCCAAGTTTGAGAGTAGCTATAGTGAGTGTCTGTTACGCATGAGTCTTCATCTGAAAAGGTAAGCGAATACATTGTAATCCTCAAGGGCTGTACAACCAGTCGGCTCTCACATACAGTCCGAGGGCGTTCCATATCTCGATTAAGAGAAAGCCCCAATCTGTACAAGCTCAAAGACAGTCGCATTAGTTTGGGGGGTTGACCTATGTCTGGCAACCAACAAAGAACAAACAGCTCTTTATCTGGGCTCGTCCTACGGAGTGAGCGTTAGTCAGTTTAGCTACCTCCATTCATCCATACTGGGCTGGCCCCTATTGATGGAGTAGCCCTAGCACGTACACGATTACAATGGCTCCATATCCTGTACGGATGCGTGCCGTCCACGTCCTTAGGTACCGGAATGCACGTCTGATGTGCCCAACAAAAATCTAAGCACCAGCGTTCATGGCTCTGCATTGGAAGCGCAGTGTGCCGGGAACTCTATTATATATTCTGTGTGCAGGACACTAGCCAACGCTCATACAAAGACCGAAACCTTGTTTGATGCAATGCCCAAAGGTTTGAACCAAGGGCTTTGGTGAGAATTACGGCGTCAACAAAAAAAAAGAACTGTTTCCCAAAAACCCTTTTAAAGCCCCGTAACTCTTCTTTTTCTGTTCATTGTTTCTAAGAGTAAAAAGTCGAACCCTTTTTCACCGTTACATTACTCCACCTGTTTGCTAGAACCGCTGATATCCAACTCCGTCTTATTACCACATCTCAAGACAGCTGTTATCCTTTTCTACATATCCAATTGACCTCCAGTTATTTATTCCACTTAATAGGTATGTTTACTATGTTACTCTAATGTGCTTTGGTCTCTCTTGTCTTGGCCTGTCTCTCCATCCCAGATATTTCTCTCCATCCCAGGTTTTTGACTCTCAATTGATCCCCACGCAATTATTCCCAAGCTTCAAATCCTTCCCCGAATTTCATAATCCCCCCTAGTCTCTTGACATTAGCCAACTCTCAATTTGGGCAACTCCGGGATATTTCTAGCTATCGCAAAGTCTTTGTCAGTGTCACGAGCCGCACTTTTTCTTTTGGGCTGTACGTCGCGATAAAACTCAACATATTATGCACGGTGCGACCTCACTAAAATTATGCCTGAAAAAGAAATCAAGACATTACCCGTTCGCAAAACGAGACCAAAAATATTCATACCCAAAAATCATTCCTTTTATAAATACTAACCCTCTCTAGACCCATTTCATACTTACCACAATGTCCCAAAGCGGTCTTCGTCCGATTTTATTGAGCCACGGCTCCATGGAACTGACCTCCTTGATCCCTACCAGCTTATACTTCAACTACACCCAGTTGAAAGACCAGTTCACCAAAGCCTTACCTGAGTCAACCGATGGCTTTGCCGGTGATGATGAACCATCCTCCCCAGTGGAGTTGGTTGCCCAGTTTCTCGGCTATGTTGCGTCCCTCGTCGACCGCAACGCCTCCACCCCAGGCCAGTTCGACGAAGTCTTGAAGTTTACCCTCCAGGAGTTCGAAGCCAGGTTCTTGAACGGCCAGGATATCCACAACTTGGCCGCCAAGTTGCTTGCTGACGAACAATACCCGACTTCTTTGGCCAAGGTCAAGTCTGTCATCAAGAACTACGTTTCTGCCATTGTCAACTCCAATACCGCCGCCGCCAAGGTTGAAACCGCCTTATTCTCTGCCGCCACCAAGGGTGACGCCACGATCGTCGCCCTTTTCGGCGGCCAGGGTAACACCGAAGACTACTTCGAGGAGTTGAGAGAATTGAATCAAACCTACGGTGACTTGACTTCTGACATCATCGCCATGGCTGCCGACAAGTTGCAGTCCTTGGTCAGAGCTACCGAGGGCTCCCACAAAATCTACACCCAGGGTATTGACATCAAGAACTGGTTGGCCCAGCCTGAGCAGACCCCAGACCAGTCCTACCTCCTTTCCATTCCCGTCTCCTGTCCGGTTATCTGTCTTATCCAGTTGGTCCACTACGCGGTTACCGCTAGAGTTCTCGGCTTGACCCCGGGTGATTTGAGATCCTACCTCTCTGGTGCCACTGGCCATTCCCAGGGTGTGGTCACCGCCGTCGCCATCGCCTCCTCCGACTCTTGGGAGTCATACTTCGAAAATGCCTCCAAGGCTATCTCCTTGTTCTTCTACATCGGGTTAAGAAGTATCCAGGCCCACCCGCACACCTCTTTGCCGCCATCTATGGTGCAAGACTCCTTGGAAAATGGTGAGGGTAAGCCATCCCACATGTTGTCCATTAGAGACTTGTCTCGCGACCAGGTTTCCACTTTCATTGCCGAGACCAACAAACACTTGCCAGAAGATAAGCGTGTCTCTATTTCCCTCGTCAACGGTGCCAGAAATTTTGTTCTTTCCGGGTACCCACAGTCCTTGTATGGTCTTAACGTCAACTTGAGAAAGCACAAGGCTCCCGCCGGCTTGGAACAGGCCAGGGTTCCGTTCTCTGAGAGAAAAATGAAGTTTACCAACCGTTTCTTGCCAATCACCTCTCCCTTCCATTGCCACTTGTTGGCTCCTGCGTACCCTGTCATCATTGCCGACATCGAGGGTGCCTCATTGGAGTTTGAAGCCTCCAAGTTGGCTATTCCGGTCTACGACACCTTTGACGGGTCTAACTTGCAGAAGATGACGACTTCAATCTCTGCCAGATTGGTCCGCATGATCATCGAGTTGGCTGTCAACTGGGAGAAGGCCACCGCCTTCAAGTCCACCCACATGTTGGAGTTCGGCCCTGGCGGGGTTTCTGGCTTGGGTGTCTTGACCCACCGTAACAAGGATGGTACTGGTTCCCGTGTTATCCTTGCTGGTACTTTGGACTCGACCTCTGCCGACGACGAGTATGGCTTCAAGCAGGAGATTTTTGACAGAAACTCCACCTCTTTGAAGTACGCTTCCAACTGGTTGAACGAGTACAAGCCAAGATTGGTCAAGACTTCCGCCGGTAAGGTCTATGTCGATACCAAATTCTCCCAGTTATTGGGTAGAGCGCCGTTGATGGTTCCGGGTATGACGCCTACCACCGTATCTCCAGACTTTGTGGCTGCCACCCTTAACGCTGGGTACCACATCGAGATCGCGGGTGGTGGGTACTTTACGTCCGGCCACATGACCAAGGCGTTGGAAGAGGTTGCCTCTCAGATCCCACCCGGTGCCGGTATTGGGATCAACATGATCTACGTCAATCCGAGAATGTTGCAGTGGGGTATTCCAATGGTCAAGGAATTGAGAGACAAGGGCTTCCCAATCCAGTCCATGTCTATTGGTGCTGGTGTTCCATCTATGGAGGTTGCCTCCGAATACATTGAGACCTTGGGCCTTACCCACTTGGGGTTGAAGCCAGGCAGTGTTGACGCTATTGCTCAGTGTATCGCCATTGCCAAGGCCCACCCAACCTTCCCAATCGTTGTCCAGTGGACCGGTGGTAGAGGTGGTGGTCACCACTCGTTTGAGGATTTCCACCAGCCTATCCTCCAAATGTACTCCAAGATGAGAAAGTGCTCCAACATTGTTCTTATCGCCGGGTCCGGGTTCGGGTCCGACGCTGACACCTACCCATACCTTACCGGTGAGTGGTCTGGTGCATACAACTACCCGCCAATGCCGTTCGACGGTGTTTTGTTTGGTTCCAGAGTCATGACCGCCTTGGAAGCCAAGACCTCTCCTGCCGCCAAGCTTGCCATCGTTGGGTGTACTGGTGTTCCAGACTCTCTGTGGGAACAGTCATACAAGAAGCCAACGGGTGGTATCATTACCGTCAGATCCGAGATGGGTGAGCCAATCCACAAGATTGCCACTAGAGGTGTTATGTTGTGGCAGGAAATGGATAATACCATCTTTAACTTGCCAAAGGGGAAGCTTGTTGAAACCTTAAACAAGAAAAAGGACTACATCATTAAGAAGTTGAACGCCGATTTCCAGAAGCCTTGGTTCGGTAAGAACGCCTTAGGTCCATGTGATTTGCAAGACATGACCTACGCCGAGGTTGCCCAGAGATTGGTCGAGTTGATGTACATTCGCAAGTCTGCTAGATGGATTGATGTCAGCTTGAGAGCCTTTACTGGTGATTTCTTGAGAAGAGTTGAAGAGCGTTTCGCCACCTCTTCCGGTGCCCTTTCATTGCTCCAGAACTTCCAGCAGTTGGAGAACCCGGATAAGGTCCTTGAGGCCATTTTTGAGGCCTACCCACTTGCCCGGGAGCAGTTGATTAACGAGCAGGACTGTGACTTCTTTTTAATCGCCTGTATGAACCCAATCCAGAAGCCGGTTCCATTCGTCCCAATCTTGGACGAACGTTTCGAGATCTTCTTCAAGAAGGATTCCTTGTGGCAGTCTGAGGACTTGGAGGCTGTTGTTGATGAAGACGTCCAAAGAACCTGTATCTTGCACGGTCCGGTTGCTGCCCAGTTCACTAACAAGGCCGACGAGCCAATCAAGGAAATTTTGGACTCTATCCACAACGGCCATATCCAGCGTTTGCTCAAGGACGTCTACAATGGTGATGAATCCTCCATCCCGGTTGTCGAGTACTTCGGTCCGAACGTTGTCAGCTCCGTCACTTCTGTTGCCGGTGTCACTGTTGAGGAGTCGGCAGCCAAGGTTGTCTACAAGACCGGAACCACGATCCCAGAGGCAGGTGAATGGTTCAAGTTGCTTGCTGGTAACACCTTGAACTGGCGCCATGCCTTCTTCTCTACGAAGAGAGTGATCCAGGGTGTCAACCACGGTACCAACCCGCTCCACGCCGTCTTCGCGCCAGCCAAGAACGTTTCTATCGAGGTTGCCGCAGGTGTCGTCACCTTGTTTGAATCCTTGCAGGGTAAGATCCAGCCAGTTGCTGAGCTCAAGGCTCTCAATGCCACCACCCTCCAGTTGTCTTTGATCGAGCACAGAACTGCTGACGGCAAGCCAGTTTCCCTTCCGTTCTTATACACTTACAATCCCGCTGATGGGTTTGCTCCTATCTTGGAGGTTTTGGATGCCAGAAATGACAGAATCAAGGAGTTTTACTGGAAGTTGTGGTTCGGTTCCGACGTCCCAGTTGACCTCGACATCGATGCCCAACAGACCATCCAGGGTGATGAGACTGCCATCACCGTCAAGGACATTGCCGAGTTCACTCACGCCATCGGCAACAAGTGCGAGGCTTTTGTCCACAGAGAGGGTAAGGCCACTCTTGCGCCAATGGATTTCGCTATTGTTGCTGGCTGGAAGGCCATCATGAAGGCGATTTTCCCTAAGTCTGTTGACGGTGACTTGTTGAGATTGGTCCACCTTTCTAACGGCTACAAGATGCTCCCGGGCGCCGAGCCATTGAAGGCGGGTGATGTTGTCAAGACCTCTTCCGAGATCAGAGCTGTCATCAACCAGGAGAGCGGTAAGATGGTTGAGGTTGTTGGTACCATCACTCGAGAGGGCCTGGCTGTTATGGAGGTCACCTCTCAGTTCTTGTACCGTGGTGTGTACGTGGACTTTGAAAACACTTTCCGGAAAACCACCGAGACCCCGGTCCAGATCACCCTCAAGTCTGCCAAGGACGTTGCTGTCTTGCAGGCCAAAGAATGGTTCCACTTGGAGGAGGACTGCGACTTGTTGAACAAGACCTTGACCTTCCGTTGTGAGTCTGCTGTTACCTACAAAAACCAGACCGTCTTTGCCTCTGTCAAGACCACCGGTCAAGTCTTGTTGGAGTTGCCAACCTCGGAGATTGTGCAAATCGCTTCTGTGGAATACGAGGCCGCTGACTCCCACGGTAACCCGGTCACCGACTACCTCAATAGGATCGGTTCCACCATCGAGCAGCCAATCATGTTGGAGAACGCGATTCCTCTCTCTTCCGGTGAAGACATGCAGTCCAAGGCGCCTGGTACCAACGAGCCTTACGCCGCTGTTTCCGGTGACTACAACCCGATCCACGTTTCCAGAGTGTTTGCTGCCTATGCCAACTTGCCGGGTACCATCACTCATGGTATGTACAACTCTGCTGCCGTCCGTGGCTTGGTTGAACAATGGGCCGCTGATAACGTTGCTCCAAGAGTCCGTGCCTTCAAGTGTTCCTTCGTCGGTATGGTTTTGCCTAACGACCTCTTGGAGACCCGTCTTGAACACGTTGGTATGATCAACGGTCGTAAGATCATCAAGGTCGAAACCATCAATGTCGAGACCCAGTCCCCAGTCTTGGTCGGTGAAGCCGAAATTGACCAACCGGTCTCCACCTTTGTCTTTACCGGTCAGGGGTCTCAGGAACAGGGTATGGGTATGGACTTGTATGAATCCTCTCCGGTTGCCCGTGAGGTTTGGGACAGAGCCGACCGTCATTTCATGAATACTTACGGTTTCTCCATCATTTCCATTGTTAAGGATAACCCTAACGAGTTGACTATCCACTTTGGTGGTCCAAAGGGTCGTGCGATCCGTGAGAACTACATTTCCATGATGTTTGAGTCTGTTGCTGCTGATGGTTCCTTGAAGTCTGAGAAGATTTTCAAGGAGATTACCGAAGAGTCTACTTGCTTCACCTTCCGCTCCCCAACTGGTTTGTTGTCAGCCACCCAGTTCACCCAACCAGCCTTAACCTTGATGGAGAAGGCCTCCTTTGATGATCTTCAAGCCAAGAGTTTGGTGCCGGAGCACAGCATGTTTGCTGGTCACTCTTTGGGTGAATACTCTGCCTTGGCTTCTTTGGGTAATGTTATGCCAATCGAGTCCTTGGTTGAAGTTGTCTTCTACCGTGGTATGACCATGCAGGTTGCTGTTCCTCGTGACGAAGAAGGTAGATCCAACTACGGTATGTGTGCTGTTAACCCATCCCGTATCTCCGCCACTTTCAATGACGCTGCCTTGAGATGGGTCGTTGATCACATTGCCGAGCAAACCGGCTGGTTGTTGGAAATCGTCAACTACAATGTTGAGAATACCCAGTATGTCACTGCCGGTGACTTGAGAGCCTTGGACACTTTGACCAATGTTTTGAATGTCTTCAAGTTGCAGAAAATTGACATTGTCAAGTTGCAAGAGCTGATGCCTTTGGAAAAGGTTAAGGAACACTTGTCCGAGATTGTCGAAGAGGTCTCCAAGAAGTCTTCCGCCAAGCCCCAGCCAGTTGATTTGGAGAGAGGTTTTGCCGTCATTCCATTGAAGGGTATTTCCGTGCCGTTCCACTCTTCTTATTTGAGATCTGGTGTCAAGCCGTTCCAGAGATTTTTGGTTAAGAAGATCCCACAGGAAGCCATCAAGCCTTCCAACTTGATCAACAAGTACATTCCTAATTTGACTGCGAAGCCATTCGAGATCACCAAGGAGTACTTCCAAGATGTCTACGAATTGACTGGTTCCGAGAAGATCAAGAACATCTTGGACAATTGGGAGAAGTACGAGAATGCTTAATCTCTAGATTTTTATGCGTTATGCTTTCTCTTGTGATATTAATTTGTTTCTGCTTTTATGTTTATCTTTTTGTTTTCTAGCCCTCCTAATTCGCTCGCGCTTTTGGGTCTCAGCACACGTACGTGGTAATACTTGTGTTGGCAGCCTAACTAGCTTTGAGTCTGATAATACATATTTCTTACTACTTCCTTGTAAATTCCAGGATATAAACATACTTGTGATCTCTCTTTTTACTATACTCGGATAGATATGGTTTTCTCCGAAAGTGGTCCGATTTGTTCACCGAGACATTCTCACCCTATTTTATCAGACTGTCAGGCTAGAACTCTTTCTGTTTTCATTTTTCCTTTTACTCTGAAAACGATTCACCGATAACACACAGACTGTATCATTGAGGGAATATACGAAGCTCAGAGATGTAATTTATATAATTAGACTAATAACTAGCCTTTTACTGCTACAATAATGGCCGTTTGGCCGAGTGGTCTAAGGCGTCTGACTCAAGATCAGATCTCGTAAGAGGCAAGCGTTCGAACCGCTTAGCGGTCATTATGTTTTTGCGTATATAAGTTGCTTACCTCTCAAGGGATGCAAGATGAGACTTTTGCTTAACCGAAGGACCACTCCATTGTTAGACCCCAACCAAAAGAGTTCTGGTATCGGGACCTACTTTACCAAGAAATGTATGTCTTTATCTGCTCGCCGTCCAATAGTTTCGAATAGCTACAATGTGACTTCAGACTGGCATACATCATTAGCGCATATATAACCCACTTGTGGAGTTATTTTCCCAAGGGCCATATTTCCATACATTTATCATGACTTACGGTATGGAAATGGATCAATATGAATAAGGAGTAAAATGTGATCTAATTGGACACACATGCTTTTGTAACTTGTAATTCGGCAGGAGACAACCGAGTGATCAGCACTCCGTCGGCCACACCCAGGCATGTATACGTCGCTATACCTTAGTTAAATGATTACATGTATCGAAATAAATGGAAAAAATAAAATGTTAAGACAAGCTCTGCTAGCTGGCTACGCCTATGCCCTCCCAGGTATAACCTTGCAAGTTCTGAATGGCTTAGCCCTTCCCCTGGATCAACGGGCTCGAAATATTTACTGGAGTAAATTTCTTCGGTAAGCTTACCCTCGAAAACCTGCTCTTCAACTTCTGCGTCACGAGATCCATATCCAAGTGTCTGGTCAACGAAATCTTCGGAATACACCCGATGTAGTGCTTCGCATCAAGATCAATGTCCAACGGATTTTGGGTATGGCAGCCCGGGCTGATGCCCAACCGGATAGAGTGCTTCTTCACGCCGCTGTCATCATCCGCGCTCTCGTACAACTCAAACACAATCTGCGAAAGGTAATCCAACTCGGGCAAGGCATTGCGCTCGACCTTCATCGGGATCTGCGATTCGTAGATCACGTTGAGAAGCGTGTAGATATGCGACTCCTTCGTGAAGTAGCACACGCAGCCAGGAGTGTCTGTCTCGCGCATGTTGGTGATGTCGTTCAAAACCTGCCTGGACAACGGTAAAGACGTGAGCAAGCCAATGTCCAACTTTTCATCGTCCTCAATCCCATACTCCTGCGGACACACAAAGTCAAACAAGACCTTAGCCAAACGGTAGAGCTCGCGCAAGTTACTGAATTTTGGGTCATCAAACGGCGAGTTGCCATCCGGACGAGCGGTCAGCTTGTTGCCGCTGCTCAAGACCCAGCCAAGCGAACCCACCGACGAGGCCGACGCGACACTGGTGGAACTATCAGGAATCTTGAAGTTGTTCATAGCCAAGATGTTGATAGGGTACTCGCTGACAAGGCACTGGGAGTCGTCCTGAGCCTCCTCACCTGGATCGAAGATAGCCTGGAGGAACTTGCGGTTGTGCAACGCGTCGTACTTCATGGTGTCGTACAACTCGCTGCACTTGGACGGATCGACCTTGTCGATGTTGGCAAACTCGGTGAATAACTTGTCCCAACGTTCGCGGAACAAGTGCGAGTCCTCGCCGCAGCACCACACCTTCTGGAACTCCTCTACGTTCTTGATCGCAAAGTTTGTCTCGAGGATCTTGCGGTGGTAGCACATTAACTCGACGACACGCTTGATGACGACGAACGGCTGGGGCATCTTGGGTGGCCACGCGAACTGGGGCGGTGCCTCCTTCCCTTCACGCAAGAGTGGCTTTAACTTCTTCTTCACCTTGTCCATGAGGTCCTTGGCCGCGTTGGAGTCGTCCAAGAGGTCCTTGCGGATGATGAGAAAGTCGTCGGGGAGACACTCCTCGTCGAGAAACGAGCATGCGGTGAGCTGCGCCGAAGCAACGACACGTCTCTCAGACGATGTGAAGATTTTCACGTCGTTGAGCGCATCTTTGTTCAACAACTGGATGTTCTGACGCATCTGCTCGCCGAGCTCGGTGGCCTGGTACTGGGCGGAGTGAGTTGGTTCCCCACCCCACTTGATGATTAATTGCACCTTTTCAACTTCCCCAGTCTCCTTGTTCAACGATGGTTTCAACTGTACCTTGGTGCCCAAGAAGTCCATCTTCTTTTCCAACGCACGACGCAACTGCGCCAACTTTGCCGCGTCCTCCACGCCCTCACGCTGCGCTACCTGCACGGTGGCAAGCACAACCTGTAAGTCCTCGACCGCGCGGATGATAACCTCTTCGCAGTGTCCTTTAAGTAAGCCGATGAACAACGGTGAGCGGAATGAGTATTTGAACTTCTGTTTAGGGGTTCGGTCGGCATGGCGGATGATGCTCACCATTCCCTTGAACACCCACTTTTGCTTCTTCTCCTCAATCTGCAGCGGTAACTTGACAGACGTTTTGCGCACCATGCGGTTCTGGAGGAACAACTCGCGGAGAATCTTGGCAGAATTTGCGTAGTACGCCTCGTTGTCCTTTACAAAACTGAACCCGTTCACGTCGATGACATAGGAGTTGCCGTTCACACGGAGGAGATCGAAGCCACAGATCGTCTGTCCGAACGCGCGGGAAATACGCAGCGCCACGCTCTGCTCCGCAGGCGAAAGTTTGGTAATGTACCGAATCTCCTTGCCGTGTGTGTTACGCCGCACAATCCCGTCAACCACCGGCGATTTGCGCGTCTCTGCGTGGCAAAACTGTTCGCCCACAGTGTACGCCTTGACATCCTCAAAGTTGTCAGTATCCATGAACTTTTCGTAAAGATAGGACCCATCTGTGCGCGGGTGCGATAATGTGGGGTCAAACTCCGACGACTTGTTGCCAATCTTGCGAAACAAACGCCTCCCACCACCACCGTTTGCCTTCGCGTAATAGATATACACGTTGTGATCCTCGCCGTCCACCGGCTTTTCCACAAACGGCTTGCTCAAAATTTGTCCGTCGACGCAGAGCGTGTCCTCGTCAAGCATCTCCCACTGCGGCTCCGGCACCTCGGCATCGTCAATACCAAGAGCCGCAAGTTTTTCATGGAGAAGCCTGTCCACTCGTGGTCCGCCGTCACGGCTGATTTCGAGCCGTGGCGCCGTTGGCACACCGCTCTGGTCGAGAATCCGCAACACCAACCGCCGATCCCACAACGCCTTCTGCAACACGAGATCGTTGAGGAGGTATGGCTTGCGGAGGTTCGCGTAGCTGATCGCCTTGTCTAGCGGGAATCCCGTGCTGAAGAACGAGATGAGGAAGTCACACGTGGGCCAGTTCTCAATCGCCTCGTCAAAGAGCACTTTGTCGCCAAAAATCACCGTTTCGAATTCGCCATTTGCAATCAACCGGTTGAGGATCTGCCGGCACGGCTTCAGAAGCACCTTTGCGTCCATCGCGCAGACGCCGATGGTGCCGACCTTCGGCAACTTCGGCGCTGTACCAACGGACTTGCGCCGTGCGAGCGACGCGGACGAGCTCCCTGAGCTCACCGAGCCGGGTGGCGTATCCCTGAGGCCGAGAACCTCGGACGTTGACTGGTTGGACTCGGAGGCGGATGTTTTGGGGGTGAAGCCCTCTAGAATTGGTGCGATGGAAGCCATTGCCTTACTTTCGGTGCTGAGCGACAACGGCGAGGGAGTAGGAAGGTATGCTTTGGCTCCCGGTACTGGTATTGGAACCGCCTTCGTTTCTGAGCTGCTCATTATGAAGGAATGATAGATGGGAGGAAGAGGGACGGAACAGGGGTGGATGAAAATTACGTCTTTTCTGTGCGCGAGCGGGCACGTGTCTGTGTGAAGCACGCACTACCCCTTGTGATGGGCCTTCATAGATAATGATAAATTGGCATGGGTTTATGTAATCCTACAAAATTGTCGTAGATAATTTAGGTATATAGTGTGTACCGTTGACAAATAGTCAAAAAAGGATGAGTGCTGTAGAACATCCAGATCACGTGGGAAACTGGCTAATAAACTACCCGAGACATATACTCTGACACGCGTCTTGGTCGCTGGACCACTGATAAGTAAAAGTTGGCTGGCTGCAGCTTACCTGTATGGTTCACGTCTTCAACAATCTTACGTGCGCCGGGTTGAATATCCATCTGCCGTGGGTACCGTGTTGCGTATACTGGGTGATAAGGAAATGAGGTAAATTATTAACGAATAATAACAGTATATGACATCTAGCTATCGCTTGTTGGATACCGATGCGCCTCTACACGCTGCATCCTGAATAGCTTTGTCGGGTGTTCCATTTATAATCCACAAAATGTTTACGATAGTCTCGACAATACTCCAAGTAGAGATTCTATCCCTGACCAAAGCCATTCTGTTTCAAGTTTTAATTCTTACTAAATATTGCAATGCTGTCAATTGACAGAGCTGGCATTTCAAACTCCCCGTCCGAGCAGGCCCGGGCCATTTGCGGACACTAAACTCGCTTCAGTTATCAACGTATAGGGTATTATCAAAAAGCATGGACATTTTTATTGAGCTATACAGGACCATTGCCGTAAACACATCGCACGTTAACTTCCTACACGAGGCAAACCTCAAATTCTTGTAAGGGTTTATTCGTTTAGTAATAGACTACTCCAGTTGTTACCAAATCTACGTATGTAGGCCCCAAAATTTTAGTGCTCCACTCACACACGGTGGAAAAAAAAAGCCGTGTCTGTCGAGACTAAATCTAGGGTAGAGGCCATTCAATATACCAACGCTCCGTTAGTACAACATATCTAAAAGGATATGTGTCCTGCAACCACAATAGGTCGCATCGCTGGGTACCACGTCTGCCTGCAAACGTGAGAAGAAGAAAAATGTCAGAAAAAACTATATAACAGTACCCAAAGGCTAAGAGAACACATGGTTATCATTGAGTATATATATAAATGGCAAGGATGCCAAAAAAAAGGAACGGGTCCACTAGTAATGCAATCAGGAAAGGAAAAGGGCCGCTTACTCAATAGCGGCAAGGGAGTCGAACAACACAGAGATGCTCTCACCGTGGTGGTCGCGACGGATGCACTCCGCAAAAATTGGAGACACGTCAATTACCACCAACTTGGAGGACGACCTCTGCTGGGCTTCGGTGATCGGATACGTGTTGGTGACGATGATCTTGTCAATATACTTACAGCTGGTCAAGGCTTCCAAGCAGGAATCGGAGAAGATCCCGTGGGTGGCAGTCAAGTAGACCTTTTTAGCACCACAGTTCAAACGGAGGTGCTCGGCGGCGGCGATGAAAGAGTTTGGTTTGTCGATCAAGTCGTCCAAGATGATGGCGGATCTGTTGTGGACGTCACCAACCAAGGTGATCAACTTCTCCTGTTCGATAAACTCCGGCTCATCTTCCTCGTCAGAGTTGTTTTCGTAGTCCCTGCCAGCCTCGGTGTGCGGGACGGAGTCATCGTCATCGTCTTGGACGACATGACCCTTGACGATTCTGGCGGTCAACATCTCACTGACAATGTTATCCTCCTGATCCTCCTCAACAAAGTTGGTGGACTTTTTCTTCGCAGCCTTGGCCTTCTCTTGCTCCTTCTTAGGCACATACCCGTCCTTGGTGCGGCGACGGTCGGTGTGGATCATCGCAAAATTAATCTTCAAGCTGTCGGCCAACGCAGTGACTCGCTTGGTACCACCCGGGTTTTTGGATACCACAACCGCGTTCTGGTAGTCCTCGACGTTCTGGCGGATCCAACGCGCGAGGGTTGGGGCCCCGTATAAGTTATCCACCGGTTTGGTGAAAAAGCCCTGCATCTGCGACGCGTGGAGATCCATGGAGACGACATGGTCGGCACCAGCCATGATGATGAGATTGGCCAACATTCTGGCGGTGATGGCACCTCTGTGCTTCTTCATCTTGGACTGCTTGGAGTACGGGAACTGCGGAATCACGGCCGTGATCTTGGAGGCAGAACCACTGCGGCAGGCAGAGATCAAAATCAACAACTCCATGATGTGGTCGTTGATGGTTGGCGAGCCACTTTGGATGATGTACACGTCTTCGTCTCTGACCGAAACGCCAATCTGGATAGAGGTTTCACCGTTGGCAAACTTCTTCAAGGTACACGGCGCCGGGTTGATGCCAAGACGGTCACAGACCAACTTCCCCAACTCGGGGTGGGAGGTACCGACGAAAACTTTGCACTTACGCATGGCGGAGGGGTTCAGAGACAGAATGGCGGCTGGACTGGGGGTGTTCAATTTTAAACGAAAGAGGTTATCTTTTTACGGGTGCAAAAAAACAAGACCTTTCTTGGAATGGGAGTGTAGTGGCGAGAAACAAACTACATTTCAGAAGAAGGAAGGGCATATGGAAAGAAAAAAACGTTTAAAGGACTAAGAAAAGTTTTTATGGCAGGATTTTCGCGCATGAGCTTCAGTACGGCCGGATGGAAGCAGTGGTCACGTGATAGCCTAAGCAAAAACTGCAACGGCGTAAATTAGGAAACGACTCGGGCTCGTTTGAAAGGAAGAGCGTGATATGAGATATGGCGGACTTTGTAACTGTCAAACGGAAGGGGAGATCTGAAGGCTCTGCAAAGGCTCCAGATAACGGGGTGTTGGTGGAGAGCTTGGAACTGAAGGTCCGGATTGTTCAGAAGTCCAAGCTTTTCCAGGAGGTGATGGAAAGCTTTAAACGGTATGCGGTCGGAAGCGAAAGGGTAAAACAGATCCGGTGTCTTGCCCTTGGCTCTCCGTCGCAAGATGCTCCCGCGTTGTACCAGCTAGCATTTCTCCGCCAGGTGGCGGACCATCTCCAAACCACCGAGGTTTCCTTACATGACCCCGCTTTTAATGACACGGATATAGCGTTCATTACGGGTTTAGGGTACTCTGTCAGCGAGGAGGATCCATATAAGGAGGTGCCACACACGTTTTATTTCTTGCCGCATGCCCCGTTGGGATTGACCGAAACAATATTGAGCGAATACAAGCCTGAGATGTTCATGGCGAATGATATAAAGATCCACGGTGAGCGGAAAACCAAAGTGGAGATGTACGAAAAGTACCCGACCATTGCGCTAGCAGCAAACTCAGTAGCGAAGGCATGCCCAAAGGTAGAGGCTGGTGTTCCAGTAAAGTCTACCCCCGTCGATGACGGCTTTGAGACTGTGAAAAAAAAACCCCGGAAGCGAACAAACAAGAATTTATACGTGGAACCAAAGATAGAGTACGACTATACACAATGCTTCTTTAAAACATGCTCCATGACGCGGTACAGTGAGATTGAAGGGCCCTGGGGAAACTCGTTCTCTGACTTGGCGTTACATATATTTGAATAGCATCGGTGGTATACGCATATAATGAGGTTTTTGTATTTGAGGAAGGAGCCCAGCATCCGGAAATTGTGTATGACCTCAGGTCTCTCCGTGCAAATCAACCTTATCGAGAACCATTCTCAAGAGATGGCGTCAGTAACAGGCTAGATCGCTCCCTTGTTAAGTACTATAACATACGGCGGCAGCACCCCTTGGATTTTTCCGCTCAAATGACACGTAAATCGTAGGATAATCACATGGCATAATATATAATATAAAGCAGTCAAATACTCTTATATTTAGATAACAAGCGGTTTCAATGGTTTGAGTAACTCGTCTTGCCCTCGCTGCTCCTTCTCCAGGCTTCCCAAAGAGGAAACACTCGATGAGTTACCCGACCAGTGTGCTTAACTACTATGCAGGAAAGAAAAAAAAATTATGCAGTGAAAAATTCTGAAAGCGTATCAAAATCAACCCTCGCAAACCGTATCATTCTTCATCCCTCCTTCATCAGTATGTCCGACACCAAGAGACAAAAGGTGGTTTCCGCACCTGTCAGAAAGGGTATTTTCTCGCCCTTGCGCTCGTTGGGTGATGTGTCCTCTCACATTCCGTTCTCCCTCGGGACGTTGGGGAACACCTTCTACGTCGTCACGGCAGTGGCGCAAAACGTGTCGCTTTTCGACGCCAACAACTTGCACTTAATGTTCCACTTCCGCGTACCACAATTGGTCACCGCCACCACCGCCAAGAATGAGTATGTGTACGTCGCGTATGGCAGCACTGTCGGCGTGTTCAAGCGCGGCAAGCTCGCGCACCGCATTGCGGTAGAGACCGAGGACGCCATCATCAAGCTCCTTACATTCGGTGATTTCCTCATTGCCGCGACCGAATCCCAGATCTTCCTCTTCAAGAAGCCAACGGGCGGCAAAGTTGCGACAGAGCCGTACACAACCTTGGCTGTCAACGCGTTGAACGGGGCCATCGTGGACATCGTCCATCCACCAACCTACCTCAACAAGATCGTTGTTGCAACCGCCTCCAACCTCTTGGTGTTCAACCTTAAGACTGCGAAGTTGTTGTTCACGTCGCCTGACTTTGTTGAACCCATCTCCGCGCTCACGGCCGCGCCGGTGCTTGACATCGTCGCGGTGGGCCACACCACAGGTGGAGTCACCATCTACAATATCAAGAAGGCAAAGCAGTTGAAGCGTGTGGTGTGCGGCGAGACGCGTGTGTCGTCGGTTTCGTTCCGCTCGGACGGGTCGCCGCACTTTGTCGCGTCGTTGATGTCAGGTGACTTGTTCTTCTACGACTTGAACAAGCGCGCACGCATCCATGTACTCCGCACGGCACACAAGGAGGCGTACGGCGGTGTTGCACGGGCAGAGTTTCTCAACGGGCAGCCGATTGTTGTCACCAATGGTAACGACAATCAGCTCAAAGAGTTTGTGTTTGATCCGTCGTTGTCGACCTCTAACACCGCCATCGTTTCGCCTCCAAGATTCTTGCGTGGGAGGGGTGGCCACTCCGCGCCGCCATCGCAGATTGTGTTTCAGAACGAGAACGCGCACCAGTTGCTCTCCGCCTCGCGTGACTTGTCTTTCTGGTCGTTCTCGCTCCGCAAGGATGCACAGTCGTTTGAGATGTCGCAGAAGCGCAAGATGACGTATGCAGATGGTGTTTCGGGTAAGTTTCCGGAAATTTCTGCTATCGCCATCACCTACGCGCCGACCGAGTTCGCCGATGTTGTCACCGCACATAAAGACACCGCGTACGCAGTCACCTGGCACTCGAAATTGAAGAAGATTGGCCAACACACCTTGCGCACCGTTGACCAGGGTGTTGTCAAGGCTGTTGCCATCACGCAGTGCGGTAACTTTGCGCTCGTCGGTTCTGCGGGTGGCAGCATTGCGTGCTACAACTTGCAGTCCGGGATCTTGCGTAAGCGCTACAACTTGCACAAGAAGGCGGTAACCGGCTTGGCTGTTGATGGAATGAACCGTAAGATGGTTTCCGTAGGGTTGGATGGGGTTGTCGGCTTCTATGACTTCACCCAGTCGACCTACCTCGGTAAATTGGTTTTGGACGCCCCAATCACCCAGATGGTATACCACCGCTCTTCTGACTTGTTTGCCTTGGCCTTGGACGATCTTTCGATCGTAGTGGTTGATGCCGTCACCCAGAAGGTGGTCAGAGTCTTGTATGGCCATTCCAACAGAATCACTTCCTTGGACTTCTCTCCAGACGGTAGATGGCTCGTATCCGCGTCGCTCGATGCAACCATCCGTACCTGGGACTTACCAACCGGTAACACCATCGATGGGATCCGCGTGTCAAATGTAGCCACCTCGGTCAAGTTTGCTCCTACCGGCGATGTTTTAGTATCTACCCATGTCAAGGGCAACGGAGTCGCTGTTTGGACGAACCGTGCACAGTTCCGGCCAGTCTCTACCCGTCAAATCGAGGAGGACGAATTCTCCTCCGTCGACTTGGCCAAGGAGTTGTCTCTCGGTGAGGTTGGCGTGTTGGATGGTGCGTTCGACGAGGTTTCCGCCGATTTTGGGGGTATTTACACCTCTGTCGACCAGATCAATGAGGATTTGTTGACTTTGAGTGTTGGCCCAAGATCCAAGTTCAACACCTTGGTCCACTTGGACACTATCAAACTCAGAAATAAGGTCAAAGAAGCGCCAAAGAAGTCGAAGAACGCGCCCTTTTTTCTCGCCTTATCAGGTGAAACGGTCGGTGACCGTGCATCCGTTGCTGAGGGTGTGGCTCCTGTCGTGGATGCCAGTATTACCAGCGGTGACGGTGAGAGTAGCTTAAGCAGCCTCAGGGCGGGTGCTAACGTCTCCTTCGAATCTAGGTTCACCCAGTTGTTGAGAGAGGCCGCTGAAAAGGAAGACTACGTTGAGTTCTTGGCATACTTGTTGGCGCTCTCGCCATCTTCCATTGACTTGGAGATCAGGTCGTTGTCTAGCGTTCCGCCGTTAAATGAAATGGCAAACTTTGTGGACGCCTTGACCACAGGGTTGGGCTCTAACAAGAACTTTGAGTTGTACGAGGCGTTCATGAACATGTTATTAAAGGTGCACTCAGACGTGGTGCATGACCTTGGGAAGAACGATGAAGGCTTGCAGACTGCATTGGTTAGATGGAATGCGGTGACGAGTGGGAGAGGACAAACTTTGGAGGGGTTGGTGAAGTACTGTGCTGCCGTGGTGAACTTTGTAGGGACAGTCTAAGCCAGCGAGCGAAGTCGACCGTACCCGGGAGATTTGAAAGCTCTAACAAGATTAAGAGATTAGACTGTATATGATCTAAAATAATATATACTCATTAGGAATAATATGCAAGAGGTAAAAAACGGCAACAAGAAAAGTGCCATCCCCGTGGAGTAGATCTTTTATACCTACAACTTTCATATAGCTAGGGAGGAATAGTACTATATCCAGGTAATCAACTCCATCAACGTACGTGTCAGTATTAGGGGTACTTGGGACGTCGTATCTAGGGTTTATACAATCACCTACAAGATTCTATATTTCCATACCAGGAAGCGCAGTTTTTTTTTTTGTGGTGCATTTTCTGCGGGGTCTTGCCGATAGAAATACCTGGCACCAATGCCCACAAACAAGGTATTGTTCCTCTATAACACTTAAAAGGTCATAGTGTCTGCTCTATGCTGGCCTTTCTCAGTTTTAAGCTTCAACTTTACCCCCTAAAGAGCGTCACTAACATCATTGTTTGTTGATTTCCACGATAAGCCCCCTTAGGAAAGTTTACTGGCACCGGTGTGGGGGAAAAAGTGGGGGCTGAGAAAAGTGGATCCTAGACGACGGATATTCCACACCGATTCAGTATCTCTATCCGTTAGAACTCCGATTATTGAAATTAGGTTGGCTAAGGATAGTCCCAATATAAATTCATCAAAACCTCTCCCCCTTTACACCACCACTCTTTTGCTAATCCGCCACAATCCATGCACAATTAACCCTTTCCCCATGATGTCCATCGCTGATCTCTGCAAGCTCCTTGTGACCGTATCCTTGGTATTTGTCTCCAGCTTGTACTTTCTCCCTTCAGTTCTTAGTAAGATAGCCTATACTTTCTTTCCCCAGACCGCCGGAGGCTCAAAACCGACACCGAAGCAACACCAGACGTACGAGTATGTAGCCAAGTTTTTGAACTTCTTTTACTGGCTTCAGGAAGTAGTATTGCCTGCCCAGCTCTTGGGCGAAGACGGAGGATTAGTCTCCAAAATCTTTGTTTACCCGATCAAATCGTGTGGTTCCATCGCAGTTGACAAGTGGGTCGTTAATGAGCATGGTTTGGCCTACGACCGCCAATACATGTTGGTGTATAAAAAGAAAAACTCGGGTCCAGAATCGGCGCTCGTTACATTGTCCCACACCCTGTGTCCGATGCTAACATCACTTGTAACGAAGTTTATCCCTGGCAAATCCGATGAAACATATTTCACAGAAGCACTTTTTGAATTTAGCTACCCTGCGGCCGAAGGCTTACACGCGGCGGGAAGTTTCACGCTTCCGGTTCATGTCACCGACGAGTACATTAAAGTGCACGCGGAACTGAAGTCACCCATTCTGCATAACCTCTACGGTGTCGGCTTTACGGCCCATAGCTTGGTAAATGTGTTACCACGCGCCTTTATTGAGAATTTAAAGCTTCCCGAATCTACAACCTTGATTTACTCCAAGACGGGAAAATTTGTCAAGACCAAATCCCCCAGTCCTGAAGTTTTCCTGCAGAAAACCCCCCGGGAGGAAGGGAATGCGTTCAGAAAGACGTTGTTCAGCGATTACTACCCGGCTTTGGTTTTCTCGCAGAGAGACGTTGACTATGCCAATAAGTGCATTGAAGCCAACACTGACGTCGTAGCGCCAGTTCCAAAAGTGACTGCGTACACATTCCGCGGTAACATTCTTGTATCCGGTGGTAGGAGTTCACGGCCCCATGATAACGATACGTGGGCAAAGTTTACGATCAATCTGAAGACTACAGGCGTCAAGCATTTGTGGTATGTTGCCATGAAATGTGCCCGTTGCTCGAGTTTGAATATTGTCCAGGGAAAGCTAAACCCAAAGTTGCCCGTCAGTCGAGCCTTAGCAAAGTATCGGAAGGTGGAGAGCAGCAAGGAGCTCTTCTTTGGAATTTACTGCATTCAGGACGATTTTGGATACGAAATTAACACCGGTGATTCCATCACTATATTGGGGAGAAAGATCAGCTCTGCTGCCCCATTGGAATAGAATTAGGGTGTGTCAGTTTTTAGCAATGTGCAGAAACCATAGAGGCTGAGATCCGGCTGTACCGTTTCGATCCATAGCGGTGGTAGGTTTCTGATAGATCGCGAAGATCATATCTAATTTCTGTCTCCTTTTCTGGGTTCGACTGTCTTTGTTTTAGAACAGTTAGAGAAACTAGCTCTCGTATAAAGTGCATCTAGGTTGTGTTACTTCTCGGGTTATTTTGAATAAATTTTGAAACCACCCCTTTTAACTTAGTGAAGTGGCTTATCGGAGAGATTTACGTGATGGTCGAAGCCCGTACGCTGGTATTAAAACGATATGTTTAGCACCCAGACAAAGAATGTTCCCTTTTCGAGGTGGCTTTTATAGTAGGGATTCAAGTGAGTATTTTTGTATGGTCCTTGTACTTCCTGTTTTGGGATCAATCCGACGCGTTTTTTCAATTTCAAAAACTCTAAATTCCTGTAGCTATCCGCTGGGAAATTCCTTACAGACTAACTAGGCTATACCCTGGTGTTCGGAAATGTCTAAAATAACGGTAGAAAATAAGAAGCAACAGCCGCTTCAGCTGTGAATGAATGTTCAAAGAGTGAGCCCTGGTAGCACTAAAACACAGGAAAACTAAGGTTCGGTCCTGAACACGCCCTGTGGAGGCGATATCATTGTTTATTGTGTAGTCAGCGGAATACTGCTTCCATGGGGTAGGACTTGGGTCATGGATAATCGCAAATTGGAAAGGTCTACGTCATCATTACTTCACATCCGGAGTATACTGCCCTGCATACGACGTAACTCACACAACACAGTCATTCTAGGAATATAGAGTTGTTTCATACTGTTCCTGTTTGTTGGACACTGTCAAACATGTGACCGTGAGCGGTACTTATTTTTGTCATTGGAAAACTGCTGTAAATAAGTATACGTATATAGCGCTGTATGTGGTCTAGGTTGCTGAGATGATGGGGTTATATTCTACTGCATCAAATATCAACCTAAAACGTACTACGTACCCGCAATTTTATGACGTATGGAACGTAGACAGAGTATGTAGGCTACGAATACGACAAGCTATTCTAACGAGAAGCCCCCTGGCTTCTCTAAGGTAATGGCAAGCCAAGTCACCTTAAACCCAAGTTATAGGCCATAGATGCAGCAACACCAGATCTAGGTATCATTTTGCAACGTGATGAAAGAATACTAGCGCTGTGCGGAACACCTATTATCATCTGATCATACATCAATTATAAATTCAAATAGCTACTGGAACCATTTGCTTTAGGCGGTATATCAAGCAATGTGAGAAGCAAAATAATAACCCATGAAGCCAAGATACAACTAAGAAGAAAAAAAAAGATACAAGAATCCTAGGGTGAGTTTTGAGGCTAGTACTAGGGCTTTCGAGTAATATGCAACGAGGCGGCCGCTCCTGTGACCGGAGTAGGAGAAATACGCATGTGGGGTAGATTTAAGCAAAATGCAACCCGGAATAGCTAAGACCAGCTTAAGCAAGGGAAATGCAAGTAAAACGGGGACTTAATGAGTACAAGACAACAACCACGTCCGGTAGTTGTTGGATATATAACTCGTGTCTTGTCTGTTGCTTCTGTAATTTTGATCGAGATCTATCACATCGAACTTTAAGTCATCAACCATTACCGACAATTGAAGAGACTCTGTTTGATATACGGAAGGATCAAAAATATCGGCACTGAACGTGTAATTCAAGTCAAGGATGGTAGGTTCAGAAACAGTACTCTTCCTAGAGCCAAAGAACTGAGATTCGTACAACAACTGAACATCCATAGCATTGTAATCACGCGGTGGGCTCGCACTTTCGCTGTGGCTATGATGGAAATTGCTAAACGGCGCGTCTGTGTGTATCAGGGGGCTAAAAGGCTGCTGTGGGGAATGAGCACACGTGCCATGGTAATGAGGCTCGTCTCCTGGCTGTTCTAAGTAAGGAAGTTTCAAAATCGATTCCGTCACATCGATCGAACGATTCAAGTCTGCTAAGCGACAAGCGTCAGAGCAGTATATAGCACCCGGGGTACACAAGTTGCCGTCAACCACACAGTAGTCGTCTTGGAAGCACATGATGTATATGGGTAAGAGTAAGGTAAAAGGAGAGATGCTGATGAATAAAAATATGAGGTATGGAAACACACTAAGCGTGATATATGCGAGTGACAGTGGGAAAGGATAGCTAAGGTAGAGGGCACCTTAGGAGAGTATGTAATGTCAGTGTCAAGAAAGTTGGAAATAAAGTCCGATGAAAGACCAAACGAGATGTGAACTGGTTATATAAGTGATAGAAAAGTGTGGAACTCGGCGTCTAAATCTCGGAGCCAACAAAATAATGCGTAGTAGTTAGACAGCAAGGGGGGTGCTGCATAAAAAGCCGTCATCGATTGATAATACGAGGAGGTTACGGTGGGCTGTGAGTGTCATTTTCCATGATGGAATCTGAGGCACAACATTTAAACTTCACACAACATTTTGTAACGAAATTGCTCATTTAGATAGATCGTCCCATGCACTTGCGTGCGTATTGACGCATACATGCATAACCTGCACCACTGTGGTGGTGGAGGGGAACCACATTTTCTATTGGCCGCGGGCAAAGAAAAGAGAATGGTAGAGGGTTACTCAGAAAATTCAAGAGGTTACACCGCGTGCTCATGCAGTGGACTAATTTCAAGGGTTATGCATGGTTGTATGGAAGGGGTTAATTGCAACAAGTTTAGATCGAACCAAAGGATTATTATACATGACGTCGCGAAGCTATGTAAACAAACTACCGCGAAAAGGTCATTTTATCCTTAGGTTTCAGTGTTTATAGGCAATCGGTATGCAAAACCGGTACCGCGCCGGTACCGCAATAAATACTCGTATACACACCTCACACATGACCATCATCTATTGATATGGTATCCAACACGATCTGAAATTTCCGTGCTAGATCCGCAGGAAACAGGAAAAACAGTAAGGCCGCAGTGCCACTTTCTCTTTCCTTTTTGTTTGCTGTAACAGGTATTTCAATTTCACGTGATTAGCCCGACGCAGTAGAGTGCTCATATGTAAACCACCAACGACCTAACCGACATCTACTTCATTTCACTTAATACAGAACGTGTTTCGGCTCATAGAGTGCTGAGGCGCCTCGAGCCGCTGCCCTGTCTGGCCCCGGATATTATAATCTAATACTGCATGCTTCCCAAAGAGGTGAGTTTGATGCTTATCGGCGGCTTCACGCTCTGGGGGCGGCTTGCCAGATTGGTATTAGCCATGCCTAGAACCCCACAGGTTGTGGGGTAGCTGGAATATGGAGAAACGCACCATGGAAGGATCCACGCTGTATGCAGTCCCGAGCGATGAAGTCACGGCCTGGACTATGAGCACGATTCGTGGCTTCGACTCGCACGTGCGTATACGTCTAGAAGAAATCTAGTCGTGGTCATGGGTTGGTATTTCTAATAGATGATTGGGTAAACTAGTAGACAAAACAGGAATTAGAATGGCTCCTGCGAAAGTTAGTTGATTACCGTTGTCAAGACGCCAGAAATCGATTCCACTCCAGGGGCATGTATAGCCGTATTGGTGGAAGTCTGTGCCAAAGAGCCGCCTCTGAATCCTGGCTATGTCTACCACCTAGTTTCATTGTCGGGTGCCAACAAGGGTCAACGAGAATGTATGACCATTCGACCGCCAACTATGGGGGCTATCAACCTCATATAACAAATTATGGTTGGCATCCACCTGGATTCACTTTACGGTACACATCGCCGGTGAAAATACGTGGTTTCGAAAGCTTTTGGTCTCAAACGGCCAAAGCAAGTCTACACCTAACCGTCCTATATGGCTGCTATCCTTTGGGTCCTGAGTCCCTAGAATGGAAGACGCCTGGTATTGGTTCATTTTAGCACTTGGAGTTGAATTTCCTACACTCGTATGTCCGAATCCCCTGTCAAAATCCTTCGGTCTGTAGTAGACATAGGTTTGACCGGTTCAAAGTGGGGATCGTGCCGACAAATTCCAACTGCATGCAAGTGGAAATTAGAGAGCCGCCTGACGACAATATCAGATGTCTGACGTATTCCTTTCTTACAGGGTACAGCTTGCACCACAAGCCTGCATGGAAAAAAAAGTTTTGGCAGGGGGGTCCCCCGCATTTCATGCAGGAGCCGGAATATGTATAAAAAAGCTACGTGAAAACTTTTCATTTTCAAGTCGCTAATCTCCCATTACGTTAAATCGGTACGTACAGAACTTTACCAAGACGGTAATCAATCGAGAAAAAGTGGTGGTCGATGAGTAATTCAACAATATTTGGCCTGAGGGGACTTTTCTAGGACTAATTCTTGGGCGCTCGACGCTAAGTTCTACACCCATTCTCAATAGTCCGTACTTTGCTCCATATATAATTACGAGCTAAAACCCGGATATCGTTAAATGTGCATGTCCATACTCCTGAAGCTGTGACAGATCTGACCTTACCACTCTCATTCTACTACCCAAAGGCATTGGCTTCCATCTCAACCACTTGTGCACATACGTGTATCTCGGCCATGTAATACACGTTGACACTCCAAGGTTTAGTTACTGGCTCTCAAGCACTGGTTAATTAATACAGTAGGTCTTCACCTTGAAATTTCAATATTAAACGAAAAAAGAATAGAATCGGCGAGGGTTCGTGGACTAATCAGAGTTGGTTAGATATTGGATCAATGATACATATGCTCCATGCGCTGATCTGGGTCCTCTATCGGGGAATCAAGGCCATGTATGAGAATTTTGAGAGGCAACAAGATTTTAGTTACAAATGTGGTCATGAAATATAGGCATCTAAAAGATTTAGGAGATAGTGTGGGGGTGGGAGATGCAAGCGGAAATCTGTTTTTCTTCCCTCTTGCAGACACGCAGTAGTCTGGGAGACGATCCATCACGTATGGCAGTCCTTGAAGCTCTACATTATAACAATTCCCACGGCATGCTTCGATATAATCTAGATTCGGGCCATTTCCTCCCTTCTGACTCTCCAAGCTGGTTCGACTGACTCACCAAACCTGGCTTCGCCGCGTCTTCTTAACTCAAAGTTATCATCGAACCAATCAATCAACTCAACCAAGCTCTTGGTGTCATTCATTTGTTTCACCACCTCACGCTTAAGCACCTTTTCCAACATGACGCTTAAATGGTGCTGGGTAATCCTGAACGGTAACCCGTAAGCCGAAGCCAAATCCCAGAACACCTCAACGGCACCCCAGGTAGTTTTGTCGTAACCGGCGAACATAGAGGGATTGGCAAGGATACCTCTTACGGCCATCACACCATCACATCCAGTCTTCTCTCCGATTTCATACGCATCAGCGAGTGAGAAACAATCACCGTTGGCGACGACTGGACAGCTGACCGATTCTTTTACCAACCTGATAGCTTCGAAGTCGGCTGGTTGGGACGATCTCGTGGTTTTGGTTCTCCCATGGACGGTAATCCAATCCACACCGGCAGCTTCAACCATCTGGACAAATCTAACCGTTTCGTTCAAGTCCTTGTGGATTCTAATCTTGGTCTCGATCAACACTTTCGAACCGTACTTTTCCTTAACCGCCTGGACCATTCTTGCCACCTTTTCCGGTTCGGTCATTAATGCAGCACCGATACCTTCTCTGACTTGTTCTTTGATCGGACAGCCACAGTTCAATCCAATCGCATCAACGTATGGATGAATCATTTCGACGAATCTTAGTAAATCTGTTTCGTTATTAGCACCAACCTGGACGATAACGCAACGGTCATCTTCGTTGGTTGTAAAGTCCGAAAGACGAGCAATGTCGTTACGAACAAACTCTCTGGCGAGAATCATAGGTGTATACACGATGTCAGCCTTGAAGTGACGGACAAGTTCCCTGAACGGAAGCTTGGAGTATCTGACCATCGGGCCACAGATAAACGCTGGTCGGCTTTCAGCGGCACACTTTTTGAATATGTTTAACGGGTTGTGCTCTGGTCGTCTGGCGGAGACCGTGGCATTTGGGGAAGCAGACATGGTGCAGATGGATATAGACTTGTAAACGGAAGGGGGTAGGAGGCGTGATCTTACTCCGAGGGTGTGAGGAGTGAAAATTTTGAAAGTCGGGCTGTGGGAAGAGAGGGGATTATATACCAGCGAGATCCTTTGAATAATCTAGTATATATGACTTGTTTTAGGCGGTAAAGGAGGGGAAATAGGTGTTATCTAATCGGGAAGGCCTCAGAGACGAAAAATTCTGGTGTACAATGAGTGTTGGCGTTATCCAGATCTCAGCGTGAAATTTTTAAGGCGCATCTCATCGTTCTCATAGACCTACCCTTTCAGGATGATAGCCGCTCTCGCGTTTGCATACCGGATTGAGAAGGTGGATCCTGAGTTATAGACACCAGCACAGGATAGTATAGTAATCCTTTGGAGATGCAAACCGATTAAAGAGTCGGCAGCGAGCGTCATGTCAGTGGCATGGTCAAATAATCCGTTATAGTCCCGTACAGTGTCGCTTTATCCAACCCCTGTGAAGATTGAGTCGCGTTGGAGGAGAATCCAGAAACCGTATATAGTTTAATGAAGTATAATTTTTTGGTTTGACATACAACGTTGGCAATATAACCTCAGATTATGATACCAGCTATTGGGGTAAATATTATCTGTGCTTTTCACGGTTCGCCCCGATGGTTGGTATCATAATCTGAGGCTACAACACCAATGTGTGCCTCACTCAAGAGCAACACTGGCAATGTCGCACCGCGATTTTCTGCCAGTCCTGCACGTGTAAAAGTTTTCGCTGATGAAAAATTCAATATACATATGCAGAGATTATAAGGATATCTCACTCACAGATTAGGTTCACTTTCAAGCCCGATAAAAATGTCTGACGAAACTCTCAAGAGACCAGTGTCTCCCGTACAGGTTGAACCTGAGGCCAAGAAGCAACATACTGAGGGGCTAGTAGTCGCAACCCCACAGCCAAAGGATGACCATTTCGCTAAGGGGATTGCTCCAATTAAGGCTGAATATCTTATTCCACATGTTCCTGGCACCCACAACACCATCACATTTGACGACGAAGAAGGCTTGGGTGACAGAGAAGATGCCGGGGAGGAAGGGAGTGACAAGCGCGGGAAGGGCCGAGGCAAGAAGGCCAGAGGACAAAACAAGAAGAGGGATTTGGCCCAACACCACGAAACCATCAGACTCTGCTCCACTGTTTTGGATCCAGAAAATGTCAAGGAGTGCCGTTTTGGTGCCAGCAAGTGCCGTAATACTCACAATGTGGAAGAATACCTTGCCTCTAAGCCAGCCGATATCGAGGGCATCTGTCCAGTTTTCAGGGCCATCGGTTACTGCCCAGCCGGATTGAAGTGCAGATGGTTGCACAGTCACTATAACAAGGAGCTTAACAAGTTAATCAAGGACTTGGGCGTCATGGAAGCTGCCAAGCAAAACAACTACGAAGTCAACAAGGCTGACATCCAAGCCAAGGCTGAGTTGCAGAGAAAGAAGTTTGACTTTGCGATTTCTAACCGGGTAATCCCATACTTGGACTCTTTGGTCCAGAAAGACCTACCAAAGAAGGTGGCTCCATTGGCTGATACAGAGACCCTTGCCCCAGTACCAGCCACCGAGCAGTCTACTCAAGACAAGACCAAGGAGCTGATGAACGCGTATGTCGAAGCCCCATTCAAGCCAGCGGAAAAAAAGAGACTCAACTTGCACAGAGCCAAGATTGTTTCCCCGTTGACCACCGTGGGTAACTTGCCATACCGCCGTCTTATGAAGACCTTGGGTGCCGATGTCACCTACTCCGAAATGGCCTTGGCTTTCCCAGTGGTCAACGGTGCCAACGCCGAATGGGCTTTACCCAAGGCCCACCTCTCTGAATACCCAGGTTTTGGGGTTCAGATCGCCACTGCGAAGCACTGGCAGGCTGTTAAAGCCACCGAAGCCCTCGCCAAGTTGACCACCCACGTTTCTGAAATCAACTTGAACTCTGGTTGTCCGATCGACTTGTTGTACAGACAGGGCCAAGGGTCTGCCTTGATGGAACAGCCAGCCAGAATGGTCAGGATCTTGAACGGTATGAATATGGCGTCGGGCGACATCCCCGTCACCTTGAAGATCAGAACCGGTACCAGAGATGGCCACTGGAACGGTGCCGCTGTCGTCAAGCGTGTCTTGAACGATACCGATGTCGCTGCTATCACTATGCATGGCAGAAGCAGACAACAGAGATACTCTAAGGAGGCCAACTGGGACTACATTGGCCAAGTTGGTGAGATTGTCGAAGCGTACAACAACGACAAGGAAGAGGATAAGGACTCTGCCGAGACCCGCAGAGTGTTCTTTGTCGGTAACGGTGACTGCTACAACTTTGAGGACTGGAACCAGGCCGTCGAGAGAAAGGGTGTTGATTCGGTCATGGTTGCGAGAGGTGCCTTAATCAAGCCGTGGATCTTTGAGGAGGTTGAGGCCGGTCAATACTTGGACAAGTCTGCAACCGAAAGATTAGATATCTTGAGAACCTACGCGAACTTTGCCATCGAGCACTGGGGATCCGACGAGTATGGTATCAAGCAGGCCAGACGGTTCATGTGCGAATTCTTGTCCTTCTTCCACAGATACATTCCGGTGGGTATCATGGAGAGAATGCCAGCCAAGTTGAACCAAAGACCGCCGATGTGGAAGGGTAGAGACGACTTGGAAACCTTGTTGGCAAGTACCGACTACCGTGACTGGATCAAGATCACCGAAATGTTCCTCGGCAAGGTAGGCGAGGACTTCCACTTCACTCCTAAGCACAAGAGTAATGCGTACGAACCCCAGGCGTAAGAGCAGCAGCATGCCTGTGAACGTTCACTTTGTTTAAATAGAACTAGAAAAAAAAATAAGCTGGCATTTCTTGTAAAAATATGCCAACACTTGTATAATATGCAATCTATAATATATATTTATACATCGTTAGGACGTTAACTGTTTGAGAAAAATGGCGGGGCCCGGATAAACCATACCGGTAAGCATGATTCAGATCCTGTATCAACCGCGTCATGATGCTGTAAAACATAAATTCGAGTCCAGGCGAGCTGGCAGCAAGTGGAACTTTCAAATACTTATATGCAGGACCTCGACTATCGCATCGCCACTCTTGATTGCTGCTGCGTGAAAGCCTTTCCGAGTATTTAACGGCTTGCGCTTCCTGTTCATCTTCTGCCCGGAATACTTTGACCTCAACTGACTACACAATCGCAATGGCTCTCTATTACAACATTGTACGTATGAGCCTGCTTGTCGCGTCTCAAAACGATTATTAACCTTCTAGGTCTTCTCTATTTTGGTGACCGAAATGGCCATGTTTGGGTTGCTCTCGCTCCCTCTCCCTCGCAACATCAGAGGCACCTTGTTAAGCGTGCTCAGCAAGCCGTTCCAGTCGGCCCAGTTCCAGATTGCGATAAAGTGCATCTTGGCCTTTATTTTGATCCTCTTTGTGGACTCGGTCAACCGTGTCTACAAGGTGAGTGCAGAGTTACAGGCCCCTACCAACCACCCAGAAGCCGCTATGCAGGGTTTCATCGACAGAAGCGACGTACAAGCCAGAAGATTTTACGCCCAAAGAAACATGTACTTATGCGGTTTCACCTTGTTTTTGACCTTGATCTTGACCAGAACCTATGCCTTGGTTGACGAATTGGTGGTAGTTAAGACCAAGTTGGCTGCCCTTGGCAGCTCTAACGCTGCCACTTCCGTTGCTGCCGAAGCTGACGCTTCCCAGGAAATTGTCGACTTGAAGTCTAAAATTCAGGCCAAGGAAGCTGAACGTGAGAATTTGACCGACAAGGCTGCCAGTTTGTCTTCTGACTACAAGGCTGTTGCCGGTGATGCTACTGCCAGAAAGTGATTCTGGTATTTGACTCCTAATCATTTTCGGTGGCAAGCAAAGCCACCCGAGAACCTGCTTTTCAGGTTTCGACTAAGCTTACGATGTCATCTTGATCGCCAAAAAGAGTATAGCTAATTCAGTATATGTAAGGATGAAAGTTGTCAACTAGTAATGCATGATGGCCTTCAAGGTGTAGCTTACCAATGTAGGTAGCGTGATGGACAAGAGTGGGTATTGGCATAGCATCACAATCGACAAGCAGTCCATCTGGATATTATCGTCCGACTTGGGATCCGAGTAAAATGCCGTGAAATATACAAGGGTGGTTGCACTAGGAAGGCCCCAATTGATAATCGATATGAATCGCAACATGTCGTCGTCAACGAAAAAGTTGGCTCTGTCAAATCCCCAGTTTACCAAACAGCCCAAAACTGGCATTGCCACCAAACGGAAAACAGTAATAACCGCCGCGGTGTACAAGAAGCCCGGGGGGATTGCTTTCACGGTCAACCTCGAAAGTGTGGCTCCGACTAGCAAGAGACCGATCGGTACGCACGCGGCTCCCACATAGGATGTGAAATCCATCATAAATGACAAGGGGGGGTTGCCGTCTGGAGCATCCGGTAAGTGCACCTGATTAGATGAGACAAACAATGCCTTGACCCACGGAATCATGGCAAAGGCAATGCTAACGATGAGGGTGACCGACGTTGGCTTTTTCAAATTTTCGAAAATCCCGTACACAAACAGTAAATGGTATTTTTGGAATAGTGCTCTGACGCGATCGGGCTTTTCCCAGATGGATCCAACCGTACTGGCATCTGCGTGAATCGATGGATTTCCTGGGTGGCACATCTCTAACGTCGCTGAGGGCACGGGCACAAGGCTGATATCTTGCATCCCCGTAACCGTTCTCGTCAAGTTGGGGTTGGTCCGCAATCTCTCCAATTCACTGTACCCTTCGATGATGTTTGGGGTGGACGGGGCTGCATCGGGGCCGTCCAATTGAAGAGATAGGGCTGATACTCCCGAGTGGTTTGAGGAGGTACTTGCCCTGGTCGTCATCTTTCTGCGAAGAGGGGCTGCTTGAGAGGAAGAGTGGGACGTGTCTGAGGTAGTAGAGTTGGATCTAGCGTTTAAAAATGCTGCGTGTTGGAGTAATTCGGTATTGGTGTTTGTGCCAGTGTTAGCAAGGTCTTCCTGGCCTTCTTGGATAAAAGAGGCCACAGAGGATGAAGATTCAGTAGACCCGTGTCCACTTTCCTCTTTCTCTCTCCTTATGTTGTCCTGGTCAGGCCTGCTAGTGCCTTTTTCTTCAATCGTATCATTCTCGATATCTGCCTTCAAGGCATCCCGAAAGTCATACTCAATAAACTTGTAGCCTCCCAAATTAAATTGGTAGATGATATAAAAGGCCAAGTAAACGCACACGTATGCCACTCCCTTGTTTCCCTGCTGTTGGGTGAATATAGTCCCCGTGTCCATGGACTGGACGTAGGCAATAGGCAAATCAGATATGTTAGGGAAAATACCCACGGATATGATGCCTCCCGTCCACCTCTTCGGTGATGGAGTCATCTTGCCTATGATGAAGCCGCATGTGCCACCTACCATAAACAAGAGAGTCGCATTAAGGCCAATAATTCCTATAGCTTTGATATCTGAGGATTGGATACTGCTGATGATTTTATTGAAGATGAGGCACGGGAGCAAGGCGGTCATAACCATGTTGGATAGGTTTCTTCCCGTATCAATCGTTAGGATATTCATTCGGGCGAGTATATAGCCTGTCCCTATGATGAGGTAGATTTTAATGATGGGCTTGAATGCAGTGTATATAACACTTCCCAACGTAGCTCCAGTCATTGTGATGGGAAAGTCCACTCTGAGTTTTATGCTTCTGGGTCGGTGGTGCTGATTGTGTCTATAATCTATAGCTCTTCATCTGGCACGAGTCGATGGGGAGAGAAGTTCCAACGAGAATGTCATCATGATTTCATACCCGTTGACTAAAAAGTGTTCATCCTGCGGCGGTACATTGATAGTCAGGATACTGACTCAGAAACTGATGTGTGCCGGCACCGGCTATCGGACCTGCATCGACATATACGTTCAATTCCTCATACACTTGTTTCTCGGAGTATTATATACCGTATACACCATGCACCCTTAGAGCTCGATGTTAATACATTTGGTGCAGCTATTTTATTGATCAGGGTATATCGACCTGTAAGCTACGCATTATCTAATATACGGATTAACTATCCATGGTGACTTTATTGTATGTAGCTTGGGATTTATTATACTGGCAAAGCTGTTATGTTTACTGTAAACCGCTCTAACTAAAACGACACAAATGCTTCTTTGCGATATAGGATCAAGACTAGAGACTAGAGCTAGTTTTGCAGGTTGACATGAGGGAGATATGGAGACGGTTTAATCTGTCGTGTATCAAACTACGATAAACTTTCTGTATTACATCATTAAACATAATGGCAGTTGTCATTTACCTTGGATTCGAGTCATTGTTTAAACTTAAAGTTGAAATAATTGATTCATTGACAAACATATTAATTAATAGACAAAACGATGGCTCGCCTTTGTGCGATACTACACCTTTGTCGTCCCAGGTTAATATTTACTGCAATAATATGACTACGCAAATATTAATAGTCTTTCCAAGCTCATGTTTACACACTGCTTCTTCCCGGTACTCTACCCACAAGCCCCTCTTCCAATCTGTCCCCTTACTGAATTTTGGAAAATAGAATGTTGTATGTATTGGTTTGTGCGGGAAATGCCCAATGTAAAGCTTCCATAAACACTCTCGCAGGGGGGGTAAGAGTGGTTCAGACCGGCCCTCTACACAGTAGTTCAATCGATAACTACTTCGCACATCAGCACATCTTTATAAAACTTGAAGCTGAGTTGATGTGTTAATGCCGTATGACAGTCCATTATACACGCCGTCGGCGTCGGCGCACATGTACGATCACCGCATTACTCTCCAACTGCAGATGCGCTCGGACGAGGATACCCGAAGGCACTTGGCATTGCAATGTGGGCGAAGAGAACAAGCTAGTTGCTTTAACTTGCGCTTACGGTTGCCATTTTCTCACTGACGGGTATTCACATAGCCTGCTACCCTGGACTCGATATGGCACCACAACTAGAGCTTGTGGAGCGTTTCGAAATTTCAGATGTCTCCGCGTGCCAATATTTCACCTAATGCATGTTGCCCGAATTGCTTTTTGATCTCTTATATATGCATAAACAGCACTGGAATACGCACCCACGAGGCTAATTGGCCAGCCGTTTATGCAGCGGATCTATGACTAGGAAACTGTAAGCCAGACAGTGACAACAGCCTTTGATCCAGCTACGGTAATCAAAAGATGGGAGTAATTCGGACACGCAGACCAGCTGAAATATTCTGGTTGGCCCCCTAACTGACTACGATTATAGGACGCTAACCGTCTGGTGAAAACCCCAATCCGCCCACTTGACGCTCTGGCCGATTGGCTAAAGGTACGTGTGGCGAGTGAATCCAAATTAGTCTCTCCAGCCAATACACACCCTGGTAGGTCGCAGGAGACGATATGTAACCATGTCGAACAATCGTAACGTTTCCCATATAACAAAAAAAAGAAACGTGTCACAGGGCACACAACCGAGCGACGAGCTGCACTAGGAGCCCCTCAACGTGCTGGAGCTATTCTGATAAAAGTGCTCGTAACCCCTTAATTCCGAGACTCGGTGCCTAAATTGTTTAAGTCTCAGTACATCCAAATGTATACGACGTTGGTGTGATTTCACTGCGTAACCGCTAGCAAGATAATGATGGATCAGGTGTTCATATGGCATCGGCTATCTTGGGTCCTGCAAGTGCCAGTACCCTTAATGTGGTGTCCACTTTCAAACGGTCCGTTATTTCTTCGTAAATAGATACTTCCCTGGCTGTTTATTCGTTCTTGTAAAATACGGACGGCGCGGTGTTGCGCGATTCCAGGGAGTGGCGCATGTATCCGGTACTCTAAATTTACACGCATCGATAGCACTAGATAAATCTCACTTTTCTATTTTCCAACCTCCCCCTTTGTGGAAATAAATATATTACTCACCAGACAACTTCCCTCCGCTAGACGCTATATCACGTAGATCTCTCTCTCTCTCTCTCTCTCTATACAGTGACGGACTCTATAGCTTTCTAAATTAGCTATATTTCCAATAAGTTCCAGCGTATTTGCCACCCTCTCCCGTGACCCGCGCAGCCTACTTTTCAGTGCTGCTTGCTTTTGCTGATACATTTCATCCCTGATCGCTAGAAAACCCCTTGGCCTTACTCTACTAACACCAGCTACACACCCCTGATTTCCGCTTGCTAATTGCTACTGCGATTGCTACTTCACATTTCACCTACACACCCCTGATTTCTGTTTTGCTAGCTGCTACTGCTACTTCTCGGATTACATCTACCCTTGCCACCCCCAAATTTCGCTGACTTTTGTACACATCACAGATGCAGCAATACACGCCTAACCAGCTGCCCAACCAGCAGTTTGGAGCGCCACCATCGTTCAACAACTACCGCTTGAACCAGTCCACCAAGAACCCGGCACCCAACCCCACCAACGCAACGCTGTCTACGGGCCGCGGCTCCATGTTCTCCACGTCCTCCGCGATGAACATCCCGACAGGTAACCGCGTGCTGCCGCAACCGATCGATATCTCAGCGCAGCACGGCACCAACCCCAGTCTTGGATTGCACACCAACGTGCCCGCGCCGCAGCCGCGTGCGGGCTCCGTGTTCCAGTCGTCCAAGTTCAGACGCGAGTCTCTCGCGCACTCCGGCGGGATGGGTGGTGTGTCTTGGGGCTCCGTGACCATCGGCAGCTGGCTCAAAGACGAGGTGATGATGATGGGGCTGCTTGCGAACAACGGAAACGTCGGAATGGGCGGCGTGGTATCCATGTCGCCAGTGGTTAACTCATCGCACTACCTCCCGAACTTGGAGGCGGATTACTGCCGTGACTATTCGTGCTGCGGTCAGTTGTTACCCACGCTCCACGACCTTCTAAGACACTACGAGGAGGCCCACATTTCTCCGTCCCCGCCCTTAGAGACCCCCCGAGTGATGAGACCGATGCAGAACATCATGGAGGCCGTTTCAACTAATGAGGTCTTTTTGAGCCAGAACCAGCAAAACTTGCAGCTCCAGAACCAGAACGGTTTTCAGTTTGGCGTGAACGAAGATACCAGTGACTTCAACTTCCAGTTCAGCAACGGCAACTTGAACTTCAACCCCGGCATTTCCACCAGCATGTTTGACACCGCCACCGCGGAGAGCCACAACTTCACACACAACAACGCGCAGTTCGAGGCGCCCGCTCCTGAGGTGCCCGCGCCGCTCCACACGCCGCAACCGCAGCACCAGCAAATCTACCAGCAGCAGTTCCAACAGCAGTTTTCGCCACACCACCAGCCGCAGCCGCAGTTCCCGTCGCCTAACGCGCTGCTGCACCAGCAGCTCCACCCCAACGCACATCAGGACGATGAAGATGCTGAGATGTGCATTGATGACCCAGCGCGTCACCTCTACGTTATGGAGAGGCAGGAGCACAAGCCGTTCAAGTGTCCGGTCATTGGCTGCGACAAGAACTACAAGAACCAGAACGGGTTAAAGTACCATCGCTTGCACGGCCATCAGAACCAGATGTTGCACGCCAACCCCGACGGCAGCTTCAGTATCATCGACCCCGAGAGTAACACGCCGTACCCGGAGGGTCTCGGCATGGAAAAGGATAAGCCGTACCGCTGTGAGGTCTGCGGGAAGAGATACAAGAATTTGAACGGTTTGAAGTACCACAGGGGGCACACCACCCACTAAGCCAACGTCCACCATCTAAGGCACTACAAGGAGTGGGCACATTCCTGGGGTCAGGAAGATCTGAGCATCAGCCCTGGACTTCAAAAGCATCAGGACCTTCTACAATGATTCTTGTCGATATGTAGACTCTGAGGCCGCAGCTCTCTCCCATGACTATTTTCATCCACCTGATTGATCCGGTTTTCAAGTAGCCTCGAATGCATCCCCATATTATTCTGCTTTTCCCCAGGGTTTGTTCCATTTATGCTGAATGTGTTCTATCGCTTCAGCTTCTCAGTTCTTTCTATTTTCGTGCTCTCTGACCTTAAATCCTTCATTTGTGTTATTACTTTACACGTTTTCTCATGAAAACCTGTTTACTTTACTTCGGCTCGATATATTAGAATATACAAGACGCGATTGAGCGATTATGATTGGAAGAGGCAATGGCAAGCTAACGCTACCTGCTTCATTTGTAACTAAAAAGACGCATTAGTCCTGGGTATTAAAGGAGCTATTTAATCCTGCAGGCGTCGTCGGTAGATATCCTCCAGCCTCCGAACGGACTGTTATGCAAGCCGATTATACGACATATTGCTATCTAACCTTGCGGGCCATGTGGCCTTCAAAGTATAAGGACCTCGGCCCCTCCTCTTTTTGTACACATCTTACCTAAAGTGTTCCCAACTAGGCATTTTCTACCTACTTGATATACCACGTTCTCAGTGGCCACGAGTTAGAAAACAACAAGCTTCAGATAAAACATGAGATAAGTGCAGATACCACGGGGTGAATGCGCCAATTTGTTTAATTTTATAACGGGAAAATCGCAACCATTGATGTAGGAGTCTGTAACGTACTTTTGACTCATATCAGCAAACCTAGAAACGAAGAGCAATCAACTAAATTATTCATAACGCTGATCTATGAGGTTTTCCTATCCATTGCGGTACATTTCGATCCCCTCTCCCTTCAGACCTAGACTAACTGATATAATAAGAGATAAGTTTTAAGAGAATATTGTGATAATAAAAGCTGGGGCCACTTTGTTTGATCTAAATTTCCAAGGTGAGATGAATTGCTGGAAAGCATGAGTTTCAAAGGCCTCTCCCGTCTCCCGTCTCCTACCCATTGATTTTCTTACCAGCCCCCCCCCCCCCCCCCCCCCCCTGAACTTCAGGAAGACAACAAACCTTATAATCACAACAAAAACCCAGTTCAAATCCAGCCCAAATCCAGTTCAAATAAAATCTAAATCCAGCTCAAATTCACACAGATAACAACCCAATTCACCGTAGATCGATGCAGAACTCTGGATATAATCCCTACCGTAGAGTCTGCCCACCTGCAGCTAATGCCTGACGTGGCCGATTGACAACGCAACTAATATTTTTCACACACTTAATTCGAACTCTTCTTCAACTGAACTCTTCTCTCACATCCACCACCATGAGCGGCCTTAGAAAACGCGGCAAGGCTTCTCCCAAGCCAGCCACCAAAAACGATGAACTCAAACTCGATAAAATCTTGAAGCCAACGACTGCCTCCCAGTCCGCGGTACAGTACAACATCGCCCTAGCCGCCGTGACCTTTATCGCGTTTGTTACGCGCTTCCTTTGGCTCAATTCACCAGACCAGGTTGTTTTTGACGAAGTGCACTTTGGTAAATTTGCCTCCTACTACCTCGAGCGCACGTACTACTTCGATCTTCACCCACCGTTCGCCAAGATGTGCATCGCTGCGGTCGGCTGGCTCGTGGGCTACGACGGCGCATTCAAGTTCGACAGAATCGGCGACTCCTACATCGCCAACAAGGTGCCGTACCTCGCTCTCCGCGGTTGGTGCGCGCTCCAGGGCACGCTCACTATCCCAGTGATGTTCCTCACGATGAAGGAACTCGGTTACTCGATCCCAGGGTGCGTGTTTGCCACATGTCTCGTGGTGTTTGACACTGCGCACATCGCGGAAACACGTTTGATTTTACTCGACGCCACGTTGATTCTCTCGGTTGCGGTTTCGATTTACTGCTATGTGCGCTTCTACAAGACGCGCGCGCAGGCCTTCTCGCGTGCGTGGTGGACCTGGTTGTATGCCACCGGTGTGGCCTTGTCCTGTGTGATTTCTACCAAGTATGTCGGTGTCTTCACGTTTGCGACCATCGGCTCAGCCGTCCTCTACGACCTTTGGATGTTGTTGGACGTCAAAACCGGCTTGTCCCTTCACCAGCTTGGGCGCCACTTCGCCGCGCGCCTCTTTGCCTTGATCATAGTGCCCTTCACCATCTACCTCTTCTGGTTCTGGGTCCACTTTACCATCCTCACCAAGTCCGGTCCCGGCGACGCCTTCATGTCTGGCGAGTTCCAGGAGACCTTGTCCGAGTCCCCCTTATTGCGTGACGCCAAGATCGTCAACTACTACGACATCGTCACCTTTAAGAACAAGGACACTAGTGCGTTTCTCCACTCCCATCCAGAACGCTACCCATTGCGTTACGAGGACGGCAGAGTCTCCACCGAAGGCCAGCAGGTCACCGGCTACCTAGGCACCGACGCCGGTAACAGCTGGGAAATTGTGCCGGTAGACGGCAAATCCGGCACTATTAGGCAGGCTGACATTGTCAGATTGAGACACGTGCGCACTAACGGGTTCTTGGTAGCCCATGATGTCGCCTCCCCGTTGATGCCAACCAATGAGGAGTTTACCGTGGTGGATGTTGAAACCGCCAATGGCGCTCGCTTCAACGACACTTTGTTCAGATTGGATCCCCTTGACAAGAAGAATTCGGGAAAAGACTTGAAGAGCAAGGCCGTGGCGTTCCGTGTGCTCCATATCGCGACCGTGGTCGCCATGTGGACCCATAACGACCAATTGCTTCCTGACTGGGCCTTCAACCAACAGGAAGTCAACGGGAACAAGAAGATCACCGACCCGGGTAACATTTGGACCATTGACAAGATTGAAAACATCAGCGAGGCGCGCATGTTCCACATTCCAAAGCAGATCAAGAAGCTTTCGTTCTTCACCAAGTGGAGAGAGACCCAGCGCTTGATGTTCGAACACAACAACAAATTGTCATCCGAGCATCCGTTTGCTTCGTCGCCCGAGTCCTGGCCATTTGCTGTCAGCGGAGTTTCATTCTGGAACGATAACGACACCCGCAAGCAGATCTACTTTGCGGGCAACATGGTTGGTTTCTGGCTTGAGTCTGCCTTTATTGTGGTCTATCTCGGGCTCATGGCCGCGGACCAGCTCACCAGACGCCGTAACATCCAGGCGTTGTCTGAACGTGCCAGATTCAGATTGTACGACACCATGGCCTTCTTGTTTGTCGGCTGGTGTGCTCACTTTCTCCCATTCTTTTTGATGAACAGACAGAAGTTTTTGCACCATTATCTCCCAGCTCACTTGATCGCGGCGTTGCTCGCGGCCGGTGTCTTGGAGTTTTTGTTCACTGACAATGCAGGCGTGGATTTAGAACCTAAGGCGAAGAAGGGTAAAGACCAGGAGATTTTCTACCTTCCGTATGTGATTACTGTGGCCTTGTTGGTCACCGCCGTGTTTGCGTTCTACTTATGGTACGCGCCAATCACCTACGGCCACAAAACTTTGTCTATTGACGAGGCCAAGGCCAGATCTATCTTTGGCGTCAAACTCCACTACACGAAATAGAAAGAATGGACAAATGGGTTGATATAAGCTTTGTCTAATCGTATAACAATATATTTATGAGTATTGAGAATGTTTTGAAGACGGGATTTTTGTATGATTTGACTCGAAGTGCGCTAGGATAGTGTGGAGACAATTATCTACGCAAGGAAACACGAAAGACCGTAGATATCATAGGCAATTATCAAGGATAGTCTTGACCGTTAAATAGTCAATCAGAAGTATCCCCCATAGCCTCTGAAGATCAAAAAGGTCTGTAAATTGAGGCAACTCCGTCATTTGGAGTTTGAACTAAACATGGGACACGACTCCCTTCTTTCTGTCGCTCATTAACACTATTTCGCTCCCTGAACAGCTTCGACAAGAATTCACTTGCTCTAATTCACTTTTTCAACCCTGGTACATACTTAACTCATAGCTCCTACCAAGCTCTAACCTTCTACTCTGTGATTGGATCTCGTGTTACGCACTAGTGTTCACGCGCTACATCGTCGGAAAGGGAATCCGACGGTGACACCGAGACTGGATATCCAAAAACTCGCTCACCTCGATATACTCCACCTCTGGGTCCTCGTCAACAGCAGTGCCAGCACGCAAAAATCCATGCCTGATCAAAAAGTCAAGCATAACCATCGCACAGTTCGGCTTGAACTCGCCGCATAACATGGCTTGCTTGACATCGGCTATATCCATCAACTCAAACCCGCCCACCTCATCGTCATTCACCCCTGGTACAACCCCAATGAATGGCAAATCGTAGATAAACTGCACCTCCGGCTGGATGAGCCCCGCCTCCTTCATCGACGTCGGGTCGTGCTGGTACATGTACGAAAGAACACCCGCAGAGCGAACATGCTCCGTGACATACTCTTCAGGGAGACTGGCCTCCTCCATTGCCTCTTTAATAACAGTCTCATTCACCGTCTGTGGATACCCGATGCCCCCGGCAATGGTGTTGTCCAACATTCCTGGGAATGTGGGCTTGGTGGTCGATCTGCGGGCAATCCACATCTGGGTCTTTCCCGTGGTAGAATGCTCTTTTGGCACGTATCCGTTGATATGGACACCGTAGGTGACGACCCCAATGAGGACCGAAAAGGCGCGCTCCACGCGCAAGTACGGCACCGACAGCGGATGGTATACCACGTATTGCTCATCGCGCCAGCCCTCCAACGTCTCAAAAGAGCCAGCATTCTTCCAACACCGCGCAATCTTGTCAAACGCCACATCACGTGCCTCTATGCTGGCAAGCGTGGCACTGATTGTTACCGTCTGTGCTGCGTAATTGACCGTGACCGTCTCGGGGTGTTTGCTCAATTCTAGCGCCACTAGCGGCAACATGTACCCCAAAACTGTGCCATCATGGGAGTAAAACTGGAACATCTTGCCCACTGTCTGCTCATAGGCCATATCGTGCGGGTACGGAAACGTATCAACCGTCTTCATCAACGAGAGATAAGGTGTGGCATCAGCCGGGAAATCGGCCGGAGCTATAGATGGCATTGCACGAGCGTGCGACGGCTTAGTGATACGGCTTTTCAAGCGATCTTTCCGCTGTTTCCGGACAAGCAAATAGCTAGATAAGAACTCGGGGATCATCTTACGGAGGAATAAGTGGTGGGGCTTAACGTCCTGCAAGTTTGCGCAAACAAATAGCGAGAAAAATATCGTATACGCGCATACTTTGGTGAGAGCTCACGAATAAGTTTGGGTATTGTCAGCTAATATTTCGTCTCTAAAAATAACACTTTATTGTTTTTTTAAGTCAATTTTTTACTCTGTCAGCAAATACAATAAGAGATAACAAGTTAGAATGGTTTAGTGGTTTTTTCCAGTGGATAACAATAATAGTACGCTCTTACCCCCATGCCAGGTTTCTTTTTATAGGAAATACGCGGGGGGATAAGAGGAATGGTTCTTTATATATACAGCAGGGTGGCAACACTAGCCCGGAAGATATCAGGAACGTGTGGTCTGAGATACAAGAGGAGTTAAAGTACACCTTTAATAAAGGCTTGAAAGAAAGTCACAGAAAATTACCCGACTGTCAGGAGAACGTATCCTACCTCAACGGTTTAGGCACATAGCATCTACTCTCTCAGGTTTAATATACGCATGGACATCATTTTTACGTGACATCTAGTTATATTACCATAGCCCGTTGGGCCCAGAACTTCCTCCTTGTATACCCTTAGAACCACCTCAACAATTAATCCTTTCGTTCCAATCTCTGCTTCCCCACACTTGCCATTTTGGCAACGGGCTCTATGGTCCGAGTCTCTGGTGATCGCACGCTCCCATCTGCCCATACATAGAATTTCCAAAAAGCTGGAGAAGAATCTCCTTCAAGGCACTGTTTCAACCACCGTTTGCCTATCGCCATGCTGGGAAGCTCCAAATCACTATTCAAGCAGATTCATGCTTGTTACAAGAGCACATCGCCAGAGGCCGATACCTCGCTACCCGCCGAGCTAGTCAGCGAGATCGAAAAGTACTCCCTACGTCACCTTGAGTACACCCCCTCAAACCTCAACTCGCTCTCGAAGCTCGCGGAGGAGTTCCACACAGTGTATGATTCATGCATTCTGCAGTTGTCCACAGAAGCGCCACTCCGAACCTACCGCGAGATCCTCTTCACCCAAATCATGCACCGGCTCCTCCCTGTGTTGTGTCTCGATATCACCCAGTTCAGGGACTGGATCGACCAGCGAGTGCTTTTCTCGCTCAACAGTGCGGGAATGTCGGCAGAATTGGTCCACATGTCGCGACAGTTCATTGTGGCTATCCTCAGTTTGGCAGACCCTGCCAGGAAGGAGAGCCAGGCTTCTCTTCACACCGCTATCACCACCATGGCCGATAGTATCATCTCTATGTATGAAACCCCCGACATTGTCATCAACAAAATGGCTCCTATATCGTCCACCGCGGCCGAGTTAGACGAACGCAGGCGCACCATCCGACTCAACGCATACAATCTCGCAATAACAGGCGACGCTGCCAGTTACTTTATTGACGCTATTGAAAAAAGCGACTCGCTACTATCTTTGTTGCTTCTTAGTGCAATCTTGAAAACCGTCTACCAGACCAAGGGGTTGCGCCGCTACAACCACCTTCTTGCGCGCTTGGTAGGACTCTTGACGGAAAGTGAGGACGTAGAAGTGGTCAGCGCCAGCTTCAGCTGCATCATTTGGCTCTCCCTCCACCGCAAGGAAACCAAGTGTTCGTTGTTCAGGCACCTTTTTTTGGCGCTCATCTGCACGTTTCATCGCCTTGGGTCATTGGAAGGACGTGAGATAGAGGGAGAGGCAAGGGGTGGGGCTCTGGAGAGTGATATGCCAGTGCTCCTGTCACTGAACAGTGAAATCATTGGAAAAAATGAGATAGAAAAAAGCAGTAAGAACGACCTCGATACCACGAGATGCCATTTCCTTACCAAACAAATCTTCCTCCTCTTGTATGGTAACTACCCTCTCACATTCCTTGCCATCATGCGGAACCCCTGCGAGTCGTCCGTTTTCACTGATACCACATTTATGAGTCTCACCTCGTCTGACTTGATACACAATGACGCCTTGATCAAGAAAAATATGGCCAGCTTCGCCTCCGGAAAGTGGGATATAGCTGCTGTAAGGTCAATGAGCCAGAGCCTTTTTACAAGCGCGAAGGCACACCCTAATATGCTAGCCTATTCGACCATAGAAGAAGAATGGACGGATCTTATTGCAGGCTCAAACTTCTATGCTAAAGATGACTGGCCAGAGTCGTTGCTAGGGTACGAAAGTACCTCTCTCAAAGCAAGCGAGTTGTTCGACGCCAACAAAGCGCTTTATCTGAAGGAGTCGTCCAGCCCCACTCTATACCGAAGCAGATCCCCGCCAACCATGGAAGTACCCTCCGAAGAATTACCCTTTAAGGAATCGCGACCAGAGGAAAATTCGGTGCCTTACTACGAGCGTGAGATTCTCATTATGCACAATGAGCTCCAATTTTCCGCTTTGCGAGATGAAATCTCCAAGGAAACAGAAATGAAGCTCCAGGCAATAATCCGCTCGGATTCATATACGATTCGGAACCTTCGAGCCCAGCTCTCTACGGGAGCAGTGGCCTCCTCTGCAATAGGCGACCTAAATCAGGCCCTATCTTCAGTTAAGGCAAAGCTCCTACAAGCAAGAACTAGCGAGAATGCGCTACTCAACAGAAACAAAGATCTCCTGGACAAGGTCCGGTCTTTGGAAACCCAGATTGAAGGGTTGGACATCGAGAATGAGGCCTTAACGAAATCGATTTCTGCCTTGAAAGATGTTCTAGATCCCAAAGAAGTGTGCATATCGAAGCTAGAGATGGGTTTACAAGGCCTTCGGAAAGAACTAGAAGCTGAGAAGGAAAAGAAGCTTGCTTCCGACGGCGAGCCGGGCAGAACAAGAAATGAAGTGAACGGCTCAGAGCACCAGCTCTTCAAGGCAGAGAACGAAAACAAGCGGTTAGAGGCACACATCGAATCCCTCAAAAGCGAGATCCGTGGTCTCCAAAAGCCGCAGAATGACTCGGAGTCCTCTATCTCCAGGCCGGAGAAAGCACCGCTGCATATCAACAAGATCATTCAATCGTACGAACTCAAGGTCCAGGACTTGCATAATTTGAACTCCAAGTACGAGTCTTTGATTGGCGAAAAGAACGAGAGAATCCTCCAGCTCTCAACCACCAGGCCAATCTCGATTCCGGGAGGAACAACGCACCATGACTCCGAAGACAGACACGATCGCCCCATCTCGATCATGATGGATCGCCACCAACTGAAAAGTGTTCTAGGATACGAGATTCCGTCTCCCCACCCGCCAGCAATTAACTATTTCAACCAGCTTCAGAACCCATCTATGCAAAGTAGGGCTCCGATCCTCCCCCATATGCCGTATCAGGCGGGGCACCAGTCTAGCTCGAACAGCTCTATTAGCAACGAAGAGCATGACTACATGTCCCCTGCCAGAAACACCAGTCAAAGGCCGTCTATTGTTACTACTGGAACGAGTGGAAGTGGCGAGAAGCCCATTAACTTGTTCAGGGGCAGGGGTGGGATCCAAAAGCGTAACACAAAGGTTAAGATGTAGGCTGTCTAGGGTGGTATTGCACTAATTCATACTATAAGCTACGTGGCATTTATGCTTCAACCTTATAATTAATAATTCTACACCATAATCTAAAATGCACGGAACCAATAATGGTGGTTGGCTCGACCGTGAGCCAAGGGGGTGAAAGCCATCCCTAGTTCGCATTGAGCTTGTTACTAGGAGGCTCGGCTAGGAGAGCAGGAATATACGTCGAGGGAGACTCGAGCATACACCCATTGCTCGTCTTCTTCGCAATAAACAGTTCAAATTCCACTATATGGGCTGTCCATTCGGCCACGGCTCTGCCCATGTTCCCATACTTCTGGATCTTCTGGAGAGTCTGCCTTTTGCGTTCTTCTTCCCTCCTCAGGTGGTTGTAGAGATGATATACCGAATTTTTACTCTCGGTGGCTGCTTGATTGGTGAATAACGACATCCGCTTGGAAAGCTTCCGGGTGATGGAAATCATCAACTCGTCATCACTCGACTCGTCATCGTTCCCCAAGCCTTCGTCACCCAAGATCAAATTGGTTGACGAGGTCACCATATAGTCCGTCTCGAAGAAAGAATTAATCTTGGGGAGTCGAGGAACGGGTGGTAGATCGGATACATCTGCGGAATAGGAAGAAGAAAAGTAGCTGTCACCCTCAATCGTCGGGGAAGCCGAGCCACCGTCGCCTCTGTACTCGCCTCTGTACTCTCTGTTAGCCCCACCACCAAACCTGACCATCCCAAACTTCTTGTTCACAGCAGAGTTATCAACCACAATCTGGAACCGATAGCCCGGGCCGGTAACTTCCGACACCGCGTGCGCAAACTCGGGGGGCGGCGGAATCCTGCCCATGGACATGGAGCTTGGAGACGACGCCTTGGTTATGATCGCCTCATTGATTTCAAAGCTCGAAGACGACGACGAGATCGATTCCTCATAGCTAGAAGGCGCAGAGTGCGAAAAGACGCTCGGGGTCGACGAACGGGAGGTGTTGGAGAGGGAACTGAGGGACCCAACCGACTTGATATCCCTCACTAAGCTGGATAACGCACTCAAGTTTGAGCTGGATGATGGTAGCGATCGCATGGCTGCAGTGTCGCCTCGGGCCAGGTCAGCAAGTTGGTCACGAAGATCGGTCCGCGGGTCCTCTTCTTCCTCTAAGGCCTGCACTTTGCTGGCCAATGGCGACGCTTTTTTGAATAACCTAAGCGCAGAGCCAAACAACATGGAAGGCTTCTTAGCGGGCGGAGTCTCGATCTTGGGTTCAGGCACCGCCTCAGAGAAGGAGAGGTTGCTTCCGTTGGATACAGAGCTGTATACCGCCTCATCGAGGATTTCGTAAGCATGAGTCCGTGACATGGAATTCACAGGTTTGCGGGGTAAAAATTCCGCCATTTCGCCGTACGAATCGTCCATGCCCACGAGTAAGCCGGTGCTGAACCCCCCATCCACCACCATGGGCGTAATAACAAACTTCCGGTTGATAATGGGCGTTGCGGGTGTAATGGAAATTAGGTTGCGTTCTCCAAAACACTCTTTGGAATCGGAGATAAGCTCGGTTACGCGATCATAAGACATATTGAGACGCATTTCCACCATGTGCTTGATGTTATCAATATCCTCAAACTCCTCGTTGAGCCCAATGATTTTCCAGACAATCAAGCGCATGTAGTAGGAACGTACCAACGGCTGCCAGTGGTTGAACAACTTGAACCAGATGGGGATGGAGAGGATCCAGTTGCCAGCGTTCCACTTGATGCTCTCTTTCAGATTGGAGTACCAGGTCGGGGTGGTGGCACGGTAGCGTTTCTGACTTGGATAGGCGGTGACATCCTCGATCAAGTAGTTGGGCAACATATCCCAGAGCGCATAGAGGAAACTGATCCCCTTGAGCTGCTGAAACGCATTTTCGGTATCAACGAGCCGCGACACACACTCGATCCAGAAGATCCAATCAATGGACATGGCGATATTCATTGTTGCGTAGTCGTTCTTGTCGCTCGCCATATTCTGGGCAAACTCGCTAAATAAATCGAGCATTACTCCGGACTCCTGTGGCCGATAGGTGCTAATCAGTGTGGCAAGCGACATGAGCAACTGGTCAAAGTAGCGCACAAAATGCGGGCGGAGCTTCGACTCACTGGTTGCGACAAAGTTGCGCAACGTGTGGATAAGCTTAACCATGGAGTTATAATGGGCGTTTTTGGCCACCTGGCTGGTGGGCATGTTCTTCATGGGGTCCCTGGGGAGACTGGAACTCTTTCTGGGGTTCAGTTTCAGAGGGACGGCGCCAACGGCCGTCACGCCCTTTTCTGCAATCTCCCTGATATGACACATAATCACCAAGAGCCCCGGGGCCGCGAGCATCAGTCTGTCATCGATGTCAATCCCCGATACACGGCTAGAAAGAATGTCTAGGTAGTGGCGGAGGAACGAGTTGAACACGTCACTTCCGTGCAGGCACCATTTGCTGACCCATGGTCCGCTGGGGTCATTGATTCCTGGCGCCGGGTGCACAGGGGGAACCACCGGGTTCATAGCTAGGTTTCGCTTCTTGTAAAACCGAGATTTGGACGCAGTAAGACCCTGGTGGCCCGCTCTACGCGGGTTAAAGCGACCTAAATCACCGATCAAGTGCTGGACCTCGCGGGGGAACACCTGGAGCAGGTGCAATTTGCGGCCCGCAGCAATAAACTCATCCTCGTGGGATCCACCGGGGACCACAAGCTTCCTTTCTGAAAAGTAGCAGCCGACCAAATCATTGAGACTGCCCTGTTTCGTGTTCAAGAGAAAGAGCAACGCATTGGCCACGTGTGGTAGGGCAAAGAACGAGTGTGCTAGGACCTTCCCGATAAACGCCGCGTGTGCCAAGGGCACGGTCTTGGCGTTATTAAGCTTGGCGAGCGAAAACTCCATGGTGGACGTTAGGAGCTTGCGGTAGGTCGCAGTCTCAGACACTGCAAGCATTCCCCACTCGGGACGAGCCAAGATACGCGAGAGGCACTCTAAATACGCTGACTTGTCAAGGCTTGAGAGCTTGGTGGATCCTCGTCTGGTCAAACCAGGGGAACTTGTCTGAAGCGGCGTCAGATTGGGGTCGGTCTGGGAGGAGAGGCTGGACAAGAGATATTCCCACCATTTGCACAAAACGCCCTGGGCGAACGTCCGGAGCCTGGCGCTCTCAGCGGGGTTGAGGGTGACATAGTAGTTTTCGCCATCGATGTTGTCGGTTCGCAAGAATGTCATGATGGTCAAGCGCAAGACATTTGTCTTGATAACCCCATCGGACTTTGAAGAGAACTTTGCAAAGTAGCTGTCCAAGCGTTTGAAGTCTTTGAGGTGGCTTCTGTACTGTTCGCTGGACGGCAGCTGGTCCGAAGGCGGATGGCTGTAGGAAAGGGTATATAGCGCGGAAGGCGACTTCTGGGAGATACGACTGCGTTTTTCAGATAGGGCTTCTGCCTCATCACGGGAGGGATCTAGTGTGCGCTTTGCGTCATCAGTTTTGTGAAAGAAGGAGTTCCCACTGGATTTTGGCATCGTGGGGGAGGATAAGGATCAACAGTAGTGAATGCGAGCAGCGGTAAGACTGAAATGGATAGGATTGAGGCCGTGGATGGAGGGGTAGCAAAGGAGAGTAATAGCGAAAAAAATAGGGTACTATTTCGAAAATCAGGAGTAACAGTGGGGCGGACCACAGATAAGCAATGGAAGCAAATTGTGCAAGAAAACCGTTCCGGTAGGGGCGGAGTGGGATGGACTGATAAATAAACGAGTGAAAAGACAAAGGGGTGGGAAGGTGAACGAGTGTGATGTGAAACTTCGAAGAAGAGGTCTATGAATAGATAGTATCGGTTAAGGATTTGTGTTATTTTACATTCCCAACCTAATTCAGGATGCACCATGTAACAGCAGTGTTAGCCGGATATGCAGGCGAGTTTTCTTTTTTTCTTCCGAGATCTCATTACGTCTCCCTATTCTGGCCCGACAAGAACCTCTGCGTCAACGTGCGCGCGCGTCAAACAGACGACATTGGTCTGTTAGTCCTGGGCTCGTTGTTTTCACACTTTTGTAAAGCAAGTATTTTCGGGAGGCACCCAATGAAGTCTACGACACCCAGAAATTGAAATGTGAATTTATTTGATGTATCCAAATCTCAAACGGAAGGTTAAGCAACCTTCCGTCTGTGCCTAGGCGGTGCATCGCAAGCTGGGCTCGAGTAGCTAAAATCTCACAAGGCGCAATGCACTCATGCGGGCGTGAACTTCGGGGAGCAAGTTTCACCACACATTTAATAATGCGGTCTGGGTTCTTACGGAACGTGGCTAGTCCTGGGGTTGGCGCCCGATGGTAATCTCTCTATTCGGGGTAAGCTCGCACTGGACAAGCCTTCTTGATTGCTCCCGCCGCGCTAAACCTGGACATAACGCAACCCCCTTCTTCTCGCGCCACAACTTCCCCCAAACGGCTAAACCTAGTTTCAAGCTGATATTGCTATTGCGCTGATAAGCATGGGTTGTGTATCGCCCAACTCTTATTCTCCTCAATGTCTCTCAGATAAGCGGTTTTGGCCGGCGTGCGTACATTACCATGACAGAGCGGCGGGTTAACGATTGGCAGCGTCCTAGCGTACGTTGGGCTGCATTTAGAATGCAGTGCAGAACCAGGGCTACTGTTACAAAGTAATGAGCTATAAATAGCTGGTCCAATTTCGGGTCTTTGTCCATGCACTATCACAACAGACGCTAGTTTTTGCACCACCACTAAATTACATACATGAACCGGCTTCAGTACAGGAGTCTCCTTACAATTCCTACGGATCGGCGTTCCTACTTCACATGCTTCTTGGGCTAAATAAAGTTAGATAATTACGCTATCACATCATTGAAGGGCAAGCATTCAGCATCTGGTCAAAAGGATAATCACTTTCAACGTCAAACGGAATGATTTATGAACGCAAAACGTCGAGGCATTACCGGGGGCATTTGACGTTTGGATGGTGTTACAGAATTCAATGTAAGATTGTCAGTTCTTGGTCGTACACGGATCCACGTAGAAGAATGGTAACGACGCTGGGTTGACCTGAGATTATTTCTGGAATGGAGGACTCCTGGAATTTACGAATGCATAATAAGGTACATCACGCACTAGGGCATGTATCTTAACTATGGAATTGCTCTACTGCAGCAAAAAAAATTTGAAGATCGACATTGATTCGTAGCCATTAAATCAGGTACCGTGTTACAGATAACCAAACTTCTATCCGGCCTATTCTCTACACAATCATATAATTCTCACCGTCCCCCTCCCACATTCCAACAAAGCTTTTATGCACCGTTATTTGTTGGTTGACAAATTTATCGAATCACATCGCCAATATGGCCTACCACTTACGAGTTACCTCCTTCCGGTCTAATAGCATTAGCTTCCATTACTATTCCTTTCACGTCTCCGAGTTATCTATTGCTTCGCGGAAAAATATCAAGTCATTAGCGCAGCTCCAGCTCTAGATCTCCCTCTGGCTGAGGTGTCAATTCCGGTTTTTCGGTGTGGTTTTGTTGACTTGTCTCACTTGGAGCAAACCTGAACCAAATGAAGAGAACTACTAACAGACAGCCGAGGCTGGAAAAGCTCCAGAATATAGGGATGAACACGGCCGCACTGGTGAGCCGGTAATGATACAAAAAATACCGGATGCCCGTCCAGTTGACCTGGAAGAGTAACTCGGCGGTTTCAATGTTGATTCCCTCGTCGTTAGAGGCAAACTCGACCACCAACTGGTGGTGATCGCCCCGGGACCGCTGGAGCAAAAAGTTCTTGAATACAAAGCTCTTCAACAAGAGCAATTGCAAATGGTTGGCCGTGCGATCTCGGCTCTGGAAGTAGCCAGGAAGGAAGGGGGCGAAGGCCAGGGGCACCCATTGGTGGTTCATCGCATAGAGCACCTGGGCATCGCAATGGAGCATGAACGAGCGGATATTGGAAAACTCTTGGAAGAAGTTGCTCTTTGTGATCACCAACAGCTGCGACTGTTGGTATTGGATAGCCTTGGAGAGGGCTAGGTTTCCACTGATGGGCCAATTGCCGTCGTCGTTCGCTTCCTCACGCAGAGCCACGAGCTTCCGTACCTCCCATTCGTTCATAATGGACACCTTCCGCGAAATCATCTGCGGGCGGCCATTTGGATTGCTGCAGTACCCGTCTATGTTTAGGGTCAAATCGTACTCCACTTCGGGGTTTATGCCTGTGTCTGTGTTGCCAAATAGCTCCCGGAAGTCTACCACCACGAACGGTTTGTGTGACAGTACCTGGTAGTTGAAATTCAACGGAACTCTGATTTCCGGGATGGGAATGAGAAGTTCATAGAACCGGAGAAAGCAGACGACAGACCACGGCAAAAGAATGGCTGTGTTGGCTATAATGAGAATTGTCACGTAGATGGTGGAGCGTGTAATGGCTAAAGCCGGGATGTTGATGAGTATCTTCATGTGAGATTGATGCCGAGGACTCGGTTAGGGTCAAATCTGAGATGGGGTTTTGATCGCACTTTGACGTCAAAAACAAATAAACGGTACGGCTACTCTAATAAGACGCTATAAGATATGACTGTAGTGATGTTGGAAAGTATGACTCTTCAAACACCACGAATGACTCTCTAAAGATTGAATAGCTCCGTAGGGGGCCGTAAATGAGTCGATGCGTGATATGTGGAGAATAGGCCTGCAGGGAGTTGTAAATCTAAACAGTTCACAGCGCTGTTTAACTTCTGAATGACGTTTGGGGATTATCCTGGGCTTTCGAGTGTTTTGACGTGTGTTTGGGAAAAGTTTGCTTTACCCGCAAGACATCGATTCTCACATTTTCCTTTTCCAGACGCACGGGGTAAAGGTGCCGATTAAAACATGTGACAAGATCTCGACCAGGATTTAGGCCATTCTGGGGCAAAATAAACTTTTGTGCGGGTGGCTACTAATATCAGATATAAAAATGTCGGGGAGTCAGTAGAAGAGAGGGAACTGAGTTAAAAAAAATAAAAAAAAGGGCCAATTACCGTAAATTTATTGCTACATGGTTAAAATAAGTAGCTAACAGCAAAACATAGAATTCGAAGACAGACCCTGAAAGTACGTTTTTGGGTAGCGCTGGAAGGGTTTAGCCTGAAGATGACAAGAAATAACACCGGCAAAAATAACATGTTTACTCGGCTCTTTGAAACACCCTAGTGAGGGGAGTATTTACTTGGTCGGATTTATGGATTGAATTTCGAGCTCAACGCTTCGGTTGAGACCTACAATTGGGCATGCTGCCAAACCACAAATTCGGAGGTAGGATGATATTTCTTCTACGTACTTGACATTCAGGCCCATCAGGTCTCATACCCTACACTCAAAGTTAAAATACGACTCAGTCCCCTAATCCAACTCTATCTATGTAACAGGCCAAGACGATATTTCAACCCCAACCCTCCCTCGCCTAATCAAGACTGGAAAAGTAAATTGTCCGTAACATGCTTGCGCTGGTAAACATCATATTGATCGTCTCTTCCGAGAAATGTGCATCGTGCTCGCTGAAAGCCCCAATCAAATAGCCCCCGGACTTGTGGTACACCAGCACCATCTTTTCGGTCGGCTGCGGCTGACCTTTCAAGATGCGCTTCTCGCGCACAAGTTTTGCGGCGTGGCGGTAGAAGGGCATTTCAATACCGGAATGGTACCGTACATCGCGCGCCTTGCTGCGGTAGAGGCAACCGAACTCGGACGAAAACGCCTTGCAGTGGAGCGCCATCTCCGTTTTAGCCAACGTCGAGTGGGGCCCCACGATGCCGAGAATGCGCGTGGTGACGTCTTCGGTACCGGTCCGCACGAGCTTCGTGGCATAGCGGTAGTTTTCCGCGTCGATCTTGTTTTCCGGCGGAAAGTATTCTCCCAAGATCTGGAACGGTTCCACAATACGAATCTCCATGATGTAGACAAGATCCAAACTCTTCTTCGCAATAAGGAGCTTGCAGAGAGTAGCGGACGCAGCCTTGACGTCATGCGCGTTGTAGACCGCGCGCCAGACATCCTGGTCAGCGTATGATACCGCGTCTGCACACTTGCCGAGTCGAAAGTTGTGATTCTGGTTGTAGGGTCCACCGGAGCCGTCCTTCTCAAAGATGGGTGTCGTGAAGAAGTCACCGCGCGCGGTAGCGCGACCAATGCGATGAGCTACACTCTGGCCCATGCGTGCATCATGCGCGCGCGTCAACTGCTCCTTGGTGATGGGAGTATTCAAGATCTCCATCACATCCCTTGCCATCAATTGCAATGCACGGATTTTCTCTTCCGTAAAGCTGACGCGCGCGAGATGGTCAAACACCGCAAACGCGCCAATTACGTTGTTATTCTTCAGCACCAATGGCACTGCGGCGTAGAATCGGATCCCAGGTACCCCTTTAACAAACGGATTATTTTCCGTGCGCCAGTCCTTGGACGCGTCAAGAAGCACAAAGTAGCCCAGTGACAAGATGGCGTGCCCGTCGATGGAGAGCTTTCTGGGGCATTCCTTGGTATCCCAGCCGTGGCTGTATTTCACAAGCTGTTTGGCCTGGTCAATGAGCGAGATGGTGCATCCCCGCATCTCAAATGTGCGGGCTGCCTCCTGAACGATGTGTCTGAACTTATCGCTGTCCTGCCATTGGGGCAAGTACGAATACTGTTCCACGGACTTCCGCCGCGAAACCTCATTATAGCTCTCCGGTGCGCGCATCAATCCGACAGACTGCTCCAAGCACGGCGGGCACGGCACGCTGGATAGGTTCCACTTGCCCTTGGAGTATGCGTCGAGAAAATGGCTACGAGTGAGCGGTACCCGGGAGATAGTCCGAGAGTTTGCATCAGCAACATCACTAAGTGGCGTTCTGTGATGGACCCTATAATGTTAGTCGCGCTCACAGTGGCAATCCTATGTGTCAAGACCAATATTTACTCACTCCTGGGTGTGGACTCGGTCGGGAACCCTCATGAACGAGTTAGTTCTCATTGCCAGCTTCATTGCAAAGGCTAGCAAATTGTAGAAGGGCATGAAATCTCAGAGCTTTAAACCCTTATCAGATCCTTTTATACCACTCCTGGGCCCCAGGCACAAAACCGCGAGCCCATCCCCTGCGGCTTGTCAGCTTCAGCCTATCCGCTTGCGGCTCTCCACCAAAGAACCTCAAAAAGCCCCAAAAAAATCTCATCGCATCTCTGTACTGGTGCTCCCCATAGACTGCCGGTTTTTGATCCTATTTCGAAGCTGCAACTTCATCCGTTCAATGCTCTCGTTGGGCTCTTCCGGAAGCCGGCTGATATCCTTCAACCCGAGACTCTTGTTGCTGACAGAATTCGACGTGTCGGAGGGTATCTGGCGCAACTGCTGGATGTCGGAGAGAAGCGATTTGAGGGAAAGGCGCTGATCGCGCTCCAACTCGATGACATCCTTCATTTTGACATCCCAGAGCGGCCGCGGCACCGTCTTGACTAATCTCGTGGCGACTTTCATCTCGAGAATGTTGCCCTCCAGCTCGAATTGGTCGCGGAGTTTCTGGAGCCGTGCGCGCGCTGTTTGTGTTAGTATGGGTAGGGAGAGATAAGGGTCGAGAGGCGGTATGGGTAGTACTTACCGCTTCGTTTGTAGCGGCGGATAATTTCGTTCTTCTGGCGCTTAGTGAATGGCATGGCGTGATAAACGTAGATATATGAGTGTTGTGGTTTGGTCACCTTTGATCAATTGTTTACGTTGAGATTTACGCGCCGCGCGAGATTTGCTCTCGGGCCACAGTAAAGGTCTCCACTCGCGCCAAACCATTGTGGCTTAAAAAATATCGCTACGGGCAACTTAAAATAGCTTTATGCTGGTAAATAATTGATCCTTGATTTTGAAGCAGTTGAAATAGATTTATAGGGAGCTAAGTTTATTTTTGTGGCATTTTGTCATCCAATAAGACGCTTCAAAGCGCACCAAAGATTTATTTTTTTTATCACGTGACTCCTACCATTGTAGGTCATTTGTTACGTGCTTATTGTGGCCCAAAGTGAAAAAGTTGCCAGTCATCATTAATCCAAATTTTATAATATATCTGGTTAACCCGGAACTACTCTTGGTGAGAAATTGGAAGTCTGCTTTTCATTACACCAGTATTGTAGGGATTGAAAATACTGAGAAATATATCGAGCTAAGCTAGCCTGTTTTTTAAGAGACACCTTATTGTCAACCTTCTAATCAGATCCAATCCTTCTATACCCTATCAAATGGTAAACCTTTCTCTCTTTTTCGGATTTGCCATAATCCTAAACTTATTCCATTCCTCAATCTCTCTGGGTCTACGGCATAATCTTGCCTGTTCACTCCATTGGTCTTCTATTGCGTGCGCGCACCAACATCTCCGCTGAATTGCCACCTTTAGGGATAAGCATAAAGCGATACCAACCATCCGCTCTCATGGTTTCTTAACCTAGCAGACAATCTATAATGGTGCTTGAAGCTACGATGGTTGTGTAAGTGATACTTCGTATACTACCGTTCAATTACTAACCCGCCAGCATTGACAACTCCGAATACATGAGAAACGGCGACTACGTGACGAACCGTTACGAGGCGCAACTCGACGCGCTCGACTACATCTTCCAGGCTAAGACCAACGCGAACCCCGAAAACACGGTTGGCTTGTTGGCAATGGGCGGCGAGGGGCCCCAGGTGCTCTGCACGTTGACCGCGGACTTTGGTAAGGTGTTGGCAGGCATCCACGCAACCAAGATCCATGGCACCACGCACGTAGCCACAGGCATCCAGGTGGCGGCGCTAGCATTGAAACATCGCCAGAACAAGGTGCAGCAGCAGCGCGTGATTGTGTTTGTAGGCAGTCCTGTGGGCGAGAACGAGAAGGAGCTAGAGAAGTTGGCCAAGAAGATGAAAAAGAACAATATCGCTGTCGACTTCATCAACTTTGGAGAGGAAGCGCTCAACACGGCCAAGTTGGAAAAGTTTGTCGCGGCCGTGGACAACCACGAAAACTCACATCTCGTCACGATCCCGCCGGGCCCTAAGTTGTTGTACGAGGCCATTGCCGCGTCGCCGATCATCTCTGAGGATGGCTTTGGCGGAGAGTCGTTCGGCGGGGACGATATCTTCAACGATCCGAACATGGACCCAGAGTTGGCGCTTGCGTTGAGACTTTCTTTGGAGGAAGAGAATGCCAGACAGGCGCGTGAGGAAACCAGACGCCAGGAGGAAAGCAAGGCCGATGCGACGGAAGAAAAATAGTGATCGACCGAAAAAGTGGAGCGAGCGGAGCGAGGGCCAATCGATGGAACAAGAGAGTTATCTCTCGAGTGTTAGACGTGAATTTCATCGAATACTGCGGATTTGACTATCCTTTAATAAAAGACTAAACGTGCGCGACTGTAGAAAAGGGTGGATATTCACCAAATTCGAATTATGGTATAAGAGGATATAAACATATATATATATATATATCGGAGCATGATTCGAAAAGTAGAGAAGCCCAGAGGTTATGGGATAGACTACAATATAAACGATCATGTCACTCTTCAGAAATGGGTTGGTGCCAACAGCTCTGTAGCTATATTCATCGTCCTCTTCGTAGGTGGTAAGAGTAACGGTGAATGATCTCCCCGTCCGTGGTACCCTAATGCTTGGGTTACATAATGACCCATAATCGTGTGGAAATAAAATATAGCCCTAAGAGTGCCCAAAATGAGAGCTAGGAAGGTATGCAGGTCTTTAGAGTGGATGTAGTAAGCAACTAAATGGAAACATGGTATGGCAGAATAAATATATATACAAGAGTCTTATATATACTCTAGTCTATGGGATTGGCAAGATAAGGGTTAGACGGCAGGAAAAGAGAAGGCTGGCGTGTCTAAAGATCGAGGCATTAGTGTATGTGCAAAGATGCTATTGGTAGCGAAGTGTCTGGTCTTAGTTCTCCCTCGAGCTGTTTCTCTTACGGGTGTACGTGTCGTCCATAAGGAAGCTCTTCCTTGGTAAACACCCATAACAACCTATATTTAATGTGCATATTCGAGGGCTGGAAAAAACCAATCAATTGTTCACCCCTATCTCTATATTTGTTCCCTGTTAAAGCAATAATTTAATATCTGCCCGCAGCTCTACTTTCGTGACAATATAAATAAACCTAAAACAAACTGTATATATATAAATGACCTACGCCTCCTCTGGAATATCATCGTGGAAATACTTGCCCTCCAAAGTTGGCTTGATGACGCCAACCCTAATGACAAAGTCACCGAAGTGTTCACCTTCATGTCTCTCCAAAGCCCATCTCTTGAACAACGGCTTCAAGGTGTCCAAGATTTCATCCTCCTTGATCGAATATCTGTAGATTTTGTTCAACCTCTGGCCGTGGTAACCACCGCCCAACAAGAGGTTATACGCACCAAACGCCTTACCGACCAAGGCAACCTCCGCTAACCACGGTCTGGCACACCCGTTCGGGCATCCGGTCATTCTCATCGTGACGGAGTCGTGTCTCAAGCCGTATTCCTCCAAAGCCCCCTCAAGCTTGGAAACCAAGACTGGAAGGTAGCGCTCGGATTCGGCCATCGCAAGCCCACAGGTAGGGAAGGCCACACAAGCAGACGATCCCATTCTTAAGGCGGAAAAGTTGGTGTTGTCCAACTTGTACTTCTTCATCAAGCCCTTGACATGGTCAAGGTGTTCGTCAGTAATGTCGGATATCAAAAAGTGCTGGTTACCTGTCAATCTGAAATTACCAAACTTCTTCTCCACCATGTACTCGGCAATCTCCTTCAACCCCTGCTTTTGCGGCAACTCTGGGGTGTCCTCAATTCTCCCGTTCTCAATGAAGCACGTGAAGTGGTGGAGACCCGTCTCATCCTGGGCCCAGCCGAAGTAATCAATATTGGACTTGATTTCAAACTCGCGTGGCGCCTCGAACCGCTCGCCCCAGTATTCCTCAACCGCAGTCTTGAAGGCCTCGACACCCATGTCATCAATGGTGTACTTGAGTCTGGCATGCTTTCTATTGGTACGGTCACCGTTGTCTCTCTGCACCAACATGATTTTCTCACACGCAATGTGAATCTTATCAGCGGAACAGTAACCCATCATGGACCCAGCACGTGGATAGGTCTTCTTGTTGTTGTGAGTGGTACCCATACCACCACCGGCCAATACATTGTACCCGATAACAACGTCGCTTTCATTCACAATCGCGATGAGACCAATGTCATGAGCGTACACATCCACATCGTTGAACGGCGGAACAGTGATGACGATTTTGAACTTTCTTGGAAGGTAAAGGTTCTTGTACATCGGTTCGACATCCGCCAAAGCGTTACCAGCAACCAACGTCTTCTTCTTGGTAGGACCTTCCACTCTGTTCTCCCAGACAGCCGAATCACCCGGTTTGTCGCCGGCATCGGCGCCTTCCAACCAGATCTCGTGGTAGGCAGTGGTCTGCGGCAACAAGTGTTCAGAGATGATCTTCGACGCCTCGTTGATCTGGCTGTGCACCTTTCTGTTTCCCGGCAAAGCGGAACACATCACGTTTCTGTTGACATCACCGCAGGCAGCCAAGGTGTCCATCAACGCGGCATTCATCCCTCTGATAGCTGGCTTCAAGTCGTGCTTTACCACCCCGTGGAGCTGGAATGTCGCCCTGGTGGTAACCTTGAGAGTTCCGTTACCCCTAGTATTGGAAAGCTCGTCCATCTTGAGGTATTGTTGCGGCGTAGAGACCCCGCCCGCAAGACGAACACGCACCATGAAGGAATACGCCGGCTCAAGACCATCGGCCTTGCGCTGGTCTCTGACATCTCTGTCGTCTTGCATGTAAATCCCATGGAACTTGGTGAGCTGCTGGTCGACGGCGGAAATCGCACCGGTGGACTGATCTTGGAGACCCTCCACAATAGTACCACGGAGGTAGTCGGACCCGAGCTTCATGTCCTCGTTGGTGAGCGGCTTTGGCTCTTCCACGCCCGCCAATCCAGCAACCCCAAGGCCCTCCCAGATCTGTTCGATCCAGACATTGTAGCCGGTAGAGTAGCCGTCAGCATCCTGATCGTCACCGAGCCCCAACGGCGCAATCTCTCCGGCACCAAAGAAGGCCAACTTCGCAAACAAGTCTTTGCATGGCTTGTTGTAGTAGTGGGCGTCCTCCTTTCTTGGCCAGTACTGAGAGTCACCTAACCCAAAGACGGAGAAATTGACCCCGGTGAGGTCCAAGTCCAAAGATCCCTTGAGCCCGTCCCAGAGCGTCTTACCGTTCTGTGGGAACTCACCCTGACCAGCGGTGGAAGTCACAAAGATCACGTTCTCCTCGGCAGAAAGGTCTTCAATTGGAATATCGTCCATCGCAAGCACCGTCGCCTTCAACCCTCTCCCCAAGGCTTGTCTGCCGATTCTCTTGGCAAGACCTTCGGCATTACCACCGTCAGAGGCAAAGGCAACGGTTACCGGTGGGCCCGAAAGACCCTCGAGCAACTGGGCATAGGCTTCCTTCGCCTTGGCCTCCTGCTTCTCCTTGACATCGTTGGTCTGGGAAGCAACCAAGGTTCTGGCAAGGACTGGGTTCTTCAGTGCCAACAATGTCAACTTGTTTTCCCTGTCCAAAAAGTCCTTTAACTCCTTCTTGAGAGACGAGGAGTCAAGCTTGAACGGCTCAGTCTCGTTAGGCGAGTATCTGTACAACGGCCAGTACCCGGAATCTACCGCACGCTTGGTTTCCTGTAAAACAGCCAAGGTATCATCAGATTCAGAGTGGTAAGGAAGATAGGCCATGACAATGGATGGACCCTCAAACTTCTCTGCCTCAATAAAAGCCTGCAAGACCTGGGTGTAGGACGCGTAGACAGCAACAGAGGCAACGTAGCAGCCGCCAAAGTTCATCGCATACAAACCAACATCCTTCTTTCTGAAGCCATTCACCTTTCGGTCGGTGGCCTGAGGCTCAGAATCGATAATCAACATGTTGAGGTTCTTGCCGGACGAAACAAGATGGTGCACCCCGGAAGAGCCCAAATCATAGGACCAAGAGTCAGAACCAACGATCCAGGAGGAGGACTCGGTGAAGTGGGAAGATAAGGCCAAGATAGCGGTCTTGGATTCGTCGGCTTCAGCTTCCAAAGCAGAAATAATAGCTGCCGAATCGGTCTTGCCCTGAACCAACCACTCAGACAACCGCTTGGTGAGGCTGGCGGAAAAGACAGAGGCACGGACCGCCTCCTGGACCAAGCCAACCAAGCTTTTCTTCTGCTCCTCGCCGTTCAAGAACGCACCGTACCCGAATTCCGGGTTGGCAGCGTCGCCGATGGAGTCAGAGCTCTGTGCGTTCAAAATCGTGAGACGGTCGTTCACCTGCTGCAACATCGTGATGTATGCAGACTCAAGTGTCTGCGCCTGTGCCTGTGCCGCGGCGACATCCGCACCGCACACCTGCTCCGCCGCCCCGACGGTGAGGTTTTGAATCGGCTTCTCGGCCCTGGTGTTGCCGAGCACGGTAGCAACCGCGACGGCGTGGTCGGAAACGACGCCAAAATTTGTGGAGACAACTTTGGTGAGGCCTCTGTCGAATAACTTGGCGGAGTCAGCAAAGAGATCCAACAACAACGGCGAGAACTGCTGGGTGTGGGAGCTTTGCTCGACGACTGTCAAAGTTTTCACCGACAACGGAAGCGAGGCCAAGACCTGTGCCACCGAAATTGGTCTGTAGAGTCTGATAGAGAGGAGAATGGAGGAACCGTCGGCATGCACGGCCTTGGACAAACTCTCGGAGGCCTCCCCGAGAAGAAAGATCGCATCGGTAGGGTTCTTGGCGGTAGAGACAGTCTCGTACGGCTTGTACTTGCCCACGTTGTGGAGTAACGAGGCCAAAGTGTCAAACTGGGCATCTTCGTCGATGATCTTTTCAGAGCTGGCAGTCGCCTGGATGAACTTCTGCACCGCCGCAGAGTCAATCAAGTTGAATTTCTGGGCCTCGCTCGGAGCGAAGAAGTGGAGAACGGTGGTCTGAGCGTGTGCAGCGTAGGCATAGGCGACCAACGCAAGGTCCTGGGCCTCCTGGGCGGTCTGAGAGACCAAGATCGGGAGCCCCAAGTCTCTGAGCGACGTGACCGGCGAGAAGTCAGCGGTCAATTGCGCGTGGATGACGACGCTGCGGTTTTTAAAGGCCGTCTGGTTGAGGAATGGGAGGTTTTGCAAGAGTGCCGCACCCGTGGTGGCGACGGTCGCGAGCGCCGGTTGTTCGGTGGTGAGGTAATCGGCAATCACCGCGAACGCGTCGTTGGCGCCGACGAGCTTATGCGTGTCGGTAAGTGCAAAGGCAGACTCCACAGCCTTGGCCGTTTGCGTGGTGAAGTTAACACCGCCGGCAGCATTAGCAACGTGGGAGACTGAACGTTAGTATTAAGTTTCGTGGATGTTCCGGGGGGAGGACAAGCTAGCGTTTGCAATGTGCTTTACATACCAGCTTCGGCTTGGGAGACGGCTGGGGCCTTGTTCAAGGCACTACCGGCTTCCTTGAAAAGGTTAAGATCAATCTCTTTACCTAAAATGATCATGTTGAGGCTTGAGTGTCTTCTGTATAAAACTCGGAAGTTATAGTAGAAGTGAAGATATATATATATTTCCAGCCGGGTGTTGGGCGAAGTGGCCGATGCATGTGGCTGATGGCGCCTGCATGATCACTGCATCTCACGTGCTCTTAGTTAAGCGGCTTCAATACAGTGCTGATTGGCCCGGCGATACATCTGAGATGAGATGCATACACGTGACCTCACGTTGTAAGGTGATGCTTCAGCCAGGCCAGCCCGATTGGGACCGTGGGCTGGTAACTGTGGCTCGGAAGCGGCGAGCAAATTAACAAGGTTCTGTTCATATAAAGGCCTGACAAAAAGGTACTGGTGAACTACTGCTAAAATCCCACTGTGTGGAGGTGGATGCATCTCTGCAGGTGTATTATCTGCGTGGAAAGGACTAGGTATCGTCAGCGTCCATAACAGACTACTAACTAAGTGTATGGCGGTCTTTGGCTGCGGCGAAAATTAAATGGAGCTTTCATATTGTTGGACAACTGGGAGTATTTTCGGATCAGTGGCCGTTACCGGCATGGACCGTTGTGCAAGCCGCACATAGAGATAGTGACTCTTAAACGTTAGGGGACGAAGCCCCCAGGAAAGGCGTACCAAGTTGTGACTCTGGTCACATCCACCCTGTCTTGGCAGACTACGCAGGATAATTCAGACATACTGGTTAGAATTCGCATGTACAGGTGATCTACAGATAAGAATTTCTTGGATATTATATTGATATATGAACTGGCTATACTGAGGTTAGTAATCGCTCGTGAAGGCGGTACACCTTCCACCAGACAAACGCGGGGCTTTCATACATTAATCAGTGTAACTATGACAAATGTAAGAATCATAACAGCCAGACTAGCCATGACCAAAACGGTCATGATCTGACTGTTCGGTAAGTTGGAAAAAAGTTATCATCCCTTAATATGAAAGCCCACTATCCGAGGAGTATTGAGGCACTGATCAGCACATACGTTCTATCACTTGGGGTACACTATAAATGGAATTGGTAAATGGGATCGATAAATGGAATCAGTCAAGGGATCAGACCTGAATGCGATGGATAAGTAGCGATCTACGTGCTTACATATTATGGATGGGCTACCTGAAATTTTTCACGCACTGTCGGGTAACGCATGGAGGTTCAACGCTGGGTTAGGGTTTACTAACAAGCACAGCTCACCATTACCTTAAGCCCTAACATAGCACACGTGATGTAACAACAGTCACAATCACTTAATAACGGAAAATGAAAAAGTAATCGCTTATATACAGGATATCTAGTTATACTTCCTGCATGCTAATTCACTTTTTGGTACAGACACTGAGAAAATTTTCACCCATACTGCGGGAAGGCCCGTGCGGTGTGTACAGTCTGAGAGGGGAGGCCATAGTGTGGAATCTTTTCCACCCAGTCATTGCCCAAACCTACGTAAAAATATCAGCCTTTTCGAAAAATGCCCTCGGTTGGAAGTATTTTCTGAGTTATTCAACAATCATAGTAAAAATGGCTGCCCAAAAGTCCGCTGTCACCAGAGAATACACCATCAACTTGCACAAGAGAGTAAGTCCCAATTGGCTGCCGGTTGGATTATTGATGAAAGACGGGAAGTGGAACATTCCGAAAGGACACCACGCTGGAACGGCATAATAAGGGAGGATCGAGCGAGGGGAATTCCAGTGAAGCCCCGGCTACTACTTATCAGTTGCCGCCAATACTATTGGCGTGTTATTGAGAGTTTTCAGCAGGCCTCTGAATTACCAGGCGGTAATTTCCATTGGATAACCTCACGTTCGTGAGTACCGAAGGAATAGTTCTTTCTACCATGAAACTTAAGCCATCCTGCTTTCATCAACGTTATCCAACCAATCGTTTCCGTACAAACACTAACCCTTCTAGTTGCACGGTGTCTCTTTCAAGAAGAGAGCTCCAACTGCTGTCAAGGAGATCAAGAAGTTCGCCAAGTTGCACATGGGTACTTCTGACGTCAGAGTCGACCCAAAGTTGAACGTTGAATTGTGGAAGAGAGGTATCCAGGGTGTTCCATTCAGATTGAGATTGAAGATCTCTAGAAAGTTGAATGACGAAGAAAACGCCACCGAAAAGATGTACTCCTACGTCCAGGCCGTCAACGTTGCTACCGCCAAGGGTTTGCACACCGTTGTCGTCGACGAAGACGAAGCTTAAATTTCTTTATAACCAATACTGGTTTAATATATGACTTTTACTGTACAATAGAAACTCACGCGGGACCGAATGTAGAAACTGATGTGTTTTTCGGTATAAAATATGATATGGTTAATTGCAAAAACGCTTTTTCTAAACCAGGCACGGTTCGGTCACTGCCCTGGATATTGAACCAGAAAGTGCACAGGGATGGTGGTAGCGCTCTAAGTATGGATTTACATAGATTTTGCGTCATTTCAGGCAGTGGGGAGGCGAGGTCAATCTCTAGAGGTCGGTTCTGTGTGGTGTATATTCGACCAAATTAATCAGATTCGGGCCCTTTGAAACATGGAGAGTATTAGACTTTCAGTCACTCACCGCCTGCCCCAAGCCCTATAAATGTACATAAGGTATCTAAATAGCGTTATATGGTCGATAGATATAGAGACTTTTATTCTACGAATATACTTAGATGTGGTATACCTGATAGGTGATCTTAGATACTGCTAGCTAAAAGAGAATATGATAAAATCATTTTGACGGAGATAGGATACCGACATGACACATGCTCGGGGAATATCAGCCGACATCTGTAGTATTAAACATCACCTTTGACATGTTAGATATCTATGTGTATATTTGTTTCTATTTTATTTATTGGTTACGCCTGATAATAGAACACTAGTTAAATATGGAAATAGTATTCACAGGAAACACATAGGCAAACCGCTTTTTATCAGTCTCGCCTTCCAATGAAAATAGTAATAAAAACCCATCGATATCTAGCGTTGCCTCTAGATATGGTGCATTCCGGCATGCCACGTGATGCTTGTGGATCCACTGGACAAAACTCATTACCTAAACCCATTTGAACGTATTTCCACAACCGGTAGAATTCAGATTACTCAGTGGTAATTGAGCTACGGTCAACTAGTTTGTAAAAGACTCGTAAGTTTATATAATTTTCCTTGCTAATACCAATTTATAGCCCCCGGAACTCTTCACTCCTGCACCGATACCTGCCTGCAGCTGTGATTCATCGATGGCCCATCAAATATCAACGCTCCTTCTTTTCAAACCTGCTCTTGGTATTTTCCCACAAATTTAATACAATGTCCAGATCTGTTAACGTCGCTATTATTGGTAAGTTTGCTTCAAAAATCTCCTCCAATTGATACTAACCTCCAGGTACCGGTGTCGTCGGCGCCGCCTTCATCAACCAGTTGAAGAACCTCCAATCCGTCATCACCTTCAATGTGGTATACCTCGCACGCTCGCGTACCGCGCTCATCGCTAGAGACTACCAACCGCTCGCATTGGCCAGCTGGGAGGCTGATGTTCAGGCTGCAACCACGCCTACTCTCGCATTGAGCGAGTTAGCACAGTTCTTACGTGCGGGTACCGCGCCGGCGATTCTTATCGACAACACCTCCAACGAGGAAATTGCTAGCTTCTATCCGTCCTTCATCGAGCAGGGAATCTCCATTGCTACCCCTAACAAAAAAGCCTTCTCGTCTGGCTTGCAGACTTGGAAGCAAATCTTCGCTGGCGCCGCGAAGCCAGCCGGCGGCTTGGTCTACCACGAGGCGACCGTGGGCGCGGGTTTACCAATCATTGGAACCTTGCGCGACATTGTCGCGACCGGTGATAAGGTTCAGAAGATTGAGGGAATTTTCTCCGGGACTTTGTCGTACATTTTTAACGAGTTCTCCACCCCAGAGGGCAAGGATGTCAACTTCTCCGATGTGGTTGCCGTGGCCAAGAGTTTGGGCTACACCGAGCCAGACCCTAGAGATGACTTGAATGGGTTGGATGTTGCCAGGAAGGTTACGATTTTGGCCAGAATCGCTGGATTTGAGGTTGAGTCTCCCACTTCCTTCCCCGTCCACTCCTTAATCCCGAAGGCCTTGGAGTCCGTGAAATCCGGCGAGGAGTACATGGAAAAGTTGCCCGAATTCGATGGCGATATGGAGACCTTGAAGGAAAACGCCGCCAAGCAGAACAAGGTTTTGAGATTCGTTGGTAAGGTCGACTTCCCTAGCAACACCGTTTCGGTAGGTATCGAGGAGTACAGCTTCGACCATCCGTTTGCCGCCTTGAAGGGCTCCGATAACGTAGTCTCCATTCAGACTGAGCGCTACCAGAACCCGTTGATCGTCCAGGGTGCCGGTGCCGGTGCTGAGGTTACCGCCGCAGGGGTATTGGCCGACGCCATTAAAATCGCCGAAAGAATTGCTAAATAGGTGTCAGAATCGTATTTGGAGATTTTTAAAACGCGTAAATCAAGGAAATTAGCAGAAATGACGGTCGGCAGTAGGCCACAGATAAGGGAATTGACTTTTACGGGCGTATGTGTGAATCTTAATCTTGACAGAACGTCCATAAGACTGTTCACAAAGTAGAAAGCAATGTTGGAACCCCATTCCAGGAGAAAATAAACATGCTACTACAGGCCTAGGCAGGGGGGTTATCAAGATAGTTATGATTGGATGCATGTGGGAGCTACAAAGGGTATACAAGCTATTTCACCATGCCACTGGTTTTTAACGATCTGGGTAGTCTCCTTCGGCCCGTCACGGCTTTGCCATCACCTTCTGGGTTGCACCTGTCTCAGTTCTCCCATTTTGCGATGGCTACTGACTTATTGTCTCCTCCAACCTCTTTGTCACAATCCACTTGCTCTTTGCCTCCAGAAAAATCTCACGAAGCCGCGCGCGATCGCCGCACTTTGCACGAAAGTCCAACAAAAACCGATGCGAGTTAATAAAGCTCTCCTTGGCCCCGCTCCCGCTATTGACGCGCGCGATATGGTAGTTGTTTGGCGCAAGGAAGAGGTCCCCCGTGGTGCGAATCTCGGCAAAATAAACCCCTGAGCGGTGGATGTACTGCGCGTACTTGAACGTCGGCTTGCCCCACGAGTAGTTGACCTCAATCGACTCCTTATTGAAAAACACACCCGAGCGGTTGTCCAACATGAAGCCGCTGCTCTCAAGGAGGTAGATATGATAGAAGAACTGCTGCTCCGCGAGGAGCCGCGTGCCATCCGCATCGTTGAGTGCCGCGTCGGTCCACGGGTCGAGTGCTAGCGTAAGCTCCGCGTACGAGTGGAACGGGTTCACCGACGGCACCGTACACACCTCGCGCCACGGGATCTCTACGAGCCGGAGCCCGTAACGCTCGCAGAGCCGGCTCCACCCGAGTACCGTGTCATCGATCAACTTGGACGTGGTGTTGAGCCACTCGAGCCGAAGGTGGAAACAGTGCTCGGGGTTGTGCACGCGGTCGTAGTGCACGCGCACGACCTCGAGTTTAAAGGATTTTCCGGTCGGATCCACGTTGTAGTCGAGCGAGCTGCTAAGCATGACGGTTGGGGCAGGCGCGGGCGCGGGACTCGCGGGCGAACTCGTAGACGAGACCGTCTCTTCCGTTTTATCCGCATTTTCATCGCGTGTGCGCGCAGTCTCTGCGTACGCTGCGTCGAGCTGGTAGAAGTAGTGGCCATCAAGAAAGTTGTGCCGGTTGGTGACGTGACGGAAGAATCCCCGCTCCATAAGCGCATTGCCAAACTCGACCGCATCTTCGCGTGTATCAATGTCCTCAAACATCTCCACCATCCACGTGGTAAACTCCAGGCCCATAAAGCAGTGCTTGTACGAGGAAAAGTGCCAGCGGCGGTCCAGAAACGCAATCCCCTTCGCGCTCTGGAGTGCGCGCGCAAGACTCGCTAGTTGCATGCCGCGCGTGTAACTCGCGTCCGCGAAGAGCAGGTGTGACGTCTCACTCGCCGCGGCCTGCGCTGTAAGAAATGAAAACAAGCTACCCGTGTAGAAGGTGATTTCTGGAGCAATCTCTTCCTTCTTACGTGCGACCTGCTCCTCGCGCGTACGGCAACGCCCCTTGTGCACCGCCCCGATGAGCTTGCGAAAGCCCTCCAACCGGAGCTCCTCCAGGTTTAAACCCTGATCGCCTGCCGCGAAGCCCACGGGGAGCTCGCACGGGATCACCACGAACTTGATACGATTGTACATCGTGCGGTCCGTCACGTCATCGAAGCCCGCGAGCACCTGGTCGACCTGGTTCCACTTAACGCAAGGAATCGCCATGAGGGGGTTGAGAGGCGAGGGGGTGTATGTTTCGGAATAGCGGGTCTTGATGAGAGGTACCGAAATCGAGAGCGAATCCGACGGGGCCGCCTGAGGTGCTGTCCATGGAATTTCGTCCACGGGAATCACCGGGGGTATCGTCTCGTCTAAGGGAGTTGCTGGAAGTATATTTTCATCCAATGATTTCGCTGGGAGGACCGCTGCGAGGTTTGGGTCGTCTGGTGTCAGAAGGCTCGCCGATATCGTTATGCCAGATTTCGCCTGGCTTTCCAGGTCGGCCTCCCCCGACTTTGCCGGTCTCACCGCCAGATTCACCCGACTATACACCTGAACATTGATACTCCCTCCGTGGTCGCACGCAATCCGATGGATCTCGTTTACCGAGCTCATGTACACGCGCGCACCGTGACAATCCGCACGTGATGGGAGGTACTTCGTAAGCGCCGCAGGGTTTCCCCCCGCACGCTCACTCTCAACGCGTGCCACACCTGGCCCCACGCAGAGCTGGAACCCGCGTGTTAGCCGCATGTAAACCATCGCACGGAAGAGGTCGAGGGTGCTGGTGGTGAAGGGTGAGTCCCAGTTTAGCAGCACGTCATAGAGCTGGAACGTGTAGTTCTGTTGGAAGTCCACGGGCGCTGGGAACACGGGCGTGGTGAGCGGGAGCGCAGCCGGCGACGTGAGTGAGCGCCACTTGAGGCCCTGCTTGCGCGCGTGGCGCGGGAACGTGTGCTGCCAACGGCCGTACGATTCAAGCCCGAGCGACGTCGCCGAGCGCGACGGGTTGTCGATGGGAGTAAAGAGGATGGACGTCACGTCTGCGGGGCCGCTGTGCTTGACCGCAGGCTTGCTGGCATAACCCTTGGCTGGAAGCACACGCGTGCGTTGGGGCTCACGCACGGGCTGGCGTTCGCGTGCAGGCTCTGTCTCGGCTGTGGGTGACGGCGAGCGCAGCTTAGAGCTCTCACTTGGCGCCTGCGCCAACTGGCGTAACGCCGTCATTGCGGACACACCGGTGCGGATATGGGTCGGGCTGCTGAATACAGGGCTGGTGGTGAGTGTGGCACCGCCCGTCACCGGCACGGACGCGCGCGGTGACCCAAGCGTAAGCGAGTTTGAGAGAGAGCTGGCAAGGGTGAGGGTGGAGCTGGCACGGGAAAGAGATGCCGTGCGCGACGTCCCTCCGTTAAGCCTTTCACGCGCGTGCACGCTGGTCCTATCACGCGTGCTCACCGCTCCTACAGAGGAGAACACATCCCGATCATATTCCTCCATCGCGCGCTCACCCCGCGCGGCCAACAGCGTAATTGCCACCACGCTCGCGTCGTTCGCCATCACGCCCATCATCTGCAACTCGTAGATTTTGCATCGCGGTGTCCAGTAGAGTGCGTTCCTGCTCGTGCTGCTACAGAACGACGCGTCGATCCACGTGGGTATGCAGTGGCATAACGTGCCGTCGCGCAAGTAACGGAATAACGGCACTGCGTGGAGCGGCGGTTGCGAGAGGCAGATAATGTCCACGCCCACCTCAAGGGCCAACATCTTCTCACTGGTACGGACCATCAAGTCGTAGTCCACGTCGAAAATGCCGGTACCGGGCGTGACGACAATGAACTGGTTGTTTGTATGGCGGAGATCCGGGTCGCGGAGGTTGTCGGTGACGATGCTGGCCGTGAGATTGATTGCTTCGAGCAAGTTGCCCTTGACGGCCGGGAGAAACTTGCCCTTAGACCGCCAGCAGCCGTTTTCCTCCACTAGGAGTAGGTCACGCATAAAACGCGAGAACTCATACCGGAGCGTACCCATAATTTCGCTCCAGTGCGTAAGGTGGACCTGATCAACCACCACGCGGAAGTAGTCTGTACACTCCGCGAAGAGCTCGCCTGGCTGGATGTTCCCCCAGGGTGTGTTGGTGATGTCCACGTTGGCAAACAACACAATGGTGATCAAGTGGTGGGTGCCGATTTCCTGCCAGCGCTTGAAAATGGTGGGTAACACGGTGTGGATCAACTTCTGGAAAAGAATCTCGCCGCTCTCCTCGAAGTGCCACATCTCGCGCGATACCTGTATCAAGAACGTAAGCCTCGCAGACTCCAGTCGAAACACTACCTTGGTCGCGGGGCCCACGTATGCGGAAAACACCTTTTGTTTGCGGCGGTAGATGCCGTTGACCGTCACGCGAATCCCATCCATCAATGCCACCTTCTTGGACCGGTACACGCACTGACCCTGGAGAATTGACGAGAAGTGCCACATGTCGCCGCGTGAAAGGTACATGTCCTTGATTTGTATCTCTACCAAATCAGCCTCAACCTCTGCCGGCTGTTTCAACCGCACAAGAACCGGACTGCGGAGCGTTAGCTCCATGAGCGTCTGGAGCGCCCCGGATTGCACGGAAACCATGTTTGGCTTTGCGCCGGCGGTGACGCGGAAGAGCAACTTGCGCAGCGAGTTAAGCGGTTCAAGCTCCGCGACATCGCCATCCTTAGCGCCGGGGAGGAGCGCGGTGTCGATAAGCACGTCCGCCAGGTCGGTGCGAGGGTCGTGGAACCAGACGTTGAGCTGAACAGGTTCGCGGAGTGTAGGCTCACGCGATGAATCGCGCGTATCTGGCTCTCGCCCGTCATGATTTAGTTCACGCGCAGAGCCGTGCGCGGTTTCGTGGTGTTCGCGCGTGGAATTGGCTCGTACCGCGGGAGACGTGTCGAACCGCGCTGACACACCCGCACGCGAGACAGTAAGGGTACTTTGCTGGACTCCCATGGGAGTGCGGCCAGGCGCGGCGGCATGTTTGCGCTGCCCCGCCAGACGGAGAGTGAGTTTTGCCATGCTTTACGAGACAACCACGAAACGATTAGCTGGTAGGCTATTGGGAGGGATTCCTAAAAATGGCGTTGCGTGGAGATTGGCTAGATGAGAGCGATGATACAAGGGCAAGATTCCGTGAGAAGCGTTCGAGAGGCAGCCTGCTCAAATAGAGTAACTTGTAACAAGGAAGACACTATGATGGAACTGGTAATGGTTAGAGTCTGGCAATAGGATGAATCTTGAGAGTGCTAATGGTTCCAATGGCCCGTGGTAGAAAGGTTGGGACTGAATTAATTGATATATGCCGTTGAATACACAGTTTCGATACTTGTAAAATCGAGAACTGGCGGATGCGGTAGTTCGATTCGCAGCGATTCCAGCGTGTAACTCGATTCAGAAGACTGTTTGAAATTCAGAACCTAAGTACGATCTAACAGTTACCGGTTCTTTTAGGACTGGCACAGTTAAGGTATTCAGAGGCAGGGAGAAATCGCTTTGAAATGATGGAGGTTTGGGTATGATCTCCGGGCGCTTTCCATAGGGTGAAAGGGGACAAAACCTGAATTGACACGCAGGTGAGAGTTTTCGAAAGAGCTAGCTATGCGTTTGGCCGCTTTTAAAGATATGATACCGTAAATTTTGACAGGGAAGTGTGGACTAAGACATGAACCGAGTCCCTTTTTGTATCACCCGAGACCAACTGTATTTTTGGTCACGTGATTTTACAGAACGCGTCTACCAGAAGCTGCGTCGCGTGAAGCAGTCTGAAAGCACCTCTATATATTATATAGCATGTATTCAGAGTAAAGGACTTCTAAGGCAACACCGAAATAAAAGAGGAATAGGGTAAATGTTGCGGGAAAAGACTTGAAATGATAAAATGCCATGGAAACATCTAGCCCAAGTGTACATGGGGATAGCCCTATGTGTTCAAGGAGGCGCTTAAAGCCTTTACCAAGTTAAGCATTACCGAAAGACAAAGATTTTCCTTTGGTGGTTATTTCTTGTTTCTAAGGGTATAAACTGGTAAGTTTAAGGTAGGTAGCCCATCTGTGATATCAAACTTTCCCTAGGCGTGGAAGCTTGGGAGTAAGTCAATACTTGGAATATGTAGAATAACCGTTGAGATGTTCAACATCATTTCGGGGTAGTACCTAGACTGTATTAGATCACAGCGTATTATAAATCGTACTGAGTTGACTGTGGATTTTCGGTGACCATATCTCGCGTTGAAGTGCTATATTCATGTTAAGCCTACAATAAACTGGCACCCTAATGACCTACACTATCCAATTTCTCTAAAGCCCCATTATTCAAGCATCTTTTGGGGATTTCAATGTTGTATAAACCTATCTTTAAGTGATTCACCAAACTTCTAATACCTTTTCTAGTTTTATAACTCACAACGCAAAACACCTCTCAACTGATTCTGCATTATTACCCCACCAATGGGGCATGTCCACCGGGTACAAGCTGAACAACAAAAAGATCAAAAGCACCGCAAGGTTGAATCCTGTGTCAAACGCGGCAGCGAGGATATAATTGTACTTCTTCCATAACGAGTGCTTGTAGCGGAAGGCATAAAACATGGTCACGGTCCCCCCGATGAACTGTGAAAGGTATCCGGTGGAAAGATTTCCATAGAACTTGCTCATAGTCAGGAAGAACACCGTAGAGTTGTAGAGGTCAAAACGCGCACGGGGAAACTTCCGATGTAAGTAGTAAATAGCCATCGGCGCTACGGCTCCAAGCACAAACCCGTAGGGAAGAAGCGGATAGTGCTTGAAAAGACGGTCTGGCCCGAGAAGTACGTACTGAATAGCCATGGTATTGGAGCTGGTAAGGGCCTGACCCGTCCATTGGTGCAATGGATCGATCTTTGCCCCCGTGAGGTACTCCCGTTTTGTATCTAGTACCCAACGCAAGGCGATGTAGTTGACGGGAACACCGATGAGCTCACCAAATATCTGAGACATAAAAACAGCCTGTGGCGGAAGGTGCATGTAATGGCCGATTTTCTGGTCTTGGAGCATAAATTGAGCCCGGTACCAGGCGTCCCCAGCAATGGCACCATACGTAGATGCCCCCGCGGGGTGTCTGTGAGAAAGATTCTGCACCATGTAGCCATACAAAAGCTCGTTGAAGGTGCCGATAGCGAGCTGGAAGTTTGATACGGCATAGAGCCACGCGAGAGGCGTTACGATCACCGCACCGAACACCAACGCTACGAAGTATGTCCACACGGGGATGAACATGCCTCCAGATGCAAAAATGAGCGTGAGGGTCACAAACGAGCCGAGAAAGAGGAAAATGTACCAGCTCTGTGGGACATCAGGATAGGCCCCCTGGAGCCGGTTCAAGCGGTCGGTAAACTCCTGGCTGGCGGAGACGTTATTCTCTGTGTGACGGCCGTGCCACACACGTTTCACGGACGCCATTAGCTGTGCGCGCGCGTAAATCAACGCCCAGAGAGCGCCTGAAACGTACGCTGCGTAGTCAAAGAATGTGTTCCACGCCTTCTGTGCGCCCATGTGAATCTCCCCGAAGTGCGCGTATGCCGTCTCATTGAACCTAAGCTCGGGGGTGATCAACTCCGCAACTGGGTACGGAGCGCCTTCGGTCGTGAACAAGCCGTTGGACATGAGACCGAACTTGTACTCTACAAGACTGCTCCACTTGGCAATGGGGAGGAGGATCCAGGCACCGAAAACAAACGCGGTGAACTGTACCACCTGGACCCAGTATGGGTAGATCATGATCTTAGAGGTGACGTTACTCCAGTCGAGCGAGAGATTGAGGAGCCCTATTCCGCCCATTCCTGAACCGAGAAAGTTAACCACGTGGTTGTGGGGCGCAATCCAACAGAGCACCGCAAGGGACGAGAGGAACGGAAAGACAAGCTCAGGAAGAAACTGCCAGCAGGTCATGAACACAAGTGCAAGGAAAAAGATGCGCATCTGGCTGGATCCAAGTTTACTGTCACGATCAGACCGGGCCTGGGAGTTGAACAAGTTTGTTTGCATGAGGGCCTGTGGCCAGGTGATCTTGGGGTCGTAGAGGAGGAAATTGCGTGCAATTGCCGCGTACGAGTAGCCAGTAAAGACAATTGCCCACATGTAGAGAATGGCTATAACCGGGTTGACCTTCTCGTGATAGTAGAGCTCGGCCAAGGAGATCCCGCTGGTTCCAAGGTTTCCGGTGGCACCCAGCGCCGCCGCGATGGTTACAAGCGCCGTCTCCTTGATAGACCACGGTCCGGGGTTGAGGTCAAAGCGGAGACTTCCAAAGCCGACCTGCCTCTTGGGAAGGGTCCGGGCTAGCCACTTTCCCGCCCAGTGCGATGCAATCTGGACAAAGAAGATCGAGTACGCTGCAGAGGTGGTTCGGTAGCTGTTCATCGTGTCGAGAAACGCCCCGGGCACAACAAACACAATGGTGAGGAGAACAAAGCGGAAGGTCACCACAGGAATGGTCGGGTCATCCGTGAGGGTTACGGCATCGCGGACAACTAAAGGGAGTTCCAACACATCGGAGGGAAGCTCATCTGTCTCGTCTGGGGTGCCTGGGATGCTTGGAGTTTCTGGGAGGATTTTAAGCAACGGTTCGTCTTCTAAGGTTCCGGTATTTGGTACTGACTCTGATCGGCTCTGGTCTCTTGAATATGCTTCGGTTCGTAGGTGATCCATGTGTGTGAATGAATATGTGGTGAGTCTTTTGTGGTACGATGGAAGTGGATGCTTGTTGGGGGAGGGATTGAGGTATGGTCGAATGGTACTCTAGAACACAGAATGATAGTCTAGTGCAGCTGTTAGTGTTCTACTTTCACAAACTGGCTATTGTATCTGTCCAAATGTGCACACGATTCGTGGCCTGAAGACTGTGGAAATCACCGAAAGATGTTATGCATGCTTAATAATATGCAAAGTGTTACACCAGCCACAACTTCCTATCTGTAATTCGCCACATTAGTGAGAGGCTTGTGAGATGCTGAAAGATACTTGCACAAATCCAGAGACCTTTTTAATATTATGGAGGTTTGTCATCAGTTTAAACAGTTTTTGGTAGACCAAGGAAGGCAAATTACGAGGGTACAAAAGGACAGCTCACCAAGGAAGTACGGAGGACCCGGTATCAATACGACATAGACTGTGGGTAGTCAAATGAGTTTACGTATACGTGTGAACTGGGTTTTAAACATATCTAGCGCTGTAAAAAAAAAAAGAATGAAGCCATTGCTAGCTGTCTAGCCACCTCCAGGATTGTAATATGCCTCCATCTAATTGAACGTGGGATTACTCTTGGTCTAACGTACTGTGTTAAGTTTTCAATCTGTGGTTCGATACTGTGTTCCACGTACATTGTTTTGACAACACGCAGCTGTTTAAGGATGGAGTGGGTCAATACTCTTCCATAGGCTGCTAGCTGTATAATACCATAATTTATATGGACTCGGAAATTTCTCCAAAAGAAAAGGCATACCTCTGTCGAGATGAAAGGGCTGGATATGCAGATAGGGAACGGCATCCATTTACACTTGAGTGTTTTATTTCAGTATCCAAAAAACCTCTGGTGGATAGCTCTCTGTGATCACACCCGATAACTCTTAATCTTCCTTTTAGCCAAATAAACATACGCGTATAACTCGATACGGTATACGATTTTCGTACAGTAATAACCTGTTCTAATTTTTCATGGGAAAATAAGGTTGATTTCCCACCTTGGCCCCTTTTTTGTTGCACCCTTATTCCACGTGCCAATTTCAGCCTTATCCTATTCGGAAAAGATGCGAAAATAGGCCATAAGATTGTCTTGTAGGTCACATGTACCATTATGGTTATCTCCGGTGTGGGGACTAATCCATTCTTCCATGATTCAAAGATTGCTCCTCGAAAATATATAATTGTATCCAGACAACCCGACTCTTGTGCTATTGGTAGTAACCTGTCCGCACCTGTAGGTTACACTCAGCTCAATGGTCACAACTCTGACTTGGAAAGCAGTTACCCCTTTTGGAGCTGTGCATTCCCCTAATCTACATTAAATCCAAAGTGGCAACGAAAAGATTTTCGCCATTCGATGAACCTTCTTTCAGAACAAGGATGATTATGCATTATAATTTAGTGTTCTCGGATAATTCACATGGGGTAAACAGAGTGTCCCCACGGTTACAACGCAGAAATACAGTCATATATGCAGTTGTATAGTGATTCGCGATATTTGCGTAGTCACAAAAAATATGACACCGTTTACGTCATACGTCATTCCGCGTGTGGTCTACTGGCGGAGTCATACGCCCGATATGGATAAACTTGATATCGATTCCCCCACCTGAAAGCAACCACAAATCCATAATCATGAAGGCCCAAAGTGTAGTGAAAAGTATTAAATTTAAGACCCCTTAAGCTTTTTAAACCTCGACCATCACCGATGGTCAAAGTCCTAGCAACCTGCACGAGGCAGTAAAACCGCTGTCTAGGCCCTGGCTCCTGAGTGATTTGAAACTAATCTATTATGCTCATGCCTAATCGCACGTGATGTGTCATTTACCCTCGCGATAGCCAGACACGGTGCCACGCTATACCTGCCCTAAAACACACACTATTAAGGTTTCATACCTCATCGCGCCCAAGGATTAGTCATAACAAAGGTTATCAGATCGATGCCCATCCTGCGTGACAGTCGCCTGTGGGCACAAGCGTGCTATCGTGATACGAGCTTATCTAAGTTTTCTGCGCCTGGGTGATACGAGCGTCAATATATTTTTAGGCGGCAAAAAAAAAAAGCGACTTGTTTTGCTTCACAAAGAGAACCACCTGTCATACATCTTCACCACGTATTGATTATCTCTTCTTCCACACGAATATCTTCTCCCAGCGTATCCCAGTATCAGTAATATCTCTGACCCATATCAGAGGCTGACTCATAGATGTACCCCTGAGCTGATACCTATTCGCCTTTGCAATACCGCCAGCGCCACACATCACACACACGCGCACACACACTCACACTCACATAAACAGTTGATTTGCCAACGTCAACCGAAAGTTCCAACGTCCATCAACTGTTTGGAACACATAATATATCGCATTTAACAAGAAGGCACAAAAAAAAGTAACATACCAGCGCCAAAACCAGGCCAAATACCCAGCAGTCAATCCATAAAAAAAATAAGAAAGCAAAATCAGTAACCTTTCATCTGAATCGCCCTCATACCCTCTAGAAGGCTCCACTCACAACTATATCCACTTACCACTCACATATGTCAATAGCGTCCCTGGCAACAGCCTTTCAGGAGCATCCTCCCAGCAACACTGTCGGCGAGTACATTATCGGTCCGGAGATCGGTAAGGGCTCGTTTGCCAATGTTTACAAGGGTGTTGGCCCCTCAGGCCACCCGGTAGCCATAAAGTCAGTCTTCCGGCTGCGTCTCAAGTCTAAGAAGCTTGTGGAGAACCTTGAGGTCGAGATTTCCATCTTGAAGAACCTCAAACACCCACACATTGTGTCGCTTTTGGATTGCCAAAAGACTGCCACTCACTTCCATCTCATAATGGAGTACTGCTCCTTGGGCGATCTCTCGTACTTCATCCGCCGCCGCGACCAGCTCGTAAAGACCCACCCCCTCATCACCTCCATTCTCGAACGCTACCCCTCACCACTGGCAGAGTCCCATGGCTTGAACAAAACCCTCGTCATCCACTACCTCCAGCAGCTCTCGTCTGCCCTCGAGTTTTTGCGGGACAAGAACCTCGTGCACCGTGACATCAAGCCTCAAAACTTGCTCCTTAGTCCGCCGCTTCACTCGCGCCGCGAGTTTGACGATGCTGGGTATGCTGGGTTATGGGAGTTACCGGTGTTAAAAATCGCAGATTTCGGGTTTGCCCGGTTCTTGCCTCTGACTTCCCTCGCAGAGACGTTATGTGGGTCGCCGTTGTACATGGCCCCGGAGATTTTGCGTTACGAGAAGTACAATGCCAAGGCAGACTTGTGGTCGGTGGGGGCCGTGTTGTACGAAATGGCTGTCGGAAGGCCACCGTTCCGGGCCTCCAATCACGTCGAGTTGTTGAAGAAGATTGAAAAGGCCAAGGACAAGATCAGCTTCCCTCTGAGCTTTGAGGTGCCAGAGGATATTACGCATTTGATTCGCGCGCTCCTCAAGTGCAATCCCACCGAGCGGATGTCGTTCCAGGAGTTCTTCACCGACCCTGTGATCACCTACGATTTATCGCAGGATAGCATTGACGAACCGTTGGAAAAGCAGGCGGATGAGAACTTGTTTATCAGCGAGTACATTTCGCCCCTCCGTGAAAAGACACCTGTGCAAACCTACGTGCCAAAGCACTCGGGCCAGCCAAAGCCTGAGGGTAGACACGATGAGGAAATTAAAATGATTATTACCAAAAACTCCCCTGCCCCAGAGCCGCACACCTACAGTCCCGCCCCCGACCCTCGGGCTTACAGTCCCCCAGCAGCCTCAACGCATGACTTGGTGATCGAGAAGGACTATGTAGTGGTTGAAAAGCGAGCTATCGAGGTTAATGCGCTTGCCGACGAGTTGGCACATGCAGGGTCTGGTGCTGTTGCCATCTCTCGCGAAAGCCAAGAAAAACAGGGCCGCAGAGCTTCCTTCGCCGACCGCCGTTTGATCTCCATAAGTCCAACCAACGCGTTGACCAAGGCTTTGGGATTGGCAAGCAATCGGTTGTTTGGAGTTAAAGTGGGGGATGGAAAGATGGGGATCAACATTTCGCCCCCGGCCTTTGCCACCAACTTTTTGCACTTGCAGGCTGAAGCCGCTGAAAAGGCCATAGCCACTGGCACGGAAATGACGGTTTCTTCGCCCAAGGAGGCAGACGAAGTTTCAAACGATTCATTGGTGGCCCAGTTAGAATCCCTCGCCACCAAGGCCCATGCGGTGGGCTTGTTCGCAGAGGTTAAGTTTTCCCAGTTGATTCCGTCACCACCATCTTCCGACACCCACGGTAAAACCGAGGAGGATTCGCCAGAGTACTTGCCTCCACCGGTAGTGAAGACGATCGCTGAAGAGGGTGTTGTGTTGTACCTCAAAAACCTCTCATTGTTGGCGAAGGCGATGCAAATTGCCTCGCAGTGGTGGCAGGGCAACCAAGACCCGTCACCGACCTCGCCCAAGTTGAATGAGCTCGTGCAATGGATCCGTGAGCGGTTCAACGAGTCCTTGGAAAAGGCCGAATACATTCGGATCCGCCTTGCCGAATCAAACGATGCCCTTGGACTCGATTCCGTTGGCTCTGGTTCGTTTGAGCACCCAAGGACGAAAATTGTAGCGGAAAAGCTCATCTTTGATCGAGCGTTGGAAATGAGCCGTAACGCTGCCGTGAACGAGTTGGTCAACGACGACTTGAAGGGGTGCGAGTTGGCGTACCTGACGTCGATCTGGATGTTAGAGGCGCTTTTGGACGAAGATCCAAACATGAAGCGTTTAGACAAGGAGGACCGGGCAATGATCGAAAAGTTCATCGTGAGCATTGGTAACCGGTTGAATGTTTTAAAGAAGAAAATCGATGATGCCGCATAGTTACCATCTGGACGTTTTGAGAGCCAATCACGGAGATTTCCGTAAGCCCTTTTTTTCCTTTTCTTTTTTCTTTTTGTTTTCTTACTTGGGATGCTACGGGTGCGAGCTGTGTCCCTCGTGGTATCATCTATCTACCGCTCTGAGTGACTTGACTGTGGTCTAAGGCTTCGCAGAAGGCTCAAAAGATAGGACATATGGTTTTATCTTTGGTTTTGCAATACATTCTTTTGGCATACGATAAGTGCTCTCCTCGGAGTTTTTCGTCTTATCCTGATATGTTTGCTTTATATAGTTTTGGTGGGGGTGTCGTCCTCCTGTGTTAATGATAAAATTTTGTGTCTATGATGATTAGCGGTAAGTTAGAATTCTAATGCGAAGGGTACACCTCAGTGAGCCAAAAAAAAAAACATATAAACCCGACGCGGGGGTCGAACCCGCAACCTTGTGATCGCGTACTGCTAAGAGTCACACGCTCTACCGATTGAGCTAGCCAGGCTTATTTTTGGATATTTGCTTGTGGTCTTTCAGTACTTAACTGGTTTTTTCAAGCTTTTGATGTATTCGGCTTCACACCCTAGGTTGAGCGTCAGACACGCTAATGAAACATTCCACTATAGCATTCTCGACCCGAACGCTTAGTAAGCATATACGATGCACTTGTGGGCCGAGCCATTATAGCATTCTCCACAGCACCTGGCCTGTGCAGTAACACTCATCGTCTCATAAACCCATTGTTTGACTTATACATTATTTGCCAAAGCAATGTGTCTGAAACATATGCTAATTACGATATTGATTACTTATAAATGTATTTTCCATGGTGTTTAAACTATTTATATCGATTACAAGCATATATGTATCAAACTATTCGTATTAATATGTATAAATAATTTTTAAAATCAATTGCAATTGAAAGATAAGCAACCAGGAAAAGCCCAAATTACTGTACTAATACCTACAAGACTAGAACCTTAACGTAAAAAATGCAATTTAAAACATACTTATGAGAACAAGACTAAAGACGTACATATATACAAAACTTGGTATATGTCTATATATAAAGCATATGTTGTGTCAGTTACATAACAGATACGTCTAGTCTACGCGCCGTGACTTCCGTGTGCGTAATAACATCAGAAACTTCACGTGCATAGAGTATCTTTTAACTTTACGCAATGTGCAGGGTCGTTCAAACCAAGAGCAGGATATACTATACCCCCAAGACTCTCACGTCGCCCCAACATTCCCCATGTACTATTGTGTCGAGGAGTTGAGACCAGGTATCTAATTAATAATTACCACAGAATAGAGGACCATGTATGCAATTGTTGATTTTTCAGCTTGTATCGGGAGCGGAGCCCGAAAAACAGCTGCTCTATCCTATACTACGGTTTGCCGAATCAGCACAGGTTGTTCAGTTTTTACACGACATGTTAGTCCCTAACCAACAGCAGAACCCATTAGAACTGAAGCTGTTTCAATTCAAAGAATTATGGCGAAAATCTAGAAGGAAAACAAAACCAAACTGGCGAAACACACGCAAGAGGGGAGCAAAAGATGCAATGGAAACGCATGGGGCTTACTAGCTAAGGCTTTCTAGAAGCCCTACAGTTGCTCTCGGATGGAGCTTTCCGTTCGGCCAATTGACGGACCACAATACCCGCGCTTTAAGTAACAAACACAGGATAGGAGTTTGGGGATCCCGATAAGTGTGTAGCATCCGGCCATGCATGAAGCGGGCTTAACCTCACAGGCCAATGATAATAGTCGAGACCCTTTCAAAACACAGAGTGGAAGCAGCCTCCCAAAGCGTGATTTTTGGACCATAAAATCAAAAATCAAGCATTTTTCATACCAAGGACAAGCGAATCATGAACCCCACTCCGGTGGTAACTGGCATGTGCTTTGCTTCCTTATAACCTTGGGGGTAGAAGTGATTCTTACAACCCATCGGCCGGAAAACTGCGACGCACGGTTAACATCGTTAAGTGCCCTGGGCAGCGCATGGGTCGGACTTGCCTAGGTAAAAAAAAAAAAGATCCAGACTCCGTTAGATCTACATGGGTCGTGCTAGGGTATATTGGCGTCAGGTGGGACCATATGAAAGCTCCGGGCGGAAAAGTTTATCTCGAACTGTCTGGAATGTTGGGAAATTGGGCCGGGAGTAGATTTTTGTGTCGATATGTGGTCAGAATGGGTGAATAAGGTGCTGCGGCTGTACCCTCCGCCGCTTCGAACGTTGAACAACGTGCTGGATGGGATCTGCGTCGGCCTGACAACCCTGCAAATGACATATCTCGTTTCCTTGACCATTAGCTCACCGTCTGAGAGTGAATGGACGGGGGGAAATGGCATCCTGTGGTGCGAACCTTTCTATCTATCCTGCATGGGAAGAATGCTGATATTATAACTCGGCACCAAAGGCTGGCTTCAGCCGGAGAGATGCGCGTGGCATGGCGTTCTTTTGCTTCAGTAAGCAATCTTGAGACCTTTCTAACCTTTAGGCCAGTCTACCGTGCGCCGCAGGAATATAAGGAGTATTACATGGTTTATTACGTAAGTCTGCTGCCCAGGCAAATAATGACTTAAACTTAGTAACCGACACCGTTTACGTAACAGATGCTTTAAGCTGAAACGAAACGAAAGGTTGATGCGTCTAGACCTTGGAATGGAGATAGCTCATACAGAACAAATAGGATAACTTACATTCCAAACCGTGCTTCGAGAAAACACTAGCCCGGGATGCTAGTGTTTTAGATTGAGAGAGGCAGCTACGTATTCTGGTTCACGTGCGCATGTGAGTATATCCTTGTCATTCGGAAAAGCCGTGCTGCAGCTCAGCCGAGGGCTTATGCACCTGCTTATAAATAATGTCTCATTCCCACCTTCGGCAGACGTCTGGGATTCCTCTACTCTCTCGGCAACTGAACATTTTCCATTAAAGGAACCTTTTCAGCCGTACATTTTGTGAACTTTTCGCCGGTCTACTATACACTCCAACGTCCAAGACTAGACTGTACGCCTTGAACATAGCGTTTGTCCGTCCAAGAGCAGAACGTATCACAGCAACCAAACTACAAGCCGCGCACGTCTACACCCCGATCCAAATGTCTCTCAAAGCGGAGCACGAGTCACCGATACTCGAGGAGACTTCCCACGGGTGTCGCAAGCGTAGAGTCGGCAAGGCGTGCGACTCTTGCCGTATCAAGAAGACCAAGTGCGACGGCACCAAGCCGTGTCTGAAATGTATCAACGACAACAAGATTTGCATCTACACCGAACGCAAAAAGCCCACCAACAAGAGCTACCCCGCGGGTTATGTAGAGCTCTTGGAGACCCGCATCGACCTTCTCTCGCGGTCGCTTGAAAAGGTGTTGGATTTGGCCTTGACCGGCAATGACTTATCGTTCTTGGCCAACGCCACGCTTAACAAGACGCCGCAGATTCCAGATATCGATTCCAGCGCCAGTGAGAGCCCTCCTAGCCACAACAACAAGTTCTCCATCAACGATATAATTCTCCGCTTAATCAGCGATGAGGGATTATTGGATAATCAGCCATTGGACTGGGATAAGGGCACGTCTATCGCGGCAAACGTCTCGGCTAGCGACCCTAATTCCATCCTCAGTGCCGCCTCCAAGTTTGCCGAGCATAACCGTGCTCTTGCGGAAGCCTCCGCGGCGTCCTATGCCGAAACCGCCGACGGCAGCTCCTACCCACAGTCGGTGAGCATGTCACTGGCAAACTCCATATTCAACCAGACAGCGGAGGCATTCAAAGCCGCACGGGAAAAGCCAAGGCTGAAACGAAAGGTGTTGAAATCGAGAATCAAGCAAGAGGAGGAGTTGCAGTTTCCGCTCGAAGACGACCCGAGACCCCTCACCAACTACGGTAACGATGAGGGGATTCTCTCGCTCGAAAACCCGCTTCTTCTTCTCAGTCCAAGCGAATTGTCGCTCAACGAAGAGGAGTTGGCGAACTTGGGCTACTATGGCTTGAACAACAACATGGAACCTCTTGACAAGTACGGTTTCAACTCAGGCTTTGACGAGAACTACAACGGAAACATGACCATCGTGCCGGATCCGGAGAGGGCTGCCTACCCGTTGATGGGTACCTCCCTTGATTTCAACACCAATCCTTTCCGTACGGCTCTTGCGAGCTTCAACGGAAGCGGCTTCAGCCGTCCGTCTTCTGCCATCCTTGCGAATTCCGCTGCTTACAGTACCATGTCGTTCTCTGACTTTGAATCATCAGGCCCAGCCTCTAATTTCTCGTCGCCCGACGATCCTCTGTTGTACAGCCCTAGTATTGAACCCCAACAGCTTCGTCAGCCGGGCTCGCTCACCTCGTTGACGTCACTCTTTGAGAACCAGAACTTGAGCGGAAGTAACCAACCGACCATAGTTCCGCCAACCAAGCGGTCGCCAAAGTCCTCATCCTCTCGCAGATCCAGTAGTTTTTCCCACCATTCCGCCAACGCCAGCATGCACCACCGATCTTCATCCGCCCACGAAGCAGGATCCTTTTCGCCCGTCTTGCGGCCGTTGTCGCCTATGAACACGGGGTTCATTGCTAAACCCCTGCACCACAACCAGCAGCATACGCATCACGGACTTGCTGGCCACGTCCAGCAAGTGAAGCCAAAACAGCTGAATCCAAATATGTGAGTGCTTGGCTTTGTAGCTGTTGTGGCACTGGCTTTTCGATACACCCTTTCATGACTAAATTTTCGTTTAGAAGAATTTATGAAATTAATGGAATGGTTCACATGTAGACAGTTGCGATAAAGGGTTTTTTTTAGTATATTTATACATATATTAATTTGTTAATTACATATCGTGCGTCATTGTTGTTCTTCGGCTCGCTGTGCCTTCCCCTCATCCGGGGTGTTGTGGCACAAATATCCCAATGGTTTATAAGTAGCTTCACTACTATAAGTAATGACAACGTGAATATATGCGAGATTACTCAAATACAATCGGCAGACTAAAGCTATGACATAGACTGAGATTCCAAAAACTGAGCACGTGATTACATAGCTGAGACTCAGAAATTTTCATATCCTGCATATGAATTTCCACTTTACAACACATTCTTCTCTTCCCGACCCATTTCGATCTCTCCTCATACACCCCAATGGCGAAGAAAAATACTCCAAAGACGGAAACACCGCCGCCAGAAGCCAAGGGTAGGAAAAAGAAGGGCGAAGAATCAACGCCTGAGCCTCCCAAGCGCAGTGGGAAAGCTGTCGTGGCTGCCAACGCGTCGTGGACGGGGAAGCTCCCGGGAAACCTCCTCCATGAACACGCACAGAAGCAGAAGTGGGAAAAGGTCCAGTACGACATGCGTCGGGGTAAGGGTGGATTCATCGCAACGACGATTTTGTCATGGAAGAATCCGAAGACGCAGGAGATGGTGGTGCTCCGGTTTGAGCCCAAGACTGCGTTGGTCACAGGCCAGGAGACCGCGTTGGAAGCACGCCACTTTGCAGCGACATACGCGTTACACCGCATCTGTTTCGAGAAGAACATTCACATGGTGTTGCCCACGAACCACAAGAACTTGTGGTTGGACCTCGAGAAAGAGCGCAAGGAAATGCTCAAACTGAACCCTGGCAAGCATAGACAGACATACAACGCCGAACCGTTTGTGGTGCACTTGGAGCGAAAGAAGGAAGACGAGCGGAAAGAGAAGGAGCGCGCGGCGCAGCAGAACAGCGAGGAGAAACAGCAGAAGCCGACGGTGGCCATTTCGTTAAACAAGCCAAAAGAAAAGACCGTGAGGGACAACAGAGAAAAGAAGGAGACGAGGGAGCCTTCGGTTCCTTTGATAAAGTCTCGGGAAAGTGCTTATGTGGACAAACTCAGCCTCATGAAGCTTTCCAGTTCAGCCTCATTCCCCAGAAAGGCCTGGGAGGAGGCCACCCACATTGATCTCCACCCGGAAAATCGCTCGCTCATTGAAGCCACGCTCAAGCATCATGTTTCCTGGACCATGGATGAAATTTCCGCTCCAAACCCCGATTACACCCCAAGTCTCACCAAGCTCGGCTTCCGGAGCATGCATATCGATGAGGCCCTCCAATACACGGCCACATTCACTGACACACTCGAATGGTTGTTGTTCCATGTCCCGGAGGATGATTTGCCGGCGTTCTTTGCGAAAAATAGCAAGGACAGCAACGTGAGTGTGAAGAAGGTTGGGCAAAATTTGCAGTTGGAGTACGCAGTCGCGCGCATGACAGAAAGCGGCTGGTCGCGCGATGAAGTCGTGCACGCGTTGGGATCCGGTGACGAGGTCTATGCGACTGTCGCGTTGTTCAACGAGCTCGCGGGTGGTGACGTGGACACTACCGAACTGGATGAGAGCATGGAACTTTGGACGGAGGAGGTAGAAAGCCTATCGGTCATCTATGACGAACTGAGGGTGTCCCAGGAGACAGATCCGCGGATCGTTGAGATTTCACTCTCGCCACACCACCTCGCCCCGGGCTTGCTTCTTCTCCGCGCGTTCAAGTCGCCGGGCTACCCCAGCACGCTCGCTGGATTCCAGCTTATCGTGGGGGACAAGTCGTTCCGCCTTGCGAGCTATATCAAGCTCTCGATCTTGAAGCAATTAGGCACGTTTCTCGCGCTGAGCGGGTACCTCGGTGACTGCTATATTTATTCGGCGGTGGACTGGTTGGAGGAGAATATCCACAGGATTATCGAGAACCCCGGGCCGTTGTTTGATCCGGTGGTGGCCGAGAAGCAGGAGCGCGCGCTCGGGTCCACGAAGAAACACGTCAAACATGTGCCGGCCGCCAAACCTCTTTCACGCGCGCAGGTACAGGCGCGCACGCAGGAGTACCAAACACGTCTCGCGAGCGCAGCCATGAAGCTGTCGCTTGCGAGCAGGGCGAAGCTTCCAGCGTGGCAGAAGCGCCAGCAATTGGTGGAGGTGATTAGCGCAAACCAGGTGACGGTCGTGACGGGGGAAACCGGGTCGGGGAAGTCGACACAGATCGTTCAGTTCATCCTCGACGAGCTCATGGCGCGCGGTGAACTCGATTCCTCGATCATGTGCACGCAACCGCGGCGTATCTCGACCATTGGTCTCGCTGAGCGGATTTCTGACGAGCGCTGCGACCGGTGCGGTAATGAGACCGGATACATCATTCGCGGTGAGAATAAAACCAACACTAATACACGGATCACGTTTGTCACCACCGGGGTATTATTGCGGATGATCCAGGGGATGCTCAGCGGAAAGTCTTCGGGCTCCTTCTTTGACCGTATTGGTTACATCTTCATTGATGAGGTGCACGAGCGCTCCATCGACAGCGACTTTCTCCTTATTATCTTGAAGAGCATCATGGCGAAATTTCCGCGCCTCAAGATCGTGTTAATGTCTGCCACCATCGATGTGAACATCTTTCGCGACTTCTTCGGGGTCCCGCTCAACCACATTCACATCGAGGGCCGCACGTTTCCCATTCAGGACTACTACCTCAACGACGTATTGGGGGACCTCAACTTTACCATCACCAACCACCACGACGAGGTGCTCACACCGAAAGCGGACTCGCCGTTCTTCCAGGCAGGGAACATCAACTATGAGCTCGTCAGCAAGCTCGTAGGACATATCGACCGGAGATTGACGGCCGAGGGCAACACCGGCTCGATCTTGATCTTTCTCCCGGGGATCATGGAGATCACCACATGCATCCGCGCGATTGAGCGCGACTTCCGCGGTGCAAGCCTCCTCTTGCCGCTCCACTCTGCTCTCTCGTCACAGGAGCAGAAGAAGGTGTTTAACTTCCCGCCGAAGGGGACCCGGAAGATTGTCGTATCGACCAACGTGGCAGAAACGTCGATCACCATCCCCGATGTGGTAGTCGTGATTGATTCAGGCCGTTCAAAGAGCATGTTCTTTGATGCCCAATCTGGGGCAACAAAGCTCGTAGAGAACTGGTGCTCGCGCGCAGAGGTGGGTCAGAGAAGAGGCCGGTCTGGGAGAATCACGAACGGTAACTGCTATAAGATGTACACCCGTGAGACCGAGAGCCAGATGCTCGCACAACCCGTGCCCGAGATTCTTCGTACGCGTCTTGAGTCTATCTACTTGGTAGTCAAGGCCATGGGCATCCACAACGTGACGGCGTTTTTGAACTCGGGGCTCGATGCCCCTGACTACCGGTCGTTACAGAAGGCGCATCAGACGTTGGTCGAGATTGGCGCCTTGGCGAATGACAAGATCACTAATATGGGAACCTACTTGTCGTTGCTTCCGACTGATCTTGCCTCGGGAAAATTACTCATCTTCGGTACTATCTTTGGCTGCTTGGATGCATGTTTGACGCTAGCGTCGATGTCTTCAAATGGCAGTCCGTTTATCAACGACTTTCTGCAGAAGGAGAAGGTCAAGGCGGTTCAGATGGAGTTCAGCGAGGGCCGTGGTGATCTCATCGCTGTGGTGAATGCGTATAAGAAATATGCAGAGGTCCAGAAACAGGGCGCGGGGGCGGTGAAGCGCTGGTTGAAGGATAATTTCCTCTCGTATCTCACAATGAAGGAGATCGGGTCAACCAGGGCTCAATACGTGTCGATCCTCCAGGACATTGGCTTTGTTCCGTTCAAGTATTCACCGGGAAAGGCTACTGCATTAGACAGAAATAGCCGAAATTATAATGTGATTAACGCGATTGTCACGTCCGCGTTCTTCCCGAACTTGGCGAGGGTCCAGAGACCGGACCCGAAGTTTTTCAACTCTGCGGTGGGGGCCGTCGCAAAGGATCCAGATGCAAGACAGACGAAGCTTTGGATCAGAAATGAGAAGTATATGACTGAGATTTTGTCGAGTGGGTCAAAGGAGAGCAGTCCAGCCCCGGGGAACCAATCTCAGAACGGCAGCCCGGCTCCTGACTCTACCCTGATCGGCCAATCGTCTTCAGTGAATGATTCTCGTGAGCTTCCTGCCACTCGTGCATTCTGTCATCCCTCGTCTACCCTCTTTGCCACCTCTGAAAACGCCATTTTCGACAAAAAGGAGGACATCCCTATGCGCGAAGATGGTATCCCCGACTTTGACTACCTCCAGTCCAAGCGCGACCAGTTCGATTTCACGCCTTCAGCTCCTTCCTCCAAGTACCCGCTCTTCAAGTCCTCCTTTGTTGTCTATCGCGGCTCTCACCACACTACGAAGCTCTACCTTCGTGATATCACTCCCGCCACCACGTTGGTGGTGTTGCTTTTTGGCGGGATCATCAACTATGATTTGACTGGCTTATCACAGGGCAAGACGTCGCCCGGCATTGTCATGGATGGCTGGTTGCCCATCCGCACGTGGTGCAAGAACGGGGTCTTGATCAAGAAGTTGCGTCAGATGTTGGACGAGGTGATCCGTGAGAAGTTGGAGGCCCCGTCCTACGACGCTGCGGGTGAGAATTCTGTCGGCGACGATGTGTTGGCTGCTGTCGAGACGTTGTTAGCGACTGAATTGAAGTAAGATATGTTTAGTGCACTTGTTCAAGGTGAGCTTGGTATTTGCGAGATTTAGATGGGTTTGTGGAAGGAGGAAAGACAAGCCAAAGGTATGATAGAGAATAATAAATATTAAATACCCTTTTAGCCTTGTCTTTAATACCGTACTATTTAGCCATTGTTGTCCCGGAATACAGCGGAATTTTATGTATTTTTACTTCTCAGTCTTGGTGTAGGTGCACTTGTATCCAGAGAAGGACTTGCAGTCATCAGGTGTATATATTATAGCTTATCCCTTCCAAATAGATGCATTAAAGATACTGGTATTATGTCCTCTCCGAAAGCCATCTACATCTAGAGTTGCGAGCCTCGTCTATCTCGAGTGACATGCAAGCTAGCCTGACAGCTCTTATCATAAATAGCCAATCGTAGTAGCTCTCCATCGATTTTTATAGAACTAGAGCACCCTAAAAGCAACCCATCGAAATTGCCTCCATTCTAAGAATAGGCGATCAAAAGGGAACTTTTGAAACTAGTTAATTAAAATTTACAATTGTCTGTCAATCAAAAATGTACGAAAAATGCATGTATTATGAAAATGGACCCTAATTGGATATCCTCTGTAAATGTATCATAAAATGGCCAAAATATCTTATCAGGCTACTATTATGTATTTCGCTTTGCTCAACTTTACCTTAGTTCTGCACGAGCACACCGTTGACTCTGATTCTTTTGACCCCACCGTCTGGGATGATGGTTAACAACACGTGCGAGAAGGTCTCGGTGCTGTTCACTTTGTAGGTGTGTTCGGCGTGCGGACCGGTCTTTTGGTTACCAACCACCTCCACCCAAGCGGGGTTATTCAAGTCTGGGTGGTCCTGGTCGGATTTGATAGCCTTGACGTTGATCTTTTGCGGGAAGTTCCCTCTGAAGTTGGCGGTGTCAATCACGACGTTGTCGATCTTGGTCAAGCCGCCCAACTTGATGAGCGCCCAATCCACATGACCCTCACTTCTGGATCTGTAGGTCTCCCAGCCATCGCTCATGTCGTGGCCTCTGCCCGGCAAGATCAAGTTGTCCGCAGACCCGAAGTGGGCGTCGGAACGCGCGACCGCCACACCGCCCATGTTGACACTAGCGGTATCCACAATGGTGGAGGCATTCTTAGGCAAGATTGGCACCACCTTCCCGTACGCTCTGAAACGAGCAATCCCACCGTCTGGGTACATTCTCAATCTCACGTGAGTGTAGTTAGCCGCAGTGATGGTATCTCTGACGAAGAAGAACTTTTGGCTTGGCCCGCACTCCACAAACGGAATAACTGGCTCCCAAGACGCCTTTTCGTACGAATCACCAGTCAACGAAGCGGCTTCGACAGAAATAGCCGGCGCATGGTTCCCGTCGAAGAAGGTAGTGTCAACCTCCACCCCAATGAGTTTCGCGGACGAAACACCAGTCTTGAAGACAACCCAGTCGGCCTCTTCCGTGTTGTGTCTTCTGGTCTCCCAGCCGTCGAACCAGGCGCCGGAGTGCACAAACTTGGTGGCATCGCGGATTGGCGGCTTTGGCTTGATCAAGTTGCCAGCCTCCGCAAAGAACTCGTCGGAGAAGCCGAGAACCTTCCCGCCGATCTTTTCGCCAATGACGTCTAAAGGTTAATATTGCTGCTGAGGTGTAAAACAATGGTACATACCGGTATACTTGGCGACGATTTGTTCCTGGAATTCTTGTTCGGTGATAGATTTGAAGCCAGACATGATGTAGTAAGTTGTAGATGTAGTTAGAGGGTTCTGTGGTTGCGTGTTTGCACTTGGGCGTGGTGAAAGAGGATTACCTGGAAACAAAGTGGGGAAACAGGGGCTTTATATACCCTCCAGCGTGGTCGAAAATAGGCAATCTCTCGGAGTACGCCGAGCATTCCGCATATGTGGAGTTCTACATGCATGACACTCATCGGCGCTGCATCTCGCCCAGCGGTCACAGTTAGCTGTCAGTTTACCCCATTAGACCGATCCTAAAGCCAGTTTGCGCTAATTGGGGGTAATACCTCAACAGTTCAAAGGCTAACTTTTACTTTCGCAAAGACAATTGTGGCGCACTCCCGTGAAGTGCAGGAAGCGGGGTGTAATGTCCAGGCCACCTAGTGTCTTATGTTCAGCCACAGTGGTTGATCCGATGGGTAGAGTCAATTGTCTTTAGTCCAAGGGGAATAGTGTATTCGTCATTTAGTGTCTTAGGGTGACCCGGCTGCTTGGATTCTACGTTGCACCCCAATGTGCTTTGCGATGCCAACTCGAAACCTCTAACGTAATGCTCCCTATTAATGAATCCGGCCGGTAATGAGACAAACCCATAAAATATCTTTCATTATGAATCCTTGCTGCTTGGGAGAACGTCATAAACTAACCCAAAGACATATTTATGAGCCCGTACGCTCTCGGAAACCGCCGAGGGATAGCACAAGAATCGGTAGGTGGGAAATATCCCGCATTAACTGTGGCAAAAAAGACTAACCGGGTCTGACCCTACTCTTTTGTAAACCTTTGTTTGTTTATTTCTGTAAATCCAATCAAGTGGCCCGTAAATGCCTTCCTTGTAAGCGTGAAGAGAAAGGACTCAAAACCGGGATTATCCGAGTTTTCGCGCGGAACTTTAAGTCAGCTCCAGTGCCTTGGCAGAAAATCCGAGCTCTAGATTTTTTTTCATTAAGCATATGCAGAACGGTGGGGTGCAACGTGCAGGCTAGCGTTAGCCAGATATTTCGTGTAACCTTGTTAAAACCTTGTTCGACCTATCAGTGAGGTTGGAAATAATTTAGCTAAATCCTTAATACAGTACCAAGACTGGAAAACTGGTAGTGGCTAAGATAAGTATTTATACAGTGTGGTTTCCAGCGGTTGAGTAAATTCTTGTCAAACGGAGTGGCATCGGTCAAAATATAGTGAAAACAAATAGAACTCCACAAGATACCCCGTTCGTAACTGGAAATTAGCACTTCATTGTCTCCCCAGGAGAGCCAGATCTAGGAGTGGATACTGAGCCACGCCTTCACTTACATGTAAGCTTGAAAGTTACATCTATGCCATTATTGCAACCAAAGGATTGGTCGCCTGCAGGTATACGGCCAGATCATTAGTCGGATGTTACTTTTAGGGGTAATACCCGCTCAGAACCAAACAAAACCCCTGGGGACCCCAGATTATATCCGAGCATCCTTGTGTACCAAGTAAATGGTGGTAAGGAGTGTAACAATAGACTAGTTAATGCGGTTTGGTCCACAGGTACCAGTCAGCATAAATTATGCATACATTCCGTGTATTGCATGCAGCTTCACCAGATTAGTCTTTGAAACAAAGAATTGACAGACAAGCTACGGATTAGAGGCCTCTATGAAACGAGCTATATGTACTTCTCTCGCTACTAAGGGGCTTGATTTTTATGTCCCCCCTTTCCGAAATTAGGGGATAGGTAAATCTGGTCAGTTGTCATGCCGAACTCGTGGAACCAGTCATATCCATTCAAATTTTCAACGGCCTCGCAGCTAGATCTTCGCCAGCTAAGAGCAAGGTATACCCGAATGGAGAAAAAGCGCTAGTAGTGGAAGAATTAGCCTTTTAGAACCATTTTAATATTTAATGGGTTGCAAAATACTCCTATATGGTACTGATCTGAGGTTAAAACTTGTAGTTCAGACAGAGATTAGTGTAGAAAATAGATATATAGTATTAGACGAGGCATAAAGCCTGACAGTAGCCTGTATGTGCGGCCATACTAGAAATCACCAACTTTTGACAAAATTAAAGCAAAAAGGGGTATCGGCAGTTTAGAAAAGAATGAACCATCCTAGAGCTTAATTGAGGGCACAAACCAGCAAGACGACGGGTTCTGAGATATCCAAACTAAAACTTGATTGATTTGGCACAAACATAGGATAATTACCGAGAACGGGGATGAGATAAGGCATTACAAGGAGAGCTGGAAGGGTAATCATCCTGATCATCAAACCTACCCCTTGATTTACTCCACATGTATCAGTATCTGTTTGAATGAAGGCAAATACGGTACCACAAGACATCTAGATATTCGACTTTCCCAATAAATTCAATTAAAAAAAGAAAAGTCTATAATTAGCAAATATCTGAAAATTTTTCGAAAAAAAAAAAAAAAAAAGTGTAGGAAAACAGGCACGCCTCATACAGTCGTAACCCAAAATATATGATGAAATGGTGGGAGCAAATAGCCACACAAGGAGCAATAGATGTAAGCAAAAACATAAATCGATTAGACATACAACGCATAATCGGCAGAGTGAAATTAAAACGTCGCTAACTGCTGGTACAGCTTGCATCTTTTTCCCTTGTAATGCAGATCGCGCGTGCCTTCAATCCCTCGGCAAACAACATCGCCGCAGGCCAGACCGGTGCGTCACCCAAGATGCGCACGCCAAGCGACAAGGCGCGCGTGGACAAGCGCGACGAGGCAATCGTGGAGGCAAGCCGGGTTAAATCCGTATCCGGATCCAACGCCAACGCCATTAAATCGTCATCCAACTTGCCCATGTCTAACGCGCCCTTGGCTTCGCGGCGCAAGTATTCGGAGTACGATACGCGCGAGTTTCGCGAAATCATCTCTTCGACACCACGCAACACCTTTTCCGCGCGGAGCCACGCCGCGCGGTCAACCGGATTCAACGACAAACTGCTTTGTGCACGAAGGTACGCGTGGGCCCACTGCTCGACCGAGTACACGTACTCAGCGGTGATGAGCACCGCGGCAAAGATGCAGGTGAGGAAAAAGATCGGTGTACGCACTGCCGATCTCTCTGCGTTGTTGACGATCGAAATATTGTCGATCCACACCTGGATGATGTCTAACGAGTAGCCGTTGCTCTCGCGCAACGCCTCACTGTCGTTATCCAAACGCTTCAAATCCGCACTCATGCCATCCCAGTCCTTGACAAACGCCTTCTGCATCACCGGCGTGAGGTCGATACTGAGCTTGATCTTGGCGAGCGAGAGCACCGGAAGGATGAGCTTCACCACCGGCACCTGCGTGAGCATGTGGATATTCGAGTCGTTCACCATGAGCAAGCCGCCGTTGCGCACGTACACCATCTCCCACGCACGCAAGAGAGTCTCAATCTGCGGACGCTGGTTCAAACGCCACTTTGCAGCCTTGATGATCGAGTTCGACTCGTCACGCTTCAGCTTGTCACGCTCGTTGATGATGGTTTCACTCACACACATGAGCATCGAGAGGAGTGTCTTGAACGACAACTGCTGGTCGCAGTGGTGGTAGTTCTCGAACTGCTCCATTACGTGGTCAAACGGCTCGCCGTTAGAGAGCTGGATGAGCGAGTACTTCGAATCGAGCACATAGTGGTGTATTTGGAGCTGTACCCCCCACGCGGCGGGATCCTGCGCCTTCCACAACGCTTCCACTCGGCACGGCGAACCGCATCGGATGTCGCGCGCCTCGAGCGGCACCGGCGCCTCCAAGAGTGTCAGGAGGAAGATCGATAGCATAAGCGCGACATGAACCGTGCGCACGCGTGACTGCGCCACCACAAAGTATGCGTAGCTTGCGAATAGCGTCTCAGCCGAGTCATTGCGCTGCGAGTCCAACACCGGCGGCGGCATTGCAAACTTTTCCCACGGCTCCGTTAACGCGGTCGCCTTGATAAGCCCTATCAAGCTGTGGATCTGGCGCGTGGTGTCATACGCCACCTCGTGGCTGTTGTTGTTGAAGTTTCCCAAAAACGCGTGCAAGATCGCGCTTTGTGTGATCCAGAGCGGAATCGTCTGGTGGTTGAAGCTCTTGCGCTTCTCCATGAATGCGTGCAACTGGAAACGCAGGATATTGTATAGGAGAAGCGAATTGCGCGCGTGGAACGAATAAAACGCGCCGACCGCCGCCATGCAGAGAAGTAACGGATAGTGCTCGAATGGGTCGTCACTCGCGTCCGGGAAAAACCACTTCGGGCGCACTAATGCAGGAATGTGTACGAACGGAAAGTACTTGTCAAACTCTTTTTCGTAGAGGTAAAGGTACTGGTTGAGGTCCGAGAGCGGCGGAAACTGATCGTCGCGAAGGTTGTTTGACGCGAGGATCGAGTCGCGGAGCTCCGGAGTGAAGAGTTGTGTGTGGCTCGTTAATAGACCTCTACCAGTTGCGGGACCCGCAGATGCCGGTTGCGCACGCAGCTCGTTCGGTCCGAGTGATGGAACCTCCTCCTTAACCTCCTTAAACAAATCCATCTGACGGTTACGGAACATTAACGGAATATCATCGGAGTTGGTAGTGGACGTCGAGGAGGGCTCGCTCGGAGTGTGGGTGTGCGGGGTCGATGACAGCGAGGAAAGATCTGTGAATCCAATGTGGTGGGACGGATCTGGAAGGTCATTGTCCAAGGGGGCGTTGATGAATTCGTCGAGCCAGTCGTGATTAAGGTCCGCTTCAAGCGACTCGCTGCCTTCGTCGTAGCCAGCACCGCCGCCGGAGCCTAAGAACTGCTGGAGCACCGGAATGTCGATATCCAAGCTCATGTTTGCGCCCTGCTCTTTTTCAAGACTAAAGCCGTGTTCGCCGCAGTCAAAGTCGTGGCCGTTGGCCGCTGGGGTGAGCTGGGGAGAAGCGTAGCCGATCTGGTGTGGTGCTTCAGGAATCGAGTGGCTCTGTTGCTCCTGTCTCATCGTACGGGCCTCCTTGCGGGACGTGTAGGAGAAGGCCGAAGAGGCGGAAAAGGAGTTATGGCGGCTCCGGTAGAGCTCAGAGGGACCAAGCTTTTTGAGGGGCGGTTCGTCAAATGCATTGGTACGCAGTGGAAGCACATCACGCGTGTTGGCACCAGGCGCAGGGGGGTGCCCTTCCGTGGGGATTGGTGCATGAGCTGCGAAAGACCCCGGCCGTGTCGTCGCCTCCAGCACCAGACTAGTCATGCTTGGGTTTCGCAGATACTGACTCTTGAACAAAGGACGGTCCATGGGTGACCCCACAGGAAGGGAGTGCACTGGTGAATCCAACCCCACGAGGTTCACCGAGGAATAGGACTGCGACTGCACGGATGAAAGCGGAGTTCCGGTGTTACTGGGGGTGGTGAAGTACTGCGGCTGACAGAACTGCGGAGCAAAGGTTGTGGACGGCGGAGTGAACTGCTGTGGGGCAAAGTACGGGGTACCAGCGGTCGGAGAGTTGGGGAATGAAGACGCAAAGGGGGGATCGCTGGCGGGAGCTACATACCCACGCATATCCTGGGGCAAGGGATGGTTGGGGTCTGTGTTGTTGAGCAAAATGTTGATGTGTTCGTCCTTGTTAGGCTTCTTTTTTTCCTCCGAGTCGTTGCGTTCCATCGGCACCGCATCCTGCTCCTCGTCGCTATCCACTGTGTGCACTCCCAAGGACGAGTGCAACTTTTGCTGGTGCCGCAAGACCAAGTCGCGTCGCGCGAAACAGCGCCCACACGCAGCACACTGGAACGGCTTTTCGTTGGTGTGGGACCGTTCGTGACGTTTGAGGTGCTCCAACCGTGCAAAGGCGCGCGTGCAAATGGGACACACGTGCGGTCTGGGCTTGCTGGTCTTGATCAACGCCGACTTCTTGGGGATGGGCTGCAACGGTGGGTCGTAGGTCTGTGTTCCAGGGGACACTTCACTCGTGTCGACCATGATGTGATATGCAGGTGTGTTATGAAATAGTTATGCGATTACTGCTATAGAATTGCTGTTTGAGGGAGCTGTTACGAGTGTGTGGTTTGGAACAGTTTTTGTCAGGTGAATCTCCCTGCTCTGGCAAAATGGAAGCGCAATTTACTTCTTGGCAGGAAAAAGGGTCCGTATATACTTCCTGCTCGTCTGATTGTAATCTCACAGTCCTGGATCGACTGTAATGTTTTTTTCTCTCCCTCCAGTTGTCCAGCTACTAGCGATAATTTTTCATGCGCGCCTGGCACTGCTATGTACACTTGCATGCACGATGAACTATTTACCATGCACGGTGCATAGTCTGTAGCGTAAATATGGGCACTCCCGGCGTACGGCGGAGCATACATAGCCTGGGTACCAGAATGCGTGACCACAATGTGCCATCCCCATGCGCCGACTGTGTCGGAACCGCGAAGCCACTCCTTGGTCAGTTGACTTCAATTTCGGCCAATTGATTATAGCAATACGAGGTTATTTATATAGCACTACTGTTTTGCCTCGAGCAAGACTGGAGGCCGGCTGCTTTTGGTGATAGTTTGGGTTGGCCAATTTAGGTTTGAACTCGGCCTGCAGGTTTCTCGGAGTTTGATTGCTTTTTGAGGATGCTTCTTCCTGCTGACGCACGCAATTGGCTGGTGGGTGAGTACACCAAAAGATGAAATGCTTCAATGGGTAAAATATCGTAATATTTCCGGGCAGAGGATTTTGGGATTAAAAAAAATGTTTGAGTTGTTTACACAGTTCAGTTTCATAAGCTTGGTGTGTAGAGTTTCCGCGGGAATCCCAGAGATGCCTGATGTATAGCTGGAATCTCGGAGCCGAGCTTGGGTAAAATATGCACAGACTCGGTGTGCCAACGTTGGTGTGTGTCTGGAGATGAAACCCATTTTCTAGTTTTGGCTATCCGGCCGGAATAATGCCAGTATAAGAAAACCCAATTAGAGAACCGTTTGAAGGTTTTCTGAGAAAGCGGTGCTTCGGTTTCAGTCCTGGGTATCCAACATGGGCTGCGTAAATGGCGCTATTGTCACTAAAAACAAGTACCTTTAATGAATGCAACTTTTCTCCCTAGTTTCACCCCCCAGATTACTTTCGTATGGGGACTGGTGCCTGAGATTAGTCTCGGAATAGGCCGACATGCATATTCAGCAGGGAAGGCATCTTGAACGACGAGCTTTACTGGTCCGGTTATGCCGGGTGATGGGCAGTCCACGAGCACGACTGCACAGTAGAAGAGTCCAGGGTCAATCGTATCGTATCACCCTTGGACCATCGCGGATCTTCACCTAAAAAGGCGTTGTTGGGATAAAGCAGGGTCTGAGATCACTCCCAATATTAATAAACTACGCTGATAGAGGGAAAACAAGAGTATACAAGGGGGGACTGTGAGTGAGTGGCTCTCTCGTCGAGGCCAGCTAGAGTGTAGTTGTATGCGCACCATGCAAAAGAGACGCTGACGTCACTTATTCCTGAGGGTCACGCAGGGATCGAAAGTTGAATGGAAATGGCTCTGGGTTGAGGCTTAAAGCCTCTTTCTTTGCGTACATCGTGAGGGAAGAAGAAAAAATACATGTATCAAAAGTAACTACTAAGCCATTTTGGTCTAACAACCGAAGCCAATATGAATCATCGCTCATCCACACGACATGTAGTTCGTTCTCTTAAGAGTTTCAGCGTTTCCTGTGGACTATGCAGTTCAATGCATACTATCCTTAACGTTCGTTGAGATTTTTCTCGCCATGATGTCCATGCGTCTAAATTAAGCTTCCGACCTACATTAGTACCAACCCAGTATCGCGGGTATGCATATCCCTGGGGTCTATGATTCAAAACAAATATGGCCTTTCTGCGACGAGGAAGGGCACTTTTGATCTAAGAGGATCGACGTCAGGCCTCGCCCGTTCTGTTCGATTCTTGGCTCCGTCAAACTCCATGCCGTAAATAAGTTGATGGCCGTTGGTTTAACGCGGCTTCACATCTACACTTAAATTTTGTTTTAGTACGCTTGGCCCAGTATAAACATGCTCTCAGAACACCCCTGCAGTGACTCTGTCCAACCCTCCTCACCGAGGACGAATATTTCTCAATTGACTCTGATCTTGCCCAGTCGTGCTTGTAGCTATCTCCAGTGAATAGCTAGCCCCGATAGAAGCTGCCGCACATGAAAGCGATGCCTGAATAGCTTAGAGGTGACTTGCATTAAGAGGGGCGATTATCTGCGATGGAAACGTGGGGAAGGTCTTGGTCACCAGGTGCTTTATGCTTATGAACGGCACAATCTCCTGTTAAACTTCTCTCACCGATTCAAAGGCATCTATAAAGAGTTATATTGTTATAACAGGATACCAACTTTTTTCTCTTTCATAATTAAGCCCTAAGGATATTTATTGCTAGAAGTTATGAAACATGGACCCTGGTTGGTCCAGTAGAGACGTCATCGCACGTACCTAAGAAACGGCCCACATCCAAGTCATCTGTTATGACGTATTCGAGATCTGACTGTCATGGATATGGTGGAGAGATTTTAAAGGCATTAATAACCAACGGGTGTTTTAAAATTTTCTCGATCAGATTTTTGTGCGAAACTTCCATCTCGAATGGTGAGGTCAGTATCTTAGCTTCAAACTGTCCTAGAAAAATAAAAGTGCTGTGGGCCATTGACACTTGAGATACTGCTTGGAAAAGGCCAAAGACTCACAAGAACCGATTCTGTGTCGTCCTAATCACGTTGCCACGCTAATTAATGTTTGATTTTGGCCATTATTTACTTGTAATATTCCCCCAAGTACTTATTATCCCATATAAAGATTGCCAGTACACTTTCTTTTTTCCCGGTAATAGGCTCTCCTGCGTATTTTTGCAGTTCTCGACCTTGCTTGTAATATCTGGCGCACGTCCTAAACCACTAAAGGCATGACGGCCCGTTCTTTTGCTACTCAAAAATAAATTAGGTGAATCTCTGTAAGCTCCAGTAGATTTATTTCGATATGTTAAAAACTGGCCCCCCAAGCTCCAACGTACAAATTAAGATGCTCCCCATTACTCTACAGGACTTGATGCGTAGCATAATAACTACGTTGCACTAAACGTGGTCCCTACGTAAAGACCAATCGAGAGGGTAGGTTCCCGTTTGAGGAAGGATCCGGGCTTTGCGAAGACGAACGGACAAAAACAGTCATAAATAGCCGTTTTTGGAGGTACACGCGCTGCCCAGGACTAATTCCATTCTGAAACGTCTCGTATAGTCCCCAGCGCATGTGATGTACTGCATAGATGTCTCATCTTGGAACACGGCCAGCGCATTCTAAGGACTCTGGTGCCAGCCATGTGGCCATACCAAGGCGTTCACGGCGACGTGTGTATATCTACTTCCCTCGTTGAGTTGCACGTATATAATCTGGTATCCGCCTTCAGAAAAGCTTAGATACCCCCGAATAACTACCAAAATTGATATTTGTATATTAGCTTAACGCATCGCTGGCCCAAAATTTCGTACAGAAAAAAAAAAAAAAACGCATCAGCATCAAATCTGGAACACACCCATTCCGGTCATTCACCATTGACATTACAACCATCATTTCGCCTCCTTTCCGGTCACACCACTACTCATTAATCAATAACCCTTCATGGACACAGAACACGTACAGCCGCAAGGGTTGCCGACGGCGCCGCAGCGCCGAATCTCGTTCAATGTGAGCAATCACTACCAGGTGATCGAGATAGTGGGCGAGGGAGCCTACGGAGTAGTTTGCTCAGCCATCCATTTGCCGTCCCAAACAAAGGTTGCCATAAAGAAGATCCAGCCATTCGAGCGGTCGATGCTCTGCCTTCGGACGCTACGCGAGCTCAAGCTCTTGAACCACTTCCAGCACGAAAATATCATCTCAATCTTGGACATCCAGCGGCCAAATGACTATGCCTCGTTCAACGAAATCTATCTCATCCAGGAGTTAATGGAGACGGATCTCCATCGTGTGATCCACACGCAAAAGTTGAGCGACGACCACTGCCAGTACTTCATCTACCAGACATTGCGTGCATTGAAGGCATTGCACAGCGCAAACGTGCTTCATCGCGATCTCAAGCCGTCGAACTTGTTGCTTAACGCAAACTGCGACTTGAAGATCTGCGATTTTGGCCTCGCCCGCTCCGTAGCCTCCCAAGAGGACAACTTCGGCTTTATGACCGAATACGTCGCCACGCGCTGGTACCGCGCGCCTGAAATCATGTTGACCTTCCAGGAGTACACCACCGCCATTGATGTGTGGTCGGTGGGGTGCATCTTGGCTGAGATGTTACTGGGAAAACCGTTGTTCCCCGGCCGCGACTACCACAACCAGCTCTGGCTTATCATGGACGTCTTGGGCACTCCCACCAGCGAGGATTACTACAATATCAAGTCCAAGCGCGCGCGTGAGTACATCCGCTCCTTACCCTTCCGCAAGAAGGCCGCGCTCGATAAGTTGTTCGTCGAGGGCACCAATCCGCTCGCCATCGACTTACTCGAGAAGTTGTTGTCTTTCAATCCCCAAAAACGTATCACCGTGAGCGAAGCCCTAAATCATCCGTATTTAGCACTCTACCACGACGCCGAAGATGAGCCGGATGCCGAGCCTATTCCGAACGACTTTTTCGATTTTGACAAGCACAAGGACGACTTGAGCGTGGAGGAGTTGAAGCGCATGTTGTTTGAGGAAGTGATGAAGCCGTTGGGGCACTAACATTACATTGCTTTAATTCAGCCTGGCAGTCTGGGCGAAATTTTAACTAATACCATCTGTCATACTTCATTTCTGTCATGTGTTACGGGGCCTGGCCGATATCGTATAAGGTGGGGAATTTGACACTGAGTGATCGTGTATAAATTCGTAAGCTAACACGGTCTAAAAGTTATAAATTCTAGAACGAATCTTTGGAACGAAAAGCTCATTATGCGTGGGGAAACGCAATCGGGGTTTTCATAAATCACTTTCCGTGTTCGCAGCGGTTTCGTAAAAAATGATACGTCCTGACTCAGGGGCTGTAGCTTCCTAAGCTGTGCTACCATTTTGCCACTTGAGCAAATTGAAAGCTACAGATACCCGATATTTTACAAGCCCCTCTGCTTGTCGTTTAAAATTTTATAGTTATGAATTAAACACGTAGGTAGTATGTGTATTGCAACCACAGCACTGCCGCGTGGCTTAGGGACTTTGAAGTATGAAAAAATCGGGGCTGTGTCACTCCTTAGTAGGTGCGTGGGAGTACCTAACTCCAAGACCCCCTTGCTAAAACCACTATAGCCTTTGGGGTATTGGGTATTGTTTGAAACGCCTGCCATAGTGTAGATGTAGCTTATTTCGGGTATGGTGCTACAAATGTGAAGCTTTGCCACCCTCAGTGATTCTAGATCATACAAGGTTTTATCGTATATAAGGCTTCACGTTAGAGACTATAGCTGTCCTATTGGGTCAAAATATCGCCAAATCTAGGTCGCAGACCTAAGCTACAGTCTTGGAGACAACCGGTGGAAACTTTTCTCGGAAACGCATAAACAGAATTAAAGTGCTTGCAGACACATGCTTATGCGTCAAAATCTCTCGGGGCATATCACTGTACAGAATCTTTAATTGAACTTTAAGCAGTCCTCCGCCTGGAAGGATGATTTAGCTTAACTTTTTTCACCCTTGTATTCTCAGCTTTCGCCATAAGGAAAGAGTTTCATGTTCGTCCTATACACATACTTGATCCAATATTCGACTTCGTCTTGCCTTCTAGTCTTATCTCTAGTACTTGGTCCAAAAATTTTCATCTCTTGGCTTTCGGTATAACTTCGTGTGTGTCTTTGCTGGTAGATCTCAACCTAGTACCTGCAGTAGCAGCAGTTGCCTATGAAAAGGGGTTATCATCGAAGTATGCAGAGGGGCCGATTCCTACCGTCAGAGCATGCATAATTCGGCTATCAAATCATTGAGTTACGCGTCGTGACATAGAAGGAACATAGTAGGTTTCAAAGGGGGTGATATATGTGTGTTTGAACAAGCCTTTTTGAGTGGTATTCTAGTGGATAAAGTTTGAGTTGTCTATCTATTGCCGCTTCCACAGGCTTTTTTTAGAGTAGTAGGCTACAGTGCCAATAAATTAAACCTAAAGTTGTGGCATATTTATTTGAGCAGAACAAGCTTACGTTATATAATAAATATGCTTCCTTCCCCGGATAGGTTCTGGTGCCACCCATATTCCCTTAATCCGCACAAACAACACTCTCAATACCCCTCTGATCTACAGACATCTTCCGGTGCTAACTCTCCCTCTTGACATATTTCCTTTAACCTGCAAACCATGGGGATTTTCAGGGCTAAATCTAAACAAAACTCCATCGGAAAAGATGACAAGCTTGTCATCCACACCGCCAACGTACATGATCCAATTTTGTCTGCCGTACAAGAAGCTGAGCCGTTTGAACAGGCTGCCGATACTTCTGGCAATCGTCGATCCTCATACCAGCAATTTAATGCGTCTGAGGGGGAAATGAGAGACATTTTCGGTTATCCCATCACCCAGCCGGACTATTCAAATCCCACCAGGTCTCGTAATGAGCGACCGTTGGATACTATTCGTGGCTTCGAGTATGCCATCACTGGCGATTTGCGGATTCGCGACCAATTGGAAACCCCGCTCTTAGGATGGGGATTTCACGAAGACTTCCCACAACACGGAAAAAGTTATGTCAACGAGGTTGCTAGCGAGGCGCCTTATCAGTTCAATAATTACACGCAAGAACAGCCCATTTACCGAGCTCCAGTCGAAGTACAACCCGTTGGAAAAAAGAAGAAAGGCTGGTTCGGCAGAAAGCGCTAAAAGCTCCTTTACTGGTGGAGCCCCTTACTTCTGATTTGATATATTCTTGATCTTATACAATTTGAACTTTGCCTGAAATCTGTATAGTACTATTATGGTTGATATTCCCAGTTCCTTGGCTCTTCCGTCGTAGTGTTTGCTAATTATGTAGATTGCAAGGACTTTATGGAAGGCGATATTTAGTCTGTCGTAAGTGTAATCCATCGCCCAGTTGCACCATTTGCTGGCTTAGAAAAACCCGATTGTTGGACTTTCGTGTTGCTCCTTCTGAGAAAGATGAATTTTTTATAAAATAATACTGATAGTTATTTTTTTTCCGCCTTTAGACAGGCTACATAACTGGCGATCCTCCATAGGGATACATATTAGTACTTGGAGCCGGCAACTTTTAGAATCGGCCAAACGTTTCTAGGGGATAAAAATCTCCATTTACTCAATTTACTAGTTCATGCTTCCGAAAATTCGATGTAATCTGTAGTTTTTAACTCCATGTAGATGGGGTGGCTAAATGCTACTCCCGAGACACAGCGAGATATGTCAGGTATAGCCACACCGATCACCGCTCTGGAACAAACATGTAGAGAAGGCACATCAGTACACGTTGAGTCACACGGGCGTCCATAAGCAGATGTTTAGTCCAAGAAAGGTGTACGTGACTTTAAACAGTATGTTTACGTAGATCTATATGCACAAACGTACACGATTATCCCAACGAAAGCTTAAAAGTTCACGGAAGGAGAGGAGATCAGTGTTCCGTAAAGCCCACCACCTTAACTAAAACTTGAACGCCCCGGGAGGTTTAATATTTGGCCACAGACTTTATGGATCACTGACACATTGTACTTTACCCCGGTGGTTTAGATATACATCGTAAGCTTTGCGGAAACCTTCGGAAATCAGTCATTTCGAGAATCCCTGTCACGTGAAATGCGTGGTCTGAAACTTACGCTGGTAACCCACGATCTGATTTAATCGTGCGTTTGTCCGTCTGCTTAGCCCGTATATCGTAGACTCTGAAACAGATCCGTTATCAGGAAACGGCCACTCTTCTCCAGTTTGCTCAGCCACCACACCGCGCTAAATCTTGTTTTATATGATGGTACTATATATCGGATATGCGCACTCAAGCATTCACAGACAAGCCACTAAATGAGTGGCCGGTGCTTACCCCGTTGATCACATCGGCCTGTCATGCATCTCCTGGATCCCCTTGACGCGCGACCGACATATAAGACTTAAATCCCGCTCGGCTGTGTCACGACTCTCATGTCGTGTCATATAGTGAGAAGAATCTGCTACAAACCCAAGCCTTGCCATCGGGGTTTGTAGCAGACTCTAGCTGCCGACAGACATGTGTACATGGAATCGCAGCTCTAGACCGTAAGATGAGGAGGTCAGACAGCGAACGTATGCAGGCTTGAATCGAGGAATTAAAGTTGGTTATGCATGAAACTTTGCGTAAGAATAGAATGTAACTAACGAGGTGGGACAATAAACTTTCCACGAATTTTGATAGCATTTAATGAAGGCCCGTATATAAACCAGGTTTCCCCCCGTCTGCGCTCTTATGTTTACATTCATTCACCGTTGTACCTACCCATAGTAATATAGAGGTATTTTCTCTTTCATTTGTTCTTTCACATCTACACACGACGCATATTTTTCTACTTTTCTACATATGGGTATCTTCAAATCCAAGTCAACAAACAAGGGCAGCCCGTTAGAGGTGGATTCTAAGTTGAACATTCACACAGCCAATGTCCACGATCCGATCCTTTCAGCGGTCCAAGAGGCGGAACCCTTCGCTCAGGCTATTGAGACATCGAATAACCGCAGAGTCTCCTACACACAGATGCACGGAAATGGACAGATGGCTGATATTTTTGGTGGCCCAATCCAACAGCCGGACATGTCCAACCCCACCAGATCACGTAACGAGCGCCCTATGGACACTATCAGAAGCTTTGAGTACTCCATCACAGGTGATATGAGCATCCGTGATCAGTTGGAAACCCCACGCTTGGGCTGGGGCTTCCATGACGACTACCCACAGTTTGGGACTAACCCATACGGACACAGTAACGGCTACAACGAAACCCACGAGCAGACTGGGCTCAATAACTATACAACTGAACAGGCAGTGTACAGTGCGCCTGTGGTCACCGGCACAGAGGAGAAGAAGAAGAAGAAGAGAGGGTTATTTGGTAGAAAGAAGTGATTAAGGGCGATGTTCTTGCGTTATGTTTTGTTTTAATCTAGTTTATTAGTCGTGGGTGTACGCGATCGCGTTGATTTTATGAATGTTTGCATTAACTCGACTGTATGTGCCTTGCACGGTTCGCAGCTTTTTATATGGACACTATCAGTGGCCTTAAGGAGCTGTGTTATTTGTACCAAAACGTTTACACTTCAATAACTTTTAAACGGCTGTCGAGGAGGAGCTAGCGGACCGATACATCTTGTTAATGCAAGGTTCCCCACATGCATTTGCAAGTTCAGCGCTAGCGCGACTCAGGCCTATTGAAGCCGCTTGTACAGCACGGAATTTGGTAGCGTCTAAAACATCCCCAATAAATGGTAACATTCCTAGTCTTCATAACGATATGTCGAGGTTTTCCACTCTTAGTAGGATTGAGGGCGCGGCGATTGGCAAAGACCTTACGCACGGTACAAAGTACACTCAAGCACCTCCAGTTGTCAACCCTAATCACTCTTTTTTTCTCGCTAGTTGAAAATTTGGGATTCCACCGCATATATTCTTAAGCTGGAGTAAACTGTAATGAATGAAGCCACTGGGGTGGCTCAAACCGATAACGATGTCCCTCATGCACCTTATACATGTAGCACGCCCCGCTCATTTCCAAGTTACCGCGTAGTGCTTATCCTCCTAGAGGCCAAAAACGTATCATACCTACTAACACCTCCACCACTTGTCTTTGGCATATACCAATATCTATAAGCCCTGTAGAGTATGCGGATGGTACACAGTGGGTTCCTCCTGTTCTCATTATGCAATATTATGCATATCTCTCAGTGGAGGTGTTTCAGACGGCCGTATCAGACTCCCTCATCACAGACTATCAGATGTCAAAGTATCTTCACTTCCGTTTTCTGTTTTCTTTTTTGAGATCGCTAAATCAACCCTTGACTCCCACAAGATTTATTCTCCTTTCTTGTTGGCACCGTGAATCTCGCGTTCCGGCAGGTTGCGGCTCACGTTTCTTTTTATAGAATTTTACTATGACGTCCTACATATCACTGATTATGTGAGACCGAGTTCCGGCTGTTCCCTCGTATTGTGTATGCAATCCTCAAACCCAACCTTAACTCTGACCCTGCACCCGAAGTTTTTCACCTCATGCCACACTATATCCAAACGCCTCTAGTTTACGGTACAAAGCGTTTTTACGAATCTACTTTTCTACGTTTGGCCACTCTATCTTTTAATAATGGGCCTTTTCAAATCCAAGCTGTCCCAGGGCATGGGCGAAGACACCAAGTTGAACATGCACTCCGCCAATGTTCACGACCCAATCCTTTCCGCCGTCAACGAAAGACAGCCTTTCGAGGCTGCCGGTGACTCCAACGTTACAGCTGGAAACCGTCTCTCATACCAGCAGATGGCTACCGAGGGTTCCATGAGAGACGTTTTTGGTGCTCCGATCCAGGCTCCAGACATCTCCAACCCAACCAGAGCTCGTAACGAGCGTCCGATGGACACCATCAGAGGCTTCGAGTACGCCATCAGCGGCGACACCGGTATGCGCGAGCAGTTAGAGACTCCAAGACTCGGCTGGGGCTTCCATGAAGACTACCCTCAATTGAACTACGGCCAGGACGACTCCCAGTACGACAGGGCTCCGGTTGCTAATTTTAACAACTACGGCGGTGAGCAGGCGGTATACACCGCTCCGGTCCTCAACACCGACGAAGGCAAGAAGAAGAAGAAGAGAGGTTTGTTTGGAAAGAAGAAGTAAGCGTCGGCCTTGTGTATTTCCTTCTGCCTCCATCATGTATATGTATTGTACCATATCCTAGACTGTACTAGACCTTTTTCGTCGAGTTATATCCTTAATTTACACTTTAACCTAACACGTTTTGTTGGAAAGGAATAGGAACTATACAGGCGCTACTTCTGAGTCGGCCCCTGCCCAACCAAAAACAACATTCGTAATCTGCCCACTATACTGTTTCGTCGTGCCAAGGTTTAATATGTTTCTACAGAGAGATATATTAGCATAAACTTGCCTCGTATTATTCATATCTTATGCTAAGTCACGTTACGGGAGCCAACACCCCTTTTCTATGATACATCGATGGTTACTCTAATTAATGCGTAGTTGAGTCTTCCTATGAGAGAATCGCCGCACGCAGTAACGCTACATAAGATTTTGGCAAAACTTGGCGAAAGCTTGCTGACACGCTCAACTTTAGCACATTCCCACACACCTTACAGGACCACGGTCAGGATTCAATTCTGCATCGTTATATTTTATTACTAGGAATCGCCCGTATCGCTGACCACACAGTTATATCCAGTATCGTTGATTGCCACGTTATTGCTTCCTCCGAAACACGCATCCCCGCAAACCTATTACTCCATTCCACATGATTTCCTCCCTTTCTTCACTACGATACACGGTTAGGGGTGCTGCCCAGCTACTCGTCGCTTGTCGCATGGCTTCCTCGCACAGACCCGTGATTCGCTTCCAGCTTGTTCAGCTGAGATCCTATTGGTATAGTAACCCGATGAAACGTCCACCGAAGCCTGAGACGGAGAAAAAATCCGAGGAGGAAGCCGCGGAAGTTGCTAAAGAGGTTGAGGCCCCTGCGCCAGTGGTGGCGGCAGAAGCTATTGCGGAGGAGGCGGTAACTCAAGAGGAGCCCTTGCACGTACAACGGGCGCGCCAGATTCTCGACGCCAACCCGCCACTCTCGTATATCGATACACAAGCAGCATATAACCAGTTAATTTCGGTGGGGTTTACGCCAGCGCAGGCCACAGAGGTGTTGGAGCATATCGAAACGATCCTCAACGAACACTTTTTCCGCTTGCTCACGGAAAAGGCACACCACCAGGAGTTGGTGGACTTGGAGCAGTCGCTGGTTTCGCGGCTTATGGAGATGAAAATGGATATGGATCGTCGCAGAGACCAGTTCAAGACGCGGTTTGTCCAGGAAATGGAGATCTACAAGACCCACTTGATGCAGCAGGATTCGCAGTCGCACTTGATGGTTATGGAGCATATCAGCGACTCCCAGGTGGCGCTCACAGATATCCGCATTGCTAATGACTTGAAGACCGAGGAGCGCCAGGAGAAAATACACACCATCAACAGCAGGGTCTCGACCAACATTGCGTTGTCGTTAAAGGGGGACGTGGCTGACTTACGGTGGGACTTGATCAAGCGCGGCTTGTTCTTTATCGCGTTGATATTCATGGCGGGTATCGTCGGCCACCGCGAGTTCCAAAAGATTAAGCACAAGCAGGCCGAGGACGAGAAAAAGAAGCTGATGATGCCGACTCCGATGTTGAAGGTGCACGAGCCGACGGAAATGTACGAAGAGGACTTCGGGACCAACGGCGATGACGAGTATAGAAAGTATGGCTCCGAGTATTCATAAGTATAAGTATTATAAAATACGGCTAATCAGCCACTAGAGAATGCGTCAAAGCTGTAGTGTTTGCAGCGACTACCATACAGGCAGCCTGGGATTTGTGGGTGTATAAAACTATAGGCCTGAGTCAGGAATTACAATTCTGCCTAAAAATTCTTTAATTATCAGTTTAACGTATTGGGCCTAGGATATCCGGACCAACTAAAGCGCAAGATGTGGTGCAGTCCAACCCACTCAAAAGTCGACACATCGACCTTTGAGTGGGCATCGTCGTGGTTACGCTAAATGTCTTTGGTAGTTCCGATATAAGAGCAGAAATGAGATTTACTTTTATTGTGTACCCCGCTAAAGCCTTCTTTTTCAACCCCAGAGTTTGAAGTAAAGCCATTAACAGCTGTTCGGAAACCTAATTATCGCCGGTAAATCCTCTACTATGAGAGGTCTTCTAGCCTCCAACATTTGATGATAGAAAGTTAGCACCAAATCCGACACTAGAGCAGATTCCCCCCTTTTCTATCCGTTAATTATTTGCCGATGCGAGCCCGAGAAAATATAGCCCAAAGAGTCCTGCCCGGTTAGTGTCTCGCGGACATCAGCGCGCCTCCGTCTACGTGTGGCCCTAGGGGCTTCCACCTCTATGCATAGAAGTACAGTCCAAAAAATAACTCCTAAAGGCATAATTAGCCCCCAGGTAGGAGACAAAATTGTGACTTGGGCGGGTTGGTTGATATTCTTTTTTGAGCGTATACTCCAGCCAAACTCCATAAATCTTCAATTATTTAGACATCTTAGTAACCCCGGAACCTAAATCCTTAGTACTGCCGACGCTTCCCTCCCCCCTTGCGTGGGGCTCGTGTAGGTACCGCTCTCGGAAAGCTGCAGCCGCCCTTGGGAGTCCTGCCAAAGCACGGGCTTCGGCGCAGATAAATCACCCTCGGCTGCTTCCCCACTAGATGCAGTAGGCGGGGCTAGTTCCCCACATCACATGCTACGGAGCTTTCATGGTATATAAGTACCTTAGACTGCAGCTTTCCACTCTCGCTCTGAGTCCTCCATCGCCTACTTACACCTATATTTCACACAATGTCTGACACTCCGATTGAACAGAGAATCACCTACACCGTTAAGGACAAGGTTGCCATTATCAGATTTAACCTCCCGGATGCTCTTAACGCGCTTGACGGTGACGAGTACTTGCAGTTTGCCAAGCTCATTTCACGGGCTGATAATGAACCAGATACCATTGCCACGATGCTTACATCTTCCGGCCGTTACTTCTCCGCCGGTGCCAACGTGACCCGTATCGGCATGCTGAGTACCGAGGACACTGAAAACATAGAGCGGTTCTGGTTGAACCAGTTTGTGTCCCGCAACACGTACATCACGTATTTGTTGTCCAACCACAAGAAAGTGCTCGTCGCTGCGCTCAACGGTCCGGTCATCGGTTTGAGTGCCGCTATTGTGGCCTTGTGCGATTTAATCTACGCCTCCACTGAAGACTTGTTCTTCTTGGCACCTTTTGCCAACTTGGGTTTGGTCACCGAGGGTGCCGTCTCTGCGTCGTTGTACAAAAGATTAGGGTTCTCCAAGGCTAACGAGGCTTTGTTGTTGGCCAAGCCGATCTCCGGGAAGGAGTTGTACCGTTTGGGCTTCATCAACAAGTTCTACCTCAACACCAAGTCTGTAGAAGACTTCAATGACCAGGTCGTAGCTGACTTGCAGGAGAGCATCAGCGGGTTGTACGGGCCTTCCATCTTGGAAATTAAGGGCTTGATCAAAGACAATTACTTGTTTGACTACGAAAGAGCCAACTCTAGAGAAGTCATCCAGGGGTTTGACAAGTGGGTCGCCGGTATTCCACAGCAGAGATTCATGGAGGTTGCTACCAAGCAGAGAAAGCACAAGATGTAGCTTATATTTTAGTATTTCCCCCGTCGCGGGTTGAGTAGTTTTTATCAATATAGTATTCATTAGCTGAACCAATTTGGTATTTCTGACTGATCGTACGTGCGTGGCTACCTCGCTAAAAAAGGGACTCTGCCAAGGTATTGTATATAGTCACTTGTATCACGGTTTAATGATAATTCAAAAAAGCTGTAGTTAAATTCAAGGTATTTATAAGCCCAAAAACTATGGAACGAGTAGGCCGGAAGTATTGCCGTTTTGGGAAGCTCCTCCTTGCGTTTCCCAAACGGTCAGATGCCAGATTGAATATGCACCCCAGGCCCCTTAGTGACAAATGCGTCAAATGATTGAGCCGAGGCATAACGTTAAAGTTATTCCGAAAAGCATCGTGAAGCTCCGATCAGGAGAACCTGGATCAGATCTTCCCAGACTTATTTAAGCTTGTCGTTTCCGATGTCGTTGAACAATTCTGATTTTCTCATCAAACCAACCATTCAAGATGCCTAACTACTTGGAAGCTATCAGCAAGCATACTGTTCTCAGTATTGACACTATGTTCCGTGAGACCGGCTCGCAGTATCCCCCAATTCACTTCGAGAATGCCACCTCAAACCAAGCCATTGCGTACGCAAACGTCGAGAGAAACACCGACATCGTTCCCCAAGCGGTCCAGTTAGCGCTCAAGAAGCTAGGCTTGGGCGCCGTTCCCGCTTCTCCGCTTCCAAAGCAGTTTGTCAACCAGGTGATCAACTACGCCAATGCGATTGTCGGTTCCAGAATGTCGCCCGAGGTTAGTGGCTGTGTGATGGCCCAGGTTCTTCCATCCCTCATGCATGACACCCAAGGCACCGTGGACGCCGCTCTCGCTCTCATCGAGGCCTTCCAGGACGTGGGGGTTCCAAAGGAAAAGGTGGTTATTAAGATTGCAGTAACACACGAATCCGCTTTAGCCTGTCGGGAGTTGCGCGACAAGCATGGTGTTCAGTGTTTGGGTACCGTGATTCACTCTTTGTCGCAGGCCGTCATTGCGGCTGAAGCCGGTTGCTGCATTGTTTCGCCTTACGTGGATCCTCTCGAAGCAAACTTCGATCCTGCCGCTTTGGTGAAATATGATACTTTGGAGGAAAACTACGGTTACAACCTCGTGAAGGATATCCACTACTATTACAAATTGCACGGTGTCACTGAAACCAAGCAATGCATCGCAGCCTTGATCGACACCGAAACGGTAATGAAGTTGACTGGTGTGGATGGCATGACCGTTCCATTGTACACCTTGAATTTATTAAAGGATATGGAGATGTCCCAGGCGGAATACGATGCTTTCCAGCCAGGTTTGCCGGTGGATAAGGCGGGATTGGCCGCGGCCGGTGTTACTGAAAAGGATGCTGGGGAGCGTAAGCAATATCTTGGCAACAAGGCCTTGTACGAGGCTGACTTGAAGGATAACGAGATTTATAGGCAGAGATTTGACTTGGCGATCAACACCTTCATGTCATTTGACACCAAAATGAGGGAATTGGTGGAGAAGGTTGCTCGGGAAACGTAAGTTTGCTTTGGTAGAACTGCTCTGTGGCCTTTCATAGGGGTAGCTTCCCGCTATGATATCACATATCCTTGGCTGGGTCTAAAGCGACCTTGATTTCTATTCTAATTGTGTATTTAAAGTACCCTACGTGTAGTTAGTTCTACCATTGACTGTCAGGTATACTGCGCAATGTTAAATGCTCTCTGCTTTAAATTGATATCTCCACCGAAGATCAAATCGCCTAACTGATAGGCTCTGCCTTAGGATATCTTCGTATAAACTCCGATCTACACAATATTCAAAGCACCTGAATCAGTAATTCATTGTTAACGTATATGTACAGAGGGGCGATGCCTAAACGCATCGATATAATTGAGTTTAGATCAACAAAGCTTCAATCACTGAAGGGTTCTTCTTCAAGTAGCTCCTCAAAATGTTCTTTCTGGTGCTGGCTCTTTCCTGGGTGTCCCTACCCAAGTCCTTCAAGATCTGGCTGACCTTTTCTTCGTCCTTCATCAACACGTCCAAAGCCTGTGGGACACTGATTTCGATATCTTCAACCAATTCAGACAACTCCTCTCTCAAGGTGTTGATCTGCAACTTTAACGCATCACCGGAAGGTGGCCAGTTGTTGATGTTGTAGCGGGTCTTTATGGCCTCCATCTTCTGCTTGTTCTCGTCGGTCTGCTCGGACGATGGCTTGTAGGCGTGTTCATACATGAATCTCAAGCTCTGGAGGTACTCGACCTGGCCTGCTCTCTCCTGTCTTCTCTGCAAAAACTCCTTGTTTCTCAAGTTGTTTTCCAAAACCAAGGTGTCCTTGGCCAACTGATCGTACTCAGCAAACTGGGTACCAGTGTTCTTCTTGACCTGGGCAATGGAGAACGCCTTTCTTGGGGATAATTTGTCACAGGAGATGATTCTGACAATGTCACCCTCCTTGCAGAGGTTGTTTTCATCGTGCACCAAATAGTCTTTGATGCGAATAGCGTCCTTGGCGACAGCCTGGTCGTAGACGGTACGCGAAACTCTAACCTTGACGGTCTTGTTCATCTTCCCCTGGGAAAGGACCATACCAACAAAGTTTTGACGAGCCATGGTATATGTGTGTGTGTGCAGACTTGTCGAAAGCGCTTAGGCCTCAGAAACTCAATCACAAAAACCACTCTTTTTACCTGGAAAATTCCGACCGCTAAGGTCTAGTTTTTTTATGTGCTTATGTCATCATTGCTTATGTAATCGAATCTCCATAATTGCAGTCACGCATCAACGCTTCGCAGCTCAGTTGGTGAGAGAGATGTATCGATAGAACGTGTGTGGAGGAACGAAAATGTGCCATTTTTCACAATGTATGGGTTTTTGTAACTTTTGTATTTATACACAAAGGGTCCTGGGGATAGTGTCGGCATTTGAACTGCACACGCTCATACGTAGATAGCGCGTATAGCACCTCTGCCAGTAAACTCAATTCCATCGACATGTTCTGAGGGTTTAATTACCCAAAGCAAGTGGCGTTTTTTTATTCAATCTAACGTTGATTTAGTTGATACGTCTTTCTTCAAAACCATGAAAACCAAATAAAAAGAACCCCTTGGATAGCCTGGAGATTATGTAATCTATTTCCGTAGAGGCTTACGATCGAGTCAGACTTACAGGTGAATAATTCTTAAATCGTGACTCAGGCGAGAGAGCCGGCATGCATCTAACTATATAAACTTGAGTTCCCTATCCGTCAATATCTCTATTAAATAGTTACAGAAAAGACAAATAGCAAAATGGGTTTCAATTTACAGACCTTGGCCAGAAAGAACATTTTGACCTTGCAGCCTTACCGCTGTGCGAGAGATGACTTCACAGAAGGAATCCTTCTCGATGCCAATGAGAACACCCACGGCCCCTCTGTCGCCGAGGGAGTCACCTCCAACTTGGAGTTTAATCGCTACCCAGATCCGCACCAAGTCGACTTCAAGCAGCAGTTTGTGGATTTCCGTAACTCTGAAGCCGCTATCGCCAATGCCCCTGTCAGCAACGTCGGTCTTGCGCCTTTGACTCCCGACAACTTGTGTCTCGGGGTTGGGTCCGACGAGTCCATTGACGCCTTGATGAGATGCTTCTGCCACCCGGGTAGGGACAAGTTATTGATCTGCCCGCCAACCTACGGTATGTACGACATTTGTGCCACCGTCAATGACATTGACATTGTCAGGGTTCCGCTCTTTCCAGATTTCAGTTTGAACACGGAGGCCATTATCACCGCTGTCACCAGCGATCCGTCTATTAAATTAATCTACTTGACCACCCCGGGAAACCCTACCGGTAAGTTATTGGACTTTGAAAGGTCCATCGCGCCCCTCTTGTCTCTCGAATCGTGGAACGGCATCGTCATCACCGATGAGGCCTACGTTGACTTCTCCCCGGTAGGCTCGTCTTTGTCCCCGCTTGTCACCAAGTACGCCAACTTGGTTGTGTTGCAGACTTTGTCTAAATCTTTCGGTTTGGCTGGTATCAGAGTCGGCATCACCTTCGCGGACGAAGCCGTCTCCAGAATCTTGAACAATATCAAATACCCATACAACATCTCGTGCTTGTCCGCCGATATTGCGATCAAGGCTACTACCCCACAGTCCATCAAGTTGATGCGTGAAAAGGTCAACACCATCATCGGCCAGAGAGATGTTCTTGTGAATGAGTTATTAGCTATCAAGGGTGTGGGCAAAAACATCGGCGGTCTCGACGCCAATTTTGTCTTGTTAGTCATCATGTCCGATGAGTCTGCTTCTGCCGTGCCTAGCAACGAGGTTGCCCAACTCTTGTACACGAAATTGGCTACTGAAAACGCCGTGGTGGTGAGATTCAGAGGTAAGGAGATCTTCTGCGAGGGTGCTTTGAGAGTCACAGTCGGTACCGAAGCAGAGAACAGAACCTTGGTCGAAAAATTCCGAAAGGTTTTGGGCGAAATCTACGCCTCTAAATAAGGGCTATAAACATTTATGATATGCATACTGATAGAGAGATAGCCCACGGTATACATGTAGAGTCGAGTGTTTATTGGATCTAAACTGGTTATGTTCAAGGCATGGCAAACTATAACTGCTAGGAGCTCTCGAGACCCCCTACTTTTTTCAAGGGTTCGTTTAGAGTGCCTCCTTCATGTTGAATGTCTATAGTATCTATCGCTCGAAACAACTGTTTCAACGACTCTTCTCTTGTGTCGGGGGATTTTCTTCTCGGAAAAAAGAATCTCCTGGTCTTTTTGTTTCCATGTGTATCATTAGCCAGAGACTTAAGCTGTGTCCCTTCCAAGGTATTGGTTTCTCCGCTGAAAGAGCAGGGACCTCCTTCATCTCTGAGACCACTATCTGACTTGGATAAACCCACAATATTGTTCATCGAGCAGACCTCTAAGCTCTTTTGATCACGGAACATTTCAGCGAGTGAGTTCGGTGGCTGTTTAAATCTGAGGGAAATAGTGCTCTTTGTCTTTTGCCATGTCTTGTCTAAAATTTGGCTTGCTCTGGTTGCTGGACTCTGATATTTTCTGGCCTCTTTCTCCATCACATCTACACCATTAGAACTCGAAACGATAACAATGCTCTCTGGACTGTCGGAATACCTTTCCCCCTTTGGCTTGTGTCTAAAAGCCGAAGGAATCTTTAAAGAGGTTATTTGCTCCTCGGCTCTGCTAGCTCGGCCGGTATGAAACTTCAATCTTCTTGGACTAGGTCTAAATTCCTTCTTCAGATTATGTCCTCCTTTCTTCAAGTACAGCATAATTTTTGGGGAAACATCTAAACGCCCCAAGTGGCGAAAATCATCTCCCATGCACAAGTGCTTTTCAAGGTATTCGTCCCAGTTGCTGTACTTTTGGAAAGAGCCGCTTGATCTAAGCGTGTTGAATATTTCACATTTTGGGATGCTGTATGACCCCACCAACTCTATATCTGAAACGAGCTCCTCAATCAGTACATTCTCTCGGTCACTGCCCCCATCATTGCCGAGATCTAGCGGTGGAATGTCGGTCGGGGTTGATAAATGGTCTGGTCCGAGAACATAATGCTCGATTTCTGAAGTTTTTGTTAGTAAGCAGTATTCTCTTTTTCACAATATTCTGCATCATTATGTGTCAAACTTACCCTTTTTGTGGGGGTTAGAGGACTGCCTTTTTGATACTGATGCGTCAATAATCAGACTCGCTCCGGAGGGGACAGGAAAGCCGTATCTCAGGGATATAAGCACGGAATGGGACCCCGTCGAGGAGGCTCTCGTGTGAAATCCGCCTTCTCTTTCCATGAAAGCTGATTCTGGGATATTTCGGCTGATGATCCCTGCCACTTTTTCAATCTCGGAATCCAAAACGGCGGAACGGATTTTCTCTTCGTATTTCCCAATATCGGTAGCCTCCATAACGGCTTCCTCTAAATCAAAACAATCATAATTGTACCTTTCTGGTTCAATATAAGGAAGCTCAAGGCCTTCCTCACCAGCATGTCTTATTGATAGCTCTCCCGTAAGGTCGTGTGTATAGACAATATCAGAGTGGGAAGCCAGTTCTCCATCACCAACCATAAAGGATGAGGAACCATCACAAAAGTTTTTAATTTCTTGCCTCATTGTTTCAGAGTTGACATCGAAACCAAAGCTTAGTAACGACGAAACTTGACGAATACTGTAACGTCCGTGAGAAAACCCCCAGTTCTCGAGGTCAAAGGATCCCAACGTGTCCAAAGACCCGATAGTGGATCCTAAAATATAACTCTCTACTCCTGCTTCCTCTTGCAAACATTGGGGGTTTTCCTCCGGTGATTGTGTGAAGCCAGTAGGTTTGGGGATCTCAAGAATGGTAGCTTTTGTCTCCATGAATTGGGGGTAAGGCTCTCGGCTCGCTGCAGATTTTTCGTTCAAAGGAGAGGTGGACACTGTGTTGGGACCTCTTCCATCGTCAATTTCAAATAATAAAGGAGAGTTTTCTTCTCCGGATGGTTTAGATGGCACTCTATATGAGGACAGGGTTGATGTGACAAAGGGCCATGCTGTAGAGGCTACCTCTTGAGAGCCATCAAGCGTGATGGGAAAGCTTTTGACCTTCTCCTGGACCATCTTGTTCAAGTTTTCAGTGGTGGACGAGGGAGCTCTTAATATCATGCTCCCCTTCCGTCTCTCCTTCAAATTTTCTTCTGGGTCGGCTTCTCCATCCTCACTCACTCCGATACTGTTGTACGGCATCCTCGCTTCGATCTCGCCGTCCCCTTCGTTTAGCTCAGAGGACTGGGGAGAGGGACTTTCTGCCGAAAAGACTCGAATCATTTCGAAGGATTTAGGTTCTTTATGCATTATCTTAGTCTATTCTGACGCAGATACTTTGCTTTTTAGCACACCGTTCTACTTAACCTTTTATTCAAATTCCAAGTATGTTGTTTCGATGGTTTGGGACAGAAAAGGGGAGCAAGGAGATTATTGACAGTCTAGAATGCTTCTGTGGCTTATTCGGAGGCACCGTATATAAAAAGGTAGAACCTTTAACGAAATTTGGTGCAAAAGAGAAATCTTTGTCACCCGGAATCTTGCATTCGTGATATGCAGCCACAGATGCACGAAAAAAATGCTTCCCCACCAGGAGTCGAACCTGGAATCTTCTGGTTCCAGAAGTGGTTACAAATCGTAGCCAGACGCCGTGACCATTGGGCCATGAGGAACGAAGCTTAACCTTGTCAGGGTTCCGGTGCCCGTTGGTATTCCAGTCAGGAGGTTGTAGTTAGTCATTGATTCATAAGTTACTTATCGTGATCTTCCGTAAGATTAAAGATACTCTAAACTAAGCATATTTTCTCTCAGTGATAAACCGCTTCCTTATATAGCCTTCTAGACTTGAATCAGCGCAGCTGGTTCAATTCATCAGAATCGCCACAGGTGGTTCGATCCATCTTGGATAGCGACGTAGCTTCACTCGTTTTGGTGATGCGTACTCGCTGAACTCGTGCTAGAGAATTTGTTCTTATAAGTGTTAACCACTTCCTGAGTCACACGCAGTCCCTCTCACAACCTCAGAGATGAGTCACACGCAATACTTCTTACAACCTCAAAGATGAGTCACACGCAGTCCCTCTCACAACCTCAGAGATGAGTCACACGCAATACTTCTTACAACCTCAAAGATGAGTCACACGCAGTCCTTCTCACAACCTCAGAGATGGCTTCTCTAACTCTGACAGACATTGTCAGGGTTAGAGAGCTGTTTCAGGAACCTTATGAAGTTCCAGTTGAGGCTACTAGGATTGTCTGATAAATGAGTACCTGAAACTAATCCTGTCGCATGAAGCAAATGAGGCACCGAAGAAACCCATATAAGGAAGTGGTTTTCCAGATCTAGAATATGATCTTGGTTTTAATATTATCTTTATTCTTGTGAAGATCACGATAGGTAACTTGAGGATCAATGACTGACTACAACCCCCTGACTGGAATACCAACAGGCGCTGGAAACCTGACATGACATATCAGAGTTAGAGAAGACATCTCTGAGGTTGTGAGAAGGACTGCGTGTGACTCATCTTTGAGGTTGTAAGAAGTATTGCGTGTGACTCATCTCTGAGGTTGTGAGAGGGACTGCGTGTGACTCAGGAAGTGGTTAACACTTATAAGAACAAATTCTCTAGCACGAGTTCAGCGACTACGCATCACCAAAACGAGTGCCACAGCACAAAATAAATACTACTACAAGTCAAACAAAAGATTAGTTAAGTATAAGATAATGAGATTAACAAACGTTATAACAGTACTAACTGCGGCAGTCATGATTGCTGCAGAACTGGATTACATGACGAAGATGTTAAAGTGCTTACCAGATGTGTATGAAAAATACAACGTGCTAGAGAAGGCTAATGGTAATATTTATATAACTCCGAAAGAAGAAAGAGATATGGATCGCTATGGTACGGACGCAAGACTATATTATTGCTTTCGTAAAGTTAGAGCTAATTGCTCAGTGGTGAGCATGGGCCCGAACGAACAGTACATGGACAAAAGGTTCGGCAGTGATGATTCTGAGAGCTCTATGGAGTACTTGCCAGGTTCGGCCACGGGCAGTGGTCTCTACTCAATGAATATGAGGCGGTCAAATGTACAATATGATTTCTTGACATCTGGTAGTGCTGCACCGCTGTCCCTGGACTACCAGAGACCTGACATACTTTTGAAAACCTCTCAATATAAAAGTGAAAAGGATGCCACTGCGATTGATGGATTATTGGCCAAGGTGGACATAGCCCTTGTGAAGTCTAGTGAAGACTCCCTTGGTAGGACCCAATACTTAGCTACCCGTTTGGACGATGGGGCTGGTAAGTGGTTAGCCCTCTACCTCAGCAGAATCGGTGGTGTTGCTTTCTTGGGCTACGAGGCGCTCAAAAAAGAGCTCCGGAAACAATTTTACCCACCAGACCACGGCCAAAAGTGTCACCAGGACTATAGTGACCTCAAGCAGACTGGTTCAATTCGGGCTTACGTTGAGAAATTTTCCTATCTTCTTAACCAGCTCCCATCAGTCTACCAAGCTGTTACGCTTGATCACCTTGTGTGTGGTCTTAAAGCCCAAATGAAGTAACATACCTACATTACTGGTAAAAAGAACTTTAGAGAGCTTACGCAACACTTGTTCATACTTGATGAACCCACTTGGACTATGCCCCAGACACCAAAGGTCATGAAGCATCCCGCGGGAAGCTATCCTAGTGACACCAACGCTCTCCAGAAGAGAACCGATCGCAAATGAAACACTTGGCCACAGACAAGCCACTCTTTGAACAGCGTACAACACCGTTAAGAGGGGTCCGCTAACTCCACAGCAAACCACACCTGTTTTGTGTATGGAAGAGACATTAAACCGCTGATTAAGCTACCGGGTCTCCGCACACCATTTTTGTCAAAACCTTTTTATCCTTTATCTACAGTTGATTTTTTTATTACTACTTTCCAGAAAACACAAAAATCTAAAAAAAAAGTACCAAATTACGAGTGTAGATGAGACGCCGAGAAGGAAAGTGTCGGAGTTTAATGTCGCAAAGCACATCAAGCGTGCTTTGGATGAACCTCATTCGGGAGGATCTGGTTCTGTCAAATGAACTAAGAAAACATACACCGTTTGGTCTCCGCGACCCATTCGGAAACGGCACAGTGATTGTGGACAAGCATGTTACGAGACACTTGTACGGGGTTCCAGAACCAACGGTAATGTTCGCCAGCAGTGACGTTCTGTGCCCAGCGATTCTTGGAATGCCCTTTGTGGAGGAGCACATGGATCTTGCCGATATCAAAGCCAGACCGCTTAGAGATTCAGTTGATGTTCCCCAGTTAAGCTTGTAGGGCTTAACCAAATCCAACTCGACTTACGGGACGTCGATGAGCATGGATGGGTCTCTGTGATATAGAAGACCCCCGGTACGTGCTGAGTGCCGGACTAGGATGATATAGAGTGGTTGGAACGGTTGGGAACTGAGTTTCCAGACACATTGTCTCTGGAGCCGCCCCAAAAGGAGGCGAGACTTGAAGGGTTTCTCTTGAAGGGTTTCTGCATCGGATTGAATTGGTTCCTGATGCAAGACCACCGGCGCGAGCGCCGTACCGCTTAACCCTTCAAGAACAAGAAGCACTAAAGAAATAAATGCTAGATCTTCTAGCTAAAGGTTTTATACGACCAAGCCTGAGTCCATTCAGTTCGCCGATTCTCTTTGTCAAAAATAAAGATGGCACGTTCAGACTTTGTGTGGATTATCGGGCGCTAAATACGGTCACTATCAAGGATAGGTTTCTGTTACCGATCATTGAAGACCTACTAGATGAGGTAGATGCGCTGAAATACTATTCGAAGCTTGACTTGGTACAGGGATACCATCAGATTCCGATCCATCCGGATGACCGACACAATTCAGCGTTCGTTACGCACAATGGATTGTTTGAGTGGATGGCGATGCCGTTCGGGTTGTGTAATGCGCAGTCCACCTTCCAGAGGATTATTAATAGCTTTCTCGAACCATTGCTAGGTGTGTGCGTAGTGGTATACTTGGATGATATCCTCATCTACAGTGAGACGCTTGAGCAACACTGGAAAGACCTTCGGAAGGTGTTCCGGTTGTTGAGCTCAAAGGGATTAGTGAAAGAATCGAAGTGTGAATTTTTTTCTCGACAATAAATCGAGTTCTTTGGTCATGTTCTCACCCAGGATGGTGTGAAACCAGACCCATCGAAACTCGCAGTAATTAGAGACTGGCCAGTACTTGCAACATTTAAGGATGTGCAGCGTTTCCTTGGTCTTGAAAACTACTATCGAAAATTTATCAAAAGCTTCTCCAATGTCGTTCATCCCCTCAACGATTTTACCAGTCAGAACTGTGACTGGGGTGACTCACAGGCGGTGGCCGTCGAAAAGTTGAAAACCATGTTAGTGGATGCGCCTGTATTAATGTTGCCGTTGGACCGGCACCAGTTCCTAGTAACGACGAATGCGTCGGATCTCGGAATGGGTGCTGTGATCGAGCAGATTGATCTCGTGACAAAGAAACGACTTGGGGTAATAGCCTACCTCAGTCGAAGTTACCTCCCAGCACAGAAGAATTATGGCGTACGAGAGAAAGAGTGCTTAGCCATCGTTGAGACGTTGAAAAAGTACAAACACCTTTTACTGGGACGTCCGATTATGATCCGGACAGATCACAACTCGTTAAAATACCTGTTAACTCAGAAGTGCGCTCCTTCTGGACGCATCATTAGGTGGCTTGATTTTCTTTCAGGTTTCGACTTTGAGATTCTGTACTTACCTGGAGGAAAGAATGGGGCTGCTGATGCCTTGAGTCGGATGGAAGTCAATCTGTTAACGTGTGTGAGTGTGAATGAATTAGGTGAGCTGTTCTACGATGAAATCGAGAAAGCCTACCAAATCGACACAAATTTCCGGGAAATTCACGATGTATTGTTACACGATAAAGGCGTGCCAAAGTCCATTCATAAGCATATCCGACGGTTTGAAGTGCGCGACGGATTATTGTATTTTAACATGACAGCATCGTTTGACGAAGAAGACTCATGGTTATGTGTACCAGAGGGTCCTTGGAGGAAGCAAATTATTCTTACGAGAGATTGTACGGCTACACGGTATGCCGGAAAGTATTATATCTGATCGTGACCCACGGTTTACGAGTCAGTTTTGGAGACATTTACAGCACATGTTAGGCGCGCAGTTGAAGATTTCAACTGCCAACCACCCTCAGATCGACGGCAACACCGAGAGGGTAAATGGTGTTGTGAACCAGCTTGTGCGTGCGTACGTTCAAGAAAATCATGGAGCCTGGGCACGATATTTGCCAATGATGGAGTTCGCACACAACGCGACGATCCAGCTGTCTATACAGACTTCACCGTTCTTTGCAGATCTTGGCCGGCATCCGATTACACCTCACTTTGAAAAACTGAGGGGAGAGATATACTCTCATGCTGCTGAAAGTGTTGGTACCCAGATGCAAGCCATCGTATTACGGACTCAGGAGTATCTCGTGGATGCTCAACGGAAGCAGGAGAAAGGTACAAACCAACATCGCAGTGAACATAGGTATCAGAAGGGCGATTGGGTTCTCCTCCACCGCGAGGCATATACCACAGTGAAAGAGTATCCTAAGGTGGACCCAGTGTATTTTGGGCCATATAAGCTTTCCCAGCAGATGGGCGACAACGCTTTTGAGAGACTCTGGAATAAAAGTAATTAAGTTATATCAAAATTACATCTAATAAATACTCCCAGTATATGGCAATCAGACATACTCATATACGAGTTCAAAAAGTTTGCGTAATATCCATATGTCGTATATGATACTAGAGTTATATATAGATATTTGTCAAAAAGTATTTTTAAAAAAAATCAAAATTTCATTTTTCATATATACACAAGTAATTATTGGAGTCGTGAAGGATACATGTATAACATGGTAACTAACATATACGTATTTACACAAACTATGCTGAAATATATATTTAAACATACATGCAAAGCTTGAGTGTCTACACCGTTGTATGTATTAAGCTATCTAACACTGCAATATTGAAATTTTCATCGCCACATTGTTAGATGTAGCGCATTCACGCACGTGTGTCTAATCGAAATCTGAAATAAGCTAGCTGCAGGTGGTAACCAAGTGAGCCGCACAAGAGGCCCTACTGGACTGGGGAAGATCGCACATTCTGTCTTTAATGACAGGCGCAATCTCTCTTTACATCATGACTCACTATTCTACCACCAGTGTAATGTCCAAGCTCTCAATTAAGTTGGTGGCAAAATAGTTGCGCTGGAACAACAGGCACCGCCCGTTTAAATCACTCAATTGCCTTTTTGGATCGGTGGCCTGCTAAATCTTGCTGCATTCTTGACGCCTTACGTATTCTTTCACACGAAGAATCGTGCGTTAAATGATATAAGGTTCTACGGTTATTAGAGTAAGAGTCACCAAGTGCGCTCCGATCCATAAATAGCAAGGTGAAACGGTCATCTTTGGAACTTTCTGGTGACTCGATTCTGCACTTACCTGTCATACCTGCACCGTTCAAAGCACCACTCAGAGACAGGATGACAGTCGCCACCCGCCACCAAATGGTTTAACAGACAAGTGGAGTCATAGGTTATATGGGGGGAAAGCTCTTCGAACACGTACACGGCTGACAAGTGGGGGACCGGGTAACCTGCCATTTACTTGACATTATTGGTTAATTGGAGGCTATGCAGCCGGGTAATGCCTGTAGGGTAGGAAAAAAATATTTTTTCTTGTTATCATTTTTGATTTCTTTTTTTTCGTCCGTTGCGTTGCTGTGAAAAAGTTTTCCACTTTGCTTCACTGCCAGGGTTGGCCTTGCACGATATAAATGTAGTGCGATCCTCTTCTTTTTCACCCCTCTATTTTCCTTTTTTTTTTTCTTCTCTCTCATCATTAAACACATTAATTCACAATGGGTAAGGAAAAGGGTCACATTAACGTCGTCGTCATCGGTCACGTCGATTCCGGTAAGTCTACTACCACCGGTCACTTGATTTTCAAGTGTGGTGGTATTGACAAGCGTACCATCGAAAAGTTCGAGAAGGAAGCCGCCGAGCTCGGTAAGGGTTCTTTCAAGTACGCTTGGGTTTTGGACAAGCTTAAGGCTGAAAGAGAAAGAGGTATCACCATTGATATCGCTTTGTGGAAGTTCGAGACTCCAAAGTACTACGTCACCGTTATTGATGCTCCAGGTCACAGAGATTTCATCAAGAACATGATTACCGGTACCTCCCAGGCCGATTGTGCTATTTTGATTATCGCTGGTGGTGTTGGTGAGTTCGAAGCCGGTATCTCTAAGGACGGTCAGACTCGTGAACACGCTTTGTTGGCTTTCACCTTGGGTGTTAGACAGTTGATCGTTGCCGTCAACAAGATGGACACCGTCAAGTGGGACGAAGCCCGTTTCGAGGAAATTTGCAAGGAAACCTGCAACTTCATCAAGAAGGTTGGTTACAACCCAAAGACTGTTCCATTCGTCCCAATCTCTGGTTGGAACGGTGACAACATGATTGAAGCCTCCACCAACTGCCCATGGTACAAGGGTTGGAACAAGGAAACCAAGGCTGGTGTCTCCAAGGGTAAGACCTTGTTGGAAGCTATCGACGCTGTCGAGATGCCAACCAGACCAACCGACAAGCCATTGAGATTGCCATTGCAGGATGTCTACAAGATCGGTGGTATCGGGACTGTGCCAGTCGGCCGTGTCGAAACCGGTGTCATCAAGGCCGGTATGGTGGTTACTTTCGCCCCAGCTGGTGTCACCACCGAAGTCAAGTCCGTGGAAATGCACCACGAACAGTTGGTTGAAGGTGTCCCAGGTGACAACGTCGGGTTCAACGTCAAGAACGTTTCCGTCAAGGAAATCAGAAGAGGTAACGTCTGTGGTGACTCCAAGAACGATCCACCAAAGGGTTGCGCTTCTTTCAACGCCCAGGTTATTGTCTTGAACCACCCAGGTCAGGTCTCTAACGGTTACTCTCCAGTCTTGGATTGTCACACCGCCCACATTGCCTGTAAGTTCGAGGAATTGTTGACCAAGATCGACAGAAGAACCGGTAAGACTCAGGAAGAATTCCCTAAGTTCATCAAGTCTGGTGACGCTGCCATTGTCAAGATGATCCCAACCAAGCCAATGTGTGTTGAGGCCTTCACTGACTACCCACCATTGGGTAGATTCGC